TTCTCCGATCAGAGTTGAGAAAGAAGGGAGGAGTCTGATTGAAGACGTAAACATTATTGGTGATGACACCACTCTTCCGTGGTTAGATACTCTAATCTCAGAGCACTCAGAGGAAGCAGGGGATGCTCCATTAACCTTTGAAGAAGAGAGGCTGATTCAAGACCAAGAATTTCTTAGTGAAGAATCAGCCCTTCAGCAGTTGGATGCTGTCATTTTGGAAAGCACAGAAGGAGACAGAACCCACACTCCACTAAGGTTTGCAGAGGAAGCATCGATGAGAAAAGATCAAGCAAAGGAATCGAATGACTCAAAAAGAGAAAGTGATGCAACTTTTCAAAACCCAAACTGTTCTGTCGATGAGGCAAATCCCATCGCAACAGAAACATTAGAAAATAGGACGCCTAGCAATGACGAGTTTGGAATCATTGCTGTGACTGATCCAGACTGGCCAAATAATACTCCTCAGAAAGAGAGTTATGAGGGCACCTTCAAATCTGATTTAGTTCCGTTAGATGTAAGATCAAAAGTAACTGAACCAGAAGATGACGGGGGTATTATGGCTGAATCTAATGATCAGGATTCCACATTCTGTATCGCTCATTTAAGTAAAGAGTCTGAGGAGGATATAGAAGAAGTGCTGATTTCTTCAGTCGAAAACTTTGCTTTTAATAAAGAAGCAAATGTTTTTTGTGAAGCGGAAACTATAACAACCATTCAAATTGAGGAATCTATAATACAAGACTTCAACACTCCCGAGGGGGTGCAACCGGGTTCTGTGCGATTAAAAGAATGTGAGGAAATTGTGGAGTATCTGACCACGGATTCTTATGTAACATCTGACTTTGATTTGGATGACTGTGCTCAAGAAGTGGCAATGTTCTCGGTTGTGGCGGAGATCGAGAAGATGCATGAAACATCTGCACAGTTGGAAGAATATGAGACCTTTATGGAACACCCTCCAACACATTATTCTATAGCATCACATCTGGATATTGCAGACTGCAGTCAACTGGTACAGACGTTGCCCAGCGTTGAGGTGACCAAGGAAGAGTGTGTAGAGCCAGAAGAGTGTCCCGTTGCTGTGTATCCCACAATGGATTCTCCTGTAGACTGGGGTTCAGATATCGCCTGCTGTGTCCAGGAGAAAGCTACATGGCTCAGTATGGATGACCTGGATGTGGCTGAGGAGCTATTTGATGATTCTGAAGCCATGGATTCGGAAAGAGAGAACAGTAACTTTATGGAATTTGTACATGAGCTAAATCTTCTTCCTTCAAACATGCAACTGGAAACTGATGCAAAAGAGGTTCAAATTCACCTTATAGATGATTGCATTAAAATTCAGCACCCAAATCAAGAGGATTATCTAGCATTGGATCCAGAAGAACAGTCGGAAATTCTACATACTATTTCAGATGTGCTGTGTACGTTCAGCTCGGAAGGACAATTTGATGAAGCTTCAGAACAGGTTGCTGAGTCTGACGTAACGACTCCAGAGAGCGTGTGTGGTAATGAAACACTATTATCGGTTAATGCGGATCCTGAGGAACCACTTGTGGCAATAAGATTTCTCTTCCAATTCAATAAAGATGTGGACAGCATCAAGCCAGCTGCGGCCATACGAGCATCTCAAGCGGAAGATTGGAAAAGTGATTGGGAACCAGATGTGTGGGGAGTAATCTTCAATCCCTGCTTTGAGAATGACTTTATTACCCAGGCCTCTGGAGCAGGGTTGCCAGAGGGTCTGTTTCTATCACAGGGAGGGGAAGAACTCAGTTGTTCAAATCTATTCTTATTGACCCTGGAACCAAACCCACATGATACCATTTTAGAGATTCAAGGAGAAAGCTCATCTGTGGGACCCAATAAAGGCGATATTTCTGTATTAGAGGAAGACTCGGATACAGATAATGAGGTATTTATTACAATTTACCGGTATTTAGAGTGACATCACTCTGTAGGCACAGGCAGGTAAGCTGAGTGTAAGTTGTTTGCGGTGGGGAGAGAAATGGGAAAACAATGAACATTAAAGGGCCAACATTTTATCAATAATAATTCCCTATTTTTGATATTTATGGTGCCTTTCACATCGGGAGGATATCCAAAGCTCTTCACAGGATATACTGTGACTGGATTTTGACTTTGCAATCCTCTCATTGAATCGGCAGTGATTTGAGTTATATTTTGCAAACTGTTCCGTCTTCATCTTGCCCATCTTGAAAATACCGCGATAAAATGTGTGACCCATTCTGTTCCCTTCTCTTACCTTCCCTCAATACACCACTGCTCCATCCAACTCACCCCCTCCTCCCCTTTTGAAGCCCATCTTAAGACTTGCCTCTTTCACCATGCTTTCGTTCATCTTTTCTTTCTTTCTCCATCCCCCACCCCCCCCCCCATCTCAGGTGCCCAGTCTACTGTGTAAAGTGCTTTGAGAAATCCTCCCGACATGAAAGGCACGGATATAAATCTATCATACCTATCTATCTCCATGCCTTTTGTGTGTATTTTAAATTTTTTAAATTCTGTTTGCGTTCATACACATTTGAATATACTGTGTACTTCTTCATGTTCCCACTGTGAATTCAACCACAGAAAAGGAATTAAGTTACAAATTGGGAAAGTTTGCTCGACATTCATGACGGCATTATCGGTCTTGATTGATTTTCTGGATGGGCTCAAATTCGTTAATTCAGATAATTCAATGAAAATTGGGATGTGGCAAATTCCATTTGTAATCGCATTAAACTTGTTGTCATAGAGAGAGGTTTGCACTGCATTCCAGTGTGGAAGTTTTGAGAAAGATTTTAATATTACGGTATGTTGCATTCTCAGGCAGAATTGCGTAATCCTCCTCGCGTCTTTCAGTGGTTTGGAAACCGGACACACTGTCAAATCTATCGAGTTTATTTTCTTTAGAAACGGTCAGATTCTTTGGAAAGTAGATTATACGTGTTCTTGCAATAAATGGTTTACATTCGGATTATTGCTGCAGAAGCTGACCTACTTTTGCTTGCTGCACGGTTAAGTGTTAGTACGTCGGAAAATCTTTATTTGACCAGTTTCAAACAACGCAAAACAGAATAATTTGGTCACTCTATCCACGACTGTTTGTGGGGACACCGCTGTGCGCAACTGGCTGCCGTGTTTGGCTCAAACAATTTAGGTTCAATTCAATTTACAGTATATCCTGCGAAGCGCTTTGAAACGTCTGGAAGTCGTGATGAGGCGCTGTGTCCAATGCAGGGATTATTATTATCATAACTCATGGTGACTGACAGTTGCATTCTTAAACTATTTTAGTTATGAAGAGAATACAGTAATGATTGTAACAGTCGAAAACATAGTGAGTGCCAAATCGTAACGCCACAATTGACCTTGATTTATTAAGAGAAGGATGTGTCATTATGCGGAATGGCTGCCAACTCGCATTCCCCGGGATATTTTTTTTTCCCCGTTTGAGTTCAATCGCAGGATTCAGATCTTGACAATTGGTTAATTCTGACAAGGAAATCCCAATTGTTTTCTGTTAACCGTTTTGTCTGGTTTCTCATTGGGTCGCCAGGTTTTGAAGTATCCACTCATATCCCCAGATTTTCGTTTCAATGCTGTTGAGCAGAGTTTGAGTTCTTTAAACTTTCCTATCATCTGCTGTAAAAGCTCTCGTGTGAAGCTAATATCCTGGAAACTGTTTAAAAAAAAAGGTTATCGTAAAAATCTAAGTTGATTCACATGCCTATCCTATTATGGTAGTTCTTTCTCTGTGAGCATCACAATAGATGATGATATAACGTCAAGTCAGATCAGAAATAGTCTAATTTCTAAGGAACCTTTTAAACTTTGGGAGGCAAAGTCACCTCCTCAGACAGTTGCGGAGATGATGGTGGGCCCGGGCAATATTGCAGAGATGAGGGGAAAACCAAGTGAATGAGACCCCAGATGTAAGGCTTTAAGGAGAGTTGAGGGTCAAGACAGGAAGGTTCCGCACTGGCTGTGTGGGTTCTCAGAGCACAGGCTGTGTTTGTTTCCTGTACTCTGGCTGTGCTCGTTTCCTGTGCAAACGTGCACAACACAGTGGGCCATCTGGCAGGACTTGCACATGGAGGGGAAGGAGAGATTGAATTATAAGTGGATGTGAACTCCTGTTGCTCAGCGACACTGCTTTACCGCTCGATCTGATGTGACGCCCGGAGTGTGTAACCCAGGCTGAGTTGGTCGCACTCTTGCCTCGGACTCAGAAGGTTGTTGGTTCAAGCCCCCGCCGCGTTAGGACACGGAACTCAGTTTAAGATAGCAGTGCTGGGGATGTGCTGCATTGTGAGAGGTATCATCCTTCAGGAGAAACGTTAAACCAAGGGCCCATCTGCCTGTTCAGGGTGGACGTAAGAGATCCCGCGACGCTATTCAAAAAGAAAGAGGAAGGAGTTTCTCGTGGTGTCTGGCCAACAATCCCCCCAAATATTTTTTGAGTGGATACTTTTCAGCATAACAACCAGCAGGTGCTGTTTTGAGGTTGGAGTCTGTCCACATAAGCTCCTTCCCCACCATCCCCCTCAACTGTATATGTCCATGGGATGGGATAAAGTGGGTCTGCTTGCTATCTCGGCTTGCCAGCCTGCCGTGGATGCTTCCCTTGCAAAGATTTCTGTGATTAAATGACTTGTTAAGCTGCCTAAATAACCCAGTTGTGGAGCCCTTGTTTCCCACCCCTGATTGGCTTTGCAGCTATGCACTGGCAGCTAACCACTTTATTCAGCAACGTACACTATGAATGGAATGTGACTGAGTGACACAACCATCACAACAACAAACAGGACTTTATTCTTGCAGCTCTTGGCTAGCGAAATCTTGACCCCGTTGTATCAGTGTCGATACATTTAAAACCCTTTAATATATACATAGATTTTTTTTTACCTCCATGAATAACATAAGTGCTGAATGTCTCATGCTGGCCCTTGTGAATAACAGAGACTTACACAAGTGTATTTCTTTTGTTTTAGACGTTTCAAAAGATTCAGGTGGATCCCATCCAGTCCAAACTGCAGCAGGCAAATGGCATGGGACAGGGTCTCATTCAAAGTGCTACAAAGAACGCTAACACGCAAGGACTTGAACATGATCTGGACGAGACGAACATCAGGTGGAACACACTCAACAAAAAGGTGAGCTTTTAACGAAGTAATGATGCTGTATGAATTGTATGATTTTTAAAAAAATAATGCAGAAAATATCTGGGCAAAGTGGTTTCGCTGCGCTAAATATTTTTGGAGTAGGTATATGTACTAGTCTGCACCAAAGTGAATCGTACATATAATCAAAAAATAGACAGTAAATTTGGAATCATAGATTATAAGGAGTCTGGTGAGGAGGGTGGCATTATTTTTTTTAAAAAATTTGATCTGTGAACTAATTGAAAATTGAAAATGCATCATTTATTTTTTTCATGCATCACTAAAATGGCTAAAGTGTGAATGAATACTTGTGTGATTAAGACATGTTTTTCGATTATCCAAATAATGTGCCCTAGGGGGACAAATGATTGATTTGCCGACTCTGTGGAATACAATGTGGAGTGCTCATTGCATCACATGCTCAGCACATTTGTTTGAATTAACATTTATGCTTGATGTCCTCTTGAAAATCTGCCATGTTTCATCATCTTCAACCAGAAATTGAGAGTGGTTTGAAATCATCCATTTTGGGAAGTGATTTGAAACATTCCATGATACACCCATGATACAAACATGCTATACATGTAATTAAACTACACTAAAGACCCTTTTCACCAGTCAATCAGACAATCTGTAGGACATCTTCCAACCACTCTGGGAGGTGACTTGAAACATTTCCTCCAATTCATTTGATAATATTTCCTGCGCCTTATTACATCTTTGAGATGTCTCACAGCGCTTCACAGAATATACTGTAAAGTGAACTGACTGTATATTTTGTGGTCTAACTCAAGAAGTCGAAAATTCAATGGTACCTTTTATGATCGTTGTATATTTCAAGTGGACTGCTTCTTAGAATTGCTAGGTCAGTACAGTACTGTCAAATGAGGATTTGTTTGCAGGTGGCAGAACGTACATCCCAGTTACAGGAAGCCTTGTTACATCGTGGGAAATTCCAGGATGCTCTGGAGCCTTTGCTGAGCTGGCTTACTGACACAGAAGACCTGATTGCCAATCAGAAACCTCCCTCGGCAGAATATAAAGTAGTGAAGGCACAAATTCAGGAACAGAAGGTACAGTATTTTACGTCGGCAGATTGATCACCGAGCAGAGGGAATATATTGGTGTCGATTTTTCCTGCCGTCCTTTTCAACAATAATGTTTCGGTAACCACACAACACCAACCTGCAATCCAGCGATATGGAAATTACAGTCTGTGCAACTTTCACAAACTTTGCTGATTTCATCCTCACTCAATCAAAGGAATTGCTGGGTTTAAATACTTCCAAATGTTTTTAAATGTAAGGCAGCCGACACAAATCCTGCAACTTTTTTTATTCTGTACTTTGATGTACTTCATGCAGACAATGAACTCAAGGACAAACTAGTCAAAAAAAAAGTACCTGAAGTGTTAATTAGATGCATTCATTTTGACAACCGTTGGGTTTGTGTTGATTTCCTGCTCCAGCTCCTGCAGAGGCTGTTGGATGATCGCAGAGCCACCGTGCAGATCATCAAGGCAGAAGGAGAAAGGATTGCAGAGTCGGCAGAAGTAGCGGAAAAAGAAAAAATCCAGAATCAGCTGCAAAGACTGGGGAAGAGATGGGACGCTTTGCTCAGCAAGCTGCAGCCAGGTACAGAGCTCCTGTTCATCATCGAGGGGAAGAGAAATTATTGTTTCACTCTTGTTTTACAATAATAATGATAATAATAATCCTTGAATTTGATACAGCGCCTTATCATGTCTTCGAGACGTCTCAAAGCGCTTCACAGAATATACTGTAAAGTTAATTGAGTCAATAATCGAAGACTTCTTCTTCAGACTCGCAAAAACATGGTGTTTTCCCGGAGAAATTGAAGTCCAAATTCACATTCTGCATTCCGCGTGAATTAATTGTGTTCCTGTTCTGATTTCTGTTTTATAGCTGTAATGATAATGTTGTAAGCTAAAAAGAGTTAATCAGTCATAGAAAAAAATATAGAAACAAGAGTTGCTTCTCAAGCCTGTTCCACCATTCTGTAAGATCATAGCTGATCTGTACTTCAAATTCAATTACCCGCCCTTATCCCTTAATACCTTGACCAAACAAATTTTCTTTGTTGGCTTGAAAATAGTTTCTTTTCTAAAGGATGTATGATTCTATTGGTATAAATGTTTACAAGGCAGTGAGATCTTACACAGATGGGGCCCATGTGTTTAACCACCAGTTTGGTTTCTCTGTTGACGCAGGCAAAATCAGTTGGAGGACATCTTGGTCATTGCAAAACAGTTCCACGAGACAGTTGAGCCCCTGAACGAGTGGTTGACGAGCAGGGACAAGAAGTTAGCCAACTCCGAACCCGTGGGGACACAAACTGCTAAGATTCAACAGCAAATAACACGCCATAAGGTAAGGATGTTCTTCCGAGGTGTGTTCGAAACAACCAGGTTAGTTGCAAGTAATAAGAATAGAAGTTGCTGGGAACACGCAGCAGGTCGGGCAGCATCTATGGAGAGCAGAAAATGCGTTAACGTTACAGGTTGATGATGAAGGGCCTTTTAAACCCAGCTAGGGGGAACACTGGAAACTGGGTATAAAATCCACCACTAACCAGGGCATGTGCTTAACAGTACTTTGTATTTTGCTCAATGTAATATTTATTTGAAACCGTTATTAACCACTTTTCATCAAAGCCCCGTTTAAACATCATGAAAATAATTTGAGGATTTTAAAGTTAAGATTTTCTATTCAGATTTATAGAACCAGAATATTTTATCAGTTTGTCCGTGTTTTACGCACCGCCTAAAACTCGGTGACAACGATTTCTTTACAGAAACGTGTTTGTAGTTCAGAGATGGTTCTTTGTAACAAAGTGCGGTTCCCTTTTCTGCNAAAAAAACTAATTCATTTCATAACTTTGTTTCACACGTGTTAATGGCTTTGTCCTTGGTTCAGGCCTTAGAGGATGACATCACAAACCACAAGGAAAATGTCCAGCGAGCAGTCAAAGTCGGACAGGTTCTCTTGCCATTGAGCTCAAAGCCAGACCAGGAGATGGTCGAGGACAAGCTGGAGTCTGTCCAGGCTCAGTATAGGGAGATAAGGGACAGGTGTAGCCGTAAGGCAGCCCTGCTCCAACAAGCTCTCGCCAACGCCAAGATCTTTGGAGAGGAGGAGGTGGAAGTGTTGAATTGGCTGGCTGACATTCAGGACAAACTCAGTTTGGTGACCATCAAAGATTACATGTGTGACATCCTGCATAAGCAGCACAAAGAGCAGCTGGTATTTCATTTATTATTTTGTTTTATTTACATTTTGCCACGTCGATTGTTTTCAGTTAATCGTAACATTGAATTTCTGTGTCTTTTTTCCTCTCGTTTGATTTCATTTATTATTTGAATTGTAATTTTTCCAGTTGTGTTCATTTCTCTGTTTATTTTAAGATCATCTACATTTTGAATCATCCGCAATAAAATATCGCAAGTGCAGAAGCGTTAAAGTAAATCCTGAATTTTTTTTAAAATTAGTTCTCTTATTAAAATGACCAAAAGAAAATTAAATTCCTGAATAGATGTCCTGAAATCTAACACTAATTTTCTGATAGCTTCCCTTGTCCTCAGTGGTTAATTCACTGATGATAAGAATTGGATCTTTTCCATTTTCCACAGTATCTTTTTTTACACATGATTTGTTTGGCAAATAATATGATGTAAAGATTAACATCCAGCAGGAAAATGAGCAACAGACTTTCTGTTTGCGGCTTTTAATACAAAACATATCAAGTTATTAAGGCATGATTTAGCACGTGGAAGTCCCAGATTGAAATATTTTTTAGTATTTTCAATATCGTTTTTATTTCATCGATTATGTTTTTGTTCATTATTTCACTTTTTGGCTGTTTTGCAATATTGGTGTTTCATCCATTGGATCATTGGTGGATCACGAGCAGAAAGCTGCACATAATTGAAAACTCGCCATGGGTACAGAAAAGGGAATAGTTATCCAAACATATCAGTTAATACTGATATGGCACCATTACTGAAGAGTTCAGAGATGCATACAAGGATGTATTACAGCTGGGAACAAGACTCACTGTTATACAGTGATTCAAAGCATCAATAAGAGCAGCTGCTTTGTAGTTTTACTTGGATTTGGCTGCGATTCAGGTTCAATCCTTTTCAGATCCCTCCGTGTAGAGTCATGAAAATCAGTGTGATGTTTCCGTAGAAACCTTACCATTCATTTATTAAGCAGCTGTCTTCATCTCTTTGTAGGCTCTGAATGATGACATTATATCCAGGAAGAAAAATGTAGATCAAGCCATTAAAAATGGACAAGCCCTTCTGAAACAAACTACAGGTAAAAAAAAAACACCATCTACACCTTCTAGATTTTGTTTATGCTGTTGTTAATCATCGGGAATGTTCTTGTACGACTGATAATCACTGAATGTTGCCCAGTGAGAAAGATTGCGCATAGGGTTGGAGCTCAGGTTTTTTGGCAGACCAAATTCTTTCCAGTTGCTCAAAAGTAAACTTTTAATTAGAACATGTTGTTATTCATTCTATGATGCCATTGTGCTATCACTTATTGGGCCTTAAGATGCATTGTGCCAAGTGCATAAAGACACCATCTGCCATCTCGTTGGCATAAAGAACTGCAATTGGAACAAAGCCCAATCCGGCCTTTAGCGGTTAAAGTATGTTCCACGGGAAAGAACGTTGATTGATATTCTGCAGCACAAGAGAAAAGGAAATCACTGCACTTTATGAACCTGTGTTTTATGAGAATTTGAGTTCCTTTCTTATTGATTACGTGATATTTTTCCAACCAAAACTACAGGCAGACTGCAATACTGCAATAACGTCCCAAGTTGATTTATTAGTCGATTGGTGGATCGCTTTTCCGGGGGTAATAATCCCTTCAAAAAAAATAATAATGATAATTTGGACACTGAATCCACGACTGTTTGTGGAACACTGTTGTGTGAAATTGTCTGCTGTGTTTCGCCCACAAACTATACAGTCACTACACTTTACCGTCTATTCTATGAAGCGCTTTGGAGCTTATTTCTACACGGAAGCCAATTGCACCTAAATCTACTTCTCTACGCTTGATTCCAGGTTCACCAATGTACTGTCTGCTTGACATGTTTCCTTATTTTGAAGTGTTGATACCATGGGTCAGGTTGACCCACCGTAATCTCTTGTGGCTAAGAGGGACAACTGTTTATCTCTGTTTCCTCAGGCGAGGAGGTCATAATAATTCAGGAGAAATTGGACGGCATTAAGACCCGCTACGCAGAGATCACTTCAGCCAGTTCCCGAGTCCTGAAGACACTGGAGCAGGTCCTCCAGCTTGCCACCAAGTTCCAATCCTTTAACGAAGAGCTGTGCACCTGGCTAGATTCAGTGGAGGGTGAGCTCGCAGCAAATTCTCCACAGTCGCCAGTTGGAGAGCAAATTCCCCAAGTTCATCAGAGACAAAAGGTAAGCAGAGCTGTTTCACCCACAAAACACACAGTCAATTCACTTTACAGTGTATTCTGTGAAGCGCTTTGAGAGGTCTAGAAGACGTGATGAGGCGCTGTATCAAACGCAAGGTTTATTATTATCTCATCTTGACGATTTGATTAAAATTATTGCCCAATTATTTTATTTTATTTCTATTTTATGATATAAATTTATTCTATGATTAAATAAGTTGGCTGCCACCTTTCGCCCACAAAATACACAGTCAATTCACCTTACAGCGTATTCTGTGAAGCGCTTTGAGACGTCTCGAAGGCGTGATAAGGCGCCGTATCAATTGCAAGGATTATTATTATTGTTGTATGGATCAAATTTAATTTATATTTCAGTCGGTGTCAAGTATTATGTAAGTCTATAGGAGGGTAAATTTTATAACAGCAACAACTTATACAGCGCCTTTCACATGGGGAGGTGTCCCAGATGTTTAACTTAACTCTTAACTCTGCTTTTAATTGGACACAATTCAGTTTTGCGCTCTTTTTCTTTTAAGATAGCTGAACCCGGATGCAGTGGTTACTTACTACATCTCTCCCGTGTTTAATATTCAGGAGCTGAAGAAGGAAGTGATGGAGTACAGACTGATCCTGGACACGGTTAATGAAGTGAGCAATGCTTTGCTGGAGCTGGTGCCGTGGAGGGCACGCGAGGGCCTCGATCGACAGGTGGCAGACGCTAACGAGAGATACAAAACCGTCAGCGACACCGTAACGCGCAGGGTCGAAGCAATCGATGCAGCAATTCAGAGATCACAACAGGTAGATTGTCTTCGTGTTTTACGTCGCGGGCAGAATCTTTTGTGAAACCGTCCCGGGCTCCTCGCCGAGACTCTGGAAGTCTCTCCCTCAATCCGTCCGCCTTGTCCCATCCCTCCCCACCTTCAAATCCCGCCTAAAGGCCTTCCTTTTTAATCGTGCTTACAATCACCTCCCACTTCCCACCCCCCACGCCCCTCCCCTCCCTCCATCTTCCCCTGGCTCGGTCTCAGACTCCGCCAATGTCGAGCGCTCCGGGACACTACCCCTTGAAACGCGCTATGTAAATAAATGCAAGTTGTTGTTGTAGTAGATGTGATTCTCTCTTCCTGGTCATAAACCACCAGACGAAACACTACACCCTTCATGTAAATAACTTTGAAAACCTCTAACTATAATGCTGGGATCTGTGTTTCAGCATTGCACGTGTTAGTGCCTGTTTGTTGGGTTAGACTGCCGTCATTGCATCGACAACCCCACCAGGTCTCTGATAGCATCTTTGCAACTCTACAATCCAAATGCTCGATACACTCTCTATTAAAGGGAAAGCTATTGATGAAGAGTTTCCGTATAGTTTTCTCTTCCGTTTCTCAAATTTGAAATTCAGGATTAACAGTATGTTCTACAGTGTAATTATGTTAATAAATAAACGGGAAAGCATGGTCCGAGGGAAGCCAAGGAAATTAAACACTCAAAAGGGTTATTAATTGTGGCTACGGCTTTGTGCTTCGTCTTGTAACCCTCTTTCGTCTGACCTGCTTCCTGTCTCCCACTCACGCCGCCCCATGAATGGTGGGTGAGCTGTCAGCCATTTTGTTCCCGTCCTCTGGAACTTTCTTGATCTAAAGACCTATCTATTTCACTGCCCTTTCCACCATGATCCCACCCCCCCACTCTCTATCTCTTTCCCAGCTCAGGCTTTATAAAGCACTCTGTGATGTTCTCTCTACGTGAAAGACGTGATGTAAGTGCCGATTGTTGTTGTTGGTATTTTAGAAGATTGTAAAAGAAACATGATTAATCACTCCAATGAAGCTCTTAGAATCTCTGTCTCCTTTGACGTCCGTGGCAGTAAGTGTGCTGTTGCCAGATCACTGTTGTTTTTGCCTGAGTGTCTGTCCGCTTATGTTCTCTAAATGTTGCTCGCTGCTTCTCCTTTCTGCTAGTACGAGCAGGCCACTGACTCCGAGCTAACCTGGGTCGCAGAAACCAAGCGAAAGCTGACAGCCTTGGGCCCAATTAGGCTGGAGCAAGATCAGACCACAGCTCAGCTACAGGTGCAGAAGGTAGGAATGATGTGTGCAGTGTGGGACTTCGATCCAACGGAGTCCTCTTGGTGCTTGGATAAGCGTCAAGTCAAGTATTCCACAGAAAATCTCTCATTGTATTGCTTGCTTGCTTGCCTTTCGGTATCGTTCATAGTCGTTAAGGAAAAAAATTATCTATAGAAAAGAAACCACTTTGCTACTTTCAGTTTGTTTAAATCCTTTTCATTTCACCCATTGCTCAGATAAATACAATTTTTTTAAAGGCTAAATTATGGAAACCCCCAGTTCAAACGAGTGAACCTTTTTTAAAAATGTACAGCTTGGCTGAGTTGGCTGAGAAATTTTCTTTCACCTTTGGGTTAGAAGGTTGTGGGTTCAAACCCATGGCAGGTTTTTGACTCAGTGCAGTTCTGGGGGAAGCAGTGCTTTGTCTGAGGTGCTGTCCTTCAGATGAGACCTTATGCAGAGCTCCTGTCTGTTCGAGCACATGTTAAAGATCCCATGAAATGTTTTGAAAGGTTTGGCCCAGTGTTATGGCCAACAATTCAAGTGTAAGGGTTATCAACAATTATCCGGATAAATTGGTCCTTTAATGCATTGCTGTTTGTGAGACATTGAAGTGCACTGTCACTGGACTTGACAACAATTCCCTGTGAAGCGCTTTGAGATATTTCAGCGTTACGGCAGAGGGGAGGGTGCCAGTTTGTGAAGAATTTTCTTTCATGATCCTGCAGGCTTTTTCGATAGACATCATACGGCACAAGGATTCCATTGACGAGTTGATAAATACTCAGGAGGAGATTCTGAGCACTTGTGGAGACGAACAGAAAACCATGTTACAGGTACAAAGGCTAAATATACACACACACACTAACAATTTGGTCACTCAATCCATGCAATTAGCTGCCACGTTTCGCCCATAAAAATGCACAGTCACTCCACTTTACAGTATATTCTGTGAAGCGCTTTGAGACGTCTCGAAGACGTGATAAGGCGCTGTATCAAATGCAAGGCTTATTATATAATTTCTATAATAACTGAGTTTGAAATGTGTACTCGTGTAGGACAAGATGGAATCGCTGCTCCAGCAATATGAGGCGGTCAGTCAGATGAATACAGAGAGATATTCCCAGCTGGAACGTGCTCAGGTCCTGATCAATCAATTCTGGGAGACGTATGAGGAGTTGTGCCCATGGATTGATGAGACGAGAGCTCTGATGTCCCAGCTCCCACCACCAGCAGTCGACCATGAGATTCTGAAACAACAACAGGAGGAGATGAGGGTAAAATAAACTATTTCCTCTGGTGGGGGAATCCAGAACAAGGGGGCATTGTCTTAAATTTAGAGCTAGACCATTTAGGAGTGAAATCGGGAGCTAGTTTTTCACCCAAAGGGTAGTGGAAATCTGGAACTCTCTCCCCCCAAAAGGCTGTGGATGCTGGATCCATTCACATCTTCAAGACTGAGGTGGATAGATGTTTGTTAGGTCAGGGGATCAAGGGAAATGGGACAAAGGCGGGTAGTTGGAGTTGAGGTACAGATCAGCCATGATCTTGTAGAATGGCGGAAGAGGCTCGAGGGGCTCTTGTTTCTACGTAAGGACAATGTTGTTGTGCTCAAAGATTATTGTGCGGTGAAATAATGTCCTGTTGAAAGTACAGGATCTGGAGATGAGGTGAAAGATTGCATGTTGTGGCTGTGTTTAAAGTACGGCCATGTGATGTTTCAGCCAGACTAATAAAAAGGATGTATTTTTGATCGTGAACGACAGAGGTTTGTGTTGGACTGAAAACGTCTAGTATTTTGTGCCAAAAAATATATATAATCTAGAGTTTTGTGTGAGAGAGATATGTTAAATTGGGTGGAAAGTTTCCGCATTCTTTCAGACACTTAAAATGTTTTTTTTGTTGTTGTTTATATATAAAAAACACACACACAGCAACTACGTGAATCGATCTCTGAACACAAGCCGCACATTGATAAACTGATGAAGATTGGCCCGCAGCTAAAGGCATTGAACCCCGACGAGGGTAAAATGGTCGAAGAGAATTACACCACCTCGGAAGCACTTTACGCTCAAATAAAACAGGATGCAAGACAGAGAGCTTTGATGTTGGACGAAGCCATTTCCCGGTCTGCTCAGGTATTCTGGTGTCATCCTGGCTGTAACCCCATTTCCGTGCAGATTCTCTGATTCTCTAAGCTATTTTATTGCATTACTAGAAAGGAGGGAATCTGGTACAGCGCTTCTGAAATGTGATATGACACGAACGATTCTTTACAGGATACCAAAACGCGCCGCATAATGTTTTAATGTCCCGCTGGTAAAGTGTAATCCTTCCTTTGTTTGTCTTGTTGAATCCCTTGTGTTATCTCATCACAGTTTCTCATACTAACATGTCCTTTGTTTTCCATTCCGCTCACCTCATGGAATTAACTGTTTATTTGCCGAAACGCCCTGCTCCGTTGTGTTTAATTGTTGTGTTCATCACATCTGCTCATTAGAACGCTGAGGTAAGCAGAGTTCCTTAGACACTCGGTATCACTGTACTTTTGCACTGGGTTTTCCTTCTTGGGCTCCCAACGAGAAATAAATAAGAACCAAAAAGAAAAACCATTCGGTCATTTTTATTTCCATTTCCCTGTACCAACTATCCTTCAAAGGTTGTCTGAATTGTGCTGAACTGTACATTTTTGACTATTTGGAACTTTGGGAGATCTGCCCAAATTCATTTGATTGGCTGTTAACACAATTTGATGGATTTGTGCCATAGATTTTTTTGCTGCTGCATCGTATTGAAGAATAATTCCTGGAAGAAATCGTACAAAATTCCCAACAACTTGTCCTTCTGTTTATGATCCATGTTTAGTTCCACGATAAGATCGATCCAATGCTGGAATCCCTGGAGCACATCTCTGATCGCTTGCGATCACCTCCGTCAATACCTGCTGAGGTTGATAAAATCAGAGAGCACATCAACGAGAATAAAAACATCGGAATGGAACTCGAGAAACTCCAACCGTCTTTTGATGCTCTTAAATGTTGCGGTGAGGAACTGATTGGCCGCTCGACCGGAGCTGATAAGGATCCTGCAGCTAAAGGTATATTAATTTTCTAGATATTGATGGGCCGAATGGCCTCCTTCTACCCTGTAATATTCTATGATATATAAGGGGCGAAACCTTAGGCAAGTTTCCTTAACCACACACACGCCTCAGTTTACCTAGCATTAAGTAGGAGCCCGCTTGTTAGTCGATTGGCAGATTGCTTTCCGGGGGTAATAATCCCTCCAAAAAACAATAATAATAGTAAGTTGATCCCTCAAACCACAGCTGTTTGTGAGACACAGCGCCGTATCACGTCTTAGAGGCGTCTCAAAGCACTTCGCAGAACATACTATAAAGTCAATTGACTTTATATTTTGTGGGCGAAACCCGGCAGCCAATTGCGCATTCCCTTCCATATTTCCACGACTGAAGGATATTCATCCAGTTTGGGTTATTTTTGGGTGGAGTCCTATGTATTAAGATTTCTCCCACAGTTCTGAACTTTTGTAGCACGATCAGTAGTAACCCTCACTTTAACAATCCTGGTAACATTAGTACCTACTGCAGCCAATAGCAATAATGTGCTGGATTTCTAATTAGTTTTATTTATGATGCTCTAGCCATTCAAGACAAGCTGAATCAAATGGTATTTTTCTGGGACGACATCAAAGCTCACGCCGAAGAGAGGGATATTAAACTTCTAGATGTATTAGATCTGGCCGAAAAGTTCTGGTATGATATGGCTGCCCTCTTGACCACCATCAAGGACACGCAGGATATTGTAAGAGACCTTGAGAATCCTGGCATTGACCCGTCCATCATTAAACAACAGCAAGAGGCTGCAGAGGTATGGCTGTAGCCCAAATCATGCAAATACTTTATTACGAATCATAATTTTGGATGTTCTCCAAATATTTCTTTCCTTTGTAAGGCTTTTCTCTCTGGATTTGACATCAATCAATCTCTTTTTTTATTATAATGGTCAATGAATCAAATACCTGAATTCTTTGCGGTCTTGTGTTGATGATTTTATTGATGTTCTTCTGTCGAATTTAGACCATTAAAGAGGAGACGGACGGACTTCACGAGGAGCTAGAATTTGTTCGGATCTTGGGAGCCGACCTCATCTTTGCCTGCGGAGAGCTCGAGAAACCAGAAGTTAAGAAGAGTATAGATGAGGTGACTAGACTGGACAATTAGTAAATATACTCATGCATATGAATCAAATCGTTCAGAACATGCGGTTAATATAGTTTACATTATTCTAAAGACAAGCCATTAAATAAGCGATTGGTATAGCTCTACCAATGATGTCTTTTTAGCCAGTCACTTATTTAGAAAATAAATAATAATAATATAATAAATATACAATACTGTCCACAATCTTCCATTTCCAACAACAAATTGCATTTATCTATGATCTTCACGTAGGATGTTGCCTCAGACCACTTCACTTCACAAATTAACTAGAAGAGGATAGGTTTTCAGATGGGATTTAAAGATGGTGGGGTGGGGAGTGGAAAAGTTGGAGGAGTAGAAGGGAGTTAGCTGAGTGGATGGGATGAGCACAAAAGTGGGTTAGAAGATCACAGAGATGAGGAGGTGTTAGGCTGTGAAAGGATATATTGTTGAGGGTGAGAAACTTGAAGTCGAACCTTTGACTTGCATATTTACATGCTGACAACATGCACTGGTAACTATTTTCAGCTGAATTCCAGTTGGGACAATTTGAATAAAACGTGGAAGGAGAGATTGGGCAAACTGGAGGAGGCCATGCAAGCAGGAGTCCAATACCAGGATGCCTTACAGGTAAAGAACTGTGTTTGGATCTTGTGATCCAATTTGCATTTATATAGAATGCCCTTCAGGTAGGGAGGAGGACTGAGCACTGGAGTGGAAAGATGACAGGAGAGGACATGAACTGCAAAGTTCAGAAGTGTCTGCCCAGGAAAGCACTGGTGGGTCCAGCAAGGAGATCATTGGCTTAGACACTGCTCTCCTTGGATGAGGGTCTCGCAGGCTTGAGGGGAGAGGTGGTTGTGGAGTGGACAATGGTGGGAAGTGTGTCTTAAGCAAATTTAAGATCAGGAAAATGGGTTTTAACCTATTTTTTTTTGCTTTGCTAGGCAATGTTTGACTGGCTGGATAACACAGTCATCAAACTTAGCGAAATGTCACCAATTGGCACAGACCTGAACACTGTGAAACAGCAAATAAATGAAATGAAGGTGAGTGCGGTAAAACTGCCCCGCGAGAGAGAGAGAACTTGGGATAATAGTAACACAAACACGAGACACTGGAAAGTACTGTACAGTGTTATTCTGTCAACATATGACAAAGGCAGAACTAGATTGAAATAAAAAAATGTGAAGGAATTCACTCAATTATTGCACTGCCTGATCTCATCCCCGTAGCAATTTAAGATGGAGGTTTACCAGCAGCAGATAGAGATGGAAAAGCTGAACCACCAGGGGGAACTACTACTGAAGAAAGCCTCAGATGACACAGACAGAGATGTCGTTCGAGAGCCACTGACTGAGCTCAAGCACCTCTGGGATGACTTGGGAGAGAAGATAGTTCACCGACAGGTACAGGAGAACATCACCTTCTACTCGGACACCACACTAATCAGAGAGAGTTTTCTAATCCGACAAATTTTTTTCTTTTCTTTTTACAATCTTTTTTTATGCTCATTTGAATCTAACGATGGTCGAAGCTCACCAATCGGGGACCCAAATTGGGCATGGAGCGCATTTTCACCAAACAAGTTCTTATCTATCTGGTGCTAATGAAAGTCCGTAGCTACGGACAGCTATTCTACTGGAGAAAAGGAGATGCAAGATAATCACTTGACATTGAGTCTAGAAATATCCTGAGCCATTTTGGTTGGGTTGGTCCATTGGAAACCCATCACCACATTTTATAAGAGTGTCTAAACCAGATGATGTGTGTTACCTACGCTCTTCCGTTGTTCTGTAATGGTTTCCTTTCAGCACAGAACAGAAAGGAGCCTTGCCGGAGACGTTATTTTTCTAAGTAGACGAGTCCGTTCTGAATGTCTGAGTGCGTTTTTTTTCTCTGCAGCACAAGCTGGAGGGTGCCCTGCTGGCTCTCGGTCAGTTTCAGCATGCACTGGCCGAACTCATGTCCTGGCTGAACTACACTGAGGACCTCCTGGATGGACAGAGACCAATTAGTGGGGATCCAAAGGCCATAGAAATCGAACTTGCCAAACATCACGTAAGTTTAAAATAACCTATTGAAACTTTCTCCATTAACATCCAGCTGAGAGGAAGATATATTGGGAAGGGGATGATATCCTAAATTAAGATAATAATTGTGTGAATATTTAGTAACTGGAATCCTAACTCCACAGGTCCTCAAAAATGATGTTCTCGCCCATACATCGACCGTGGAAACCGTAAATAAAGCTGGGAATGAGCTCCTGGAATCGAGTGAGGGGGAAGACGCTAATAATCTGAAGAGTCGACTAGATAAACTGAACCAGAGCTGGCAGTCAGTGCTTCACAAAACTGAAGGCAGAGAGCAGCAGCTGGAGGCAGCCCTGCAGCAGGTATGTATTAGAGAGTGAGGACATGACTGGGAAGCACAGGCTTCCTCCACAAAATATACAGTCAATTCACGTTACGGTATGTTCTGTGAAGCGCTGTGAGACGTTTCGAAGACGTGATAAAGCGCAGTATCAAATGCCAGGATTATTATTATGTTATTACAATTGTTGCCTCTCTGAGTGGTCGCTCTGATTTTCTTTAGGCTGAAGGATTTCACAGTGAAATTGAGGAGTTTCTGCAGTGGCTGAGCCGCATTGAAAATCAGTTAGCTGCTTCCAAATCCACCGGCGGTTTGCCCGAAACTGCTCGGGAGCAGCTCAATGCACACCTGGTAAAAGGCATTCTATTGTAACCTGAAACTCTTAACTGGCTGTGACTTCAAGTCACGAGCATTCCCTGTATATAAACTTCCGCTGTTGTGTTTTGTGAGGGTATTCAGTGATGTTTCGTATTTGTTCAGCTCATTGTATCTAAATCCGAAGTGTACAATTGAGCCAAGACTTTGACAACCTTGAAGCTGTACATCCAGTCGGTCACTCAGCTTTCCCTTACTTCCCCAACATGGCCTGTTCCCAGGAATAACTCGTTCCCTATACTGCCGAGACCCTCATCCACACCATCACCTTGGATGTCATCCTGACGTGAAAGGCACTATAGTGGTGTAATTTTGTATCGTATCAAATCCTGGCGCATTTATTCCACCGTCCTGCTTCCTAGATTCCCCAGATCCCGGCCAGTTGAGCCAAACAGTCTGTTGTGATTTGTCGTCATTCGAAGTAAAGATTGACTCTAGTCCTATGTTCGTTTAGGATCTTTACAGCGAGTTCTGTGCTAACGAGGAAACCTATAGAAAGCTGCACGAAAAAGGGCAACTGTTGCTGTACAGCCGAGACGACACGGCAGGATCGAACGCAGAACAGTGTGTGACACTGCTGGCACAGAAATGGCAAGCCATCGGCGTGAAGATGGTGGAGAGGAAGGTACGAGGATCAGCCATACCTTTAGTATCAATGGATTAGAGTATTCCATTGTTCCCTATGCAATTAATGGTCTCCTGTGTTGTGAACATTCTGCAGTTATGCTCTGGTATATTGTCTATGGGTCCATATATTTGTGGAGTTCTGTAGCTTCTGTTGCTCGAAAGCAAGAGGACCTGGGTTTGATTCCCGGGCAAGTTTCCTTACTCCGCACACACACACACACCTCTGATTACTTAGCAGTAAGTAGGAACTTGGTTGTTAGTCGATTGGCGGATCGCTTTTCCGGGGGTAATAATCCCTTCAAAATAAATGTTATGAATGAAACAATAATAATTTGATCACTCGATCCACGAGCGTGTGTGCAGACGCTGTTGTGCGCAATCAGCTGCCACGTTTCGCCCACAAAATATACAGTCAACTCACTTTTACGGTATATTCTGTGAAGCGCTTTGAGACGACTCGAAGACGTGATACGGCGCTACGTCAAATGCAAAGATATTTTATATGTATAATAACGTGGGTACTCTGTGGGCTCACAACATACCAGGTGCGTTACACTGGCCAGTTTTCTGTGTATAGTTCACCAGCGTCATAGCAGCCTGGTAAGCCAGCAAGTGATATGCATCACGTGGCTCAGGGTCGTGAGCAACGATATCCAACCCAGGAGTGCTGACCGCTGCTCACACTGTGTCTCCGTTTATTACCCTAAACCCACCACCTTGTTAACCCGGAATATAACCGTTTCTTCCTTGTTTTTCCTCTTTCAGACCAAGCTGGAGGAGGCCCTCAACTTGGCAACGGAATTCCAAAATTCCCTGCAGGATTTCATCAACTGGCTCACCCAGGCTGAGCAGGGACTGAATGTTGCTGCTCCTCCTAGTCTCATACTCGATACAGTGCTTTTCCAGATTGATGAACACAAGGTACTGGGCATTTGGAAAGACTCTGAGTAACTGGGGAAACTGCTGTAGTGACCTAATGTGATCTAGACACAGGTCCTCGCATGATCAAGCGGAGAAATGAGTTCTTTGCTGCCCAGTTATAGACCTGTACTGGCACATAGCTTGGGGCAGTTTGGGAGAGCCAAAAAAAAAGGTTTAAATAGAGCAGATAAATTTAGCCACGAGGTCAAATGTGTTTAGAGAAGAGATTGGATCTTGATTTGGCTACAGTGTGTTTTCTAAGCTAAGTGCACGGCAATGTTTCCTCTTGCTAGATTTTTGCCAACGAAGTGAATTTACATCGTGACCAGATAATAGACCTGGATAAAACTGGAAACCAACTGAAATTCCTGAGCCAGAAACAGGATGTGGTTCTGATAAAGAACCTCCTGTTCAGTGTCCAGTCTCGCTGGGAGAAAGTGGTGCAGCGCTCAGTGGAGAGAGGCAGAGGCCTCGACGATGCCCGGAAGCGTGCCAAGCAGGTAAAGCACATCCCAGCAGCACTGCAAAACATAAAGCAACCTGCGCTTGATACCATTTGGTCGATTAAGATAACATCCAATTAATACAGTAGATAAAATAATTATAATTTATTGCATTTGATACAGCGTCTTATCACATCGTTGAGACGTCTCAAAGCGCTTCACAGGATATACTGCAAAGTGTGGTGACTGTTTATTTTGTAGGCGAAACGCCTGTAGGCAATAGGTTTACGAGGTGCAAAATGCTACGTGATTTGGAATCGGTGACGTTACATCGCGTTTCGCCCACAAAATATATAGTCCTTTCACGTTACAGTATATTCTGTGAAGCGTTTTGAGACGTCTCGAAGACGTGATGAGGCGCAATATCAAATGCAGCGTTTATTATTATTAATATCTTTGAAATTTAGGAAGAGTTTAATTCGTAACCAAACATTGAATGCGTCGTGAACAGAGGTGTATTTTTTGACAATGCGATCACACCATATGACTGTGATAATTATTTCAGTCCAGGGGATACATTGTGATGATGGGCAATGAGATTTTAATACAATAGCCTGTTAATCTTCAGCGAGAACAAAAATAAGGGGAAACCAGCTTGAGTTTTAATTCAGAATGTTGTGTTGTGACTCAGTTTTACGAGGCCTGGAAAAAGCTAATTGACTGGCTGGAGGAGGCTGAGAACAACTTGGATTCTGATCTGGAGATTTCCAACGACCCAGATAAAATCAAACTACAACTCGTCAAGCACAAGGTAAGAAATCAGATGTCACTCGCCGCACAAAAAAACTCTTGCGTGAGATGCAAACGTAGGTACAAAGTGAGAGCGATGCTCCTTCAGGTGAGTTGGCAGCCAGGTAAAGCACATTGATTGTTTTCCCTGCTGAAAAGTGTGACCTGTGTGTTTGGTAGCAAAGCCTCGTGTTTTAGGGGAGGAACTTTGCGTTGAGAGCATTTGCTCGTCTATAAAGCTTTTAGCCAGCACAGTGTGCGAGCTGTAAATCTGTCACTCTCTCTCTCGCGCAGTCCCATTATGCCTGCAGCCTGCTTCTGCTTATTAGTGGATTTGTTTTGAAATGGTCGTTAAAACAGCTGCAGAGTTGTATATTTGGCACGTGCTTTAATCGCGTAATTTTCTGCACATGTGAATCTTAGTTGATTGCACGAAGAGCGAAAGAAAATGAGCGCAAGGTTTGTGCCAACCTGAAGGAGTTATGGTCACATGCTTTACTAGCAACAATTTATGGGCAAAGGTTACGAAACTACACATGCATCTAAGTTACTCAGTCTAGAATTTCTGATTTAAAGTCATCCTGGCTTCTAAAATGCGCATAAAACTAAATTCCGCTAGCGGTTTAAATATTGAGCGCAGAATTGTACCCCTCAAGTTAATGTGGTTCGGAGTTATATAGTTATGGAGTACATAAAGGCCATTTTAGGAGCTCTGAGCTCAGAGCTAAACAGTGTGGAGTAGCACAAGGTAACAAGGGCCCAATGGCAATGACCCGAAGGTTACAAGGACTGCTTTTAATGACCAAACTGCAATTGGTTAATTGAGATCTTATCTGTTGCTCTGAGCTGCGCTGTATATGCTCAACAACAACAACTTGCACTTACATAGCGCCCTCCACACAGGGTAGCGTCTCAGAGCGCTTAACAGAGGCAGAGCCCGACTCCGGCCTCAAATGCTCTTGTATTTGAAGCACTTGTTGCGTTCCAGGAGTTCCAAAAGACGCTCGGGGGGAAGCAGCCAGTGTACGACACCACAATCCGAATGGGTCGCTCCATGAAAGACAAAGCCTCGCTACAAGATGACCGCCAGAAGCTGGATAATCTGCTGGGTGAAGTGCGAGATAAATGGGACACAGTGTGTGGCAAGTCGGTGGAGAGGTGAGAGAGTTGAGGCGACGGTGTGAGTGAGATTCTTCAATCGCAAAGACATTTTAACAGCTCTGCCACACAGATACGTTCAAAACTTCACGTGTTGCCTCGCCCTACAAATACACAGTCATTCCACTTCACGGTAAAATCCTTTGAGACGTCTTGATGACGTGATAAGGACCGTTTGGCCCACAAAATATACAGTCAATTCACTTCACAGTATATCCTGCGAAGGTCTTTGAGACGTCTCGAAGACGTGATGAGGCGCTGTATCAAATGCAAACATTATTATTACTGTATTTCAGTTATATTTTAAACGTTAAGAAAAATTGTGGCAAGCTTTATCGAAAAGCTATGTGGTCACAGATAGTTCAGCTTCAGTTTAACAACTGTAACGTTCTCGAGGTTGCGTAGAACGTTGTGAAATTTATAAGTACCGCGTACCCACTCTGCTTGGCTTTTTGTGCTTTTCAATCGCGATTCAAATGTTAAAGGCTAAGAATTGTTTTGTTCTGGTTCTGCTATAGGCAGCACAAGCTGGAGGAAGCCCTTCTATTTTCAGGGCAATTTACTGATGCTCTTCAGGCTCTGGTTGATTGGTTGTACAAAGTGGAGCCACAGCTAGCAGAGGACCAGCCCGTCCACGGAGACCTTGATCTGGTGATGAACCTATTGGACGCTCACAAGGTAGAGTATTATTGGTTGAACAAACCTTGTGCTAACCTTTACGGCATCCTATAACTTGTTCCTTTCATTTTCTTAACTCAGTGTGCTTTGGCATCTTAGCGCTAAAGCTCTGAGCTCAATTATGGAATAACTTTTTTCAGGGCCAGGGACTTGTGGACTTTACTGCAAAAACTTAGAAGTATTGAAACAAAACTGTCTAATTCTCTGAAGGCCAAAGACAACAAAAGAAACTTTGGCCTGTTGCCTCAAGGTAGTAAACCTAAGATGGTGATCGATCACTTTGAAAGTCGGAGCATCTGGGGGTGGATTTTTTGAGACATCTCGAAGATGTGATAAGGTGCTACATCAAATGCAAGGATTATTATTATTCACCAGTGACCTGTAAGGGCATTACAGCAATTACAACAGCTTCAAGCTCGGAATGCCAGTTCACACTAAACATTGCTAATCGCAGCCGTGCACAGTAAATGGGATCACAGCGCAACTGTGTTATAATTAGCTGGATAAAATGTGTGTGTGGGGGTGGGTGGGTGTGTGGGGGCTGCACTGTATATTGAGTTTACATTAAAAGCTTTACAAACCCAGACCTCTCTTGTTAAATTCCACTTAGTGGCTGTAGATTTTAAGCAGCCAGGTTGACGTGCGTTCATTTGCTTCTAGGTTTTCCAGAAAGAGCTAGGCAAGCGCACCAGCAGCGTGCAGGTGCTGAAAAGATCTGCTCGTGAATTGATCGAGAACAGTCGAGACGACACGACTTGGGTGAAGGTTCAGCTGCAAGAACTGAGCACACGGTGGGACACAGTCTGCAAACTCTCCGTCTCCAAACAAACACGGCTTGAGCAAGCGCTCAAACAGGTGAGAACGAATCAGGCGCATTCTAAAACGGGTCAGTCTGCCACTTGAGTTGAGTGTAGAAGCCCCGGAATCAACCAACACTCTTCATTCCCTCTTCAATCAACGCAAGTGGACAGGGTAACTGCGCATTGTCTGCCGACACAATTCCCAAAAGGGTACTGATATGATAACAGTTCCAACGATACAGCTTCGCCTTAAAAGTTGCCATGTTTAATCCGTCAGTGTCTTGAACGGCAAAAAGACTGGCGTTTTTACACTGCTTTTATCATGTCAAAATGTCTCAAAGTGCTTCACGAGGAATTTCTGTCAAGTGTAGTCGGTTGCAGCAGCCTGGAGGTAAACAGACAACTAATCTGGGGGATTACTGGCCAAGACACAGGATGATGCTCCTATTTTCGAGTACAGTCGATTCAATTACGCACACTAATTGCAACCGGCCCCTTAGCAGATAAGCAGACAGTGTAGATAATCAGGCAAAACACAAGTTGACTGTCGGGCTAATGACTAAACAATTGTTCTATCTGGAGTTGTTCTGTAGATTCGTTCTTCCTTTTTCCCCTCTAGGATTTCTCCCTCTTGCGCTCTTCCTCTGAGTTCCATTTAGTTTGTCCTGCTCTCCTGGCCAGCAACGTCCCCCAGATACAGCATTCACTTACTTCACGGCTGTTTGTGGAACATTGCTGGGCAAAAATTGGCTTCTGCATTTGCCAACAAAATACACAGTCACTCGACAGTAAATCCTGGGAAGGTGCTTTGAAACCGTCTGTCAACATGAACCGGCTATATCAAACACAAGGATTTTTAAAAATTAAATTCTAAAACGACAAGCGCCGATGAACTTCAATGTATATTCTACTTATAAATGGCAGATATTGTATGATTTATTGTATGTTAGTCACTAGGCAGATGGTTTTCCGGGTGTAATAACCCCTTCAAAATAATAATAATAATTTGGTCGCTCAATCCACGACTGTTTGTGGGTCACTGCTGTGCGCAATCGGCTGCCGAGTTTCGGCCACAAAATTCACAGTCACTACGCTTCACAGTGAATCCTGCGAAGAGCTTTGAGACGTCTCGAAGACGGGATAAGGCGCTGTGTCAAATGGATTATTATTATTGCTGTTATTGATGTGAAATGAGTTTACTTTGTGGAATTGTATCCCAGGCGGAGGAATTTCGGAACGCTGTCCATGCCCTTCTGGAGTGGCTGTCAGAGGCAGAGCAGACGCTCAGATTCCGAGGGGTTCTCCCAGATGATGTGGAGGCACTGCAGTCCCTGATAGACTTGCACAAGGTGAGCAGATCAGCAAAAACACCACTTGAATTAACGATTCACTTTTTTTTCTATTTCTAAACGTTTTGGTCGGCCTGGCGGGCGTCTGACACACACGGAAACCCATCGCCGTCGCTTAAGAGTCTCCAAACCAAGATTTCCAGTGCCTCCCACCTACACAGGGACATCGTGGGAACACCCTGTGGGCAATTGGTTGCCAGGTTTCGCTTTGGTGAAGCGCTTTGTGACGTTTAAAGGCCCCCCCATCAAATGCGAGGACTATTATTGTTGTTGCAGGACTTCATGAAGAAGGTGGAGGAGAAGCGTGTGGATGTGAATCAAGCAGCTGAAATGGGAGAGGCGATTCTGGCCGTGTGTCACCCAGATTGTGTCACCACAGTCAAACACTGGATCACAATCATCCGAGCTCGATTTGAAGAAGTAAGTAGAAAGGCAGGAGGGCCAATAAACAGATAAAATCAGCTGACATTTAATTAGAGGGAAATAATAAGCGGAGGAAGTGTTTTGAGAAAGCTCTCAAAGAGGAATTCACTTAAAACTGTGGCCGGGAAGATTGGATCATCAACTGGGAAGTTCAAGTTGAAATCCCAGGCTAGATGGACACTGTCTCATACACCAAAGGAAACTGAGCTCTGTGCATCATCACAGAATATTTTGCCCACAAAACTCAGTCACTACACTTTACTTTAGATCCTGTGAAGCGCTTTGAGACGTCTCGAAGACGTGATAAGGCGCTGTATCAAACGCAAGGTTTATTATTATATACGGTAAAGTGAGTTGACTGTATATTTTGTGGGCAAATATACTTAAGAAGTTAGTGTGATGGCCTTTGAGATGCTTTGATGTGATGGTGCACTGTATCAAATGCAAGGATTATTCAATTAGAATTGTAAGAATTTTACGGTGTAAGCGGACTTCCTTTTGGAAACGTTTCTCCTTTGGTGCAAACGTAGCCATTGGAATTCTCAAAATAATAAAATCGAGATTGCTTTCTCAATGTTCACACCTCTCCAGGGCCCAGAGAGAAAGGCAAACGTGTGTTTGAGGTTTTTTTTATTTTTCTTCTTCTTTCATTATTTCTCCCCAGGTGTTAACTTGGGCAAAACAGCACCACCAGCGGTTAGCAACTGCATTGTCAGAGTTGGTCACCAATGCTGAACTATTGGACGAATTATTGACCTGGCTTCAGTGGGCTGAAACTACACTAATTCAGAGAGATCAGGACCCCATGGCAAAGGACATCGAACAAGTCAAAACACTTATTGCAGAACACCAGGTGTGTAACCTGTCTTGTATCCGGTATTACTGCACCTCAAAACTCTGGAACACTCTTCCCGTATCCCTCCACCTCGCCCCTTCCTACCCCATTTTCAGGTCACGCCTGAAGACCTTCCTATTCAACTGTGCCTACGGTCACGTCCCCCACCCCCCACCCCCGTCTCGGAGTCATACTCCTCCACTGTCAAGCACTCTGGGACTCCACCCTGCGTGAGGGGCGCTATAGAAATGCAAGTTGATGTTGTTTAAAAACAAGTAAAGATACACTTGCTGTGCATTCTAGCAGAACCTTAACCTACGCATCTTACTAAAAAGCATGTATCTCCTTAATTCCTCAGCAAAAATATGTAAAAAAAAATCATTTTGGAATAAAAATACATTTCAGATTAAGAGTTTTAAGAGTCTTCAAAAGATACGTGCGAAGTAACTACCAAACACAAATCTAGCAAATAGCACAAAATGTAAATATTAGCATCTCACTTAATTTCCCTCAGATCTTGTATGTTTTTAGCTATCTAATAACTTATTTATGTGATGTACTCCATGAAATAAAGTGGTTAATCAAAACCAGCTGAACAAACAGGTGGTTTAATTAAGTCAAGTCTGAATGTCTTAATGTTATCTGCTGTAATGTTAATTTTGTAATGTGCCTTGAAATGGCTAATACTATACTTTAGCTTCTGTAGGACTTAATGGTAAATTATTATCTTTTGTTAAACTTGTCTTTGCTATTCGACAAAAGTCACTGTTAAACTAACATTTTTAGTGACTTTCTCTGTTGACTTTTCATTTCCTGTTTTAAACTCCGTCTTTCTCTTCCTAGTCTTTCATGGAAGAAATGACTCGGAAACAGCCAGATGTGGATAAAGTAACAAAAACGTACAAGAGGAAAGCTGTAGAACCATCCCACATGCGCGGAAGTAAGTTCGTAACTTAATTAAGGGGTCTGAGCAGAGATGGACAATATCAGAATGCCTTTGGACAATGATTTAGACGTTTTAAAAGTTTGGGCTCTGAAAAGGGAATTGGATAATTATCTGAAAACATATAAAAGAGAATGTGGGGAGAGGTTTTATGGGACTAAATGGAACACTCTTTCTTTCATCAAGTCATCGCTGAATGTGTGAGCTATAGACTTCATGGTTCAAACCACCGCAACTTCTCTATGTTGCTCCCTTTTTGAGATTGAAACCACTTAAATTCTGTTTGATTACATGGTGTTTTTGTGGTTTCAGGGAAGCCTCTGCACCAGTTGGCAAATCCACCTTCGCCTGTTACTGTCCCGTCCCAGACTGAAGCCAAGAATCCGCGGATTAATCTGCTCTCTGGAAGGTGGCAGCAGGTCTGGCTTTTGGCACTGGAGAGACAGCGCAAACTCCACGACTGCCTCGATCGTCTTGAGGAAGTAAGGACTGTCATTTTTACAACTGTTTATTTTTATGGCACTTTCAGGAGGGGTAGAGGGAGGGCAGGGGAGGGGTAAGAGGTGACCAAAGTCAAGGTCGAAGAGGGGGATCTTGAGACTCACTTTGAAGGAGGCAAGGGAGGGGGCGAGGCAGAGGGACTGTGGGATGGAGTTCAAATAACCATTATGCGAACATCATTTTGTCCCCAAAGCATTTATTTAATTCTCCAACTAAACCTTTCGTCTAATTCTAGCTGAAAGAGTTTGCCAACTTTGACTTTGACGTGTGGCGGAAGAAGTACATGCGATGGATGAACCATAAGAAGTCTCGGGTGATGGATTTCTTCCGACGCATCGATAAGGATCAAGACGGAAAGATCACACGACAGGAGTTTATTGATGGAATCCTTCCTCAAGTAAGTCTTCATTATTTTGTGCGAGGAGTTCCTCTTTGAGATGGGGGATTCACGCTAGAGTACAAATGCCTACATTTGGAGATGATAATTAATAAATTCCGATTCTTCATTAAAAAGCCTTGATCAGACCCGCTCGAGATTGAAAATACTGTTAACAAATAGTACAATACCATTCATATTTCAGAGTTTCCCACCAGCAAATTAGAAATGACTGCTGTGGCTGATATCTTTGACCGAGACGGAGATGGGTACATTGATTATTACGAGTTTGTGGCCGCACTTCATCCTAATAAGGATGCCTATCGTCCTGTTACAGACGCTGACAAGATTGAGGACGAGGTACACACTTGCTTCACTTTTACCTACTAAACTGCAGTTGGCAGCTGAGTCCACAGTAACATTTGTCAAAAATGTAAAGTATTTCTTGGTGTCAAGTCAGCCGGGTGTCTGACACATGCGGAAACCCGCCACCATGCTTAACAGTACGCAGCTAGGATCACCCTATCTGCTGGTGCCTTTGTCTTGCACGGTTGACAGGAGTGGGAAGAATCCCTGCTCTCAATAGTTTCACGATAATTTCTAGTTTCGAGTTTAAAAGCTGTCTTGTTTTCCAGGTGACGAGACAAGTGGCCCAGTGCAAATGCGCAAAGCGGTTTCAGGTGGAACAGATTGGAGAAAATAAATATAGAGTAAGTCCAACCGCTCTTTCTTTCAGTCTTTCTAAAATGTAAGCATAGTTTAATATCGTCTTTAATAATTATAATAGTCCTTGCATTTGATATAATGCCATCATCACATTGTCGAAACATCTTAAGGCACTTCACAGGGCTTCCTGTAATTTTACATCAAACATTTTCATTTTTATCTTCAGAAATATTGTTTTGATGCATAAATGTTAAAAATTAAGAACTAATAAAATGATTCTTTGACATGCCCTTAATTGCATAAGTTTGGAGGTAAGTATATAAAATTCTACTTAATTGTAAAATTGGACTAAATTTTTAAATGGAAGTAAATTGCTGTTGAGTCAGTATCAATGTTTCGAGATTAAGGGTGATTCTCTAACGATGTTTTTCCATTTCAGAACACAAAATGTGTGTGTGTGCCACCTAAATTATCAGCATTGGCCTTCTTGAATTACCTTCTTTGCAGCAATTGCACATTTTTAAGTTGTAAACACTCAATAAGCGATCAAGTGTTTCTGAACAGATGACCGTTGCGTTTTGAATTGAAGGAAAATTTGAAGTCTGAAAATCTCGCTGAATATTTAGAGCCACACTTCTAAAATATCCTTTAGAATGTGTTTTGGGAAACCAGGTGTTTTAACCGTAGAAACATAGGAACAGGAGGAGGCCATTCAGCCCCTCGAACCTGTTCCGCCATTCTATAAGATCATGGCTGATCTGTACCTCAAGTCCAATTACCCGTCCTTGCCCCGTATCCCTCAATATCCTGACCTAACAAATATATTCCCCGACCTAACAAATATGTAGAATATTAACACATGCAGATACCCATCACCTAAGAGTTTCCAAACCAGACACATGGAACTGTCCCTGTTGGGGAAAGGAATGCAGACTCTCTCCCTTTAGGTGAGCATCCCTGTCATCAGTCGTGCCCTGAGGTTCTCAGGCGAACAATTGGTCATAATCTGTAGGTTAATAGCTTTGAGGATTCAACGTTTTCCTTCTCTGAACAGGGATTTTAAAGTTTTATTCACTTATATATAAGTTTAGTTGTTAATACAATTAGCAATGAGATAACAAACTGAGTTGCATACCAGATTATTTGGTACGTTAATATTATTAAACTTAATATCATTCCAACAACAAGATTGCATTTGTATAGCGCCTTTCACATCGGGAGGATGTCCCAATTATTCCAAATCATAATTTACATGTACATTGGGTGGTAGGAACCAGTTGTGAAGCTTCTGTATTGCAGATAATGGATATTGTTTCATCTGAAGATGAGATAAAGCATTTGTTGTGTGTGTGTATATATATAAAAATATAAATATTATTATTTATTATACTATATAGAGGACGTAGCTATATATACCAAGTAGCTTTGTTCATAATGAGCCTTGACACATGGAGAAACACATGACAGTGCCTGTTCACAGGCTGTTTGCCCTCAGGGACTATTTTGATCTTGATCTCAGCCAATATCCAAATACGTATTAGAAACCTGGCAGATTTTCCTTTCCCAAACCTAATGGAAGCCCAGTCTACAGCCCCAATTACTCCCTGGGCTGAGATCAGCTACCCTAAGCAAAAAACCGACCAGCTTCTTGTTAATCAAGTCTTGCATCACATCCAGGTTTATTCACTCCAAGCAATTTCTCCAAGAGCTTGCTGATAATACAGGGTGACCAAAAAGTCGTGATAACATTGCAATATCTAATAAGTCTTAAAAAAATGATGATAATTATTAGCAATTATTATTAAAATAAATGGTATCACGACTTTTGGGGCACCCTGTACTATAGATCTGAACCTCTGGAATGTTGGTAAATAAATTAGTAAATTTTAGTAATAATTGCTAATAATTATCATAACTTCTTTAAGACTTATTTAGATACTATGATGGCATACTGAGAAGCTGAATTGAATGGGAATGGACATAGATATGTCGGGATTGCCTGAAGCCTAATAATTTATGTTCTGTGTGTGTTTTTTACTCTGTGCTGCACCGGCATCCCATTGCAATGGAATTCTACTTTTGAATGTATTTGCTACTTACCTCTAAAAAAAGTCTTCTTTCTTTTTCTTCACGTTTTGATGCTCGATGTAGTTCTTCCTTGGAAATCAGGTACAGTGCACTCCCATGTGCTATGTAATGTGTGAACCTCTTGCTGTGTATGTGCAGTCTGATCAGTGCACAAGCAAATCGCTGTCTTTTACAGACCACCCAGAAACATCTCACAGCCACCCGAGCAAACATTAGTATCATACCTAAGAGAAAATTTTCATTCAGAAATCCTGACTCACTTAATTGGGTCCGTTGCCTAAAATAAATATGATTTAATTATTATGACAGTATTTCTCAACATGTACAGGTGGGTTTTTTTCCGCCTGTTAATATTTTGCCTGTTAGTGAGGAGTGGATGTGGGAATGCTTATGTTTTGTATTGCGTATTCAGTATCCGCACAACAACAACAACAATTTGCATTTATACAGGACCCTCGCTAGGGTCTTGGACCACTTAAATCTCTTGATAAGGAAGCTACCTTATGCCATAAAGAATAAGGTGACTTTTCTATTAACTCCTGTTTGAATGGTGGAGATTTTGAGCACCTTTAAATCTGGAGGTCGGATAATATAAAAATATATAGGCAATATATGTGACATAGTTTTAAGCATCCCATAAATATAATGAAATAGCGAAAATGACATTTTATTTTTTGGATGGTTCTATACGATATATTTGCTTTGTGCATCACTATTGTGCTCCTGGAGGAGTCGGGATCTATTCGATGCTAAATACCTTTGCGGGGTGGCTGAGAGAATTCTGGAGATGCTGTAAGTTTTAATCGACAGGAGACTTCACTGTGTTCTGGTTGATCAGTTGGTCAAGATATTCCCGAAAGCTTGTGGATCGATGTACTGCAGTTTATTCTATATACATGAAGATTTACAGTTCGGGGAATGGGAAGGAGTGCCCTTGGCTCAGACTTTTGGATTTGCTTTAACAAACGTGTGATTGCAAGTACTGAATCTTCACGTGTATAAAATCAACGACATCCCACAGTGCTCAGTGCAATGTGGAATCATAACTTCAACAGACAGACTATTTGCATATTTCTATTGGGACTGTACAACTTACACAAGTTCTGAACTAAAAATATTTCTGAAATTCAGCTTTTAACTTCCAGAAAGATCATTATTTATGGTGATAATTTGAATAACTTAATTCAAAAGGTCCCAGCAATTAGGAAGTAAATATCTGTACATGTTTAAATCCCCTGATTGGGATGCTGTACAGTTTACAATTGCACTGTGTGATGTCAGTGTAACTGTGGGCATCAGTTCCACTTGCTGCCTAATAAAGCCACATTCAGGAACACAGTGTAATATTATGTATTTTTGATAAAAGAATTACAAGTATTTATGTGACAAATACTTGTTACCAGATTAATCCACTGTCAGCGAAAATGCAAGCAATCCCATTGTAAGTATTTATTAATGGGAAAATCCGAATATGCTCTGCATAAAAGTGTGCATTAATTCTCTGATGTGGATACATCTGGTGACAGGTTTTTGCCAAGCTATTTGTCAAAGCAAGACTAATCGCCAATGTGGTAAATTGCTGTGACTACTGTGGGTTAGATTGATGCCTGACCTTTAAATATATCTTCATATCTTATAGAGGTGCAACAATTATGTTTACGAAGATATTGTATTAGTTATAATGTCTATGCAAATACTTTTATTATTTCAAGATTATTCACTAAAACATTTCTGTTAATGCCATCAAACACTTAAATAGTTTCTGTGATCAAAGCCTGCAAGATTTAGATTGATTGTAATAATCCTTGCATTTGATATAGCGCCTTATCACGTCTTTGAGACGTCTCAAAGCACTTCACAGAATATACTGCAAAGTGAATTGACTGTATTTTGTGGGCGAAACCTGTATACATTGATTGTTCTTAGCTGCATTTGTTTCTGTTCCATAGAGTGGGCTTCAGTTTTGTGAATTACGTCGCCATTTATTAACCGATTAAATAAATAGTAAAGGTGGTCTAGTTTAAGGATCCATTTTGAAGTGTGCAAGCTGGAAAGAATTAATTAATTGTTGCATCTCTATTCATCTCTTGTTACTGTGGTTGGGAAGAGCATTCATTTCTGCCTTGGAGAAAATGGTTCCCTTTCTTTCATGCCTAATTAATGATACTGAACAGATTCCTGGGGCTTTGGGTTGATTTGTGGTTTGATGAATCTTTAGAAAATAACTTAAAAGAACTTACGATTGCTGAATTCTTTTGTGCATGTGAAAGCTTGTGGCATTTAAGCCTGCATGGCTGATTAAGGCTTGATTCCTAATGTACTGCCACCTTATTCAGAAGATGTTGGTTCATGCTGGGTTTCAGTTCCATTGGGTGCTCGAAATCCTCAGATACCTCACGCAAGTGATCGTGCTTCATGTACGACCCTTACACCGTGGTGTACGTTGGGGATTTTTCATTGCGGATTTGTTTTGGGAGAAATCCCATGATAAACGATGAAAGAAAAGGGTTTTAACGTTAGCGATCAGCACATGATACACCATGGTGAGCCTCTGTATGTGGCTGTGGGAGACAGGTCCATGAGTCACCTGAAATCCAAAGAGTCCACACTTCCCTATGGCTTCACAAGATACTGATCAGCACCTGGGCACAAAGGCCAATTATAGTGCCCTAATTGAGATACACTCACTCAGCACGGACCAGAAATCAGGCCTGCAAACCTCCACCGCCTGCATCTAAGTGAGATTAACAACAAGTCCAAGAATCTCAGCAATCGTCGTTTTTCACCAGTTATTGTTTATTATGTGGGCTTTCTGTCAATTCATCTTAGAAACCCTACACTTCTGATGCAATTTTTGGTGTTTGGTGTACAGTGGGCATCTAGCCTATTTTCTTTTAAAGTGAAGTTAAATGTCAATAGTTTGTTCACAAACCCAAATTTTCTGCCAATAGATTATAGCCATTGCTACTTCATCCAGCCTATGTGGGAAGGATGAGACTGACTACAGTGCAGCCAGTTTGTTTTCTGTGTCTGCACTATTAAATCAACTGAGAATTTTGGCCTTAACTAAACCCCAAAAGTGGCCAAAGTCCAGTGGAACATAGGAATAGGAGGAGGTCATTCATCCCCTCGAGCCTGGTCCACCATGCTATTAGATCGTGGCTGATCTGTACCTCAACTCCAATTACCCACCTTTGCCCTATATCCGTTGATACCTTGGACTAAACAAATATCTATCCACCTCAGTCTTGAGAATTTTAACGTACAGCTTAACAGCGCAAGTGATGAAATTCTTCCCACAAAGCAATCAATGAGAAAATAGTTCACACTGGTGGAGAATTAAAAAAGACAGTGTTGCAATTTGGATTTCTACCCAATATAGTGGCATGCACCTCAGAAACATTACCACAAGGATTTGTTTCAGTGAGAGGCTGATTAACACACAATACAGATTCACAATTTTTGAAAGATAGGGTGAAATTCCCATCTCTTAAAGCTCTAATAAAATACACTACATAGTCATCACCTCTTCGTATTAGATTACAACTTCATGCCCCTTGCATTTCCCCACGTGTGAAATTGTTTTGATCTTAGTACGTGAAAGAATTATTCCATGAACAGTAAATTTACCATTCACGCCCAGATAATAAAAGGGGATGAACTTAGCCCATTCATCAGAACCATGAATACAGTGGCTGAAATAATTTCTTGAATTACATCCGCAATAATCTTAAAGCTAATTAAATTGGGCAAATGGGGCATTTGATTACTTGCTAATTATGAAATGTGATTCGGTTGAAGCGAAGTTTTCCACAGGCACAACAGAAGAAGGAGTTCCCTTTTTTTCCCCCCACATTGCACAGAAAGATCCTTGTATTATTTCGCATTTCTGCGTTCGACAATCTTATTGATGGTGTCGTTTGTTTTCTTTTGGAGCAGAAGATTTACCTTTTTCTTTAAGGTGTTCTCCTCTCTGCTTCTTTCTCGTGTCCCAATGGAGGAACACGGGGCACAAAAACACTTAGCACCTCCCAAACCTGTACAGTCTAGATCAGGCTCAAAGACGTGAGCGACCGCTCTGCACTACACTGTGAGCTGGGCTTCAAAGAGCTTCCTGAACTCGGATATGGTTGAGAAGGAAAGATACCTCTGTCCACTCTCGTGCCACTCCATATTGAACTCGAGCAAATATCGGCAGCAAACTGGAGTCAGTCACTTCCCTGATCCCTCAGCAAGTGAATGCTGTTGTGATCACTTAGAGCAGGAAAACAAAATGACCAAATAAAGTGGAACCTTCTTCGGTTAACCTGTGGGAAACTGGGATGGGAATGACTGGCTTCGCAGGGTTAAGTCTCGTCTGTTTTGTCTGCAGTTTGGGGACTCTCAGCAGTTACGACTGGTGCGTATTCTGCGTAGCACAGTGATGGTCCGTGTGGGCGGAGGCTGGATGGCATTGGATGAGTTCCTGGTGAAAAATGACCCGTGCAGAGGTAAGACCGACAGTAGTGGGGCAATCTGCATTCACTCTGCCACCACCACAGCAACAACAACTTGCACTTGTACATAGCGCCCTCCACGCAGGGTAGAGTCTCAGAGCGCTTAACAGTGGCGGAACCTGACTCCGAGCCGGAGTGGTGGGGGTGGGGGTGACCCTAAGCAATAAGGACCATTAAAGTTGGTTTATACTGAATTTTAACCAAAAAATACCTGAGGTTTTTTTGTTAACAATCAATCAGAGAATGAGCAAGAAACAGAGAAAGGGGTGGAGGAGGGTGGCACAGAGAAGGAGCGAGAGAGAAAGAGAGAGAGACGGCTTTTAGAGATAAAGCGCTCTGGGTGATACCCCACTTGAAGGGCGCTGTATAAATGCAAGTTGTTGTTCCTTTTTTATTTTGTGCGTTAAAACAATACTTTAATGGTCCTCAAGACTAAACCAGCAGTCTTGTGGGTGGGTGCTTAAGTATACCTCTTTGTAGAAGTCAGAGGGGCATGAAAAATCAAATTTGTGAATAACATCGGCCGTACTTTATAACATTCCAGCAAGATGAAATAGTACACCTAAGACATGAACAGAAATTCTACCTGGGTCGGCAGTTACTCTATTTGTGAAGCATCACAGAGACTCTAGAATCTGGCAAATTCTTAAAATATTTCTTAATTTTTCACCAAGTGTTCACCTAAACATTGAGTTGTTAACCTTTACTTGCCACATTTCACCCACAAATATAGTCCCCGTTCATTTTACAGTGTATTCTGTGAAGCACTTTGGGACGACATGATAAGGTGCTATACAAATTCAAGGATTATTATTATATTATTATATTATTTACATAATATATTATATTATTTACAGTATATCCTGTAAAACAATGTGAGACGTCGTCCCAACGTGAACGGTGCTGTATCAAATGTGTAATGATTTTCTTTAAAACATTTTAAGCAAATTTTCTAACTACAAACTTCAAAGTTGAGACTGAATTCAACAACCTGCCATATTCTGCACAAGCAAATACTATATAAACAGAGTGAATGTCACCCCAGGTAAAATTTTCTGCCTAGTTATGTCCTTGGCTTTCTGTTTTCTAATTCTGTTTTCTAATTCTTTACCCTGTTTAAGCTCTTTTATTCACTCCTCTGAGGCTCTGATCTGTTTTTTTGTTTTGAGTGAAGACGAGTTTCTCAATGATGCTCTTGCACATGCATCTAAAATCTGTCAACACAACAACGTTTGTATTAACCTCGTCAATGAATTGGTTCCAGCATTGGCTCTCTGTCCTCATTGTCCTAGATATTGATTTTAATTACGCATATATCTTTTACCTAAAAACCTTTCTCAATCATCCCCTGCCCCGAATGTTAACCCCACACAATGTGCCCTTCAGAATTGCACAGTTAAAAGATCACGACAGACCAGGTTACAGATTCCTCGCCTATAATTAGAACTCATTCAGATTTCCTCTATCAACACTGGTGAAGCTGAAATCATACCTGTGTTCACACTCTGAGGCTTTACTCGAAGACTTACAGTGTGTCTCTCGTGTAAAAACTAAATTGTTTAGAAAATTTGAGGAAATTACTTCAAAGCATCCAAACAGATTTGGTTTTAATCAAATTAAGATTTAGATAAGTTGAATCTCTCCCTCACCGGCATGTCAGTGATTGATTAAGAAATATTTGCTATTAGTGGTCGTGACGGTTGACGGAGCTCCCTTTGAGCTGCCCTGCTAATCAATCACAAGCCTCATCCCAATTGAGACTGTCAGATTTGAGCCTGAGACAGCCCAGTCTCAGGAACGCAAACTTGTGACCTCTAGATTATAAAATTAACAACATTATTGAGCAATGTGCACAATCAGGGTGGCCACGGGAAAGGTTTAAAATTGACCTGAAGGCAACCTTGAAAATTTGGTGTTATACAAGGTGACCAAAAAGTCGTGATATCTACCCTATTATCAAAAAAAATCATTTCTTTAAGATTTATTAGACATTGGAATGGTATTGCAATTTTTTGGTCACGCTATACAACTTGCTGTTTCTGTCAATATCTAACCTTGTGGCCAAGAACAACAACAATAACTTGCACTTATTTAGCTACGCACGTAAAGATTGTTATTTTAATATTGCTTGTTTGGATTTGCTCGTTTACAGTTTGGTTAGAAACCCACTGAATAGTGGCTTCCTATTTATGCACAATGTTGGAACCTCATTGCAGTGCACACCACTCGGCCCTGATTCTTTCCACTATTGTGCCGCTAAATCCATGTTTGTTTTGGGGAGGGAAAGACGTCAGTTTCGAGAGACTGGCCAAGAAGTTGTTGACATGTGCAAGTCCATGGAGTAAATGACTCTGCTCTTTTGCAGTCCTGTATGATTCAGTTTCAGATTTCTCTGTCATCTTTTCTAGTTCACCATCAGGGGAATAAACTGTTACGCTCAGAATCGATTTCTTCGATTTCCAGTCAGTCTCCGATAGGTTGGCAAATCTTCTCTGTCTGTCTCTTCCTCACTCTGCCCTTTTCTCTCTGTGAATGGCTTTATTCCCTGATCGAGATTAATGGACTAACTTCCACTCACACTGCTACAGCCGGGCTCTCAGAATTCACTATTCTTTCAGGATTCCTTTTTTTTTTAGCCGTTTATCTTATTCCTGTTGTCTGAAATCTTTGTGTTTCGCCCACAAAATATACAGTCAGTTCCCTTTACAGTGTATGCTGTGAAGCGCTTTGAGGCGTCTGGAAGACGTGATCAGGCGCTATATCAAATGCAAGGATTGTTATTGACACAGTCCTGAGCTAAACTGCTATTAATAGCAGTTGTTAAAGTGATTCTTTTTTAGTAGAATGTAAGGTTTAGATCAAGTAGAGATTGTGAAACAGAGGCTCAAAAAAAGGAAAGTGTTCAGATATTTTGTCAAGAAGCACCTCGTTCTTCAACTAAATGAAGCAATCGGGGCTAACTTTAGACCTAGTGAGTGTGCCAGAATAATAATCCATCTCAAAGATGGAAAAGGTATAACTATAATAATAAACTGTAGACACTTAAAGCCAATTTTTTTTAGGGGGGGGGGGGTTTGGCTCCCATTCCCCTCCCAGCCGTAAGGTACGTATCAGAGTCATAGATATCAAACAAAGCATTTTTAAAGCATTTCATCCGTTTGAATTGATGCCTGGAGCCAAGCTGTAAAGTGTGTTTGCCAATTGCACTAACTCCCAGTTGCATGTCAGCTACTCACTGATTGATTGCTGTATGTTCCTTCCTTTCCCCTGAATTAGTTAAATTACAATAAAACAGTTTGTTCGATTGTTCAGTTCAGTAGGAGTGGATTTCAGAACCTGAGGGGCTTTTTCATACGGCTGGATCATTTCCAATTTTTTAATGGGAACCACAGATAGGTGATGTTAAACTGGATCATAACGGACATCTGTGACCAGACTGCTTTTCTGATGATATTAAATCTTTTGGGAACTTTCATTTAGAATTTTGTTTAGAGCGAAGGCTGGATCAAAAAATATAATCAATATAAAATCCATCCATAAAGCAATATATTTTGTGAAGCGCTTTGAGACGTCTCGATATCAAATGCAAGGATTATTATTATATTATTACTGCCCATGGTAACACAATAATTCATCTTAGGTAAAAGTAATAATAATCCTTGCAGTTGATACAGCACCTCATCACATCTTCTAGACGTCTCAAAGCACTTCACAGAATAAACTGTAAAAGTGAATTGACTGTATTTTGTGGGCGAAACGCGGCAACCAACTGCGCACAGCAGCGTCCCACAAACAGCCGTGGATTGAGTGACCAAATTATTATTATTTCATAATACAGCTCATTCCCGGCAGGGCGAAACTTTGGGCAAGTTTTCTTACCCCACACGCCTGATGATAATCCCTCAAGAAAAAAAACAATAATAATTTAGTCACTCAATCCACGACTGTTTGTGGGACGCTGCTGTGCACAAATGGCTGCCGAGTTTCGCCCACAAATACAGTCAATTCACTTTACAGTATATTCTGTGAAGCGCTTTGAGAAGTCTCGAAGACGTGAAAAGCGCCTTATCAAATTATTAGATTATTATCAGGGATTATTAGAATTATTATTATTGTCCCTTGTTAAGCAGTGATATTGAGGTCACTGCGAAGCTGACAGCTGATTCATCCCTCCACAAAGTGCAGCAACGTGCATGGATAGAAGAAATATTTAAAAACTTTGCTACGGGAGTGACAGACACGAGGAAGGGAAAAGAGAATCAAATATGTCCTGCATTGAGGATGCTGGATGAAACTCATCTCCGTATTAGACCGTATTAAAATTCAGCCTCAGGTTCCGAGTTTGTTGCTTACCTCCACTCCTACTATTTAGCGCCACGTGTCTAACTGGATTGCCTTCCATAGTGCAGCACTCGTTTGTCCTTCTGTTAAGATTGACTAACTTTGCTCTCGGCTTGTGGTTCATAACTCTGCACTGCACACTCCGGCTTCTAAATAACAGTGTCTGTTCAGACTTCAATATGGTGATCTCGCCTTGTTGCGGTTTCTACCCCATGAATTTGAACACTTGTTCCATCGTTCGGGGCTAAATGTTTGTCTCTGTGTATGTATGTCTTTCTTTAAAGTCATGATAATATTGTATGTTTGGCAAATAACCGTGTTAATCGTATCCGTTTGAGTTAATTCCATGCTAATTCCATTTTCGATCAATGTCGTCAAAATTCTCCAGAAGATTTATTGTGTTTATAACCCCCACAGTTTCAGCAGGTGGAGAAACAACAGGGTTTCAACACCTATTGACTTTTGTTAGATGAGGTTTTGAGCTGTTACGCAGACACATATTTTGTGAAGCATTGTGTATCTGGATGGTTTTGTGCTTGTGGGAAAGTGCATTGACGTCCGTAGTCGTAGGAGAAAACCTATTTTGTGTCCTTTTTTTAACTGTCCAGCTTTTGTGTTCGTGTCAGTATCATCATCCATGACTGATTCCATTTCTACTCAAAGTAGCTAGGATCTACCATTTGATGGTGAATGAATAAATGACATAATCATTTCTTTGCTATTTTTGCCCACAACCAACCCAGTTGGGAACCCAGGGTGTAACCACTAGGCTAACTGGCCAACTGCATTTGATTGTGCTTCGAATTTAACAAACCACTTGACATTATCTGCCTGAACGTGTGGTCCTGTTGTGAAACAAACTGGGTCTAACGGCTCTGCTTGGGTCACCAGTTGCATCGTAATTTACATGATTGTTTTGTGTCGCGATATGTAACGTACGTTGCTGATGACATCAGTTGTCCGTGAATTAATTCCGGTCGGTTCCCTTCGCTTTTCAGCGCGCTGGTGCAGAGCTCAAAGTATCGTTGTGTTTCCCTTCTGTTTGTCTCCTTCAGCGCGGGGCCGAACGAACTTAGAACTGCGGGAGAAGTTCATCTTACCAGAGGGAGCCTCCCAGGGCATGGCCGCCTTCAGAACCAGGGGACGTAGGTCCAAGCCTTCCTCCAGGGCCGCCTCTCCCACTCGGTCGAGCTCCAGTGCCAGCCACAGCAACCACAGCTGCACTTCGATGCCAACGTCACCTGCCACTCCAGCCAGCGGCAGCAGGGTGAGTCAGCTTTGTGTAAAACCCAGGCCACTTAATCCATTTTAATCAATATATCATTAATCAATCAATCCTCCAGTATTACAACTGGCAGAAACCACAACAAGGCGTGGACAACTGATAGAATCGCTTGGATGAAAGGATTTTGATATTATTGCAATTGTTACTTTCTACAGGGTGACCAAAAAGTCATGATATCTACCCTGATATCTGAAACAAAATATATATATAATCATCATTTTTATTCAGACTTATTGGATATTGTATTGGTGTCACAACTTTTTGGTCACCCTGTATAAACTGACTGTGTTATCTGTCTTCTCTGATCTCAAATGACATGATCACATTTCATGTCCTGTCCAAGTTCGGAAAGCTCTGTTTCTACCTTTATACCAACCTTTCAGTTCTTCTCAGAAACAATTAACTAAATAAAGGACAAGTTTATTCAAGACGTAAATACTTCTCCCATATCGGGGAAGGCTTGCTCGCTCTGCTTCCCAAGTCATCCACACCCATGCTTTAGACTTTTCTCTGCTTTTCTTTTCCAACTTTTGCATTTTACTGCAGACCTTAATATTAATATTAAAAGAAAATTAAGAAAATAAGCTGTCAGGAACCTGAGCTGTTACAGCTGGGAACCTCTCAATATAATACTATGAAGGGAATGTTAATGACACTTGGGAGCTGTGCCATGTGAGACAGACCGACGAGCTGATCCAAACATCTACAAAGCTTGAGTAACAGCACCGTATTGTACAGAAGGTTATAATTGGCCTCACTTGTGTATTTTTTTTTCTTTGGAGTGATTATACAGGTATTATCAACATAGACGTCAGGTGCTGACGTTGACAATTAATGGAACAGCTTCCGGTGTTCTTTGTAATACTTCATTCGTATTTGAATGAAAAATAAAAACTTTGGGGCTTCCAAATTGGTCTTCGATGTCAAAATGTCATCACGGAGATGACAAAGCCTGTGTGACTTGATGCCAGTGATATTGATGAGTCAGTCAGCATTTTGTTAGTTGAGTTATTTAACCCCCTGCCACCTTCATGGCCAAATGTCCACATCCAGGAGAGATGTGTAATAATAAATAATATATAATATATGTCGAGTGTATTGTAAAATTGAGGCGGGGTTCATTCAGGAGTGAATTTGATGGGCCTGTAGACCTTTTTTTTCCCCCCCCCCCACTCTTTCCCATCTGTCTACATATGTGATCTGAAATGTTATGGGAGAAAAGCTATTGCAACGACAATAAATGACATCTGTATAGCGCTTTTCACGTCAGGAGGACGTCCCAAGATGCTGGACAGTCAGGGATCCACACCCGAGCTTCTACTCCTTCTACTGAGTGCAAGTCTTCTGAGCAGACTTGTACTCAGTGGAATTTTGAGCTTCTGATGTCAAAACTCTTAACTCGTGTCCTATCATAAGCACCTGAGATGTCAAGTTCAATGGATCACACGCTAGAGAAACAGGAGGACATGGCCTGGGATCACAACCAATCCACACGTGTTCAATAGTGAGTTGTGAGTATTCACAACTAAATGCTCTTTACACGGAAGAGTAACAGGTGTATCCCGTAACTCAGCAACAAACACGAGTACTTCAACAACAACAACAACAACAAATGACATTTACACAGCGTCTTTCACGTCGGGAGGACATCCCAAGGCACTGGACTGACAGGGATTTTGGACCTGAGCTGGGGGTTTGGGATCGGTGGGGTGGGTGGGTGGGTGGAGGGCTGGGAGGGTAGGGGTAGGTGATGTTTTATTCTGGTAGATTCATTTTAAAATGGTGATATCACCCTCGCAATGGACTGGAAAAAATGTCTGGAATTTCTAGGGCACAGCAACGACCAAGGAAGTCCAAATTTAAACTGCAGGCATCTGAATTCCTCTCCGTTTATATCGTTTTTGTAGCTGCAAAGTCTGTGGGTAGTTTGCGAGCTACAGACCTATGAAGACTATTCTTGTGCGAGTTTAAAATCTGGAACTGACCACAGTGTAATATTCCAACGATCATTGCATGGGAGAGTTGGGAATTTATTGGGAACACTATTCTGCCTATGATTTTCTCCCTTCCTCTCCTGAAGGTCTGGGTTAATGCTGGGATACAGGCCTGTGAGGTATTCTTTGGTACTTTGGCATGTGTTCGTGCTTCATGCGTGAGCTTAAATAGACATGTTATTCACCTATAATGGGTGTAACAGCTTCATACAAGTATAGCTACGTACAAGGCTGTATGTTGCCCTTGAAATGCCTAAATGCATTTACACTGCAGTTTCTTGTGTTCCATTTGATAACGTGACATTAACATGACATCCACTTATCCATTTATCATTTGAAAATTAACCGAGGGTATATTATTATTTGCAACTTTTACCATTTCATTGTGTGGAGTTTTTAATTTCTGTTGACATTTGTTCCAATCCTTTTTCTGCTCTCCCCCCCCCCCCCCACTCCCACCACCAACCCCCACCCTTTTGATTCCTTTGGTTCATTTCATTCCATTTTCCATTTCATGTCTAACCCTCTCCTCCTTCCTCCCCCTCCCCTCCTCTCCTATCCATCTCGCAGACACCTCAGACCTACACACGTTGTTATGACAAACCTTGGTTGACAAACAGTAAAGCCTCCACTCCCACTAAGTGCCTAGACTTTCATGTGTTCCAGATCCCAAGCATTGAGGTACAGTATAATACCTATAAATAGCTAATGAAAGGAGAGACATTTGACATTTTATAGACCAATGTTTAGTGAGTAAATAATCCTTGCATTGATATAGCACCTTTCACGTCAGGAGGACATCTCAGCTCCACAGGATTTACTGTAAAGTGTAGTGACTGTGTGTTTTCTAGGTTAGTAACATGAGTATCCAAAGTAAATCCATACAGTTTGACTTCTTGATAGAGTGTGATCACCTTACTTTGTATTTATCTTTGAGACTGAATATGTTTGATTTTGATTATCAAATTTCATAACATTTTGCATCAGAAGCCATGTTAGGAGAGATCATCTCTTTAAATGCCTTTATTATCATCACCATCCTGCTCATCTGATACAGTATAAGATAAGTTATAAGTTAAGCAGATTTTACTCTTTATCAAATGTGCAGGAACATGTAAAGTATTAGACTGGATAAACCACAAAAAAGTCTTTTTATTTCCATATTCAAGAAAATTGAGATATTTCAACACAAAATTACATTTGTATGGCGCCTTTTATGACTTATACATTAGCAATATTTGTCCTAGAAGCGAATTTTGGTCTTAACTTGACAAAATACTGGACTGAAAAATTCTTGCTGCTAAATTACAACGATTTTTATCACTGTGATGACTTTATTTCCTTTGCTCCTGTGTTTGGGACTACACACGAACAAGTAACTCACTGTGTAAACTGCATTGATGCTTTCCAAAACAACAAGGTGCTGTATCGAAGCCAAATATTGTATTTTATTATATTATTCTAAATACACTTCATCAGATTTGCTCTATGTAGTGGTAAGAGGAATTTCATATTTGATATACCATCACTCTTCCTTCTCTTAGCAGCGTTCATTTAGAACATCACGAGTGTTTGTATTTTTAAACCAGGTAACTCCTGTGCAGGGCAGTAAACTCCGGAGACCGAGCTACCACTCCAGTAAAGTGTCTCTGACCGGTGACAACGGCAACACAACACCTGTCACCTCCAAACCCAGCCGAACTGGTGAGTAATCAGAACATGCATCAACACCAACCAGCAACAGAAGCAGACCTGCGATAGCAGAGCCACACAATGTTGAGCCGCATTCTAACGGCAAACCAACCACTTAAGCGCTCCGAGACGCCGGTCGGCCTGCAGGGCGTTATGTAAATGCAAGTTGGCGTTGTGTTGTTTTTTTTTTGTTCGCGGTTGCACTGAAGTTCTATCACAATGAAGGGAAAGAGCAGGCAATTCAGGTTACGGATCGACGGGCTTCATTGTAGCAGTCGAACCGGCCGAACCTCACCCTGTCTGTAACGAGTTGAATGGCCTCCTCACTGTGGCGCGTTTCTGATTGGAATGGAGGGTTTATTAGGGGTGAGTGTGATTTATCGGAACGTCGAGAGCTGATGGTCGCTGATGGGCTGTTTCTCCTCGGCAGATCCCAAGAGAACCCCAAGCCGGCCGAATAGCCGAGCCGGGAGCCGGGCCGGGAGCCGGGCAAGCAGCCGCAGGGGCAGTGACGCTTCGGACTTTGACCTGTTAGAGACGCAGTCGATGTGCTCGGACATCTCGGAGTCCAGCACGCCCGGGTCCCACGCTGCTTCACGAAGAGGATCCACGAAACCTTCCAAAATCCCAACCCCCTCCAAGAAAACCACAGCGACGAAAAACACAAGCACTCGACGATAATACGAGACACAGTTGGGAAAAGATAATCACTTCGCGCGCGCACACACACACATTCTCTTTGGAAGCCACCAGATGTATGATATTCTACAAAAAAAAAGTACTGTTGTTAACCATTGTAAAAGATAATTGTGGTCTAATGCTGCCTTATCATTGTATCTTATCTGTTTTTGTTTTTGTAAGTTAAAAGATCTTCATGTGAATATTTATGTAGATAAAAACACCCACGTTCTGATCCTGCGACTTGTGTGGCTTAACAGGGATTTGAAAATGCTTTTAAAGAGAGAGAAATTTAAAAGCGTTTGTGTTCCAATGAAGACTTAAACTACTGCTTTTTTTTAAAATAAAAAAAAACTTGCATTTAAGATAAGACCCTTTTAAACAAAAAAAAAAGACTTGTGTCGGCGAGTCGGCAAGATGCTGCAGTGTTTGTTTAGAAATCACGATACCTCACAAAGAATTTAAAATGGGAAAAAAAAAGTGCTGTACAGTTTTACTTATTTTTAAGATTATTCGTTTGTTTTTTTGCCTGCTGAAAGTTTAGCAAATAATTATGACAAAGTGCACATGCCAGTTGTAAAAGACTGTTGCTATCTTGTAAGCGGTATAAAGGACACTTTAACAGCAGCTGATGTTCGTTAAACGGCCAAAACCAGCAGTTGCTAGCGAGGCCTTTCTCTCTCACTTTTTTATGCTGCTTTACGTTCATTTGAACTGACCACTGGGGCTATGTGAGCAACGTATTTATATTCTATGGATAGCTAGTCTGACCATGTCGCTGTGTGATTCTCCGACTGAAACTGAGTTAAACATTCATTTTTTTGTATTCAGAACAAATGTGCTTGCAGTAATTTAAATGAAATATTAAGTACTGCGTTTTTGTCCTTGTGGTTCATTAACTGAAAGAAGTGGCTGGATATTTTCCATTGAGCCTGACATTACATTACACTTTCCTAGTGTCTGTGATTCTGGCAAACACTGATAATAAATTATTATTATTATTATTATTATTATAATCCTTGCATTTGATGTAGCACCTTATCACGGCTTCAAGGCGTCTCAAAGCACTTCACAGGATGTACTGTATAGTATAGTGACTGTTTAATTTGTGGGCGAAACGCGGCAGCCGATTGCACACAGTTGGTACTCCCAACTGCTGGTCAATCTGGGCAAACTAATACTCAATCCAAGCATAGAATTTACATTCAATTTATGCCAAAAGTCTGAGTCAAATAATTTTAATCTGGTCAATTAAGATTCCTCTTAAATTGGTGTGCAGATCGCAAATAGAAGAAATTCGATGAGAAAAGTTGATACTTTTATTTGAGCGATTACTGGTCAGGACACCAGGAAAGAGAAACTCCCTTTTTGAATTGAGCCTTGGGATCTTTAACATCCACCTGGACAGGTAGATGTGATCTTGGGTTAACAACAGCAGTAAATTACATTTGTATAGCGTCCTTCACGTCAGGAGGACATCCCAAAATGTCCTGACGTCTTTTCGAAGGACAATCCCTCCAACAATGCATTGGAAAGTCATCTTAGACTATGTGGGTTGCAAGTCCTGATGTGAGTCTTGCACCCCACAACCTTCTGCTCGGAGGCAGACATCCAGCTGAGACTATCCAGAACTCTACAGTCTGTGACCTCTGCTGCACCAGGTTGCAGGAGCCCATGACACCCATCCTCACTGGGCTCCAGTGACTCCCAGAGTGGATTGTATTAACGATCTCACCTGCTGTTAGTGTTGACTGTTCTGCTGATTATCTGCTGAAAATATCCAGATTCAGCAGAACGAGTCTGCATTAACCATCATCTCAAGTGCGCTCATTCCCATTGGGAACGTGAATTGGTTCTCTTCTGCAGGCTTTGGTTTCCAACATGCTCAGTGAGATAACAGACGACAACAACAACTTGCATTTATATAGGGCCCCTCACACGACAGTGTCCCAGATCCTCTTGTACCTCGAACATTGTTCTCTGACAAATATTCTGCATTCAATTTATCTAATGCAGGTGTGCAGGAACACAGGTGGGCTAGATCCCTCTGCCTCCCTGCATCCTGAATTGCTATTTGTTAATGCTCTTTTGGCAAACAATGCATCAGCAAGTGTTTCTTTGGACAATTTGGGCAACTTTCCATTCCCAGTGGTTGTTTCAAACTTCCTCCCGTCCCAGAGATTCATACTACGCCTTGGGACGTCCTCCCGACGTGAAAGGCGCTATACAAATGTAATTTGTTGCTGTTTTCAATAAATTTCAGGCCTTTTAAGAAGCGCAGAGAATCTTTGTTTAAAAAAAAAGACATTGTTTGTTCCTATTTTCATTTAATCCCGATTAACCAGACTCTGCAGTCTTATTTGTCAAAAGAAATTGAGTTGAGATTATTTTGTAGATATGAACACTAGGCGGTGCCAAACTCCTCAGTCTCAACCCTGCTGCACTCGACACAGGATCCATGACACTGCAAATAATATAACAATAATCCTTGCATTTGATATAGCGCCTTATCGCTGACGTCTCAAATCGCTTTACAGAATATTATTGTAATGTGGAATGACTGTATATTTTGTGGGCCAAACGCAAGTTGTATAAATGCAAGTTGTTGTTGAGTGGGAGGAATCCTTGCCCCCAATGACTAGTTTGCCCCTTCAAAATCCTGCCAATAAATCAGACTGACTTGCCTGCAGTCCCGACTGGCTAAGAAATGGGATCACTAAAGACCATCTCAAAGGATTCACTCAATTCGTTGACAAACATGTCGCACGTCAACAGTGAAGGTTCCCTTTTGACTGCAGCAAGCCTTTAGCTAAGTCTCAGCTCAAAAGTTTTTGGGTCAGGAACATTGTGAATCTGTATCTAGCTTCAAGGTTCGGTCGAAGAAAGGCAACCAATGCGGCTTATATCAATGAAGACCATATACAACAGACGCAGGCCATTAGGGGGTTTCACTGTCATTGTTTCTTTCGTGGTGTTGAGTTCCCTGTAATAAACAGCTGAAGAACCAACCGTTGTGAACTCTTCTGCAAACACTTCTGCTGATGTGAAGTATCCATCGCTTGCCACCCAGCCACATGTAAGAGCTATGTTGAACCACACTGTAATCACTTCAAAATGGACGATGGACGAAAGCGTACAAGGGCTTCCAAAGCAACGATATTCTTAAGAAGAGAAAACCCCAGTAAGGGACGTGAGGGAGATGAAGGAATGGTCAGAGAAAGCCTGGTCAACGGCTGAGATGTCAGTGAAGGAGAGATCTCGGATGCTGACAAGGTCAAAGGCATTGGTTGGGTGTAGAGAAGGAGTTTAGGCAATGGGTGAGGTTCAGGCTGGGGAGGGAGGGCAGGGGAGGAGAGGGCGCAGACAGGCAAGATGAAAGAGGTTGAAGTCGCCTAAAGTAAGATGACGCTCACAGCAGAAGCTCAGGAACAGTTGGAGGCAGGAGATCTCAGCAAGAGAGGTACTAGGACATTTGAGTCAGAGAACAATTTTTTTTAATACTTAAAATCTAAACTTTTATCAGATTTGGCAGCCGAGATAGGCAAGGAAAGACTATTACTGCTGCTGCCTCACCCATCCTGTTTGCTCCACAACCTCAGTTCCATTCTTTGCTCTGACCGGAGACTTGTGTTGTCAGTGGACATGGGGGAGGGGGGACTGTCTGTCCCAGTTGTTAATCACAATGTGATAAACATCAGGCAATCAGCCTGACTTTAGACCACCTTGTCCTAAGATCAGTTTTAAACCTGCATCTCCTTGGGACGTGAGAGCCCCAATACAAATGTAATGATAAATAAATAAATAATAATCACGTCGCCGAGACGTCTCAAAGCACTTCACAGAATATACTGTAAAGTGTGGTGACTGTATATTTTGTGGGCAAAACGTGGCAGCCAATTGCGCACAGCAGTGTCCCATAAACAGTCGTGGATTGAGTGACCAATTTTTTTATTTTTTTTTGGAAGGTTTATTACCCCCGGAAAGCAATCCGCCAAACAACTAACAAGCGGGTTCCTGCTTACTGCTAGGTAAACAGGCGTGTGGAGTCAGGAAACTTGCCTAATGTGATTTGATGTTATTGTTGGAACACAAGTGAGTTAGCCTGATCTGATCCCATTTGACACAATAACTGACAGAAGTATTTTTTTAATCAGTTGGATTCCATAAAGACAGCAGGCATATGTGCACAGATTTATTACACATATATATATTCAGATAAGACGGAAAGAGAGAGATGAATATAAAAGTTCCCCATAGTTACTATTCTTCCTGCTGGAGATAGATATTTAGGGTCACAGAATGTGTTTCTGGAGCAATGCTAACTGATATTTACCGTTCTCTGTGTCCCATATAATTTTGCGTAGTTGATTAATGTTTGTATCTGCGGGCTTTCTAAGCTAGAAGAAGCGCTGTAAAACAAACACAGTTCGGTTTGAACTTCAGGGAAACTTGTAAAACAATTTCAGCACTCGAATTCCAAACACGTCGAATCCACACAAAAAAAAAGTTTTGAAGTAAAAAGCGAAAATGCCCCCGAATCGAGCTGCCGTGAAGTGAAGAAGCGGCTTTTAAAGCGAATAAATGAAAGGGTTAAGCTTATTTTAAATGACAGGCTGCATGGGAGTATGAATATGGTCAATGCATAACCTCAATGTTCTGTGAATATGCTGTGATTAGTCTATATATAGTCAGGATGGCTCAAGTCTGGAGCATGGCCTGGGGTTGTACCTATCATCTAGCAACAGCCAAACCAGTTAGATAGCAGAAAACCCAAGGGGATTCAGCCTGAGTCACTTCAACAGTCTGCGACTCGATAAATACAGCCTCTGGAGTCTTAAGTACAGTCTGCAACCGAATTCCACTTCTCCGATTTTCAGAAAGGAATTAAAACTTATGGATCTCTTTAAGCTTAGCAAATCTCCACAGTAAAACTTTCTGCAGATTTTTTTTATTTCATCCGGCCATCTTTCGACATAAAGGTTTATATTTAAGCGAGGCATTTTTTGCTTTTTTTCGTTACCACAATTCGGATTCCTGCTGCCGTCTAATTATGCGCTTCTGAACAGTTACTTTTTTTTGGGTGGGGGGTGGGTGGGGGGGAGGGGAGGGGAGGGGGGAAACAATTTTTTGATGCTTTTAAAAGTACGGCTTTGGCTCTAAACGTTAAATGAGATAAACCCAATCGAAACAAAGTGAAGGTATTGGTTATGGCAAGACTGAGGAGATGTAACAGGACAGATTTTTCTCTGCTCTGTTTGTTGTTACTGTTCGTGGATCTGGTGAATGGGAGTCTGATGAATCAGCATCATTCAAACTTCATCCATCGGAGGCTGAACAGCAGGGAGAGACGGGAGATGCAGAAAGAGATCTTGTCTATTCTGGGTTTGTCAAGGCGTCCGAGACCTCTGCTCTCCTTCAAACGCTCGGCCTCCGCCCCAGTCTTCATGCTGGACCTCTATCGGACAATGGCCAGTGAAGAAACAGGCAGAGTGAGAGGGGCTTCCCTGCCTTTCCACATGCTCCCGAGTGCTCATCACAGACCCCTGGAGGAGAGCTTTCTCAGTCAAGCAGATACCATTATGAGCTTTGTTAATGGAGGTAAGTTTCAAAACCAAACAGCATTGTGTGCATTACACTTTGGAAAGTCTATACGTTTCGTTGGAAAGACGACATAGATTTATTTTGACCTCTTGTTCGGTGAGGTCCTTGCATTTGATATGGCACCTTATCACATCTTTGAGCCATCTCAAAGTGTCCCTTAAGGGCATCGGAATACTTGGCTGCCACTTACAAAATATACATTCAATTCACTTTATGGTGAGTTCCGTGAAGGGCTTTGAGACGTCTTGAAGAGGAGATAAGGCACTGTATCAGATGCAAGGATTATTTTATTATTATTATTAAAACCAAACAGTGAGATTTTACTGAATTTAGTCAATGCTGCGGGAAACATTTCTGTGACATGTGAAGTGTATGTGATCTCTGACAGTGCATTAAATCCATGTACATTTCCATTTGTGTCAGCTCACTGAACAGTGACCTGTCGTCATGAGCTCTTGTAAATGGGTTTGTGGCAAGCGATAAAGAAAGGACTTCAATATAAAAGGTAAATGTTTCGAAGTTTATTTAACTCCAGGATTGTTCACTTCCTTGCGGAATATCATTCAGTGTAAATGTAGAATCCAGCTCTACACTGAGAACGAGAGATCAGAGCTTTTCATTATTTTTTGCCTCTTTAAAGTTTTTATTTGTGTTCACCATCCTCTTACTGTTACCCTAACAAAATATAATAATACAAAATACGATCTTCAACTGGCTGCCGCCTTTTGCCCACAAAATATACAGTCACTGCGCTTTCCGGTATATTCTGTGAAGCGCTTTGAGGCATCTCGAAGATGTGATAAGGCGCTATATCAAATGCAAGAATTATTATTATTATAAAGTCATACGTCAGCTGTTATGGTGCTCTCTCTGGTCAGGCCCACTTGGAGTATTGTGTATATTATATTTTATATTTATTTATTTCTTGCCGTGGCATAAACTGCACAGCCCCAGGTCCTGGAGCCAGTGCAGAGAGCATAGGTTTAGGGTTGCAGTTCTCTTCTTGTGCCTCTATATGTCTAGCCCTATCGACACGGCTTTTACCATAATACCAAACACATTGCCCCCTTTCTTATGGTTTGTGGGCCTCATTTTCCTGCATTTTATTCACCCACTGTTGCTGTTCCTTGTAATTAGAACATGGGTTCGGATGGAGAAGGTTCTTTGGCTCATTTGATCTCAACTCTTCCAGAATCCCAACCCTACCATCTGCCCAATACAGCATCAAATAGGTCCAGAGTCCCAGTCTCCGTTCTTCTTCCTGGTCACCTGTTCCAGCTGTTTGACAGCCTTCAGCATAAAGAGATCTATTGGCCCAGGTTAACATTACTTTGGGCTATGATGCTCAGGTTAGTGTCTGCTGACATACTGTTTGTGGGACGCTGCTGTGCGAAATTGGCTGCCATGTTTCGCCCACTAAATATACGATCCATTTTACACTTTGTATTCTGTGAAGCTCTTGAGATATCCCTAAGATGTGATAAGGCGCGATATTAAATGAAAGAATTATATTTATTATTATCCAATGCTTTGGTTCCCAAGAGAAGAATGACTACTTGAGGAAAGTCCTGGCGAGTGCATCAGAAATTTCATTGCGTCAGCCTTTAACCCCAGTCCTAACAGATGAAGAAAATGTATCTCACCAGCTCTTTCTTCTTTGTTGCACAAGAACATAAACCATTGTGACAATACTGAACATTTAGAGGGAAATAATCAGCAATGAATTGCCATAAAACCCAAGTCCCAGTATAAGGTAATCCCAATTCTGCCTGAAACTAATAAGACAGACATTTTTATTCTTAACTAAGAAATGTTTGTATCTCAAAGCTACAGGGAGATGTCAGTATTTAAAGAGTTCATTTGAGACTTGCATTTTATTCATTTACAATGTCATTTAGAACTGTGATTTTGAAGATGGAATAGTTAACAGTTTGATTTTCCAGTCACTTGCTGATGGGATATGAAGGACCTTTCCTCCTTTAAGACCCATCTCAAGACCCCCCTCTTCGCCCATGCCTTTGGTCACCCTCCAGCTCAGATGCGGATCCCTGACTGAGCAGCACCTTGGGAGGTCCTCCTGATGGGAAAGGCGCTGTGTAAATGTAATTTGTTGTTGTTGTGGTTTCTGGATTGGCTTTTGGTGGGAAAACACCGACAGCTCAGGTCACAAGTCCTTGGTTGCTCACGTCTCTGACTGGACGATTGTAGGAACTTATCTTAGGAGTTCCCATCTGATAATTTCCTCTTGATTGCTTCCTGAGGGAAAACAACTATTCAAACAAGAAAAAAAAATCTCCAACAATTTGTCTGGATTTATTTGATACCAGTGGGACCCTTCAGTGCAAGTGCCAATATTAACATGATTGGCTGAGCACTCGTGGAAAGATGACCAAAAGCCTGGCCAAAGAGGTCTTCAGACAGACCTGAAAGGCGGTGAGGGAAGAGGCAAAGTGAAGGGACTCCAGGATGGAGTTCTAGAGTGTGGGGGTAGATAGGTTGAAACCTCAACCACTGATAGTAAGATACAATACAATATAAAATTAAGATTTGTATAGCACCTTCCACATCAGGAGGACGTCCCAAGGCGCTATGGGGCAGGGTGGGGAACATGAAGTAGACAAGTGCCTGAATGCAACAACAACAATTTGCATTTATATAGTGCCTCTCGTGCAGGGTAGTGTCTCAGAGAGCTTATTTGGTTAAAGTTAATTTGGTTAAAGCTTGGATTAGAAACTATTCTGATAAAATGTTTTTTTTTCTCTCTCTTGAATTTCATTTCACACCTCCAGCACCGGTGATGCTTTCCTTCAACACTCAGACCAGAAAGGCTTTACGACATAACTGGGATTCATTTAATTAATTCATCTTATCGTACAATTCCTGCGAACTGCCGAACACGGTTCAAATGTGTTACTCCAGCCTATCCTGGAGCAATGTGGTTTGAGCACGGTAAAGATAATTGGTAACTTACCACTGCACTTCACAATAACAATCCGTGAGCCATCTCAACGATGTGATAACGTATGTAGCAAACGCAACGATTATTATTATTATTAATAACGCCAATAAGAACAGTGCTATCCAGAGAAAAATGGTTCATTTAAATGAGCTGCTTTTGTTCGCTGTTCTCAATCTTGTTTCCTCCTTTCAGTTGCAATTAGAGTCTGAAGTATGAAGAGACCTCATGCAAGCAAAAAGCAGCGCTCGAATTTTGAGGTCGGACTCCGCCACTGTCAATCCCTCCGGGACTCTACCCCACGTGAGGGGCGCTATATAAATGCAAGATGTTGAGCTAAAACAGAAGTCGCTGGGAACGCTCAGCAGGTCAGGCAGCATCTTGGAGAAAGGATAGTGAGTTAAAGACCCGAAACGTTGAGTTTTACTTTCCTTTCACTGTAGACGCTGTCTGACCCGCTGAGTGTTCCCGGCAACTTCTGATTTTGTTTCGGATTTCCAGCATCTGTAGTATTTTGCGGCAAGTTGTTGAGCGGTTGCAGCCAGGACAACAATCCTCGCATTTGATACAGCGCCTTGTCACATCTTTGAGACGTCTCAAAGCGCTTCACAGACCATACTAAAGGGTAGCGACCGTGTATTTTGTGGGCGAAACGCGGAGGCAGGAGGCAGGTCCATTGGGTCGGAAAGGCCCATCCCAGCGTGTGCGTGATAGTTATAAATTTCAGATCAGATGATCTCAGAAGATACTTGAAGTAAATAAGGATGAAACGCTGCGTAATTGTAAGTTCATTCCTTTTAATGTGGTAAGCACTTTACCATGGTCCCTGGAGCAAGAAGGCTGTCACGCATATGGCAATTTTTTTTATTACTCGGCCTCTGTGGATTGGGTTTCTGCAGCATTGCCAGGGAAGCTCCACATCCCACAAATGTTCTTACATCCATGTGCAGCCTAACTGGCCTCACCATCATGTTAGCATTTGCAGTATCTAATAATAATAATAATAATAATAATCCTTGCATTTGATACAGTGCCTTATCATGCCTTCAAGATGTCTCAAAGCGCTTCGCAGAATTTACTAGAAAGTGGCGTTAAAACTGATGGTACACTTCGTGGGCGAAATGCAGAATTGCGCACAGCACATCCAATGCAACAATATCCTACGCGTTTAATCAACGTGTCAACATTGGTAAGATTAAGGCAGAGACTATAAAATAATTCACATGTTCCTCTCACTGAAATTAAAAGACGAGTCGGAACTTTCTGTATAATTACGATACATAGGTCCTCGTGATATAATGTACGTTTGTAAATAAATGCATGTACAGGTATATAATTTAAGAATGAATGCACATGTACATACACTTACGGGGTATGTATTATCTGGGAGGTAGAACCAGGAATGATCAGAGCAGGAGATCAGAAAAAGATTGAAATAGCTTTTTGGATGGCAGATTCCAGCCTTCAGCCCAGTACATCATGTTGGCTTTGGACTGAAACCAAACTCTTAAAAAAAAGTCTTAACAATTTCAGAGTGGATTTCAGCACATGGCTTTAGGATACAGTAACCTTCAGTCACATTTTCATTTCATTTGAAACCCACCCTGTTTTCACCCTTTAATTAATTCCTTCTTTAAAGGAGTTTATTTTTAAAGCTGAACGTTCCTATAATTATCTCTCTGGATTTCATTCTGGCTTGTGAGCCAGTGCCCTCCCTCGCTCGCTCTGCTTTGGTTCAGAAAGAGCAGCGTAAGGTGATGTGGCTGTTGCATAACATGGAGATGTGGCTGCTAAGGTTCTCAGTGAATATGTTATGAAAGAGTTTTTAAATGTATTTAGCGTATCACAGATACAACGGGTGGGGGGGTCACAGTTCCGACTGCCAAGTGCGGTCAGAGTAAAGTCCTGTTTGCTGTTGTGATGTTTGTATCAATCGGGCAAATTCCATTCATAGTGTGCGTTAGATTAATGAAGTACATAGCTGCACAGTCAATCAGGGGATGGGAAGGCTGGTAAGCCAGAATATCAAGGAGATCAAAGTACATATACTTCTTTATAATGTCATTAACATGTGCAGTGTTAGGAAGGGGCATGGAAGCTTCCATAGTCAAGCAACTCACTCCAAACCTCTAGCACCACTTGTGCAACACATGTTGGTTGTTAATGCAGAAAAGTCTTTTGTCGCTGTGTAACAGAGCTTTTATTGCCACAACGATCCAAAATACAGTCATGGTGTCAGCTGTTATTGTGCTTTCCTATGGTCCATTGGTTATCAATGAAGCCCAAACCCTCACAAACTGGGCATCAATAGATACATTGGCACTCAAAACCCTAGCAAGCAAAGCAACAAGGCTGGTGAGTACGTTAGGTACAAAAGATTCAGAGGTTTGGAGATTACATACACGGTAGTCGAAGCTTTATCAACTCCAACCCCCCCTGCACATGCAGAATCTACAGTGAACTGAATGGAAATGGAAACTAACGGGCATTTGTAAACCTTTCACTGCACCATCCCACATCGTTGTGTATCTGCTTCGCTGAAAGCACGTCCACCTGCGTTCTACGGTTATAAATTAAATGGGGACCTTCAAGGAAGCAAACACAAGCACCATCTCTTACACCAAGGTCCAGCAAGTTTGCTGAATAATTTAACTTTTAATTATATTCAGGGGTGGAGGTGCCAGACATTTCAAGGGAAAAACTTATTTTAAGCAGGTCTTTCTTTCTCATCTTACAGTGGAGCAAACCGAAGATACTTTTCACCATAAGACGCAGTGGAAAGAGTTTAAGTTTGACTTGACTCGGATTCCTCGAGGCGAAATGGTAACGGCAGCAGAGTTTCGGATCTACAAGACGTCGAATGAAAGTTTCCCGGGAAACCTGACTCTCCACGTGACTGTTTACCAGGTGCTGCAGGAGTTCCATGATAGGTCAGTGTCCAAGGTTCTGGGTAGGACATTAACACTGGTTAAGGAGAATTTAAAAAAAAAAAAAATTAAATAATAATTGGGTCACTCAATCCACAACTGTGTGTGGGACACTGCTGTGCGCAATTGGCTGCCACGATTCGCCCACAAAATATACAGTCAATTCACTTGAAACGTTCTTGAAGATGTGATAAGGCGCTCTATCAAATGCGAGGATTATTAGTAGTAGTGTCGTTTAAATGCTGCTGCATTCTCGAATGGTTAATTAAAGGAACATATAAGGGAGCGCTTGACAGTGATGGAGTGTGACCCTGAGCCAGGGGGAGAGGGAGGCGGTAGGTCACAATCAAAAAGGAAGGTCTTTGGGCGGATTTGAAAGTAGGGAGGGGGCTAGGAGAAAGGATTGAGGGAGAGAGTGACAGAGATCTACTGACTGAACCAAACCGACACCAGCCAATGTTGCCAAAGCGTAAATCGAAATGACTGATATATTGACAGATTAAACTTTGAGGTTACTTTGAAGTCCCTCATTATATGACCTTGATGTTTGTGTATAACTGGCTTTGCTCTGCTTCCCACACCCACTCTCCCCCCCCACCGCCCCCCAAAAAAAATAATACTCAAATGTCTCTTTCCCTTCAGGGAACCCCATCTGCTGCTGTTGGACAGTCAAGAAATGTGGCCGATGGAGGAAGGCTGGCTGGAGTTTGATATCACAGCGACAAGTAATGATTGGCTGATGAACCCTCACTATAACCTGGGGCTGAGGCTTTTTGTGGAGACAGAGGGAGGTACGATGTCCCACAGTACAAATGATGCGTGAAAGTTTGCAAAGCATTTCACTTGGTTGGAGCAAAATCATGATTAATAGTAATTATAATCCTTGCAATCGATACAGCGCCTTATCACATCTTCGAGACGTCTCAAAGCGCTTCAGAGGACACACTGTAAAGTGAATTGACTGTATATTTTGTGGGAGAAACTGCGCACAGCAGCGTCCCACAAACAGTCGTGGATTGAGTGGCCAAATTTTTTTCTTTTGAGGGATTATTGAATGCGTGGAAAGCCTGTCACAAGCAGTATCCAGCAAATTGCTCTAACAATTATCTCATTAAATATTTGTGTAAAAATAACTCAGTCTGCCGCTCCCAATAATTAACCAAGGTCAAAGCCATGGTAAGGTTCTCTTTCCTGCCAGGGTCCCAGCGCTTTGTGCCCTCGGCACAAAATCATAATAACAATCCTTGCATTTGATACAGCGCCTTATCACATCTTTGAGACATCTCAAAGGACTTCAAAGGATACTCTGTGAAGTGAATTGGCTGTATATTTTGCGGGAGAAACGTGGCAACCAACTGCGCACAGCAGCGTCCCCACAAACAGCTGTGGATTGAATATCAAATGCAAGGATTACGATTATTATTACCATTTAGGAATCGAACGATATTACCACAACAATCACAACAACAACTTGTGCTTATGTCGTGCCATCCACGCAGGGTAGCGTCTCAGAGCGCTTGTTGGTTTATTAGTATAGTTCCATCGCTTATCCAGTGTGTCTTTTCCCTACCAGGAGGCAGTGTGGACCCGGGCAGTGCTGGGCTGGTGGGCCGGCGAGGACCTCGCACAAAGCGACCGTTCATGGTGACCTTCTTCAGAGCAAGCCAGGCGCCCGTCCGTACCATACGGGCGGCCAACCGGAGAAAAGGCCGGAAGAAATACGGTGAACGACCTTCGTGCGAGAGATTGCCTGGCACCTTCGGTAACTCACTCAGCCGTTCTGTACATCCATCATTACGTCCATCGCCCACAAAATACACAGTCACCACACCTTACAGTATATCCTGTGAAGCACTTTCGGACGTCACGAAGACGTGATAAGGCACTGTATCAAATGCAAGGATTATTTTCATTATTATTACTTCTAGTTTTTTAATTTAAAAAAAAGTCAACTAACCTGTAGTTGATCCCTCTCGCGAGCAGTGAATCGGAATAAAACTTTGTGAAAAACATCGAAAGTTACCAAAAATGGATATCAATGACAGAAGATGTCAAGACCTTCCTCTTCGACCGCACCTTCGGTCACCCTGCTACCCCTCCACCCTCCCAGCCCTCCACCCCTCTGGATCCCAATTCACCAGCTCGGGTCCAAATCCCTGTCTTCTTGACGTGAAAGGCATGTCATTTGTTGTTGTTAAGAATTAGCATTCCAGTCATTCACATCCCGGGAATATAGCACTGTTTTTTTGTTATCACCACAATTCTGCAAATGGAGCCTGATTTCAGACAAGCAATCGTGCGGATAGTCAGTCACATGTGGATACGTGGCATTGTGTTGTCGACACAACAGACACTGAAGCCCATGTTGAAGATTTAATCTTGGAATACGGTCCACGAGAAGGGAAAGTTTCGATTCCGAGGTTTTATACCACACAGTGGCAGATGTGGAGTTTCAGCATTAAATTGGCCAAGGTTTACAAGCAAAGACCAGCTACAAACCAATGTATAGAATATTACAGCACAGAAGGAGGCCATTTGGCCCATCATGCTTGCGCTGGCTCTTTTGAAGAGTTATTCAATCATACTCCCCCGCTCTCTCCCCATATCCTTGCAGATTTATAGCCTGTAGAGGGGGAAGTCCTGGAAATACATCCTCATTTGCTATCCTGACCAAGGAACAATGTGTGGGACCACACCACACCACTCCTTAAAGCCACTCATACAAGTTAATTCATGTTCGTGCCTTCCAAACCCTCTAAGTTACCAGAGTTTAGACAGCCTCTGAGGGAAAATGAGAAACAGATTCAGTTAAACTCAGCTCCCGGCCTCTGGATCAATTACAGGATTCATTCATTATTCCCTGGGACAAGATATGAAGCGGAGAGGGGAAATATATTACCAGACTCAAAAGACCACGAGACCAATGCACACTTCACCGAGATTAGCGCTAATTCCTCTTTGTTAAATTGAATTAAACAATCACTCAGTTTAGGTTTACACAATATTGTTTTTTTTATATGAACCAGCAGGTTACAATGGCAGAGAGCAGACACAAGTTTGCAAGAGGCATGACCTGTATGTAAGCTTCCGAGAACTGGACTGGCAGGTAAGGTAAAATGCGGTAAAAGTAATGTCCTCAGAAGGTGTACAGCTACATTAAAAATGCATTGTTTTGTCCACAAAATACACAGTCACTCCACTTTACAGTATATCCTGAGAAGCGCTTTGAGACACTACCCTGGGTGGAGGGCACTGTATAAGTGCTAGTTGCTGTTTTATATCGAATGCAAGGATTATGATTGTTATTATCATAATCCAAAACAATTCATGTTTGAGATTACCCCGAAGGAATGGTTTCTGCATTAACTTGCATCTCAATAGTCAATGGATGCATTAACTTGCAGCTCAATAACATAAATGATCCCAGTTTGAATTGATTTGGACTCTACTCTGAACTTGGGTCTAAATTATGGCCATTATTCCTTAATGGGGTTCCTTAGTAAGCAAGTCTGAGCTGAGTAAATAGGGGTTTCCAGAAGTAAATCACAACAACAATCCTTGCATTTGATATAGCACCTTATCACGCCTTTGAGATGTCTCAAAGCGCTTCACAGGATACACTGCAAAGTGAATTGACTGTATATTTTATGGACAAACATCCATGGGAATTCATCTTTGACACATCTAATAGGAATCCCATTGTTAACAGAGTATGAAGGAATCCAAATAAGAAATGCCACAAATTAGACTTTTATTGTTGCTTGGGTGGTCCATTTCTTAATGTTAGTCTAATTAAAGAGTTAGTCACACTCGGTTGAGGGAGTGGAGTACTGTCCTCAGCCCTGTCGAGCGTGAGTAAGAGCAGGAAGTACAAGTCCCATCCCACTCCTAATTATTTTATTGATGAAAGTGATATTGTTTCACATCTAACAGTAGTGACTGGGGAGGCATTAAACCTGGGAGGCTCCTGAGAATAGAATGAGTTGGTTTTCTCACTCGCTTCCCTTCTGGGTTGACTGGCTGAGATTGAGACCTCTCTGTGTCTCACCATTCTGAAGTCTACAACATTTCCCATCATCAAGCCCGTACCATACCATACCAAAGCCTATCTCCCATTGCCTGGATACTTAACAACTTTCATGTAGGTTCAAGAACGGAAACAAGAATTAAAATCATCTTGCATCATCCATTTTATTTCATTTATTCCAGGTTGTTTCAAAGGAAACCCGCAGCTTTGCGAACACATTTAAAACCGGTATTTTGGAGGTTAATTTTCAATCTGGGGATCTTCGCTAAATATTTAGACTAGTATTTAGATGTGAGTTTATGATGACGGATAGAGTTTCTGCAGAAAGTGTTTTGCAAACAAGTGTTTTATTTGTTGAACCAAACTCATTCCAACTGAGGAATTGGGATAGTGTTTTGACCTGAGCTCTGTGACGCTACCCTTTGTGAGGGGCACTATATAAATACAAGTTGTTGTTGTTGATGATGATGAATTGATGCTTTCTGTCTGTCAATGTTAGGACTGGATAATTGCCCCAGAGGGCTATGAAGCATTTTACTGTGACGGAGATTGCTCCTTTCCCCTTGGATCCCACATGAATGCCTCCAACCATGCCATTGTGCAGGCACTGGTAAGTATTTCCACCAGGCCACAGTCTCTTCACCTCCCTTGCCTCCTTCAAGGCACGTCTCAAGGCCCTCTTCTTCGATCGTGGCTTCAGCCACCTTCCTACCCCAACCCTCCCTGCCCTCCACCCCTCCTGATTCCCAACCCCGACTCAGATCCAAATCCCTGAAGGTCCAGCATCTTGGGACGTCCTTCTGATGTGAAAGACGCTGTGTAAATGTAATTTGTCGTTGTTTTTGTACTCGGGTTCTCTCAGCACATCAATTTTGCCATTTTTAGCCGGAACATGCATAAAGGGAAATTTCTCCAGCATTTCCCTCCCCAATCTGATCAAGTGTATCTCCTAAAGAAATATTCTGAAGGCCATTCGAAACCTTCCTGATCTGAGAGCAATGAAAAGGTTCGATAGACGCAATATTTTTTGGCTAAAATGTGAAGGAAGGGAGTTAGTTATTCAATAACCATTTATTTTTCTCTCTCTCTCTCTTTCTCTCTGAAAGGTTCATCTAATGAAACCGGACGCAGTTCCCAAACCATGCTGCGCTCCCACCAAACTCAGCGCCACCTCAGTGCTCTACTTTGACGATAAATACAACGTGATATTAAAAAAGTATCGGAACATGGTGGCAAAGTCATGCGGCTGTCAATAGCAGCAGAAAAACTCTACTCTGTGGCATAACTCTGTTGTGCAGCTGGGATAATAGTTCCCGGAACAAGACGAGGAAAAACATGCTGCTCAGTTAGTTATACAGTATTTAATTGTCTGACATTTGTTTCAGTTTTATACCACAACATTGGGGTTACTGCGAGACGTATTTTTCAAGCTCCCAGGTCCACTATTGTGGTCTTCAAGGCCCGTCTCAAGACCCTCCTCTTCGACCGTACATTCGGTCACCCTCCTACCCCCACCCTCCGTGCCCTCCACCCCTCCTGATCCCAACCCCCAGCCTCGGGTCCAAATCCCTGACTGTCCCGCACCTTGGGATGTCCTCCCGACATGAAAGGCGCCGTGTGAATGTCATTTGTTGTTGAGCGCTCCGTATGGGTGCGAGAGAAACATTCAGAGTGCTTGTCCTCTGAGATCTGCAAATACTTCAGCTACACTTCCATTCTCCTGAGATAAGGTTGGGCTGGTTTCACTATCACACTGGGTAACCCACATCCTGTTCCATACCACAGCATTCCACTTAGCAGCGCATTGCAAATAGGCCCAACCAAAACAGCACTGGGTTTGTGTGAATTTGCAATTTCTTTCCATCCTGTTTCAGTAACAGCTAAAAGCATTTACCATTCAAAAGTACCCTAGTTTATCACTGTTGTCCAATGCTTAGTTTCGTAGCACTGTATTGCGGTTCTGCCATTTATTTGACTTAGTGACTTATTGAATCATCTTACTCCTCTTCACACAATGAGAGGCCTCACTTAAATGACAGCAAAAAAAAGTAGCTGGGTTTTTATATTAGTTTTTCCCCCCCCCCCGTATAAAGAAAAAGCCTCATTGTTTCTAGTGATCAATGTTTTTAGTAAACCCATTGAAATACTTTCTTAAATATAGTGACTTTTGTTGTGCAAGGAAATGCGGCAACTAAGAGCAATGACCAATGAATCCGTTTTTCTTTGTGAATTTAGGTGAGAGAGGAGAATTGGTCAGGACATCAGGAAAAGCTCCACACTCGTCTTTTAAATTGTGCCGTAGGATCATTAACGTCCATCTGAATCGTCGGGTGGAGCCTCGGTTTAACGGCTCATCCCAAAAAAAACAGTGTCTAACAATATTGTAATAATCCTTGCATTTGATCGAGACGTCTCAAAGCGCTTCACAGGATACACCGTAAAGTGGATTGATTATCTCTGACAATGCAGATCTCCCTCAGCCTAGATTATGAACTCATATCCTGGTCCAGGATTTAAACATTCCAGTTTCTAACCCAAAAGGAGAACAGAAAGAAATGAATCAAACTCTTGACACTGAACAATTGCCCCACAAGCAACTGCTGGGATGTTTACATAGTTGGATAGCAACATCTAGTGATCACAATGGAGTACTACAGTGGTACAGTTTTGACCGCCCCCCCCCCCCATCCCACCAACAACAACAACTTGCATTTATAGAGCGCCCACCCATCACACCGGACAGCGTCTCGCAGCGCTTAATAGGCTAATATTAATGTGGACGTTTATCTCGGAACTAAATACATCCAAACTGTCAGGAGCCAAACAACGTGTCCAACAAAACAAACTCAACAGCTGCCACCTTACACAGAGGGTCAGGAATTCCGAGAGGTAATGTAGTTCAATCTACACACAGCCCTACACACTCATAGACTTGTGATTTCGCATCCTCCGCAGTCTCTTCAGCGGACGATAAGTTGATTGAATCTTTTCAGACAGCTGCTATTTTGGGCTCGGAATCTGCTCCTGACTCGGTCGCTTCTGAAGCACAGACAGCGAGTGCTCAGTGACACTGGTAAACCCTGGTAGTTACCAATGGTGCTGGTTCAGGGAGGAAACAAACTAATCGGACTTAAGCCATATATATTGCCAAACCAGTTGAGTTCAGATCTCAGAAATTATATAAGCCTAGTGTTTTCTCTCCCTCACTGTGGGGAATTATCTTTCTCCTCCACCTGACCGTACAACAACAACAACAACAACTTGCGTTTATATTGCGCCCTTCACACAGAGAGTAGCACCCCAGAGCCCTTGCCGGCTCTTACCAAAAGGGATACTGGGTTACTGTATATTTATTGTTTTTCACCACAAACATCCCAAGGTCATGCGCTGCCAAAGAAGTGACATCCATGTGGAAACCAAATGACGATAAACAGATCACTGGTCCTGTCGCCACACTTGTGAAAGGAACGTTTGTAGTATAAGTGATCCCTTCTACAGCAGATAAGAATTAGCGTTGGACACTTCCTGTGCTGCTATCTGAGCTCTGAGAAAATCCCTGGGTAAAAGTGGTGAATAACCAAATAGTTTAGGGTAAGTGTAATTAGTAACCTGTACTAATCTGTAAACCCCCCCCCAAAAAAATAATAATTTGGTCACTCAATCCACGACTGTTTGTGGGACACTGCAATTGGCTGCCATGCTTTGCCCACAAAATATACAGTCACTACACTTACAGTATATTCTGTGAAGCGTCTCGAAGACACGATGAAGTATCAAATACGAGGATAAAAAAAAATCAAAGAACAAAAATAAGTCTAAGTAAAATTTCAAAATGTATAAAATTAAGAGTAAATTTAATCAATCGATAGATAATAAACCAGCAAATAATTAGAAATATAGAACAATAGGAACAAGAGGAGCCCACGCAGCTCACTGAACCAGTTTTCGACCTTGACAGATGTTTTTATCCCAATTCCACTTTCTTTCACAATACACCTTAATACCTCTACTATCCAAATATCTGTCTCTTTTTTTAAAATACCTTGCATTATTTCTGCCTCAACAGCTTTCTGTGGCAGAGGACAGGCTGATGCCCTTTAGACCTTTAGTCCTGTTGATCAGGGCAGATCATTGGGAGGAACAGATAGAAAAATAAATAAATTAAATGTTCTCAACCTCATTGATTTTTTGAATCATTCAGATAATATCAACAAATACGTTAGTCTGCAACCTCTGACACCGTCCTAAGAAAATTGCTCACTCAATCCCCGACTGTTTGTGGGACGCTGCTGTGCGCAATTGACTGCCACGTTTTCGCCCACAAAATACACGGTCAATTCACTTTACAGTATATCCCGTGAAGCGTTTTGAGACGTCTCAATGACGTGACAAGGCGCTATATCAGATGCAAGGATGATTCTTATTATTTAACAAAAATCTTCACAGGTGAACAACATTTTGTCAAAGGGGGTGACATCGGAACATTTAAAGATCATTTATGTAGCTGCTAGGGTTAAAGTATACACAGCACTGGGCAAAAGAAAGAAAATATGGGTCAAACTCATCTATATAATAATAATTTGGTCACTCAATCCACGACTGTTTGTGGGACAGACGCTGTTGTGCACAATCGGCTGCCGCGCTTCACCCACAAAATACACAGTCAATTCACTTTACAGTGTATCCTGTGAAGCGCTTTGAGACGTCTCGAAGATGTGATAAGGCGCTGTGTCAAATACAAGTATTATTATTATTATATACAGTTTGTGCAACGCTGGTTGGTTCCTGAGTCAGCTCCTGCTGCTTTTTTTTACTCTGTTGTCTTTTGAACGAACTGACAGGGAAATGCAAATAAAACATTATAAAGTACTGTATTTATTTAGCAGCCTTTGCCCCCTCCCCCCCCCCCCACACACACACACAGAGGAACGCAGTCAATGACGCCTGATCAAAAGAGAAACAAGAAGGAAGTGCATAATTTGGCTGCTGACGTCAGGTTGGGGTGTTTTCGTGTTGTTTTGGGTCAGTTTGGGTGTCGGGTTCTGTGAGGGTATTTAATTTGGGGCCGGGATTATGTGCCGAGAAAGTTGGAAGCAATCTGTAAGCAGGTGAGTGTCTCCAGGAGAGGGATACACGGGGTTGGATACAGCCAATTCCTGCAGGAAGATAGATACGTTATACGCTTATCATTACAGTGTCGTGCAATGCAGGGACTTTAAACGAGCTCTCACACACCCACACACACCCACACACACCCACACACACCCACACACACACACACACACAGGGGAAAATTGCTCATTTTTATATTTTATGGGCTTCTGACAGTCTGAGAAATTATTTCACGATGGTTGAAGTGTCACAAGGAGCAAATCCGGCTCCAAAGTTTTATTTGGGTACTTATACGTTTAATTTATTTATGCGTTTATGTATGCATGTATTTATTTATTTATGATGACAGTTTAGAATCTTCAAATTGCCTTCACCTATTTATTTCTCTGGCAATCGTGCAACTAACTAACTCACTCATTGACTAACTCCAGAGCAATGTCTGTGCATTGTTTTAGAATTCAGACATCGTATGGAGGATCAATTTTTTTTTTTGGCGAGGCTGAATGTGGATTTGCAAGTTGCGTGGGCACAGAGTGTGTTCACTTGGTTGTCTGCTGACGTGTTCCAGGTGAATGAATTCCTGCAATAGGATAGAGTTTCTGCCTGAGAGGTTGCTTTGTTGAGTTGACTCTGATAATGGAGTCATCTCATCTGTCACCTCAGCCTTCAGTCACTTGTTGCTAATTTATGGTTCTGTGTGGCAGGAGTTGTATATATAACATTAATAATAATAATCCTTGCATTTGACATAGCATCTTATAACTTCAAGACGTCTCAAAGCGCTTCACAGAATGTACTGTAAAGTGAATTGACTGTATATTTTGTGGGTGAAAGAGCAGAATAAGAGAGATATGATAATCTTTGCAGGGAGTTAGAATCTCGAGTTAGGCACTGCCACACATAGACTTACTTCAATTTAATTCCCCCAGAGGCTCTTTCATGTGAGATATGGGGGCTGGCGGGGGGCTGGCGGAGGTGACAAGTAGGGTCTCCTCAGAGCTCCAAGGTGATATGTTTGGCAATGGAATGTCGGAATCGAGCCCACCCAGTCCAGTCCCTGAGCAGGTGGGTCCACAGTATTCCAGGGTACTGCTGGTGGCAGCACAGCCCAGTCCAGCTTAGCAGCAGGACCTGGAAGGACAGACCAGCCACTCAGCTCCTGTTAATCCTGCAAGTTGAAGCCCTGACGGGTTTGTCCAGCCGGGGCCGTGGCCGGGGCCGGGGCCGGCTGGACAAGCAGCGGGGAAGCCTGGCGCTGCCCGGCGCAGAACCGGCGGCGATTGCTGTGCCGCCCCGTCCCACTGGGGGCTACGACCGGCCTCATTTGTGCCGGTATTTGTGAAGCGCTCTGCGACGTCCCGAAGGCGCGATGAGGTGCCGCATCCAATGCAAGGATTATTACTATTGCTATTATTATTATTATTATTATTACTATGACTATTATTATTAATGCAAATGCCACAAAATATAACAGTCCGTTCACTTTTGCCGCGTGTCCGGGGGGAGCGCTTTGAGACGTCTGGAAGACGGGATAAGGCGCTGCGTCAAATGCAAGGATTATTATTATTAATATTATTACTAATTATTAACCACATATCTCCCCCTCCCCCCCCCCACCCCCTGAGCACTGAGATAGCTCCGCCCCTGTGTACCAATGGGGGGGGCGGGGCCGCGGCAGATCTCGCGAGATCTTGCCGGCGGCGCGGTGTCACGTGTCCCCACACAGTGACGGTTGGTGAGGAAAGATGGCGGCCGTTTGGGCTGTGAGGCGGCGGCTGCCCCTGGCCGTCACGGCGGCATGTCAGCGGCTACTGCTGGCCCCGGCGGTGAGTGGGGCCTCAGGGAGGGAGGGGAGAGGGGGGGAGAGAGAGAGTGAGGGGGGAGGGGGAGAGAGAGTGAGAGAGGGGGAGAGAGAGTGAGGGGGCAGAGGGGAGAGAGGGGGGAGCGAGTGAGAGAGGGGGAGAGCGAGTGAGGGGGCAGAGGGGAGAGAGGGGGGAGCGAGAGAGGGAGGGGAGAGGGGGAGCGAGGGAGGGGGGAGGGGGAGCGAGTGAGGGGGGGGGGGAGCGAGTGAGGGGGAGAGGGGAGAGAGGGGGGGGAGCGAGTGAGGGGGGAGAGAAGGGGAGGGGGGAGAGAGGGGGAGAGAAGGGGAGAGAAGGGGAGGGGAGAGTGAGAAGGGGGGAGAGTGAGAGTGAGGGGGGGAGAGAAGTGGAGAGAGAGAGGGAGGGGGTGGAGGGGAGAAAGAGTGTGGGGGTGGGCGGGAGAGAAGGGGAGGGGGGAGAGAGAGTGAGGGGGGAGAGGGGGAGAGGGAGTGGGGGTGGGCGGGAGAGAAGGGGAGGGGGAGAGAGAGTGAGGGGGGAGAGAAGGGGAGAGGGAGTGAGGGGTGGGCGGGAGAGAAGGGGAGGGGGAGAGAGAGTGAGGGGGGAGAGAAGGGGAGAGGGAGTGAGGGGTGGGCGGGAGAGAAGGGGAGAGGGGGGGAACCTTATCACATCTTCGAGACGTCTCAAAGCAATTCGCAGAATATGCTGTCAAGTGAATTGACTGTGCGTGTTTTGTGGGCGAAACTTATTGTCCAATAGAATCTCCAAACGGGGTCACTTTTTTTAAGAAAGCCCCCACTGGAATTCACTGCATATTAGGTTTTTAAACCCAACTACGTGTCCCGCGTTAGGCACAAAGCGAATGCGTGTCAGTTAAGCGCAAGCGACGTGCCGCCGTCAATGGCTTTGTTGACAAAAGCCGCGCGTGAAAACTAACGAGTTTTGGGGTAATCGCTGCAAATTTGAATTGAGCGTGAAATATTTGACAACGGCCAGCTGATCCCGTTACAACTGCAGTGTTGCTGCGTATATCTTTAATTCACGCTGAACAGAATTAGATACCCCGTTTCTTGTTAACAGTTAAGAGGAACACACGCACGCACGCTCGCACGCACACAGACACACACACACGCTCACACGCGCACAACCTGCAGACGAGGGGTCATTTTTCGTTCTTGTTGTCTGACACGGTGTTCATACATGTCGAAGGTTGATCGGTCGTGAACTCTCAGGAGGTCATGGTGCCTTTGCCAAACACATTAGAGGATTGGAGCTTTATAATCTTTGCCCAGTGAGCCCACTCCAGGTAAAAGGGCATTGTTGCTTAACAAATGCTAGAAACCATGGCTAAGTTTGTTATGTGTGGTTCAGAACAAACCTGGGTTCCACAACGCTTCTTTTGATGAAGGTTTTCTGGCGTATAAATACTGGGGTCACTGTTTTCACCGTTTCCGGTACACATCTTTGTTTCCTGTCGATTTGAAATATGATGCGCTCAGAGATAGGTTATCCATTTTAAATAGAATTGATTGTCCATCATTATAATAATATTACTTGCATTTGATAGAGCACCTTATGGTGTCTTTGAGACATCACAAAGCGCTTCACAGAATATGCTGTAAAAGTATACCGGAAAAGCGATCCACCAATCGACTAATAACCGGGTTCCTAATTACTGCTAGGTAACCAGACGTGTGGAGTAAAGAAACTTTTCCCAATGTTTCGCCCTGCCCAGCAATCAAACTCAGGTCCTCTCGCTTGCAAGGCATGTGCTCTAACTGAGCTACAGGACTCCAGACACCATTAGTGGTTGAGTTTTTATAATCTACAGTGCATTCTCATAATGCACTTCAGTATATGGCCGGTTTGGATATTAGACCGTAAGTTTTTGGCACAATCGGAAAGTGCCAACCTAACAATTGTTGCAGCTTTCCCCCCAATCTCTTTCCCTCAGCAGCCATTGTCAGGCCAGTTTCCTGCGCAAGTACAGTGGGGTTCAGTGATGTCAGTAGGAATCCCCCTCCCCAACAGAGTCTTATATTCTCTTTAATGACATTTTCAAACCTTTTGAAGTTTTATTATTATTACGCTTTTTTCTCTGCTTGTTATGTAGGCTGGAATGGCAACAAAATCTCTTCCTGAACGAGTGAAAATTGTTGAGGTTGGACCGCGAGATGGATTGCAAAATGAGAAGGTAAATCACAATTTACCCAAATATCTGTGTGTCTTGACTTTTCATTTGTGATCTCAGTTATTGAATTTTTTTCAGACTATTTGATCGCTTGGGTTGAGGTTGAACTTTACCCTGACCTTGTCCCACATTCCCCCAGTGGACTTTCTAACCACAGTGACCAGTTTCAAAAAAAATTGCAAAGAATGTACAGCCTGAAAACTAGGCATTCGGCCAAACTCGGTGCCTGTGTTTATACTCCACATGAGTCTTCACCCATTACTTACTCCCTCCCATTACTTTCTATTCCCCTCTCCCTCATGTGAAGTGCTAACTTCCTCTTGAATTCATCGACATTATCTGATTCAACCATCGCTTCAGGCAGCGATTTCCTTATAATAAATAATCAAATAATAATCCTTGGCAAAGACTTACGTTTTTGAATAATGCCACGTGATTTTTCATGTCCATCTCAACAGGCAGCCGAGACCTTGGTTTAACAAACGTGCTACCAACCTGACAACGTAGCACTACAACAACAACTTGCATTTATATAATGCTCTTTACACTAATGGAAGAATTCAATCAGCCCAACGTAGCTGTAGCCCAAGTAGCTTCAAAATATGGTGTTGATGTTGGCTGATTGTTTAAAAACATTTTATTTAATATTTGTTTTGAAAGTTAGAACCATAGTTTGTGCCTATTTATTCCAAGATCTCCTGAACCAGGATTATTTATTGTATTATTCACTGAAATGGGTGTAATCTAACGACTAAAGATACCTTTTTCACTTCACAGATCATTGTTCCAACTGAAGTGAAAATTCGGTTAATTAACCTCCTTTCTCAGACCGGATTGTCTGTGGTTGAAGCAACAAGCTTTGTGTCTCCAAAATGGGTGCCTCAGGTAAGATACTAGTGGTTAGAAATCTGAAGGCTAAGCATTGAAAGACGTCGCAAGTCTGATCAGGCACAATGGGCCAAATGGCCTCCTTCTGTACAGTAATATTCTAAGATAGGAATGAAAATAAAGGCAGAGGAGATTGTTTTCCCTGCCTTAAATCTGTTTCTTTGGCTTTTGTTTTTCCTGTCCTGACACTCGTAGTAATGTTCCTTGCATTTGGTATAATGCCTTGCAAAGGGCTTCACAGGAATTGGTTGCTTTTGTGTGGGATTGATTGTTGGCTGGCTGAATGGTACAATTTCTCTGTTCTCTTTTTCCCCTGCAGATGGCTGATCAGGTGGAAGTCATGCAAGGAATCAAGATGCATCCAAATGTCAGCTACCCAGTGCTGACTCCAAATCTCAGAGGGTTTCAGGCAGCAGTAAGTGCTTATCTCACATCTGTGATCTCCCACTTCCAGAATAGATAGATAACAATATTAGGATGTCAATCCCGCCTAAAGACCTTCCTTTTCGATCGTGTTTACAGTCACCTCCCCCTTCCCTCTCCACCTGATCTCGGTGTCAGCCTCCCCCACTGTCGAGCGCTCCGGGACGCTACCCCGCGTGAAAGTCGCTGTACAAATGCAAGTTGTTGTGTGTATGGATGGAGAACAACTAATTTGTCTAAATAAAAAAACTTTGACACATCCGCCCAATATAAAAGGTGATATGTAAATGTGAATATATTAAATTTCAAATGTATTCTATTCTGTCATGAGAAGTCTTAACTTTTTTTTAATTTCACAGATCAAAGCAGGCGCAAAAGAGGTGGCCATCTTTGGCGCTGCCTCAGAGATGTTCAGCAAAAAAAACATTAACTGCTCCATTGCTGAAAGCTTGCAGCGGTTCGAAGAGGTCACGAAGGCAGCAAAAGATGCCGATATTCCAGTCCGAGGGTATTTACAAAGATTACATTTTCATTTCCCTTAATCACCGCATATTTACAGTTAAAAAAAGTTTCAAGATATGTGAAATTAAATATATTTCATATAGATCATAATAGATGTTCTTTTTACAGGTTTATCAAATTGAGTTCATTACATTTTAATTTCATATTTTTTCAGGTATGTGTCCTGTGTGCTTGGCTGCCCTTATGAAGGGATGGTTTCCCCTGACAAGGTTGCAGAGGTAAGTAATGTTGTGTTTTATTTAGTCTTTAACTCACAACAACTCCCCTAGATAATGTTGGTAATTCACTTTCCGGCTGTTTGTGGTACATTGCTAATAATATTAATAATAATAATACTTGTATTTGCTATCCACAAATTATCTGCCATATCCGCACTTTTAGACATTCTCCTGACATGAAAGGCACTATAACAAGTACAAGGAATATTATTTGAATGGCAATGTAATGTTACTATGGGGTCCCTTTCAAGCCAACAGTGCAAGTGGGTTTAAGAGGTGACTGGCTTCACTTTGCTTGCACAATATATATATATTTTTATTAAAACAAAAGATTTTTGGTTCTTTCCTGTGCTGATAATTCTTATGCTCGTTTGTAATGCAGTGAATCTTAAAATGGAGTGCATATTCGGGAAAACTGTACAAAATTCTTATTAAAGACCGCTGTCTACCTGCAGTTAATGGGAGTTTTTTTTTGCTTTGTGCAGGTGGCCAAGAAACTTTATACCATGGGTTGCTATGAGATATCGCTGGGAGATACAATCGGTGTAGGAACCCCAGGCAGCATGCGAGAAATGCTGATTGCTGTCCTCAGAGAAGTCCCAGTCAGTGCACTGGCTGTCCACTGCCATGATACATATGGCCAGGCACTAGCCAATATCTTTGTAGCTTTGCAGGCAAGTTTGTTTATTTAAAACTTAGCTTTATAGTGAAGATAATTAACTGAATTATTCATTGTGAAGAAGTGCATCAGTAAAATTGCCTTAAAAAATGAATCAAATACCTGACGAGTACTATATAACTTGCAGATTTACACACTATTTTCTATTTATCTACCTACCACACATCCACTGACATCCATCAGCAAATTATAGTGATCTGTTTCAGCACTGACCTGTGTCTCTCTTCACATATCTCCAGGTGACTGCTACAAAAGCAGCATTAGCAAAAGCGCCTGAGTATTTTGATTGACATCGTGACATTTCATTTCATATTTATACCCAGAGTGAAATAAGACTACAATGAATGTCAGTGCCATCAAACAGCACAGCCTTAGATATGTGTGAGTTATGTCCTTTTACCATTTTTTCCAGATGGGAATCAGTACAGTCGATTCCTCAGTGGCTGGCCTGGGAGGTTGTCCTTATGCAGAAGGAGCATCTGGGAATGTAGCAACCGAGGACGTAGTGTACATGTTAAACGGGTTGGGAATTCACACAGTAAGTATGCCCGCTCGATAGACTGCTTTTAATATATACTTCATATAATAGAGCTCTTATTATGCAGTAGATGGGGAGTAAAATCTCAAAACAGGGCACAATCGCTGGTCAGCGCTTCACGCCGTCACTGATCACTTGATTGGTGACGTGTGCAGATATGGTTGTCTTCCCACGCTAAAACAATGGCCAACTTCTAGGTCATCAGATCCTGGCAATGCCACTTTCTATGCAATGCGGCCAGGCATATAAATACAAGCGCAACAGAGGAACTGATGTCAGCAGCAACCTGAAGACTTGATGATAACAGGTGTCCTTAATTGAAATTAAACACTACTGTATGTATCCCCTTGAGTTAACCTTGTGTGATTAGATCTTAGGGCAATTCAGTAAAATGTTCTTGGTCTTATATTTACAGGGAGTGGACCTGCAGAAGGTATTGGATGCTGGTGCGTATATTTCCCAGGCCTTAAACAGAAGAACCTGTTCTAAAGTTGCTCAGGCTTCTTGCAAGTTGTGATAACGAATGCACAGTATATTGCTGTTGTGTCCAGAGCACAGCCTGACAATGTAGACAATGACTTTTGTGCAAACTTGTCAACTTCATCACCACAGCCTTCTCTCGCACTTATAAACCACTTAGTGGATATCTCTTACANTTTTTGCTCAGTCACAGGTTATCTTTTCCTAAATCTACATTTAATCTGCCTGATGGAATGTATTCATCCCAAATGCATATTAAGTGGCAGGTGAGTTGATCACAATGACGTTGAAAATACAACTTGCATTTATATACCGCACTTCCTGCTGGGTAGAGTCCACAATGGTTGTCTCCTGGAGAAGAAAGCTGGTTATGGGAAGGACGAACGAAAATAATCTTTATTTGTGTAAATTAAAATAACTAATTATTTCAATTGTGTAATTTTGTCTTATTTTAAAAGTACTAAAGGCAAAAAAAAACACTACCTGCATATCATGCTATGTAATAAATCAATATTTTATATTTAACGTACATTGCAACTGTAAAAGCTGACAATTTTATGTGCAGTATATTTCTATTTGTATGTGAATTATCTGCGTTATTTTAAATTGGGGATAGAATTTCTGGATTAAAATCTGTGGTGTTTATATTTATTATGACAGGAGAAATCCCCAAATAAAAATTTTATCTAATGCCCACCCTCATTTTGTGAAGTTGTTTTCTCCATTCTCGGGCCATTACAACACTTGCTGTTTGAGCGATTAGGCAATGTATGTGGTCAGGGCTCTATCAATAAAGCGCAAGCAACAACTTGCATTTATATACCACCCTTCGGGGATTAGTGGCTGAAGGCACGGCCACCGATGGTGGAGCGGATAAATCTGCGCACTTGCGATTTTTTTTCAAACCTCTCTAAAGAAATGACACTGCTCATAACAGTCCTTGCATTTGACGTTCCTCCTCATCGCGTCCTTGAGACGCCTCAAAGCGCTTCACGGAATATGCTGTCGAGTATGGCGACTGTGCATTTTGTGGGTAAAACGCGGCAGCCAATTGAGCGCGGCGCTGTCTGAACGAACAGTCGTGGATTGAGTGACCAAAAATCTCTTGAGAATTTCATATGTAGTGATTTCCAGGTGCTGATACAAGGATTTATTATCATCATCATCATCTGGAGTCCTGTAGCTCAATGGTTAGAGCACTCGCTTTGCAAGTGAGAGACCTGAGTTCAATCCCAGTCAGGTCAGGGCGAAACCTTGGGCAAGTTTCCTTACTCCACACAGAGCCTAATAATAATCCCTCCAAAACCAAAAACAATAATAAATTGGTCATTTTCAATCCACGACTGTTTGTGGGACATTGCTGTGCGCAATTGGCTGCCGCGTTCGCCCACAAATATAGTCAATTCACTTTACAGTGTGTTCTGCGAAGCGCTTTGGGACGTCCTCCCGACGTGAAAAGTGCTATATCAAATGCGAGGATTATTATTATTATTATCATCATCATCAACAGCTGCAGCATTGGGATGGGATTTAAACCACGTGACAAAGATGGCGGAGGGGGGAGGTTCCAATGGTGACGCCGGGCCCTTGTCACGTGACGAGGGCCGCGCTCGGTGATTGGCCGTCAGCTGCCGTTCCCAGCAGACCGAGCGGGACAAGATGGCGGGTCACGGCCATGGACACGGCCACTGCGAGGCCGAGGCGGACCACGACCCCGCCGAGAGGGGCATCGAGTTCGGGCTCTACAGGAAGATCGACCACCAGCGGCTGCAGTGTCTGAACGAGGCGCGGGAGGGCTCCGGGCGGCTGGTCTTCAAGCCCTGGGAGGAGAGACAGGACAGGAGCCAGGTACCCCCCCCCCCACACAGGTACCCCCCCCCCCCCACACAGTACCCCCCCCACACACAGGTACCCCCCCCCCACACAGGTACCCCCCCCCACACACAGGTACCCCCCCCACACACAGGTACCCCCCCCACACAGGTACCCCCCCCCCACACAGGTACCCCCCCCACACACAGGTACCCCCCCCACACAGGTACCCCCCCCCACACAGGTACCCCCCCCACAGGTACCCCCCCCCATAGGTACCCCCCCCACACACACACACACACACACAGGTACCCCCCCCCCACACAGGTACCCCCCCCCACAGGTACCCCCCCCACAGGTACCCCCCCCACACACACACACACACACACAGGTACCCCCCCCCACACAGGTACCCCCCCCACACACAGGTACCCCCCCCACAGGTACCCCCCCCCACACACACACACACACACACAGGTACCCCCCCCCCAAAGGTACCCCCCCCACACACACACACCCACAGGTACCTGCCCCCCCCCCCCCCCCACACACACACACACACAGGTACCTGCCCCCCCCCCCCCCACACAGGTACCCCCCCCCACACAGGTACCCCCCCCACACAGGTACCCCCCCCCCACACACACACACACAGGCACCCCCCCCCCAAAGGTACCCCCCCCACACACACACACCCTCAGGTACCTGCCCCCCCCCACACACACAAAGGCCCTGAGCAACACATACACACACAGGCCCTGGGGAACACACACACACAGGCACTGGGCAACACACATATATACACACAGGCCATTGGTAACACAGGCTCAGCATAGCCCTGGGTCTCTGCTGGCATCAATTTTGGTTATTATTGTCATCAACTTTGGCCACGTCACCCATAAAATACACAGTCGATTCACTTTACCGTATATAACGTGACGCGTTTTTTGAGACGTCTCGGAGACGCGCTAAGGTGCTGTATCAGACGTAAGGATTATTATTATTATAGAACTGTTATCAAACGAAGAGACATTTTTGATTGTCTAATTTATGTTTTTCTTTGTCCCGTTGCAGTTTGTAGAAAGCGATGACGATGAGGAACTGCTATTTAATATTCCGTAAGTTGCACAAAAAGATTACATCTCACCACTGAACATGCACGCACAGTGCAACGGGCAGTTTAAAGTCCTGCAAAATTCACATTGTTAAAAAGATGCAAAATAACCAGTGTGTGATTATGATAGCAGGTGCTGTAATGTTCTATCAGTGGTACTTACTAATGTGTGTAGATGCCTTTGGCTCCCACAGAGGAATAATGGAACAGCTCTACTGTAAAGTTAACCACAACACAACAAGCCCTGTGTTTATTGTCAGCACCTGAACCTGTTGCACATCACGTACCCTTGAGCTGCTGCAGTATACAAGTTATAATCCTTCTCTGTTTCAGTTTCACAGGGCATGTGAAGCTCAAGGGAATAATCCTAATGGGAGAAGATGATAACACTCATCCATCAGAAATGAGACTGTAAGTGTCCTCCATCGGTGATTTTTTTTAAGCTGAATAACAAGCATGGAAATGGCTGTTGGAAAACACTCAGTTCTTTATTCAGGAAGTTTTATATACGCTGGGAGAAACTAAATGGCTCAGTTCTGGCAGAGATTGATTATATCCTCCGATTGTGAACCACCTGATAACTTTTTATCTCTGACTGCTTTACACTTTCCTCCCTCTCCACAACATTACACACCTCCATCATTACGTCACTCCCAATACAGTCAAAACCCTCCATGCCTTTGCCACCTCCAGGCTTGACTTTTCAACACCCTCCTCCTTCTATAATCACTTGAATATAATCACTTGAATGATAAATGTGTGTTAACTGTTTCTTTTCTCTTTATGATTAGGTATAAGAATATCCCACATATGTCATTTGATGACACGGGCAGAGAACCTGACCAAGTGTTTCAGCTGAACCGGGATGTCACAGGGGAGCTGGAATACACCACAAAGTATGTCCATTTCTGCTTTAAGCAAACAATTAAATCCCTGGGTTAATTCTAGAGTAGGAATTGTAGGTATCTAATGTTAACATTTCGCCCACAAAACATACAGTCAAACTTTGCAGTATATTCTGTGAAGCGCTTTGAGATGTCTAGAAGACGTATTGGTAGTTTGGTAGTGGACAAAAGGAAAAAGAGCAATTTTTTTTTCTCAATTCGCACAAAGATCCAGAATTATACTGATGATTTTTTGGAGTATGTGGCAAGAGGAAAATCAGTTAGGGTTCCCAGTTCCTGATAACTACCAAACAATCACTGATGAAGTTGGTTTTAAACAAGACACAATGTGCTTCAGTTACATGGGCCCTGTTATTTGAATAATTTGTTGACGCCTGTCTTGGATCAATTTCTGATACTAATTACAGGATATACCCTGGAATAACCCTTCACTCGCCCAGAATGTCTGTTAAGAGTGATGCATTAAACTCCTTAGAATGTTCTGTTGTGTCCCAATTCCTAACTTGCATTACATTCGATATTTATTTGAAACTTTTTTACAATGCTTGGAAATGTTTAACTTTTACTCTGCTCTTCCAGGATTGCCCGTTTCTGTAATGTGCACCATCTTTCCATTCACATCTCAAAGAATTTTGGAGCAGAGATTTCGAAAATCTATTACATTGGATTGAGAGGGGAATGGTCAGAGGTAAGTAAATCTGCAAGCATGTTACTAACACTGTTTGTATAGCTCCTTTCACGATCGGGAGGACGTCCCAAGGCGCTCAAACCTAACACAATAAACCCACGGAAACCTTGTTTTCTTCTGAATAATGAAACCTTTTACACTCAGTGTCTCATTAAGGCCAAATGTAGTTTAATCCTCACTAATATCAACCAACTCAGCACAAACCATTAACCTAACCTGGGATCTTCCTAGTTTGGCACCTCACTATTTTAAACACTGTCATTTTCTTGAATTACATAGTCTAGTTGGACTTTTATCAACTGGGCTATAGACAGAGGTAAACTTTATTTTACCCCTTTTTTTTTCTTTGGTTATTTTTAAAAAAGTATTTATTCATCTTCATTATTTCGTCAGAAGGAATGGAAAAGCAACTGTGTGTCTATGTGTGAAGGATAACTTGTTTATTTGTGTCTGACAGGCCCACAGGCATGAAGTAACGCTCTGCACATATGAAGCTTCTGCCAATCCAACAGACCACAAAATGGATCGCATTACCTCCCAGACACACTTCATTTCATAAGGCCTGGCAGCTGATGCTGTAGCCTACAGTACAAGGAGAGACTGCGCTCCTAGAGAGAAAGTACGGATGGACAGTAAATTTTCATTGAGGTGCAATGGTACATTATAATATTTAGCTCCTTCTCAAATACAAAGCCATGAATAGAGCCACGGAGAAGAGTTCAAAAACTCTTGGTCTTCAATGATCTTACTAGAACTGTTTATCCTGTTTATCCTGTGTAAGCTGTTCAGTTATGTTTTTTCCCCTTTTCCATCCAAACTGATTCTCCCCTACACCATTGCTCATCAGCTGAGAGTACTGTGCTCAGGGTGACCTTGTGTTTAGATAATTAAGAATAGATTGACCTGACTGGCTGACTTTAGTATTTAATTAACTTGTACACAGAGGTGAGGGTTAGGTTGAGAATCAAAACCACAATTTCCTGCTGGATAAAAGATCTGTGGTTATCAAAACCTCACTGGGGAGGGGTTTTCATTTTTTTCTATATAAGAAACAAATGGAATTGAAGAACTGTAATATGATGCTTTCAATGAATGAGTTTTGTATGAAAGTGGATTAGCTCTGATGGTTATTGTGACCCAGATCATCCTAGTCTTCTATGTAAAGAGTGGAAACAGTGGAAATAGAGAAGGGAATGAAATAGAAGTTTAAAAATATATTTTACAGAAGAAGGAGCTAACCGGATATGTCTCTGACATCAAGGCTGATAGTTTTGGTCTCAGCTGCTGAAACTTGCTGTGTGAGTGTGTGGGTAGGAACCAAACACACAGCATCATCCAGTGTGACAAATCTTAAGTATAACACTGCCAATGCATTCAGATGTCCTTTGAGCCCAATGAATGGCTGTACAGTATAGAATTGGTGTTGGGATATGAACTTATTATTCTAACTCAACTCTGATGTGTACTTTGCTGGAATTTTGTGTTTGAAGTGTCCTTTCCATTATATTTTCTGGATTTTGAATTTGCCAAGATGATTGTGGAGAGTGTAACCATGGATTTGGGAAAAGAAGAAAAAAAATAAAATATGGCTGACATTAGATTACTATTGTCTGGACCTCTGATATTTTTCAAGATAATGCAAATAATGAAGTGAATCTGCTGGTAAGGATTCTGATAACAAAATATGTTCTCAAAAAGTGTCATTACGATTGCAAAAATAAGCAATTCACGATACGTTTGACATTTAGTATGAAACCGAGTACAGTATAAAGGAAAGAGAATAGAAACGGGGGGTGTTAGATAATAATGGTAGTGACTTTTGATATAGCGACTTATTATCACATCTCTTGGATGTCTCGAAAGCGCTTCAAAGAATATACTGGAAGCGGAGGATTGTTGAGAAGGGCATTATGGGGGGTGGGTGGGGGGTGGGGGGGAGATACCTTTGCAATGAGGTGGGTGGTCGGGTGGGTGGGTGGGGTGGTGCTGGGGTTGGCTGTTGTGTCAGGTTCTGGGAGGTGCGGCCCGCGGGCCGCCAGTTGACCGAGTGTGAGAGAGAGAGGTGCGAACTGAACTGAACTGTGCGCGGCGACGTCACCGAGGCCCCGCCCCCTCCCCCGTGACAGCCGGAAGCGGGCGCGGCGGCACGTGACCCCCGGCCGGAAGTGTCGGTGTGTGAAGGAGGAAGAAAGAGAGAGAGAGAGAGGGAAGGAGAAAGGAAGGAAGGAAGAAAGGAGAGGAGAGGCCGCTGGGCTGTCACGGGAAGGTAAAGGGCTATTGGCGGTTGTTACCGGGACCCCCCCCCCCCCCCGAGCCCGGGGCTGGTGTCATGGCGGCGGCGCTGCTGCTGTTGCTGTTGCTCGGCTCCGGGCCCTTTGTGTGTCCCGACTCTCCCTCCTCCCCCCGGCGGCCACCTTAACGCCTGTCAATCAAGTGGCCGCTCACCTTCCCGGGCGGCGCCCAGAATCCCTCCACTGAAATAACTGGAGAGGTGGAGAGGAGGTGGAGAGGGGGAGAGGGAGATGAAGGGGGAGGGGGGAGAGAGGGAGAGAGAGATGGAGAGGGAGAGAGAGATGGAGAGGGAGAGAGAGAGATGAAGGGGGGGGGGGGGGGAGAGAGAGATGGAGAGGGAGAGAGAGAAATGGAGAGGGAGAGAGATGGAGAGGGGGAGACAGAGGGAGATGGAGAGGGGGAGAGAGAGGGAGATAGAGAGATGGAGAGGGGGAGACAGAGGGAGATAGAGAGATGGAGAGGGGGACAGAGAAATGGAGAGGGAGAGAGATGCAGAGGGGGACAGAGAAATGGAGAGGGAGAGAGATGGAGAGGGGGAGAGAAAGGGAGAGAGAGAGAGACAGGTGGAGATAGACAGAGAGGTGGAGAAGGGGGAGAGAGAGAGAGATAGACAGATGGAGAGGGGGAGAGAGAGATGGAGGGGGTGGGGGAGAGAGAGAGAGAGACAGGTGGAGATAGACAGAGAGGTGGAGAGGGGGGTACAGAGAGAGATAGACAGATGGAGAGGGAGAGAGAGATGGGGAGAGGGAGATAATAACAACAATAATCTTTGCATTTGATACAGCACCTTATCATGTCTTCGAGACGTATCAAAGTGCTTCTGGCAATATACTGTAAAGCGAATTGACTCTGTGTTTTGTGGGCGAAATACAGAGAAGAGATAGACAGATCGGTGGGTACACGGTTGGATAATTTGGTCGCTCAATGCACGACTGTTTGTGGGGACGTCGCTGTGCGCCATTGGCTGCCGCGTTTCGCCCACAAATATGCACAGTCACTACATTTTACAGTCTATCCTGTGAAGCGCTTTGCGGCGTCTCAGCAACGAGACAAGGCGCTGTATCAAATGCAGGTTGTTGCTGCTGCTGTTGATGGTGACGATGGTAGTGCTCAGTGTCTGCTGTATTTATTTGTTGAAGCAAAACTGTGTATGTTGTGGGCGAAACGCAGCAGACAATTGCGCAGTGGCCCACAAACAGTCGTGGAGTGAGTAACCAAATTATTTATTTGCTCGTGAAGGGATTATTACCCGCGGAAAAGCGATCCGCCCAGTTTTGCTGCTAATGTAGCAGGAATCCTCAGGAGCAGTACTGTTGTGATAAAAGGACTGCTCGTTTTGTAGTCTGTAATCGGATCAATTATCTCTGCATAATGTATGAAGAGTGTCTGTGAAACAGGGGTGTGCTTTTGCATTTATAATGAATGGCATTGGCGGAGTGATTGTCATCCGACGATTCTGCACGAGGGCTGCCAACGTTTCATCTCGAGCTTAGAATTTTTATGCAAGGAAGAAGACTTCGTGTCAGCCCGGTTGCAGTTGGTATCGCTCTTACCTCGGAGTCAGAAGGTCGTGGGGCTCAAACTCCACTTGGGAACTTGGAACTCGCGTAGTCTAAACCAGTGGTGACCGCCAATCTTTTTCAACCAAATAAATTTTCTTGATTCAATGTTTTTGGACGAATGCTGTGGGTGCGTCTAAACTGACACTCCAGTTGAGTGCTTGGGGTGCACCGCATTGTTGGAGGCCCCGTCTTTTGGATGAGACGTGAAACCGAGGTCCGGTTTGCTTGTTTGGTGGACGTTCCATGGCAACGCTCGAAAAGGGACAAGCAGACAGAACATCAGTGGCCCTGGAAGTGGATGCAATAGTGTATTTATATTAGCAAAACTCTTCCGCTTTGCTTACCATTAATGTTTTAGTAAAGCAAATTTTATTTTCATTTGTGTGCATTTCCAGCAATACCTTACCTTATCTGTGAAGGTAGCTCACCTAGCAATCTGGATAAGGATAATATAGATCCCTGACTTTACACAGATGCTCTGAATCCAAAATAATGTGTGTGGTGGGAGGGGTATAAAGTCCAACAAAGTCCCCAGACCCTAAGACCATTAGCTGCTTCACATGTGGAAGATGGCATTCTGAGGATAATTTCCTTGCTGTTCCTAGTGTTCAGGCATTTGTTGACTTCTACTAAAAGATTTGAGTCTCCCCGCCAACGCCTTGCCTCCTCCCTTCCCGTCTTAGATCACACTTGTCGAGACCTTCTTCTTTGACCGTGCCTACAATCACCTCCACTCTCTCCCAGCTCGGCGTCAAGCTCTGCCGCAATTAAGCACTCCCAAAGTTGCTACCCTGCATGAAGGTCACCATATAAACTCGAGTTGTTGTTGGATGTCTGCACGCCTGCACCTTGTGGCTTCTGGATTCTGACATAAGCTCATTTGCTATGTCCTTGTGTTCAAAGTCCTCCTCGGGAAGAAGCTTGTGGAGGCACACAGTCCGATTAATCTGATCCAAATCCTGTTGGTGTTACAGATTCCACGCTCGCTCTATGTGACGTTGTATGTGTGGTAACAACATGTCGGTGCCGCTGCTCTCTGAGGCTGCGATTGTATCTGGGTCAGAACGGGAGACGGCAGCGGTAAGTAAACAAAATGTGCTCGTGGTGTTGCTTTTTCTATATCCATCTCCTGTCAAAACAAATTAAATCAAAGTAAATTTTAAAAACTACTACTAATAATAATAATAATTCGGTCACTCGGTCCACGACTGTTTGTGAGACACCGCTGGGCGCAATCGGCTGCCGCGCTTCGCCCACAAAGTACACAGTCACTACGCTTTGAGACGTCTCGAAGACGTGCTAAGGCGCTATATCTTATGCAAGGATTATTATCTGATTTGTGAAATAGGTTTCAAACTTACGAAAAGAGGAGTGGGGTTTCCAAGACTGTTCAGCCTCCCCTATGTGATGAAGTCATAAGCGTTCTGAGTCACTACCCACCTGAAGAGCGCTATATAACTGCATGTTGTTGTTGAAGTGTCCCCAGCCACTCCTCAAGCTTAGCAACTCTGAGCTCCAGCCTAAGCAGTCAGAGGCACTATCCATTTGTGACCATTCCTGCCACGTGAAGAATCCAGGAATATTGTTACTATTCTGTGTGCAGGTGTTTAGTCAGCGGTGGCGAGATTTCTAAATCCACTTTGTGAGAATTTGAAGATAATATTCTTATCCGTATTCATATTGTGATTAAATTTATATCTTGTTCTTGATAGCGGAAAATAGCTCGAAAGAAATATTATTTTTCCCCTCAGCCTTTTGCCTCAGTTGTTAGTGTGATGTAATTTTATACGGTAGTTGTGATTTTGTTGTGTTTTACAGGTTATTTTCCTGCATGGGCTTGGAGACACTGGGTAAGTTAACTTACGCTCATTTCATGAAAACTGCTTGAGCAAAATTCGTCATTTAATTGAACCGAAATCCGTCAAAAGCGAAAATCCGAAGAAAGGAATGTAGAGGCAGCATCTTTGGAGAGAGGAAAGTGAGTTAACGTTTCAGGTCGATGACCTTTCAGCAGGACTGGGGGTTGTTGGAAGGGAGCAGATTATAAAGACAAACAGAGAAGCAGAGCGGTGGGGGAGAGAAAGACAAAGGAATTAATTAGGTGGAGGAGATAAGATGATGAGGTCAGAGGTTTTGATAGCGCGAGACAGAGGTGTTGGTGTGGTTTTGTCAGACATAGAATATGTTGATGCAGAGAGGATAACTGGAGGATGTGGTTGAATATTTCTGTGTGTAGATTCAGTGCAGATTGGTTTAGAATAGGAGTTGGTTTGCACGGGCACCTTATCTTTGCATTAGGATGTGAGCTAAACAAGCTGTGAAATCTTACCTTTTCAGTCGTGGCTGGGCGGAAACAATGTCATCTATTCGACTTCCCTATGTGAAGTACATCTGCCCTCACGCGTAAGTACTGTGTAGTTTTTACCATTTTATGTAAAATTTGGTGTTTTAGCCTGGCTTCACAAGAGGATTAACTTAAAGAGACTCAACACTGGTGGCACAACAAAGATACAATCTGGAAAATACAAACAATTCAAATGCGTCTGATGTTTGTATTCAGATGACATGTTACATTTCAGTCTCCAAATCAGGTGAATTTCTTGTGCATGTTGTTGCAGGGATTGTATCTTTTAAACTTAGTTTTGCAAATATCAGAAATAAAAAGAGCGCTCAGAACATTAAGCAATGTGACTGGAGTCGGAAACAGTAGTTACAATCGGGTAACCAGTCAAAGGCTGAAATTCTATCAGCTGTTTGATAGAATTTGTGTGATATTATAATAGGGAAAATTGGCCTAATCTGGTCCTGGGGTGTAATGATCAAAACCGGAAACTGGTTAGGCCCAAACCAACATGATTTAGACCAAAAAAATCCCGACATTTTAGAAAATTAATAGCTCATTTTACTTCTTCAGGCCGAGCATTCGTGTGGAACTGAACAGAGGACTTATCATGCCATCCTGGTAAGTCTTCAAGATTCAGATTGTTTTTTTCTACCCCATTATAGTCCGTGACTCGTATTGTGGTGAAATTCCACAGGAGCTGTGCGTGAGAGCCCTTTTGGTGCCTGTTTTTTCCTGTGTGAGCCTAAAGATTCAGCAAACAGCACCAGACCACGGGGAACTTCTTTTGTGATGCTTTCAAGTTCAGGACAGGGGAAGTGACATTGGCAATGCTTCCTTCCTGCACCTGGCTTCCGTAGTGAAGTCAGTGACGACCTAACAACTCAGAAGTTTGCCATCTTTAGCGCAGGAAGCGAGTTAGTCAGTGTCACAGGCCAGGTTTCAGGCCCACAGTGTAAGTGAGGAACACTGTTACTGTGGGGTTCCCCTGTCATTGAATTTGGCTTGAACCAAATTCTTATTTTCCCTCCTTCCCACCCTCATGCAGAAAGCAATTTCCTTCTAACTAAAGTTTGATGTCAGTGTTCAGGTATTTTATTTATAACCATGTGGCATTATTGAAAGTGTGCCCTGTCAATGATCCCTCATGTTCTTTAGGTTTAACCTGATGGGTTTAACCCCGGATGCCAAAGAGGATGACCCTGGTATAAAGAGAGCATCAGAAAGCAGTAAGTCTTTGCTACACACTCTTCTCTGTACGTGACAAGGTTTCTTTAGGACCACTCTGTATTGATTAGCTAAACACTTGTAAGCTGTGTATCTTCTCAATTTGCATGGCTTCATGGATGTTTGTGGGACATTGTTGCCTGCCTTGTTCACACATAAATGCACACAATGACTGCACTTGACAGTAAAATCTGGTGAAGCGCTTTGAGACGTCTTGATGACGTGGTAAAGCACTGTATCAAATATAAGCATTATTATAAAAGTGTAAATATAGTGGACACTGTGAACAAAAGGGATGGGAATGAAACATGTCACTAAACTAACAACTTTGTTATTTTCAAAGTTAAAGCAGTTATTGAACATGAAATCAAAAATGGAATTCCTTCACATAGGATCATTCTAGGAGGATTTTCACAGGTAATTCCTTTGGTGATTTCTGTTCTCCTTTGAGTGACTTTTGTTTCATGGTCTGAATGGTTATCAATAAGAATAATCAATCTGTCTTCATTGTTCTACAGGGAGGTGCGTTATCTCTCTACACTGCTCTGACTTCTCATCACAAGCTGGGAGGTGTTATAGCCCTCAGCTGCTGGCTCCCTCTTCATAAAACCTTCCCTCAGGTACCGTAACACTTCTGCCGGGCAGCACAAAGGTGTTTTTCTGAACTCACAGAGTCATATTTTGCTAAGCTGTTAACTTACCTGTGAAAGTAAGTCTGTCCATTTGAATTGATTTATTTTATTCAAACAAAATCTTTTGTTTCTATACCTCCCTTTTCCATCTTCCCCTCTTGCCGAATCATTGCTGTTTCAATATGGTAATCACTCAAGTCTTGATATTCAAACAATTTAAACAAAAATTCCTTCTAACTTTCCAAAATAGGAACTCAATAAATTATGATTTTTTTTATAATGTCCCATTTCATAGCCAATCCCCAAAATAGAAATTTACATTTATACCTTCCACGTCTCACCGCACTTAGTTCCTAAATTCTTCTCTTATAAAATGTAACTTTTTTTAAAACAAAGCTTTCAAATAATGTAACTTTTCCCCTGATTTAGGCAGCAAATATCAGTGGTAACAAGGACGTCAGCTTCCTGATGTGCCATGGTGACAGAGATCCCCTGGTGCCGATGGAGTTTGGTATGATGACAGCAGAGAAACTGAAAACTATTATCAATCCTGCAAGAGTTAATTTCAAGACATATCAAGGGATGCAGCACAGTTCCTGTTCCTCGGTCAGTGATCTGCGTTGCTTCTATTCATTTATAGTTGACTTAATCCAACCTAGTCTGCTCCCGGTAGCATTTCGTCAAGAAGTTTACAATGGTGTACATGCTATAAGTGAAGGAAAGACTTTAATCAGTTCCTGTAAATGGGTGGATTCATTAAAGGTGATGTGTTGTGAATTTGAGGTGTGTTCTTTAGACTAGATTGGTGCATTAGCTGGTTGGTGATTATAATAACTTAATGGATGGACAATACATCCAAAGCGTTTAATACTACTTGCTGGGCACGTGAGCTTGGGGGGGAGGCCAAGGGGCATAGGGAGGGTATAGTTGACTGAAAGCACAGACAAAGAGGTAGGCCTTGACTGAGATGAGGGAGGAGCGAGCGAGTCGGAAAGACACCAGGATGTAATGTGAGAGAGTGTGGGGCAGAAAAGCCAACAAGTACTGTATATACCTTCTAAAGGCACCATTTTAATAGTAATATTTCTCACAAACAGGAATTGATGGCTGTGAAAGAATTCATTGAGAGTCAACTCCCACCGGTCTGACTCAAGAGAGCAGCGCATCTCTGAGACCCTGTGTTCAACTCTCAACTGAAACCAAGCCATGTGCAAACAACCTCAGCTCTTTTATGGACCATTTTATTTGTAATAGTTTTTTTAAATAGAGTTCTGTGAGTACTGTAGGATGGACGTATTCGGGACTTCTTATACAGGCATACTCCGAAGTCCCTTCAGAAGGTCGTGTCTTGTTATCAGTATGCTAATGGCTGCTTTTGAGGCCAAGCGCCTATTGGAACTTTAGATCTTTCTTGCTCAATGAGTATGTATCCATGCCCTTGTAGACTCCAAGCACAGCTTCTATTTCACCTCTTCAGCGATAGTACAGCAGTCGATAAAATATTCCTGCAGCAAAATTAAGCATTTGCAGATTTCTGCAGGGCTCCAAAACAAACCTTACTAAAAATGTGTCTAAGTCACACATGTATTCAATCTCTGAGGATTACGGAGCTGTGTTTGAGTCTCTGGGATGTTGTTGGATCGATGCTGCAAATTGATGGAGGTCAAATGAATGTCATAATTTTAATAACCAGTGAGTAAAGTGGCCAGCGTTGCTTTTCTGATTGCAAATGGCTTTTGCTCAATCAACAGTTCCGACACAGACTGGCCTGTTGAGAACCTGGCCACGTTGGCAATAAATAATTGTCGAGTCGGCAAACCTCATTTATGAATCATGGGATCGGTGTTTCGAGTGCAGATATAGTCTCTTGACGGATGTAGTTATATTGTTGATCAAATCGTTTTTTTTTAACTTATTTGTTCGTTTTCTTCTCTGTGACTTACTGAATTGAAAACGGTTAAAGTACTTTTCACCAAATTCTGACCAAATTCATGGGGACTTGAGTGTATGTCTGGAGTTGCTGAGATGCATATAGTGGGGAGAATTGGGCAGCTTTGATTTAATGTACAGCAATGACTCGATAATCTAACACACGTTATTAAAACGGGACATGTCACTGGAATTTGATGAGGTTGCAATAAACCCAGCAAAGTATCCAGCTTTGAACTCTCAACTCCACCAAACAGGGTTCTAGGTCATGCCTTCCACCTCTGTGATCTTCTTTCCAGTTCTTGCGAGGCGTTCAATTGTAAATCCTGGGACACTGGGTGCTTTTGTTTCTCAAGGAAGAGTAGAACATGACTGGTCTGTTCAGGGAAACCCACCTCCAATTTGGGATGAAGAACAGATGTGTTTTGGAAAAAGACTGGAGCTGTCAATAATAATAATAATCCTTGCATTTGATATAGCGCTTTTCACGTCGGGAGGACGTCCCAAAGTGCTTCACAGAACACACTATAAAGTGAATTGACTGTATATTTGTGGGCGAACGCGGCAGCCAATTGCGCACAGCAATGTCCCACAAACAGTCGCGGATTGAAAATGACCAATTTTATTATTGTTTTTGGTTTTGGAGGGATTATTATTAGGCTCTGTGTGGAGTAAGGAAACTTGCCCAAGGTTTCGCCCTCTGCCTGGAATTGAACTCAGGTCTCTCGCTTGCAAAGCGAGTGCTCTAACCACTGAGCTACAGGACTCCTAAACAGGACTTCAGTAAGGATCAGGAAAAGATGATGGTAGGAACTTCTTATCCACTGCTTTGAATAATAAGATTGATGTGTAGAAATAACTTAGTGGTAGGTTTATTTATTCGACTGGTTAAGGTTTGATCATTGATGGCCTGGCAGATTTCAGTTTGGTGCTATAGAATGAGAAGATCTGGCTTAGCACCTTGGGACATCCTCCCGACGTGAAAGGTGCTTTACAAATGTAATTTGTTGCTGTTAGCCCCCACAGTGATCCACACCGAGTGTCAGTTCTCTCAGGTGTATCACTGTAGAGAGATACAGTGTGAGGGCAGATGGCAGAAATGGTTAGCCTACTCCGCTGTGTGTTCCCCTGAAGCCTTTATCAGAATGGCATCTCTGGTGTCCTTGGAAAACATACAAAATGTCAAGCGACTGGCCGGAGGGTGGAAGGCAAACTAGATAGACCTTGGTCTTCTTCCGCCAGCAAATTCTTATGTTCTTATGCTGACTGCTGCCAGGCCCTGTGGGGGTGGGGAGGAGGAGGAGGAAAGGGAACAAATCACCTTGAGCAATGTGGCTGAGCAGCTCTTTTAATAGAGCATCAAGGTTAGAGGTGTGGATTAAGCTACTTGTACATCATTGTTGGCTGGGTTCAACTCCAGGAGAGAGGAGTATGTACCAAGGGTGTAGACTAGCACAGAGAGATGTAAATAGCTATTTAAACTTCAGCATTGTTTAGCACTCCAACATACTCTTCTTGTCAAGGAGGATCATTTGGGTTAATCACCGGTATTTATTAAAGTAAAGTAGGAGAGTTACGTGATGGTGTCTCCGTCACTGATGAATTGTAAATGACATTGGTACAAAATAATCTCATTTGTCTTTGTTGCTTCCTTACTTTATTTTTAACCCTAATTTATTTTAAGGCAACGGCTTTACCTTTAGCCACTGCTAAACTTGGAGATTATTAATCCAGTTTCCTCAGATACTATTGGGAGTTTATGCAAATACTTATAAATATGCAATTGTTTTCCTGACTCCCATATTGTTGTGATCTAAGTCAGTTGTGTATTTCAGTACTGCATGACTACAGTTATGAAAAGTGTCTGTCCATTTGATGACATTTATTGATATTAGTCGATTGGCAGATTGCTTTCTGGAGGTAATAATCCCTTCCCCAAAAAAAATAATAATTTGGTCACTCAATCCATGACTGTTTGTGGGACACTGCTGTGTGCAATTGGCTGCTCCATTTTGCCCGCAAAATATACAGTCAATTCACTTTACAGTATATTCTGTGAAGCGCTTTAAGACATCTCAACAATGGATAAGGTGCTCTATCAAATGAAGGGATTATTATTATTATTTATTGAAGGCAACATCTTTTGGGGAAAATTTTCCAGCAAAGCCCTGAGTTAGTTCAGAATAATATCCTGATATACCAATTCTGACAACATTTTTATGGGTTTTTCTACAGGTATTGAGCAATATTGTACATTGTGATAGTTTTCGACATATTTGTCATTAATATTATTATAGAAATCCTCCTGAGTATAAGCAATTCTATTTAAAAATTTAGTCAAATTGCACAAATTGACATGGGTTCGATTGACAAATCATCGCTGTATCTCCGCCTCGCTTGTTGCATATCCCCTATTCAGTTTAAAAAATATGTTGTGAAACCATCATAATGTAAAGTAATATCGGGGAATGTTGGGAAAATGAAACCAATTAAATGAATGACCTTTGTCACTGTGGTTGTCTTCCATTAATTCTCATCGAATTCCAGAAAGAACGATTTCATTTCTTTTTAATATCACAACAATTTTTCTTTTGTGACTGTGGATCTTCTTCGGTGCAGCTGTTGAAATGACCCATGACGTCAATCCTGTTTATCCTTCCTGACCCTAACCGTGCTGTTGATTATAGCTGTGACCTCTGTATCTTTAGTCAGACAGAGCACCTGTCACTGTGCTGGAGCATCCCCAATGGCTGAATTGGCCTTGGTGTCAGCGATATTCTAAGTGCTCTGAGACGCTACCTTGCATGGAGGGCGTTATATAAGTGTAAGCTGCTGTTGATATAGATAGCTGTGTCTAACTTTATAGCTTTATCTTTACTACAGGGGAAAGTACAGAGACCAGCTAAAGAACTGCAAACCACTGAATATGCACATGTTCTGATTATTGTGGAATCTATCACAATATTCACAGGCTGGTTCCTACAGCACCACATTTTAGCCACTGTTAAACTTGGGAGATTATTAATCCAGTTGGCTAGAAAATATTGGGAGTTTTTTATGCAAATACTTATATGCAATTGTTTTCCTGACTTTCATATTGTGATCTGAGTATTTCAGTGCGCTGCAATTGACTAGTTATGCAAAGCGTCCATTTGATGACATTTATTGTTGTTAGTCAATTGGCAGATCGCTGTCTGCTTGATGTTTGATGGAGCGGTTCTGTTGTGTAAATGTCCCGTCGGCCGGGTTTCTGTTATAATGATGTTGTCTTTCTCTGTCCCCTTCTGATGTAAACATTTAGAGATGTGGTGTCCATTTTAATGTGAATCTTATATTTATTTTCCGTATGCGAAGTAAAACAAACTTCTATCTAATCCAACTGCTGATTAGCCAGAGGTTCTGAGCAGACGCGAGGCATTTTATTGCAGGGGTGGACGTAAGCAGGACATTCAGACACCTATGTCTGTCAAAACCACTGAGTCGTTGGTTGCAATGTCCTTGCCTGCCTGTTAGGGCAGAATGACCAAGGGAGAGAGAAGGGGATCGAGTTGTTTTTAACCTGAGGAGTAAATTCATTTTGTAAGAGCCAATAGATCATTTAGGTTTTCCTCGAGGCTATGAGTTTTACTTTGAAAAGTTGAGACACAAATCATAACCAAAACAGACATATCACATAGTTATTTTCACTTACGTTATCTTCTGGTTTAACTACAATCTGTGCCTGACAGTGAGGTGTTCAATGTACTTATAACAGTAAGATGTTGCCTAAAACAGCTAACTTAGGTTTTTTTTGCTGTTCTTCAGCTCAGAAATGTATTGATGCTGCATCCAACTCTTACCCTCCATTTATTGGAGATTTCTCCAGATATCCTGAATACATATTCAAGTTAATCTCGCATCAGATCAAGGCAAAACCTGGTTGGGTTTGGCTTTCTCACATTTTTTTTGATATACAATGTCAGCTGTGTGTTGAAGGATCTGCATTTCAGATACAAGAATAGAGATGCTGTGTGTACTTAATGGTAAATAATGATGATGGGTGGACAGCTGGGGCAGTAGTTAAATCTGCTTTCTGATTACTTCTTGATATTTATTTTTGCGCAGTGATATATGTGGTGGAAATAATAAGCCGGTGTATTTGAGTGGAATGTTTTTGGGTTTAACTACATTCATTCAGTGTCTGGCTGCGATGCAGGGCAATTACGTTACAGCTGATTTCCTAAACTGTCTGAGGGAGACTCCTATTTAGAGAATCCATTTTGTGTTCCTGCATAGCAAGCCCTTTGGAAAAAAAAGTAAAATGATGTCCGTCTGACGATATTCTGTTCCGTTTAATCTCCTGCAGCTGAATTTGATTTGTTTTAATTCAGCGTTTTAATTTTCTCATGATTTTCTATTTAATGCGAGACTGAATAAACGTGGCATCTATTGAATTCTGACAGAGGATCGCTTCAATACCGATAAAGGCATGGATTTTAGGTGTTGGTCCTAAGCTGTGCCTGGAGTTACATATCCCTGGTGTGATTTTCTTACCTTTAATCTAATTTATTTATTCCATGTTTTCTATTTTTAACCATCTCCTGACTTGTTAGCTCCTAAAAGGAGATTTTGTTCCCTGTACAATGTGGCTTTGCTCACAATAGCTATTATGGTAAAAGATACTTGAAATATTTCAATAGAATGGGTGTGAAAACTTGTTTAAATGCTGATCCTAGTGAGAAATAGGCTTATGCAACAGCTCAGTGGAATTCCACACCAGATTTTTTCAGCTTCCTCCAGTTACAGGGACAAAGAGTAGGAACAAAGCAATCACTGAAATAGTTTAGTCTGTACAATTGTAACATTTCAGCATATTTCTAATTTAGTCAATGGTCTCATGACAATCCTTTTAAAAAAATGTAACTTCCATTTTAATTTCAAGTTGGAGAATGATTTATTTAGTGCATTAAATGAAACGGTTCCTGGTTTGTTTTAGCTTTAATCTCACACTTGACCACTTTTGCTTCCTCCCTCAACCCCAAGCCATTCCCCCAGTAATGACCAGAAGGTACCTGTGAGAAAATGCAGAACGAAGCAGTTGTTATTTGGGTGGAGGGAAGATTTTTTTAAATTAACTCATTTTCCGGGGGTAACTGCTCTATCTTCCTTTCCTTTGTCAAGACTAGAAGCAAATAAAGACATTGTGCAGATACACTTAGTTGTATTTATTTCAAATGAATGACATTTTTCCTTTTTTTAAAAAAAGTTCAAACTACCACAACCCCACACCGTATTTGTGTAAAAGTGACTGATCAAACCTTATAGTGAAATATAAAAACATCATTGAATAATCAGAAACCACCCCCCAATCTGGATATCAGATGATGTGGTCTGACAGCCCAGGTAACCTCGCAATAACTAGTTAAACTGAGCTGCAAACAAAGTTATTGTATCCTGAAAATGCAAACTGATTGTAATCACTTTCTTGAAACCGACTAAACTGTTTTAATCACGATTAAACCTTTTCCCAACTGGACTGTTTTCAGATGAACAGACTGGATCCAGTAAATATTGGACTGATGCTGTTTTCCCATTGCTCCTCAATCAGATTTGAATTTGGTCCCAACACGCTTCAAGAGGAACTTTTTCTTTTACATTCTAAAAAGTACTTCCTGCTCCCAAATCTATTACGATTCCCTGAACGCTCCCTATCCCTGCTCTTATTACAATTTAATAAATGAATATTAATGTTCAAAAGTTTTTTTTAAAAAAAGAACAGTTCACAGATGAGGTATTAGGATGCCGCAGTCTTGCTGAAGCCTTGAGGATTTTGTGATTGCCAACACCATAAATCTTCACCTAAAGTAGAAAGAATGTTTTGAAAAATTACTTTGAGGCAGAAACTTACTCGGGACACGATAGGAAACGGGAGATATTCAGACCATCAAGTCCCTGCCCCTGGTTATTAATCTTTCAAACCTATACTTTTACATGTTGGGAGGCACTCCCAACAACTATGACCGCATGCAAAGGCAGATCGCATTAAATATAATAACAATAATCCTTGCATTTGATATGGCGCCTTATATTAAGATATCACAAAGCGCTTTATTCTAAAGTGGATGAACTGTGTGTTTTGTGGGCCAAACGCAGCAGCCAATTTACGCACAGGAGCGTCCACAAATGGCCATGCAGTGAGTGAGCATGCTTTATTTGGCCGGGGCACTGAGAGAAACTTAATTCTCTACTTGAATAGCGCGGTGGGATCTGAGCAGGCAGATGGGGCCTCGGTTTAACGTCTCATCTGAAGGACGGCACCTCTTAACAACCAACACACCCCCCACCACTGCATTGGAGAGTCAGCTTAGAGTTCCAAGTCCCAACTTGGACCTGGAACCCATAATATTCAAGCTCAACTGAGCCAGCCTGAGACTCGCGACTTTAAAAATAAAATACATTTTTCCACGATTCAACTATTGAATAAAATGTGAGCAGACGTGACACAAATGTAAATTATTTGAGTACTTACACATCTTATCAAGTCCATACTGTGCCTTCCAGCCAAGCTCCACCTCTGCATGAGCTGGGTTAGCGTAACAGGAAGCAATATCTCCTTCTCTCCTGGGAGCAATCTGGTATTTAATCTGCGCACAAAAAAAGGTTTTTACAACTCATTGGAGATGTCGTGTCGATTCTCAACCTGACCACAAGGTGACGCATTGACAGAAGCCGGTGATTCAACAGTGCTTAAGACACTCACCTCTCTTCCTGAAGCTTTCTCCATCGCTTTCACCATCTGCAGCACAGAATAGCCCGTCCCAGTGCCCAGATTATATACCTGTAGGGAAAGAGGAACAGGTCACCGTGAAGACGCATCGACTTAACGTCAGTTCTAAGGAACAGAAAATGAAATTGTTCCACTGTCGGAAACTTGAGAGCAAAGGAAGTAAATCGTCCACTGCGACAGGTGGGTAACAAACCTTGCAGCTGCATCTCTCTTTAAGTTTCTTCAACGCAGCAATGTGTCCCTTTGCAAGATCGACCACATGAATGTAATCCCGGACACCTTAAACGGGAGAGAACAAGTCCTTATAATGGTTTGCAATCAGGCAAATGACCACGCACACCCAAACCCAATCTTAATTTTGTGCGCAATCGGCTGCCGCGTTTCGCCCGCAAAACACGCAGTCACTCCCACTTTACAGCACTGTGAAGCACTTTGAGATGTTTTATTGATGTGATAAGGCGCTGTATCGAATGCAAGGACTATTATTATATTACCTGTCCCGTCACATGTCTGGTAATCATTCCCAAATACATTTAGGCTCTGCTGGCGTCCAATAGCAACCTGCGAGGAAGTGAAACCACACTGAGTGAAATCCAGATACTTTAACCTTCTGCTGCTTCTAAGTTAAGAGTTGACTATCACATCAGCCACCAACAGTCAGGATGTACACAGGAGACCCTGATCAAAGGAAAAAAGAAAACTCACCTGCGCGATGTATGGCAGCAAATTGTTAGGAATGCCCTGGGGATCTTCGCCGATTTTCCCTGATTTGTGGGCTCCGATGGGATTGAAGTATCGTAAGAGGACAGCATTCCAACCCTGAACAGAAAGCAGTCTGTTAATCCTTCCAGACATGTATCTGAATCTCTTGGGTTCAAACACTCGAGAGGTGGTCCTGGAAATAGGAACCAACTGTGGGAATGCAGTCCAAGCAAACACCCAAGTTGATGTAGCGCTCAAAACTTCTCATCCAATTTAAAACGAAAACATTAATAATAATTCTTGCATTTGATATCGAGCCTTATCACGTCAGAAGGATGTCTCGAAGCGCTCCATGAGATTTACTGCGAAATGAAATGGGTATTTGTAGGCAAACTCCTATGGGATTCAATTCCACTGGCATCGGGAGCTTTTGGGTAGCTCACACAAGTATCCCATTCTTGTGTGTAAGCCTGGCTCAGCTGGGAACACTCTCGCCTTGAAATCAAAACACTGTGGGTTCGAGTCTACTGTCAGGATTGCAAACGCACACTCAACAACAAAAACTTGCATTTATATAGCGCTCCTCACACCGGGTTAGAGTCCCGGGACACTACCTCACTCACTCAACAACCAGCAAGAAATCCAATCAATCGCTTGACCAGCTAAGCCATTGATCACTTGACGTGACTGTAGGATTAAGGGAAGGGCAACCGGCTGGACGCTGCTTCCCAGGCGCACTTCCTATCACAATAATACATCACCACAGGAACTGAAGCACAATCTGAAGTCAAGTGCATTATAGGGGTAGACTGTCAGGGGCCACATTCCAATCCACATCAGCAAACCCGCTGATAACAAGTGTTCTGCTGAACATCGAAACAGGTTATTTGCTTGGAACTTACCTTCTCTGCACTACACAGATCTTTGATTATTTCTTCGATGAAGTACTTTGTTTTCCCGTAGGGATTAGTGCAGCAACCTGCAGGATGGGCCTCGTCTATCGGCAGGTATTTGGGGTCGCCATATACGGTGGCGGAACTGCTGAACACAATGTCTTTGACATCATGTGCCTTCATGGTCTGTAAGCAAAAAAAGAATAAATCCGTTTGAAAATGGTGCGAATGGTCACCACCTCGAAGGTTAGACCAGTCACGTTTGTGGTCAGTGCTGTTCTGCACCTCATTGCTCAACAAGGATTTTCTTCAATACAATGGGCAGCAATTAGGATTATTTAGCTCCAGAATAAAAGTCACACACACACACGCACAACAGCAATATGCAGGATCAAACTGACCACGAGCAGAAATAACACTAAAAACTTAATGTAACATTTTTGAAAGAATTAATCACGAGAATATCTTTGGCATCCTGGTCGGCGATTTTATTTCAGGGATTTGGGGGCAGGACACGGGGAGAGAGAAACTCCCTTCGGAGTCTGTGGTGAAAACAAAACACATTCCATTCAACAGTCCGTTCATTCATTCAGAGTTTTTCTTGCAGTCGCTCAGTTATCCTCTGAAATAGTATAAAGGATAGTTACTCACTTACTGCATTGATGACAGATAATAAGAACAACAAGCAACATTGCCCCAAAGCTATTCTATGTGTCACCATTAATCTCCAACACTGACCTCTAACAGTTTAATGGTGCCGCTCAGGTTCACTTTGTAGTAGAGTAGAGGCTGCTGCACTGACTCTCCAACAGCCTTCAATCCCGCAAAATGGATCACAGCCGAGAAACTGTGCTGGGAAAGTAAGGAGCACATTCAATTATTGACATGAACTAAGTAACTGGCTGCCGCGTTTCGCCCACAAAATAACAGTCGCTCCACTTTGCGGTATATTCTGTGAAGCGCTTTGAGACGTCTCGATGACGCGATGAACCAAATGCAAGGATTATTATTATTATTATTATCTGCCTGCCTGCCAGCAATTTACAAGCATTAATTTGTTCCAGGCATTGAAGATACGCAGCATCTTACCTCTTTGAAGAGGGTCTGCAGAGCGCATTCATCCAGCAGATCGATTTGATGGAAGGCGATGTCGGTCCCCGTGATTTCCTGCACACGGCGAATACTTTCGGGCACTCCGTCAGCCCCTGGGATCAGAGACACAGAGGATCATTACATTTCTCACAGTGATTGCAATCGCAAACTATTCATTAGGGAAATGAGATCACTGAGGTCAGATAAAATAGCTGTTTTTTTTAATAGTTTACACAATCCCTGGAACTTCCAATTACAGGAAAAAAAATACCATTGGCTGCCTCATTTCACCCACAAAATCTACCGTCGATTCACTTTACAGTGTATTCTGTGAAGCGCTTTGAGACGTCTCGAAGACGTGATAAGGCACTGTATCAAATGCAAGCATATTATTATTATTAAGTTATTTTTCCAAACTTTCCTTTATTTTTCCACTTGGGATACTGAACAAGACACTTTAGTTGCTCCAGAGGCACACGTCCCTGATAGTCACTAGTAATTACTGGATGTTGCTCTACACTGCTGTAGAAGACTCAAAAGTACTGACATTTCCTAGTTAACACAGTTCTTAATCACTGTATTGCTAAAGCAGCCTCCCTCCCTTCCCCTCAGATAACAGTGCCACAAAGCCCAGTGAGGAAGAAAAGCAATACTAATATATATATATATGCACAGAAACAAATAATTGACAGATCAACTTCATCAGAAAATACAATAAATACTAAAGTTTTTGCTACCCTTAATTGCGTTGTGAAAGTTGTCGATCACAACAGGAATATATCCTGCTTCCACCAGCTCAATCACACAGTGGCTCCCGATGTAACCAGCGCCTCCCGTCACCAGGATCTTCTTTGCTGCCATTTCTCTGCAGGACTAGAAATCATAAAGGAAGTGAATTCACAACCAAAGCAAACATCAACTCCTTAGGTCAACAGCAAAAAGACGGTGACAGAAGCCAAAGCTCACATAAACCTGTGACACATACACAATCCATTGACAATTCATGTTTTCTCCCACAAAACATACAGTCAATTCGCTTTGCAGTATTTTCTCTGAAACTCTTGGAGGTGTCTCGAAGACCTGATAAGGCCCTATATCAAATGCAAGGATTTTTAATTCTCATTAAATTGAATAACTGTCATTATAAAATGACAAAAGATTATCCAGGAATCTAATCAAATTCTCTGCAAGTCTATGGAAGCAATAAGGAAATTGGGAGGCGAGCCTTTATTACAAGAAGCCTGGAACAGGAGACACTTCTCTTGTTACAATAATAATAATAATCCTTGCATTTGATATAGCGCCTTATCACGTCTTCTGTCAAATACAAGAGATAATTAAAACAGAGATTGATGGACACTTGGGCAATAGAGGTATGAAAAGGCAGCGTAATCGGGTGGACATTGGAGTTTGACGTTTAGCCAACGTGTGGAATGTGTCTCCTCTAGTTTCCACTATGTTCCATTCCCTTCCCAGACACAAACTCTTAAGTTTGTCTCTTTAAACTGGCTGCAAATGTTCCGCGAGTGCCCAGTAAGCACAATAAGAGCTCAGTTTGAATTCCCTGAAATTTGCCAAGAGCTGAAATTGCCCGGGAACCGCCGGGCCGCGCGGACACAGTGCCATTGGCTGTGGGATGAATGGGTGCTTTGTCTGTGCGTGAGTGAGTGAGTGTGTGTGGGTGTGTGTGTGGGGGGGGGGGGGTTGGGGAAGAGAGTGGATGTTGGGGTGGGGGAATATGGGGCAACAGTATATTTATGGGGGGAGTGTGTGTGGGGGGGATGTGGGAAGAGAATGTGTGTGGTGGTGGGGGGGAAAGAGTGTGTGGCTGTGTGTGTGTGTGTGTGGAGAGGGAGGACTGTGTGTGTGGGCGAGAATGTGTATATGTGGGTGGAGGGAGTGTGTGAGTGGGGGGGGGGGGGGGGGGGGAGTATGTATGTGTGGGGGGGAGTATGTGTGTGTGGGGGGAGTATGTGTGTGTGTGGGGGGGGGGAGTATGTGTGTGGGGGGAGTATGTGTGTGTGTGGGGGGGGGAGTATGTGTGTGTGGGGGGAGTATGTGTGGGGGGGGGGAGTATGTGTGTGGGGGGGGAGTATGTGTGTGGGGGGGAGTATGTGTGGGGGGGGGGGAGTATGTGTGGGGGGGGGAGTATGTGTGGGGGGGGGGGAGTATGTGTGGGGGGGGGAGAGTATGTGTGGGGGGGGGTATGTGTGTGTGGGGGGGAGTATGTGTGTGGGGGGGAGTATGTGTGTGTGGGGGGGGGGGGGGAGTATGTGTGGGGGGTGGGGTGTGTATGGGAGGGGAGCCTCCAGGAAGTGACTGTCACACACACCCACACCTGCACCGCGACGTGGCACCGGATCCGGACTGAATCTACACAGAGACCGGTTTGAAAACATGGGAGACGCAGAGGGGGGAGAGATGTGTGTGGGTGGGGGGGGATTCCCCGGGGGGGGGGAGGAGGGGGAGAGAGAGAGGGGGAAATCCCTCGGGGGGAGGCGAGGACTCCTCAATCACTCTGGACCCGCCTCAAGAGCAAAGCACCTGAAGCTGCAGGTAACCCCCTCCCAGCGCTCACCTGGTGCCAGGTAACCTTCACCCCCACAGCCCCCACCCCACACCCCACAGCCCCCACCCCACACACACACCCACCCACACAGCCCCCACACACCCACCCACAGCCCCCACCCCACACACACCTCCCCCCCACCACAGCCCCCACACAGCCCCCACCCCACACACACCACAGCCCCCACCCCACACACACCACAGCCCCACCCCACACACCCACCCACAGCCCCACCCCACACACACCTCCCCCCCACCCACAGCCCCTACACCCCCCACCCACAACCCCCACCCACCCACCCAGAGCCCCCACCCCACCGGGAAAGTAAGTGGTACAGAAGCCCTCACAGTCACTCACCTTCTCTCTGTGTCTGTGTCGCGGCGACAATGTATCCAATCGCCAGTGTATCCAGTCCGAGCCCCACTGACGCATGCGCCCTCCCGCCCCTCAGCCGTGCTCGCACTGCGCATGCTCCAACTCCAACTCCCCCCCCCCACACACACACCTCTCCCTCTCTCGCTGTTTCACTACGTGGCCACAGGCGGCGCTGTGGGACCTCTCTCTCTGTGTGTGCCATTGGGAGCCCCCAATCCAATCCCCTTTGCAAACAGTAATAATTAATACTACTACTACTAATAATAATAATATTAGTGCATTTGATATAGCGCTCCTCACGCCGCCTCCTCAACGTCTCAAAGCGCTTCGAGTGAAGCGACCGGATATGTCGTGGGCGAAACGCGGCAGCCGATTGCGTGGCTCGAAGCGACCGAGTTATTAATTGGGTTTTTTTTTCCTTCTCTTGAGGGATTGTTAAACCTCACGTATAAGTCTATCAGTTGGGAACCGTGCGTCAAACGTGACTCATGCGAAGTACGAGTCGTATCAATTTTTTTTAAAAAGAATTATAACTTGGTCACTCGATCCACGGCTGTTTGTTGGACGCTGCCGGGCGCAATTGGCTGCCGCGTTTCGCCCACAAAAATAGTCACTACACTTTACATTCTGTGCATTGAGGTGTCTCGAAGACTTGCACCACACACGCACGCACACAAAGGGTCAACACTAAAGATGCACTGACTCGGTCATCATTACTGCAAATTTAATCATGTAATAATCTGTAGTTGATTATGAGGAAACTACGTACAGATATATACATTAACACCGTGGTACATTAATAGATACTTTATTACATTGTTAAATATTTGCTCATGTTCCCTTAAAATAAAGATTTACCCATTTGAGTTCAAAATGTTTTTCATTTCTCTCCTCCTCCTCCTTCCCCCCCCATTTCTCTTTTTAAAATACAGGAGTTGTGCCTGTCCACATTTGCTTGGTTGGTTCACCAGGACAGTGTTTATTCATTCCCCACCCAATACAGTACATTTGTCAATCGGCAGCATTGCTCGTGTCAAAACTGTTTTGACTCAAACGGAAATCTTTTTGAGTTATCCGTTTCGGATGCACACGCAATGTGCTCTGCTTTGTGGCTCTTGTCTGTGATGGGGCCTGAACATGAACCATCCACCAGGTACGTATCTGCAAAGAAATTTCCACGACCCACTGCCTGAAAGAACATCACCTTAGTAATAAGCCCAACAAGAAAGAGCAAGTTCAGGCACAGTTTATTGTACGGTTGCTCCATTCTCAACGGACTTTGATTAACCCAGCACGAGCGAGTTAGGGCAGTTTTTCCCGACAGGTGAAGAAAACCGAAGGTTGCGCTGCTGGCGAGATATTTAGTTTCTCTACCGCGGGTCTGTGTTTCCCAGCAGAATCTCAAAATATTTAAAATTCTCAAATGCTAGTTGAATATTGAGCATAATTTCAGATCTGAAACATTTCTTACTCTGCACGAATTAAATATTAACCCTGCAGTGAGTGAGGTGACCAATCCAATCACACTGATGGTAGGAACAAAAAAAATACTGACGGGGATGGAAAAGCACAGCTGCCCATTGGTGCAACATTTAGGGATAAGAAGAGCTAAAATCTTGAAGCAATCATCTGAGCAGCTAAGATCAACCCGAAAGTTCTTGATCATTCAGGCAGTCAATTTCACATGTTTCACTCTCGTCTTTCTCCACCACCTCACAAACATTCATACCCAATTGTCAAAGAACACGATTCTCAATCCTTCTCTTGGCAGATTTGCATTTAACCAATATCGATGTCAAATGTTTACTCGACAGTACAAGGACAATACTTTATTAGCAGAAGTCATAGTTGATGAGAATGGCACTAATTATTTCTCCGACTGCATTTGTGTTTGCACAGTAAAAATGGCATCTATCGAACCATAAATTTCTACCCTTGTGGGGCGACGGAGTTCAGAGACCACAGTGAACTCCAAAAAGCATGAAGTGCGAAAGCCTAATAAGCTTTGGCACCGGGGAATAATGCAGAAAGAAAAACAAAAGAGAAAATCTGAACGCAGTAATTATAGGGGTAAGAACATTTTAAAAACAATGTCAACATCACCAGGGGTGGGTGAGGGGGGTCTGTGGTCACAAAAAAACTAATTCTTAGGGTGTCAGCACATTTGTAAAGGTAAAGGACTTTTTAAAATAGAATGATTAAAATTCTGGGCAGACAGGCTGTTCCAAGAGTGTTATATACAAGTAAAAACTATTGGGACGGGGCGGGGGGGGGGGGGGGGGGGGGAACATTTGTAAAGCCAGCCCTCCCCCCACCTCCAATTAAAAGAGCTGAACAGATACTTCTGAATCTAAAATGTAAATTAATAACATATTTTTTTAAGATAAGGTGTATTTCTGCCCACACAAAGTTCTTGGTAATGCAATTTGCACCAATTAGCTGAGCGAGAGCACGAAATGGGAGCAGGCAGCTCAGTGCCAGGAGCTGGTTAGGAGGATGGTTCAATTCATCGTTCGTTCAGTGTTTTTTTTTTTATCTTCGACTAAAACGGTTCTTGAAACATTTTATCGTTTTTGCCATCATTGGCGCAATTTCTGTAAACAAAACAAAGAGCAACAATGGTTTAATTGGTTTATAAAAAATATCAACGTCTTTCAAATGCCATGAATGCTACTCCATGCTCGGATCCAAATCCCCTGACTGTCCAGCGCCTTGGGACGTCCTCCCTACATGAAAGGTGCTGTGTAAATGTCATTTGTTGTTGTCTTGATTTTTCTTTGCATCTCGTTAAGGTGTCTGTGAACAACTGTCACTCTCTGGCGAAGATGATGGGAAGCCCATTTGCTTCTGGGTTTCTGACAAAACACTTTTTGAGATAATACAAACAATCCTTGCACTTTTCTTTCTCCCCACTACCCACCCCCCCCACACCCCACTGGCCAGTCACTGTATGTGAGTTGGCACCAACACGTTGAACCACTTGTACAGTGAATTTACCTTTTTATATAAATAATTGAAAGCATCATTAAAATAAGTACTGACAGGAGGGATCCCGAGCCAGCGTTAAATAGCAATAAGCAGAAACAAGAAGTCTCCAAAGTGATTCTTTGTTCAGTTCCCTCCCAATTTGCTCTGCTTTCTTTTACTTACTTTTGACCTGGGGTTTCCTGGATTCATAGCTTCCTCCGCTGCTGGGGGGAGTCAGACTGGCCATCGACGCGTGGCTAGAGCTGGAGCTGGTGCTGGGACCATCAAAGGAACGATTTCCTGCACTGCTGCTTCCTGTGTGACTGTGACTGTGTACCTTTACCCTGTTGTAATAATCCTTGCATTATTATCATTATTATTATTACTATTATTATGACAGTAAAATGTTTTAACAAAAATTAAAGCCATATTAAAAAATAAATAGGCCGTTTTGACCACCCTCCAAACACATTTAACACCACCTTCCTTTGTGCTTTTGTAATATGAAATCCATATAACTTCTTCAAGATTGAAAGGAAATAAGGTTCAGAGAAATACGTTAGCTATATTCACGTTTATTCCAATGATCGAGTTATCTCTCAGACTAGACGTTACCTGGGAGGCACGATAATCGGTGTTCCAGTCCCGTGTTTTTCCTGTCTGCGCCTGACATCTCGTGGTGGCTTTACCTCTGTGTTCAGGAAAGCCAGCTTAGCCTGTCGCCCTGTGTATACACCGCCAACAGTTTGATCATCAAAGCCTTCAACTACTGTATGCAACTGTACATTTGCCTATTCCAACCGAACATCCTACAACAACCTTATCAACCAAAGCAAAATATACTCGGCTTCTAGTCTTGAGAATATACAACTAACTGGATTTCTTTTAAAAGTATAATGTGAAGAAATAATAATAATAATAATTTGGTCATTCAATCCACGACTGTTTGTGGGGACGCTGCTGTGCGCAATTGGCTGCTGCGTTTCGCCCACAAAATGCACAGTCAATTCACTTTGCAGTATATTCTGTAAAGCGCTTTGAGACGCCTCAAACATGTGATAAGACACTGCAAAGATCTTTATTATTATCTGCGGGAGAGGACACAGGCTAATTACTGATATTAACTTTAATGTTTCGTTAGGTGACGCAACTTCAAAAGTATTGAACATTTCAATGTCACATGACGTCATGAACCATATAATGCAGACATTATTTCTTCCGCAATATGGAACATATTTGTTTCAACTTGGAATCGGAAAAAAAAGTGCTTTAATTAAACCATAAAACATAATTTCCTCAAACATTAGATGAGATAATCAGAAAAGTAAATTTTTTTTTGGTCAGACAGGTGTCTGAAACCCATCGCCATGGCTAAGACTATCCAAACCAAGCGGAGAATTCCAGGCATCCCACCTACACATGGAAATCCCAGAGATAGATTGTTGGAATGGAATGCGCTCTCTCTCTCCCTGGAGGGTCGCACGCTGCTCACCTAATTCCGGAAAGCATTAAGTGTAGGTTGGTGCGAGCCAAGGCTTGGGGGGGGAGCCCAGAGTGTGCACTAAATGTAACTGCCATAACACTGAAAGTATAAATAGCTCTTTACCCTTTGGTTTGCTGGCGTGAGCTGAACTAATGCTTTGGGTTATAGCTCTTAGCTTTTGCTCTCGTTCGTCGTGCAGTCGCAGGTACATCTCTCGCCACGACTCATATTCCTGCGGATCCTGGTTCTTAAAGTCTCTTTTACAGTGTCTCAGCCACAATTCATCTGTTTCCTCAACAAAGATCTGTAGTGGTGAGAATACACAAGGTCCACACAATTAGCCACCTGTAGCTCAGGTTACCAGCGGGTGATGAGCAATTGTTCAAGGAAAGAAATCCTGACAAGACAAACTGCCGCAACACTGCAGTCAGTTACCAAATTAACCTGTTCCAAGATACCACACCCACCCACCCGTGTTCTTTTATGCTTCACCCCCATGGCTAGAGCTCCATTTACCTCAATTTCGAGAGGCACACGACAATAGAAAGAGATTAATAATCCATCTCCTGTGTGTCCCTAAAGACATCGTCCTGACGTGATAAACTCAATATAAATAAAATTGCCCTTTGTAATTCAAAACCAACATTCTCTTGTTCTATTGTCTTGGTCATCCTAACGTTTAGTTCTGGCTTCACAGTTTCCATTCCGTTTAAAAGAGTTTCATTACATTTTAGTTACAAAACATCTATTTTTAATATTTATGACACAGTCCTCCCCATCAGAAAGCTGCCTTATAGTATCAGTGTGATGTTGCATTTAATTCTATTTGTCTATAAACAATTTGTGAGACTCAAACAAGTGTGTTGAACAAGTAGGATTGTGTCAAACAACCCTATATCGACATATTGGGTTGCTCTGTGACTGTGTATTAGTTTTGTCTAAGAAGGGCACAAAAGCTTACTGGATTGCAGTCCTCAATACGATATAACTGCTCAGGTGTACATCGCTCCAGCACAGGCTCCAGGATTTCATACGGAACACCTCCCACCTCATGGATAGCTGGGAGAGAGCATAGTAAATAGCCAACCAAAAACCCAATAGAATACAAGATAACCTTGCCACACACAAACTGGAGAACCAGTTGAACAACCAACTGTAAAACATGGGACGCTGCTGTGTGCAATTGGCTGCTTGGTTTCGCGCACAAACTGTAGTCAATTCACTTTACAGTATATTCTGTGAAGTGCTTTGAGATGTTTTGAAGACGTAATGATGTGCTATATCAAACGCAAGGATTATTAATATTATTATCTGTAATAAAAAGAATTTACACTGGCTAAAATGCAGATAATAATAATCCTTGCATTTGATATAGCGTCTTATCACGTCTTCGAGACGTCTTAAAGTGCTTCTTAGAATATACTGTACAGTGAATTGACTGTGTATTTTGTGGGTGATCCCTAAATTAGAATCAGTCCTGCTCCTAAGAGAGATTGCAGTGTCCTAAATAGACTGTAAACACAAGATGGAATAGGCTCCCGAGGGAGATGGTAGAAGCAGAAAGTGTTGATTCTTTCAAAAGCAAGTTAAGCTAGATATTGTTTATGAAATAATATCTTGGGATAAAGTATATAGTTTGGGACATGACATCGGCAAGACACTACCATGATGATGGTGGAAGGCGAACTGGCTAGAACCTTGGTCTTCTTTCATCTCGCTACTTCTTATGTTCTGATGTTCTAAGGTTGCAAAATGAACGGTAATTGAATGGTTTCAGAGGATTTACAAAGTACTTATTTGGGGACAGAAGTCAGAATCAGATGTCCAGACTTTGCACAATGACAATCTTCGGCAAACACTCATCTCTGATCGGCTTTACTCACAATCTACGTTGTTCTGCAGAACCCGGATACATTGATCGTAGAGCGACATCATCTTTGGGAGGTAGGCAGATGTCTTGGAGCCAGAATAGACCTGCATCTTGGAGTTAAACCGACGACCAGTGAATCCCAGATCCTCCTCAGACATGGCAGAGGCAGCTAAAGCGCAGACACAATCTCAGGTTACATTACATTAAAGATGCAATGTCAGTAATTGGATGGAAATCAATCTTAAAAGCAGTTGGAAACAAAACCCAACATGTTTCAGTATATTATCGAGAACCTGCAGTTGCTGATTCCAGATGTTAACCTGTGGAACTCACCTTTTCTTTTGGGGGGTGATAATGGGGTCATGTCCATAGACGGAAGGGGTCTGTAGTTGGGCTGGATGAGTGGTAACGGGATATCTGGCAGCACAGGCACCACGTCAATCATCATCTGCTGTGGGCGGACAAGGAAAAGGAAAAGCAAAACTAGAGAATAAAAATATAAGAAAGGGTAGAATGCCCACCAAGCCGACACCATCTCCAGACCCCACAAAAGCTACTCTGTCATGAACATCACTCACTCACTCAATATCCCGCAGGGTAGTTTTTTTTGTTTGTGGACAATGTATCAATCCTCTTCCCAACCTAATTTCCTTCAGTCCAACCTAATATGGAGATTCCTCAGGAAGTGGGTACATTTTCCACCATTATTAATACTGATTAGATAGGATTTTGCCCAACTGCGTTTCGCCCACAAAATGCAGTGAATTCACTTTAGAGTATATTCTGTGAAGCGCTTTGCGATATCTCGAGGACGTGATGAGTCACTGAATCAATTGCAAGGATTATTATTATTATTATTACTAATATCTGTAGTACGCCCAGGAACTTTGGAACACTCTTCCTCTATCCCTCCGCCTTGCTCCTTCCATCCTTTCCCATCTTCAGATCGCGCCTGAAGACTGTGCCTACAGTCACCTCCCTCCTTCCCCCGGCTCGGTGTCATGCTCTGCCACTGTCAGGCGCTCTGGAACTCTGCCCTGCGTGAGGGGGGGGTACGGGGGCAGTGGGGGGCTGTATAAATACAAGTCGCTGTTGTTATTGTTTGATCAGCATTTACCTTTTTGGCTTTAACCCGCGGCACGTCATCACGAGCCCGTCGCTTTGATTTCTTCTCCTCCTTCTCTATAGGGCATGGCTCTTTGAGAGAGGAAGAGTTTGAGCTCCTCGAGACGGATTTCGAACTGTGTTTATCCGATACTTTGAGCTTCTCCTGGTGAATATCTTTCACCTTCTCAACGGGAGGCCTGTTAATCTTTTTCTTTTTCTTCTGTGGTTGATCGTAGCTGAGATAAGACTCAAAGGACATGGTTGGCTCCTCGAAGACATCGTCTGCTCGGGGTTTAGCCGGGTCCTTGGAGACAGCCACAGGCTGCGGTTTCTCAGTTGTTCTAGATTTTTTGGATTCCGCCTGTTCTTTTTGTTTACTGGACACGGATTTCTCTTTGGTTTTGTCCGAAATACTCCTCGTCTCTTCCCGGTCAGATTTCCGTTTTTCCGAGTCTCTGTGTTTGTGTTTTTTGTCGTTTAACATCTCATCAGGCTGGGGTCTAGGATTCTTCTGACTGGAACTCACTGACGAGAGCTCTCCCCTCTCTCTATGGTTATGCTGCTCCTTCGAGGACGACTTGTGTGTTTTGTCGTGTGCTGGAGGCAGAGAGGGCAGTTTGTATCTCTCGTCCCCCTTTATGACCGTGTGTTGCTTCTGTTTGTGTAAAGACTTGTGTTCCTTCTCACGACCCGCGCTCTGATGATCCCTGTGTGATCTGTGTAAGTTTTTAGACAGCGGGACAGATTCCTCAAGCTCTTCGTCGGAACACTCGATTCCGTCAGAGTCCTCCACAGGAGGGGATTTGGTCCATCTCTCCTCCTCTTCACTAAAGCTATCATTTTGCAGCTGGCAGCTGTAGCTGAAAGATTTCTCATCCTTGAGCGGCTGTCTGTGTCTCTCGTTGTGTTCAAATGTGGGATCGTACCGCTCTCGATGTGAGCCCTGGAATGTCTGTCTGTTGTCCTCTTCTGGGGAAGTGTCCTCTCGTCTCTTCTTCGAGCTCCCTTGACTGTAGCTAAAATCCCTTTCCTCAATCTCAGTGTTGGATCTGCACGAGACACGCAATTAATAAAGATCATAAAAAGTTTTGGTTCGTCAACACCTTGATCGTGTAGTTTCGGCACAGCAGAAAGAGCTCTACATTAATTAACGTTAGAAATATGCACAACCTGATCTGGCAGAGAAGGATCGTTAACACAAAAATAATAAAAGAAAATATTTTCACATACATACAACGGGTTAAAAAAATACACTCAACATTAAAATAAGAGGCAGCCTTCAAAACAGTACCGTTCTACTTCCTGTGGTACCAGTTTCTTCCACTTTGAGACTAGGTTCTTAGCGAACTCTCCGACCACATCATGTTTCCTGAATCCATTTACCGTCTTGCCTATTCCTGTATCCTGTTTGTAGAAAGAATAAAGGAAATTATAAAGCAAGTTTCCAGTTAGTGAATAGCTCTACATCAAAATCAACATTACCATAGTCCAAGTAACCTTACAAACTGGATCACAGACACAAGGAAATACTCACTCATCCTCAGACATGTTTTCCCCTAGCATTAGAGGTTTTGATGGCTTGTATATAACTATTTTTTTAATAGTTTGTACATTTCACAGTATCTCCGTGTTCAGTACACGACAAGGTGAATGTAAGTTTCAATTCACCTTGCATCACCCCATGCAAAGGAAAAGGTGTGGTTGTATGGTCACCCAGTTCTTGTTTAGACATGATTATCAAGTCAATTTTTTAGTGTCAGTAAATTTGTCTGGTAAAGCCAGGTGACAGTGTGTGGGACACTGCTGTGCGCAATTGGCTCCCACAAAAAATAGCAAAAAAGTCTATTTAAACTAAACCTTTGTTTCCTGTGAAAAAATTAGGCAACAGCTTCTCACCAGCTTTCTTTCCTTTACCCCTTGTCCCTCAAAATTCTTCCCTTTGCCATCAGCCTCCAGTCTGGAAATAGGGGAGTTGGGGAAGCACACTGTGCTATTAATAATAATAATAATCCTTACATTTGATACAGCCCCTTATCATGTCTTCAAGACAGCTCAAAGCGCTTCACAGAATATACTGTAAAGTGAGTTGACTATATTTTGTGGGCGAAACGCAGTGATGGGAAAGAGAACCATCTGCCTGGGATTCAAACATGGCAGAAAGTGTCTTGAACTTCCCTTTCTTCTCCTTCACATTTTTGGGGGAAAATAGGTTGCTTTGCTTCACAACTTACCGCGAGAGTGTCCACTGTGATGGGAAGCTCGTTCAGGCGCTTCAGTGTCTTTAGCAGCTGGAGGAAAAATACAGAAATGCAATTCTGAGGGTAACTGTACATATCATTGATTATACAATACTAGAAATAGTTGCCCCTTTGAATATGGACACTATCTGGGTTTTAAAATCCAAAGGCCCTGGGTAGGAAGAGGCAACATAAAGACAAGGCATCCTTACTGTAAAACCACCAGTCAGGATCAGTGAGAATGCAGAATTCACTGACTCTTCATGGCTGTTTCTGGGACATTGCTGTGTGTAACTTGGCTGCCATGTTTGCCTACCACTATACAGTTATTACATATAACAGCTAGAACAACAACTCCCACAATGTCTTCCCAATGTGAAAGACAAGTTGTTAGGACTTGTCATAATATAATAGTTGTAATAACACACATTATCATTATAATAATTGCAAGTTGTTCCTGTTATGATAATAATATTCATTAGTATATGATTCAAATGCATTTATTTAAACTTTAGTCAGATCAGCACCATTCTCTTCAAAGGATCGGAACTTGTGCAGAGTTATTATACATCCTTTCCTGGGAACCTTTCTCGAAGAATTCAACAAAAATAAAATCCTCAGACGTGTTGGGACCAGCTGCTGAAGCCTGACCTTTTCAGCAGCTGTCAGTTTGTGGGGTGCTCGCTGGGCAGTGAGTGTGCGGAGGGCGAGTGAAAGAGTGTGGAGGGAGGGAGTGTGTGGAGGGAGAGAGTGGAGGGAGGAGAGAGCGTGCGGGCGGGAGCACAGCTGCTCTGGTACCATGTATAGCAAGCAGCCAGAGCCTGCGTAGAGAGCATTGGAATGGCTGAACTTGCACTGACATCAGCCTCAGTCTATGGGAATTCCAAACCGGGAGGGAGCTGATACCAGCTATAAAAGGTCACTCCAATATAGCACCATTGCCTAACTGATAAAAATAGCCGCCACCTGACACTGTCATCTTATCAGATGTAAAAGGAGGAGGCGCTCCTCATGTCGAGTGTTGGTCAGGCCTCACTTGGAGTATTGTGTTCAGGTCTGGGCAGACCAATCTTAAGTAGGGTGTACCAGGCTTGGAGGGTGTCCAGCAATGATTCACTGCTCTTATATCTGGGCTGAAAAGGTTTAGGTGTGATGAGATGAGAGGCTTGTTACATTCCTTAGAAGAGAAGGATGTCCACAAGTTGTACTTGAAATAATAATAAGAACGGACAGGTTGGATGGCTCTTCTCTAAGGCAGAGGGCACCATTACAGAGATGAATAGGTTTCAAATCACACATAAACTGAGGTCAGGGAGGATTCCTCTATCCCAGAAGGCCTTAAGAGACAGAATCAACCAGGATATTTAGCAGAGAAACAAACAGTTACCGGGTTCTACAGATATTCAACAACAACTGGCATTTATACAGTGCCCTTCATGCACTATATAAACGTCAGTTGAGCCTGGTGGTGAATTCCCTTTGCTGATATATTTACCCGCAGTTTATTGTAGAATATTCTTGTTTTTTGATAAGACGACCCTATGCCTAACATTTTACTATCTTACAGTCAAACAGCACAAACCATGACTTTCCCGTTTGTTGCGCTAAGGAACGGTAGCATTGCCCTCGGGTTCGTTATCTCTCTTGCAGCACAGGGTGGGATTCTACACTAGTCACGATCCTCTGTCAGCTGCTGCTGCTGTAGGATGAATGACCTGCTGCTCTGTACAGTGACGTGCCCTGTGAGCACAAGGGTTGCCCTTACTGTGTGTGCGTGCGACTTGTTAACGCTGCCATTCCCAGGTCTGCCTGACTTCTCAGCTCACCAGCCAGCCACAGCCACGTTGCCCTTGCATGGCTCCTCTGCCTAAATATCTTGTTGGCTTGCCTCACTCGGTACATTCTTTTGATACCCAGATTTCTCTGATTGGCTCGGGAAGCAGCCACTTGTTGAGCGCTGTGTTCAGTGAAGTGGTTCTGGCCACAGAATACTTTCATTTCCAGTGTGAGAAGAAAACAAATCCAAACCTCTTTATTCGCCAATCATCCAGCTAACAAAATATCAATAAAATGGCTAACAAAGCTTCCACGGGTGTCAAATTTGAGCAGCTTTGGAGCTCCACAACACTGTACAGTATATCCTGCGAAGAAGGGCTTTGACACCAGTTCCTGACACCAGGACTCACACCAGTGAGCAAAGCTTGTAATCACGTTAACAAATCAAAAAACATAACTGGCTCTTTAATAACCTATTACATAGCATTCTCACAAGATTGGGCACAGTTGGTGCAATAGATCACAGCAAACAACAGGGCTGCTATGGGCTACAACAATGTTGGCAGTATTGCTCCTGTTTTTCTCTCCCTACAGAAATGCATTTGATCTTGATAACGTGTTCAAGTTTCTAGGAATGTAACACCAGCTCCTCTTGTCAAGACTATCTAAATCCTTAGACAAAAAATGCAAGCCCCCTTGAACAAATTTGTGCTACAAAGTTTATAAACCATGACTCCCAAGGGTTTTTCTTGACCTTGTGCAATTGATTAAAACCATTTTCAGAACACTCTTAAGTTCTGAGCAATTTTGAACCAATGAGTGACGCTGCACAGCGAGCAGCAATTCAACCAGTAAATGTCTGGTCTGAATGGCTCAGTGATGTAACAGCCCATCTGTGCCTTTAACCTTATTATCCAGGCCACTGGAGGAGCCAACCACTGCTCCACATCACTTTATTGTATATCTTGTGAAGGGCTTTGAAATGCCTCAATAACATGATAAGGCGTTCTATCAAATATAAGGATTATACTATTACTATTAATAATAATAATCCTGGCATTTGATATAGCGTCTCATCACGTCTTTCAGACGTCTCAAAGCGCTTCACAGAATATACTGTAAAGTGAATTGACTGTATATTGTGTGGGCGAAACGCGGCGGCCAAACAGTCGTGGACTGAGTGTCCAAATTATCATTATTTTTTAAATTATTTCTTTTGAAGGGATTATTACCCCTGGAAAAGCGATCTGCCAATGATTCTAGCACTGTGGAAAGAAATACTTTCCTATTCTGGCACTCACCATCAGCCTCAAGTAGTGTACAAGGTAAAGGGCCCCAGTTATGCTACTGACTACTACTTCTCACTACCGAAAACAGGGCCATTACAGAATGGTTTGTATACAATTTTCCCGTTGATACTTTGTTTGCAAAGTCAGGATTTTTTTTGCACACATATAAACGTTATTTTTTGCAACATTTCGAAAGATTAAACACCCAAAAATAAACACCAGCAAAAGAGCGTGCTTTCCTTTGGAGATGGAACTATTTATTGTTTGATTGGGAGCTCTTGTCACCTTTCCCATTTCATGATGTCTGAATGGAAACCAGAAGAAATTTGCTCGAAGAAATCAGGCTTCCGATCTCAAACATACTGCACTGTGGCAAACTGTATATAACCACTTCAAGCTGATACCATATTGCGCATCTCCAATCTCAATCAGCGTTCTGCGTTCTACGTAAAGCATCACATGTCAAGGCTGATACCAGTGGCCACAAGTTATCAACGATGAGCATCAGTTTGGTGAAGAGGAAAAGCAAAGCACAAGAAGCTGCTTCCCACCAGAACCAACAACAACTTGCATTTATATAGTGCCCTTCGCGCCGGGGAGGGTCCCGGAGGGCTTAATAGTGGCAGAGTCTGACCCCGAGCCAGAGGGAGAGGGAGAGGGAGAGGGGAGTCAGCACGAACCACAACTGCACATGAGAGCAGTGAAGCGCTGCATCACTGAGTTAGTTGGCTGGCAACCTTACATTGGGTTTTCTTTCCTGCTAATTTTTTTTATCCCACCATTTTCAACCTCTCCTGAAGGCACAGACTCCTTTGCGTCAGTTTGGTTCCATGAATGCCGCCTGATCCCTCAACCCAACTGACTGACTGTTCTTCGTGTTTGATCCTCAACAGCAAGTGTCAGCAGTTTATTCAACTGCGGGAAACAAACCCTGTCCTCGTCAGACACCCACACTTGAATATCTCCTGCCAGATTGACTTGAAATCCGAGCTGATTTTCTTCTCCCAAACTCAAGGCCCGAGGGTCAATTGTCGCCTGAAACATCACTCCCACAGAACAGTTAACTCAGCACAGTCCTTCTAGGCCGGTGAACTCCCCATTTCTAGAAATCCATCTGATAACATTGTTAAATAAATTGACTAATGTAAATTCAAGGATTTACGACGAAAATATTGCAACCAAAAAAAAATCTATCTCCAGCGTTGTCCACCAGTAAAAGTAAACAAGTCACATCACAGAGATGTCACCCCGACATGAAAGGGTTAGATCAAATGTAAGGATTATCAGACTTAGGTTTTCCTGCGAAAGAAACTGTAATGCACCAGGGAGGCATTATAAAGTACTGATCATCCTCAAAATGGCTGCCTGTCAGAACACAGGTACAGACATCTTCAAATCTACACACTGTGCAAGTGTGCTTTAGTTGTGAGATTTACAGTTTCGCAGTTGATCTGTGTTGTTTGGAATCCAGAAGCACCAGCAGGAACATGAGACGATCAAATGTTACCTCGGCAGATGATTAAATTAATCCAGATTAGATTGGATTTAATTTTACACAGTATCCGGTGATAATACAATCCAAGTTGTTGTTATAATACGAGACATTGACACACATGTCAAGTTGGATCATGGGGTGGGGGGTGGGGGGGGAGTGGGGGTTGCATCCCAAAACAAGCGAACAATTCAAATAAATCTTACCAATTCACATACAACTGTAAAGTTGCTTAAGTGAATCTCATTTCAAATCAAATAAGGTTCTCATACTTCACAGGGGGCTCAAGTGGTCAGGTTCATATGAGTTGTTCAGGCAAACTCCCAATTTCAGAAGTTGTGATCTTTGCGCAGAAGCCGGGCCACAACGCCGAGCTCAAGGGGCCTTTACACAGGAAAAACACTCACTATATGCCGAGTTGCTGCCCTGATCACGTTTGCCTCTCCCTGTCCCTAAATGAGCACCCAGCGCCCCTTCAAACCCAGCAGGGGAAGGTGTGCAATGAACGCAAACCGGTAGCACTTTTAAGGGATGTGCCTCAGCGCACCACAGGTAAAATGGAACGAACAAACCCGAACGCGGCCAAAGGGAAAGTAAATTTCCTATCATAATAAAAATATTTACCTATATTGGTCATTTCACACACAACTGTGATAGAAACTGAAGACCCAGTGAGCAACAATGTATATTTCTTTGCCCATTAGGCCCCTGACTTCATAACAAAAATAACATCCTGTTTTGAATGTATTCCAGGGAAGAGTCTGGATGGTGTCGAGAGAGAGTTTGTAAACACAGTCGTTCGTGGGTAATTTGATGGCTCTTTTTTTTTTAAAAAAAAATAAGGAACCTGAGGGAATATCACAATTATAATAGTTTTAACGAAAAAAAACAGCTGTGATTTCTGAGAGTCACTGAAGCAAATCAGAGAGGCCATTCATCCCTCTCTCCCTCTCTCTCCCCCTCTCCCTCTCTCTCCTTTAACACCTTTTTCAACAAATCACAAACTGACCACAGGAGAGTCACATATATATATATATATATAGAGAGAGAGAGAGAAATATAAATATATATATATATATAAATAAATATAAAAATCCGATTGGGCCCCCGACCAGCCTTGGGGGGGGGAGGGGTGGGGCGGCTACTGATGGGCCTAAATCGATCGATTATTGATCGATTATCGATCGATAAGAAGATCAATCAGCTCGCCCCTCCCCCCCGGGGGGTGGGGTGGGGTGGGGTTGGGGGGGGGGGTGCGGTGAGGGCCGGGGCCGGGGCCGGGGCTGCCCACCTTACCTTGCGCGGCTCCTGAGCCTCTGACAGGCGGCCCTGCAGCTTGACTACCTGCTCCTGCACCTCCTCGGCGGCCATGTTGCCCCCCCGCACTGTCCGCGGCCCCCCCGCGCCCGCCCCGACCCGGAAACAGTCGCCCGCAACGCCGCCTCGACCCGGAACTGGACGCGGCAACCGGCCCCGCCCCCTCCCCCCTCCCTGCAGCAGCTGCTCAGACACCTGGGCTGCCCCTGGTGGCCATTGTGGCCCTGGTCACAGCAGAGACTCCCCCCCCCACCCCTCCACCCCCCGTGGCTCTCTCTGACCCCTGTGCTGCCACCACCACCACCACCACAACGACGACAACATCGACAGCAACAACTACGACAACGACGACGACGACGACGACTACAGCGACAACGACAACTACAGCAATGACCACTGCAACGACGACGACAACAACTACTACAACGACGACGACGACAGCGACGACTACAGCGACAACGACAACTACAGCAATGACCACTGCAACGACGACGACGACAACAACTACTACAGCGACGGCAGCAACGACGACGACTACAGCAACAACAGCAGCAACAACGACGACAACAACTACTGCAGCAGCGACAGCGACAACCACAACGACGACAGCAACTACGACAACGACGACCGACTGCAACAGCAGCAACGAGAACAACGACAGCAACTGCAACAACAGTAACTACAACAACAACGACGGCAGCTACTACAGCGACAATAACGACAACAGCTACAATAACAACGACAACAAAATTACAAGGACGTCCCAAGGCGCTGGACAGACCCGAGCTGGGGGTCAGGGTCGGGGGAGAGTGGAGGGCAAGGGGGAGGGTGAAGCAGGGAGATCGAAAGCAAGAAAGGTCGAAGAGGGGGGTCTTGAGACGGGTCTTGGAGGAGGCGAGGGAGGGGGCGAGGGGGAGGGACTGTGGTATGGAGTTCCAGAGGGTGGGGGCAGAGTGGCGGAAGGCCCGCCCACCATTGGTGGGGCGAGCGAGGCGGTGGACGTGATGCAGGCCGGAGGGAGAGAGCAGGATGGTGGGCGGTGGTGGGGCTGGGGGGGGCGGGTTAGGAGGTCGCAGAGGTAGGGGGGGGGAGCAAGGCCATGGAGGGCTTTGAAGGTGAGGACCAGGATCAACAACCACAACAACTTGTATTTATATAGCGCCCTTTCACCCGGACGATGTCTCGGAGTGTTTCCCTCTCAATCGCCTTACAAGTGAGAGGATCTGGGATTGATTCTAGTCGGGGCAGGTCGGATCAGGGCAAAACCTTAGGCAAGTTCCCTTACTCCACACGCCGCTGTTTACCCGGCAGTAGGTAGGAACCCGGTTGCTAGTCGATTGGCGGATCCGTTTTCCGGGGGTAATAATCCCTCAAAAAAAATTATATTAATCCACGACTGTTTGTGAGACACTGCTTTGCGCAATTGGCAGTTTTGCTCGCAAAATATACAGCCGATTCATTTGATAGTATATCCTGTGAAGCGCTTTGAGACGTCTCGAAGACGTGCTAAGGTGCAAAATCAAATGCAAGGGTTATATTATATTATAGATTTCATTACAAACCGCCTACAAGCCCCACAATACCCCAGCTGTGTCCTTCAGGAAACCGTCAGCTGCAATGTGTGTGTGGCTTTGGTCAATGTTAAGTAACACTAAACCCTCAGTGTCTCGCTGCTGCTCAGAGCCTCACCTCCAAACCCGAAGTCTCCCCTGAACAAGTGCCACCACCTAAGGTAAAACTCTCACCATCTCGCGTTTGTGTTAGAAAGAGCAGTTGCGTTCACTTTAATCATATTCTTTATTATTATGATATTGAAATAAAACATACTTTTCCCCCAAAAAAATTCATTGGGTTTATAGTAATAATAATAATCCTTGCAATTGATAGAGCAGCTTACCACGTCTTCGAGATGTCTCAAAGCGCTTTGTAGAATATACTGTAAAGTAAAGTGTAGTGAATTTGTATTTTGTGGGCCAAACGGGCAGCTCATTTGCAGTTTGAAAAAGTTACATAACTTTCCTCACAATGTTATTTATTACCCACTGTTTAATTCCGTGACACATTTGGATGATAAAGTGTCTGAGAGTACTAGTTTCTGGTCGACGATCAGGGAGTCAGATTCACAGAGATTCTTGCAGTAAATAAAGTGTTTCATGTTTTGGGGGAAGAGATTGTTACCGCAGGACACTTGGCTTTGAGGGTCTGATATATATAATCTGGTGTCAGGCAAACAACTGCCTGACTTGGGTGCTTGGCTTTGGAAACACTGGCCTGAGCTGGAAAAGGGAAAGGAATGAACTCAGAAAACTCTGACACACGGTTAGAAAATGGTAACTTAAGGTTTTAGTTGAAGGTGGATCTGGCTTTCTGTGGGGAAAGTCTACTTCTTAACACAAGCACAAAGCTCTTGGATAACAGCCTGAACAGCTTTTACATTCCTTGTTTCTATTTCTGACCTGGGACAGATATGCATCTCAGCAGCTGAGAGCCTAAACCTGACTCCTGAACCCTCCCCCCCGCCGGGGAACCTCACACCATCCCATTTTCATTGCGCAGTTGTGTTTTTCTGCTCTGCCTCGACTAGCGAAGGACACAATCCACCAAAAAGTTTAGACTTACCAAATGGTCATGTCTTCTATTATTAAAATAATTGGCTGCCACGTTTCACCCACAAAACACACAGTCACTACACTTTACAGTGTATCCTGTGAAGCGTCTTTGAGACGTCTCAAAGACGTAATAAATAAAGACTGTATCAAATGCAAGGATTACTATTAGTTTTGCAGATGGACGTTGAACCTTATTAGCAAATTATTTAAATTTACAAAAATTTGAATAATAATTTTTTAAAAAGTCTGTCACGATCAAGACCCATATCAAGGCTAGATACTTTATGTCTCATATCTGGTTCCGCCAGTAAAACTGGGCCTTTGCTGGAAAATCTCTTTCTACTTTGTGCATTTAATATTTAATTTTTTTAAAAAAAGCTGGTGCTAAATCTGACGGTTTCCACAGTTGAGTAGGAAAACTCCTCGTTCGTTTTAGCCAATAATTGCAAATGACCAGGTCGATTACATATTATTATTAATACACGTTTTGTTACTGACAGACAGCAATTGTGGGTGTGAGAGCTGCCAATTGCTGAAAGCAATGTTTTATTAATATCTTTGCTCAGGATCTGCATTTGCTTTTAATACTGCTTCTCTTTCCGTCTAATCCGCTTCCAACATGTGAATATTTATAGGTTAGCGAGTAATGAAATCCTCCCTGCTATATTTTCAATAGCCTATTTTAATCTCGCAAATCACCAACCAAAGCAGAATATTCCAATTTGGGAGACACAGCCTTTTCCTATTGATCTAATCTAATGAGATCTGTAACTCCTGAGTGTCTGCTAACCCACATTGCATAGAAGCATAGAAGGAGGCCATTCGGCCCATCGTACCTGTGCTGGCTCTTTGAAAGAGCTACCAACTAATCCTACTGCTCCACTCTTACTTACCCTGTAGCCCTGCAAATTCTTCCTTTGTAAGTAGCTGTCTGATTCCCTAATTCTTCGAATTCTTGAACAGTCTCTCAAAAATACAGATTACAATGCAATTGGGTCCATAAAAGCGGGTGGCCAATGAACCCTAGTGCTTAAGAACATCTACTGGCAAGTGGAAGATAACTTCAGTGTGTGAGTCTTTCACCTGCTGGAAATCTATCTCAGTACCTTGCGGGAATTCCTGTGTAGTTAGGTTTAGTGTTAAACTGCTGAGATCCATCCAGCAGAGCAGCTATTTACCTCCCACTGACACCCATCGACTGTTCCAGGATTTAACCATCCATCCAGTGCTCTGTAGCACCTTTGAAGATTTGATAAGTTAAGATTATTTCACCCACAAAATATACAGCCAATTCACTTTACAGTATATTCTGTGAAGCGCTTTAAGACGTCTCAAAGACGTGATAAGGCGCTGTAAGAAATGCAAGGATTATTATTATTACAAAGATTGTAATGTGTCATTGATTTATTATTCTTATTTCTTGGAGCCATTCATGTTCCTGCTCACTATAATATTCTAAAACTATTGACTATAATTGTACTGGGGTTTTCCAAAACGTCTAAAAAAAACAGTCAGCCCTCATTGTCGTAAAAGCTAATATGTACAAAGCAGGTGTACATTGTTCTCCTATCAGAGAGAGAGGCGTACTTCATCTCAAAATAGAAATCTTTTAATAGCAGAAACAGCAGCTGAGGCTGAGCCATCAATACCTCGACCGTGACTGGGAAAAGACATCTTGCAATCGGGTTTCTTTTAATTATCAAAACAAAACTTTGCTAAGTTCAGGAGCAGATTTGTGGTGTTTTAAACGCGGGTCTTTGTACGGTTTCAACGGATATTTTAGATAAATAATGTGGTGAAATTAGAAGTTAATTAGAACATTAGGTATCTAATATAAGCAAGAAAATAGATTATAGAGGGGTATGAATTGAGAACAATCAAGGTTGTGGCTTACTTTATCGACTGCTAAATGTGTTATGGTGGAGCATGACTATTGAGACTCACAAAATTATGTTGTTTATCTTTAGATTAGCATTTGCTAACAGACCACATCAATGGCACCCAAGAAGAAAAGTTCAAGGAAAAACAAAAGCGATAAGAATGAATTAGCCAACATAAACATCGTTAACATTGATGAGAAAACCATTGACATCGATCACCTGAACCACCTTAACACTCTCTACGACAGTGGATCCAATGGCTTCCGATGCACTGCTACAGAGGTCTCCAACCCCAGCCATGGCTCCAACCTCCTGGAGGAGATCAACAAGATGCGACAGGAGAGATTCCTGTCGGATCTCAACCTGGTCACCAAAACCAAATCCTTTGAAGTGCACAAAGTAGTCATGGCTGCTTGTAGTGATTATTTCCGTAGTATGTTGAAGAAAGATCCATCCATCAAGTGTGTAGATGTCAATGACGTGTCTCCTTTAGGCTTGGCCACTGCTATCACCTACGCCTACAGAGGGACTCTCAGTCTGTCTCTTTATACCATTGGATGCACCATCGCTACCGCCACCCAATTCAAAATGCACACTCTGATCAACATGTGCTCCGACTTCCTCGTCCGAGAAATGAACGTGGAAAACTGCATGTACATCTCGAACATCGCCGGCACCTATGGGCTCAACCAAGTCAAAGAATCGGCCAGGAAATTCATCCGCGAGAACTTCTTGGAGTTTGCAGAAACCGACCAGTTCATGAAACTGACCCACAATCAGATGAACGACTTGTTGATGGACGATAGCTTGCAGCTGCCCTCTGAGCTCACCGCTTTCCAAATGGCCATGAAGTGGTTGGAGTTTGACACCAAGAGGGTAAAGCACGCGGCTGATCTGTTGAGCAACATCAGATTCGGTACGATTTCAGCCCATGATTTGGTCAGTTATGTCCAGCCTATCCCACGGATGATGCAAGATCCAGACTGCCATAGGCTTCTTGTTGATGCTATGAACTACCACCTTCTGCCTTACCATCAGAACTCAATGCAGTCGAGAAGAACGAAACTCAGGGGAGGACAAAAGGTCCTGGTAACAGTGGGCGGCCGGCCAGCCTTGACTGAAAAGGCTTTGAGCAGAGAGATCTTGTACCGAGACCCCGAGAATGGATGGAACAAGTTGGCAGAAATGCCAGCCAAGAGCTTCAACCAGTGTGTGGTGGTGATGGATGGGTTTCTGTACGTGGCTGGAGGAGAAGATCAAAATGATGCCCGAAACCAAGCCAAACATGCTGTCAGTAACTTAAGCAGGTGAGATATTTGCAGCATTTGTTTTGTGTACAGCTGTTGCAACACGGTAGAAATGCACTGAAAGTATTTTGTTGGTGGGGACTAACCGACATTTGGGAGGTTTCAATGAATTCCATCACCGAGAGAAGACAAGATGATTATAACAGTCCTTGCATTTGATATAATGCCTTTCACTGTAAAGTCTAGTGACTGTGTATTTTTTGTAGGCACTGCAAAGTGTGGAAATTACGACTTCCAGGAGTGTAGACACTTAAAACAACAACCGCAAATTGCCTTTATAAAGCGCCTTCACAAGGGGTAGTGTCTCGGAGTGATGGTAAACCTTGTTGACCAACACTAATCAAGCATTAATGTTAACGGGTGTTAAAGGAAAAGTGTGGTCGTTGTCCTTTTGGAAATCTAGTTTCAGGCACAATAAAGCCAAATAGGATCTGGGCCTCTTCATAAGGAGACAGTGGGGGCCACATGGGAATACATCTCATTAACAACTTTGACATGTTGAAGTCTGTATGTTAAACGGAACATAGAATCACAGAATTTTACAGCACATTCGGCCCATCGTGCCTGTGCGGACTCTTTGAAAGAGCTATCAACTAGTCCCACTCCCACGCTCTTACCCAATAGCTTTGCAATTTCTTCCTTTGTAAGTACCTACCTAGTTCCCTGTTGAAAGCTGCTATCAAATCTGCTTCCACCACCCTTTCAGGCAGTGCATTCCAGACCGTAACAACGCGCTGGATAAAAAAAAGTCCACTTTTAAAGTGGTGCTGTCACATGTGTGGATCATTACCAGGCTCCTCTCACCTGCAAGAGACACCAAAACAAAGTTTGTCCTCAATTAATTTTCACATCAGAAAAAGAACTGGATGAGAATCAGAGCGAGAGAGTCGAGGTTTGAGCAATGGCTCGTGATGTAGTATTAGACTGGAATTATATTAAAATCATTCTAAAACATAAAGAAAACAACATGGTTATCGACTGTGTCATTTTCAACATGTGCCGTGTGTGTGTTTCCTCAGATACGACCCTCGTTTCAACACCTGGTTCCACCTGGCCGGCCTGCTCCAGAAGCGAACACACTTCAGCATGTGCGTGTACAACGGGCTTCTCTTTGCCATCGGAGGCCGCAACGCGGAAGGTTCCCTGGCTTCCATGGAGTGCTACATTCCGTCCGTCAATCAATGGCAGACGAAAGCTTCCATGGACATCGCCCGGTGCTGTCATTCGGCTTCGGTGATCGACGGCAAGATCCTGGCGACGGGCGGTTACATCAACAATGGCTACTCTCGCACCGTGTGCAGCTACGACCCCGCAATAGACACGTGGAGGGAATGCGCCAACCTGAGCACACCCCGAGGGTGGCACTGTACAGTCACCCTGGAAGACCGTGCGTACGTGATGGGCGGGAGCCAGCTGGGCCCGCATGGCGAGAGGGTCGACGTGATACCGGTCGAAAGTTACAACCCTCACACGGGCCAGTGGAGCTACGTAGCTCCTCTGCCCATCGGGGTCAGCACGGCCGGGGTCACTACCCTCGGGGGGAGAGTCTATCTGGCCGGGGGCTGGAACGAGAGCGTGAAGAAGTACAAGAGTTGCATTCAGACCTACAACCCGGAGCTGAACGAATGGACGGACGAGGACGAGCTCCCAGAGGCCACCGTCGGCGTTTCCTGCTGCACCATCATGTTACCCAGCAACAAGCTTCGGGAATCCAGAGCCAGCTCCGTGGCATCGGCGCCCGTCAGCATCTAAACAGCGAAGCGTGAAGATAACAAGGCCTTTATATGGCCAGCGCTGAAGGGTAGTCCAGGAATCTGAAACAGCAGCACAGCTCTGCAATATAATAATAATAATAATAATTTGGTCACTCAATCCACGATTGTTTGTGGGACGCTGCTGTGTGCAATCGGCTGCCACGTTTCACCCACAAAATATACAGTCAATGCACTTTAGGGTATATTCCGTGAAGCGCTTTGAAACGTCTCGAAGACGTGATAAGGCCCTGTGACAAATGCAAGGATTATTATTATTATTATTATGTGTCAGTTCACCATCATCAATTCCCACCTGGTTCTAGGTTTACTTTATTTTGCAGCGTCCTGAATTTCAAAAATTGTCAAATCAGTCTTAACCCAGAAATTGTTTTTCTGTGGTTAATGAAATAACTTCTAAAAAACTGGTTTCAAAGTTCAGGCTGTGTTTAGGAATCTGCGAAGAAAGCAACTCTAGACATTTTAAAATGCTACATAAATCTAGACCCAGGTAGAATTTCTCCCCTATTAATTCCCCTGTTAAGCCAGCTTCATAGATTCATACAACTAAATACAGTTTCTCCCATTGGTGGTGTGAATTGGCTGCTTATAACACAGTGTGTGTGTATATTACAGTGTACACACACACACTCACAACAACAAATTACATTTTATAGCGCCTTTCACGTCGGGAGGACATCCCAAAGCGCTGGACAGTCAGGGATTCGATAATACTTCCTTGGCAATCCCGCCCCCCCCCCACCTTTAATTCGATGAAAATCAAACTATGGTTTGGAACATTAAATCAAGCCAATAAATACAAATTGAACATGTTTAAAATCTGTGATGTTTCCCCAATAAGATTACTGCAAACTAGTGACTCTGCTGTGCATGTATGAGGACAGGGAATGGCTGTTGATTGCCCTGTGATTAAATAGCTGCTGTCACTCACTATCAATGAATAAGTCACTTGGGTTCAATCTAAAACAATCCCAGGAATCGTACACAAGTTGAAGAGAAAAAAGCAAATGAACACCCTCGGTCGTGGAAAACAATTGACGAGAGGGAAAATAAAGTGAGTTATTTCTGATATATCTCACTGTAAAATGTGAAACTCAAATTGAAACCGAGCATTTAGCTTGCCTTGAGATTTATTTCATAAAATGATGCGAAATGTATTTTCCAAATCGAAGGAAAACACGTAGAAAGAAATTATCGTGGAAATGAATTCGACGACTTGTAACTGAATTGCTAATTCATTTTTTTATATGTAAAGGAGACCTGCCTGGAAAAGATCAGAAGTTTTACTAAATTGACAGTAAATTCGATGGAATCGGTTGAATAGCGAGATGTGAGAAAGGTTCTTTAAGGAGTTAAGATGAATGGTAACAGAGAAAAGGGAAGGAACGGAACAATGGAAAATAACTCCAGGAATTTTTGCAAAGATTTGTCTATAAGAGGGTGAAATGGAATAGGGCTACAGATCTACATCACTCCTGTATGTGCTTAGTGATTTATCCAACACCCACTTTGCCTAAAATTGGAAGAGGTGAGCGAGAGCGCTGATCTCCACACTCTTTATGTAACAGAGGCAAAGTTTCCTCGGCTAATGGCTAAATGTAATGACTGAAGTTTTATGGATAACAGAGAAAGTACAATGTAGAAGGACTGTTGGGTTTAACAAATTGCATTCGTCCATTGCGGAGATTTTGGCATTTTGTTGGAAAGGTCACTGACATGAAGTCCCAATTACTAATTATTTCAAAATAAAATGTATAAATAGTAAAACAAAAAGTCAGTATTTGTCTTGCATTGTGTCATCTCACAAGCAAATGCTTTTACACAAATGCTGTGACATTTAACACTGATCCTTTAACATAACAGCAATCACTTACCCCCGACGTTCGTCTTTGTTTGGTCAGCCGAGTGTTTAGCGCACGCGGGAGCCCATCACTGTGCTTAAACAGTTCCGTGTCTGCCACCTAGCCTGGCTCGGGCACGTTTCCTTACTCCACACGCCTCTGTTTACTTGGCAGCAAGTGGGAACTTGGTTGTTAGTCGATTTGGCGGATCGCTTTTCCAGGAGTAATAATCCCTTCCAAATTTTTTTTGGGGGGGTTCAGTCAATCCACGGCTGTTTGTGGGGACGCTGCTGTGGGCAATTGGCTGCCGCATTTCACCCACAAAATAGTCAATTCACTTTACAGTGTATTCTGTGAAGCGCTTTGAGACGTGATAAGCCGCTATTGTCAAATACAAGGATTATTACTATTACTATTCTAAGTGCCAACAACAGGTGAAAGCGACAAGTGATTATTCTGGGTGCTGCGGCCTCCTGTTGGCGCTGAAAGGCCATGACAGCCCTTCCCTTCCCTTCTGCGAAGGAATTTTGTTCTTCAGCCAAATCTCTTTCCGAGTCAAATAAACTGCTGACGGGAAGGGTGAAATACAGCAGGTTTGCCATTTTTATGTGTTCAATGCATCACTCTTTTTTTTAATGCCCCCGAAATTCTGGAAATCTCTCTCTCAATCCCTCCGCCTTGCTCCCCCTCCCTCCTCACTTTCAAATCCCACCCTCCCTTTTGATCTCACTTACGGTCACCTCCCCCCCCCCCCACTCCCTCATTGTCAGACTCCCAACACCGTCAAGTGCTTCAGGACGCTATCCTGCGTGAAGGGCGCTACATAAATACATGTTGTAGTTTAAATGAGTCACATTGCCTAATCACTGCAGGCCTTACAAGGAAACTTTCCACTAACCTGGGATGGTACGCGTCTTTTCCTGGAGGAAAACACCCGGCTCACCTAATTCTAGAAAGTATTGGGCACAGGAGCCAAGGGCTTGGAAGCCAGAACATGTGCGTTGGGACTATTGCTGGTTTAATCAGCTAAAACAAGAAAGCATGGTCTGACACGTTTCCCATTGCATGTCCAGTTAGGACCAACGTACCCTCAGGTCTTTGGCTTACAAATGGGTGGAAAGATTCCTTGGCCCTTCCCAAGTCAGTAGTCATCAACAATGTGGGTACCAGGCACTTCAGCTCACTGACCCTTCTTTCCTGGATGTACTGTTTGACCTTTCATCATCAGGGAAGGACCACTACAGCAGTTTGATGTTGCCAGTCATTTTGATGTTCTATGGATTCAAACCCTATGTGACATAGATACCGTACCCAGTCCTTCCCCTTCAATTCTACCCAATATATCATTGATGACTACAACAAATAACATGGCCAACGATAGCCAGCCTCATCTTAACTCATGTCCCCCCCAACATTATTGGGCACGCTTAAGACATGCTACCCCACCCCCTCCCCAACTATTAAAGCTGGTTCTGCCAGCCTGCACTTCTGGTCAATTCTGCACCCCCCCGGCACCCAACCAGCTATGTAAAATGCTTTTGAGACATCCTCCTGACACATATAGTACAACAATTGTACAATCAGTGGCAACTTTAAAAGTGTAAGATTTATATAAGCTTTTATGTTGTGGAACTGTCCCCTGAAAGGATTGGGAAATCTGAAACTAGACTGCCCTGACATGATGTAAAGCCGTTACAATGTACCTGTACAATTCACGTCTTTGCTCAATTAGGCCAAAAACTGGAAGCTTGTATACTCTGGATCTAATAGACAGTTCTTTATTCAATTGAAAAACAGGTCACAACAATCATTGCATTAATAAGGACAGAATCTTTAGAATTTAAGACTCTGCCGCTTTCCATTCTTTTCTTCTGAAATTCTTACGATGCATTAAACTGAATAGCCAGTCCTTCATTAATAAGCACACTTGGCTGGTAATGAACAAAGGGGTTTGTGCTGTCCATCTTGATGGGGAATGTTGACCTCCAGAGACCATCGGTGATGATATTCATTTCTTGCCAGCCTTAGTTTGTGCAGACTTGGTGGTCTTTCCACCAGTCGCTGCCTTCTTCTCAACACTCTTGACCACGCCGACAGCTACAGTCTGCCTCATGTCTCGGACAGCAAAGCGACCTGGAGAGCAAGAGCAGGCAGAGTCACTCCTCTGTGCCATTGTAAGTCAAAAAACATTCCCCCACTCCCACGGTGCCTGAGCCAAATGAATTCATCAGCAGCTGAGCTAATAAAGATAGTTGCTCAAATCTGAGCTCCCTTTGTTAATCCCTGACTAGCTCAGCAGGTAAGGGCACTGCAGTTAGGCTAAACATAATCAGTCACAATTTATATCAAGGAACCAATGAGTGGTTCCAATGAGTGTTGGACTGAGCCTCCAACACCACCATCACTCTGTATGGACTGAACATTAAGCCGTATCACATCCACGGCGATGTGGGTTCATGGCAGGTGTAAATGATACCCATTTCCTTTTACATCCAACGATAGTTTCAGACCAAAAAAGTAGCTGCACCGCAAAAAAAATTATATAGAGACCAAACAAATCGCTGAGCACTTACCCAGAGGTGGGTAGTCAGAGAAGCTCTCCACACACATGGCTTTGTTTGGGATAAGAACCACAATGGCGGCATCTCCGGATTTCAGAAACTTGGGAGACTCTTCCAGCTTCTTGCCGGAACGCCGATCGATCTTCTCCTTCAACTCATGGAACCTGCAGGCGATGTGAGCGGTGTGACAATCCAGCACGGGGGCATAGCCGGGACCTATCTGCCCTGGGTGGTTCAGGATGATCACCTGCAAACGACAATGTACAACCACTGGTTAATACACAGCAAGAAAGCAAACCCCGGCATTAACACTGGGAAACACAGGACAGCCATCGGCTTCAAGAGAAAATGTAAAAGCTTTTGGGTATAACAAGAGGTAGAATTCCCAAGGTAGAATCAGGAAGGAGACGAGAATCGTTGGGAAAGATTCAAGGCTTGAGAAAGCAAAACTGTTAGCAAGTTGAACAGAACGAACAAAGTACCAATTGGCGAGCCATTACTGGTAAGCCAAGCGATGAGGGGAAAGGTAAGAAAACCTGGGAACAGTAACAGCGGCCACAAGATGACGGAAACAAAAAAAAATACTTTCGGCGACAATGAAATGAGGAATGTTGACGCGAGTTTTAAGAAATCTCATTAACCATATATGCAACTGAAAGAAGACAGCATTAGACAGTACAGTTGACGTGAAAGGCGCTATACAAATGCAATTTGTTGCTGTAACCTGCCGGGCGGGGCTGTTAACATCGTGGAACCACACTGGGACAAGGCAACATTTTACCTTATGTATGGAGATGGAAAATAAGTCGAGACCTGACTAACCTTACCTGTGAAGTGAAGTTAGCAGCTTCCAATGGAGGATCGTTGTTTTTGTCTCCAGTCACGTACCCGCGACGGACCTCCTTCACTGAAACGTTCTTAACGTTGAAGCCTACGTTGTCGCCAGGGTTGGCCTCGGGCAGGGACTCATGGTGCATCTCCACAGACTTCACCTCAGTGGTGAGGTTGACAGGGGAGAAGGTGACCAGCATACCAGGCTTCAGCACACCTGTCTCAACACGGCCGACGGGTACTGTGCCAATACCTGCCAAACAAGAGGAAATACTCCATCAGATTACACACATTATACCACAGAAGTATATATTGTGAAATATATTTTGCCCACAAAATAGTCAACTCACTTTACATTATATTCTGTGAAGTGCTTTGAGACGTAATAAGGCACTATATCAATTGCAAGGATTAGAAGTACTTCAGCCCAAGTTTGAAATTCAACCCTTGTGCCTTTATCACATCAAAATGCTTCAAAGCACTTCACAGGGATTTAGTTTAAATATGGCAGGCAAACTGTGTGCAGCGTTACCACACAAACAGTTGTGGACTGTGCGAAACAACTAGTTTACCTGGAAGGATTGTTGGCCAGGATACTGAGAACAAGAGACTCTTGTAGTCTTTTCAAATAGTGCCGTGAAATCTTTTAACGTCCACTTGAAGAGGCACAATGGGACTAAAGGCCAATGCAATCCTAACCCAACACTAACCACGTTGGAGTGAGCTGAGCGTCAGCCTGATCTAGTATCTCAAAAGTGCTGATGCGATGGTTGAACTCACAACCGTCCGACTCAGGAATAAAACACCAGCAACCGAGACAAACGCACACCGACAGGCCACGTGAACGAGAGTACACTTTGGCGAGTACCTACCACCGATTTTGTAAACGTCCTGCAGAGGGAGGCGGAGAGGTTTGTCAGTCGGACGCTTTGGAGGAAGGATGGAATCCAGAGCTGTCAGCAGTGTCAGACCGGAGGCATTGCCTTCTTTCCTCTCAACGGTCCATCCTTTGAACCAGGGCATCTGTCAATCACATTCACATCCATAAATATAAAGCAAACAAAGCAGACCGTTTGCATGAAGAAAGCTTCATAAATCGGTGGCCGTGCCTTCAAGCCTCTACGCACCACGCTTTCAAATACCACCCAAAGACCTTCCTTTTTGACTGTGCTTACGGTCACCTCCCCTCTCCCCTTGGCTCGGTTTCAGACTCCGCTACTGTCAAGCGCTCCGGGAGGCTACCCAGCGTGAAGGGCGCTATATAAACGCAAGTTCTTGTTATTCCCCAGAACCCAGTACTTCTGTCCCTATCATTTTACAGTCCCAGCTCCTTCGCTATCCACCCAAAGAAAATCTAAACAATTTCCCGGACAGTTTCTACAAAAGTAAAAAAAGTCACATTTCACGACTTTGAAACCTCTACAAATCGTTACCTTCACGCTTTCTTCCAGCATGTTGTCGCCGTGCCAGCCCGAGATGGGCACGAATGCCACAGTTGCGGGGTTGTAACCAATCTTCTTGATGTAGGTGCTGACTTCCTTCATGATCTCTTCACAACGCTTCTGGCTGTAGGGTGGCTCGGTGGAATCCATCTTGTTGATGCCCACAATGAGCTGCTTCACACCCAGAGTGTAGGCCAGCAGAGCATGCTCACGGGTCTGCCCATTCTTGGAGATACCAGCTTCAAACTCACCCACGCCGGCAGCAACAATCAGCACAGCACAATCAGCCTGGGAACACACAACACCAACATCATGAGACCTCTCCCCAACACTTCACGATTGGGGAAACTGCACCGACGATACATTGCCATGTCTATTCCTTGCCTGGAATCATTTACCGATTACCCAAACCGATTGGGTCAAGTCCCCCATTGTGGCAATTCCCCCAAATTGACCCTTGTACATATACATATATATATACATATATATACACACACGGTGACCAAAAAAATCGTGATAACTACACTATTAGCTTAAAAAAATCATAATTTCTTTAAGACTTATGAGACATTGTAATGGTATCATGACTTTTTAAGTCACTGTGCGCGTGTTCGCATGAGTGTATTATGTATACTATATATAGTGGTATACACCCACTCACGGAGTCGTACTGTCAATCTATCGCACCCATTCTCTATCTTTAATTCTCAGTCTCGCTCTCTTCTATTTTTTTTCACCTCTTTACGATTCGCCTTCTCTAGCTTTACAACTGTACCCTGCAAACACATACAGGATAGCCCTGGCAACAGGCTTTTAACATAGTACTGGTGCTAGCTGCAGTGTTAGACTTGGCTATCGCTCCCTGGTGTAACAGGTGTGTTTAGCGAGATAGCCGAGACCCTGTATTTGACCAAAAACCACAACCGTTCAGTTCAGCGAATCTCCTGTACATTGGCAGAGACCCGATGACCCAAACATTGGACTTTTAGGCACAGGACGCAGGAAACTGCCGGAAACCAGCAATGTAACCATAAGATCTCACCCTCCCTTCTATATCGAGGTTCCAATCTACTTACATTTGTGCTACCTACCAGCAAAACATTCAGTTTCAACTCATTCGCGAAACTTCAAGCATGCCCGAAGCTTGCCAATTAAATAAATACATGGATCGGCTCTCACACACCCACACGCAAACGTGTGCGACTCAGCATGCGAGAGAGAATCCTGCAGCCCTGCATTCACTTCTACACTGGAGCCAATGCAGATAACCGCTGTACCATGCCTCCTACTGTACCTGCGACGTTCCAGTGATCATGTTCTTGATGAAGTCCCTGTGCCCTGGAGCGTCGATGATAGTGATGTAGTACTTTGAGGTCTCAAACTTCCACAGGGAGATGTCAATGGTGATACCACGCTCACGCTCTGCCTTTAGTTTGTCCAATACCCAGGCGTATTTGAAGGAGCCTTTGCCCATCTATTTTAAAGCATAAAACTCCTTTTGTTACTACAGAGAACATATATGACATTTAAATCCTAGTGGATTGTATTTTTTTAAAAACACACAGCAATCTCTCAATACTCCTACCCAAGACTGTAGAAAGGGAAATAAAGGGATTCGATAGGGAAGCTACAACCGCTGGTGTGTGAATGCAGAACAAGGGGACATTACATTATAATTAGAGATAGGCCATTCAGGAGCAAAATCAGGAAGCATTTTATCACCCAAAGGGATAGTGGAAATCTTAACTCTCTCCCCCCAAAAAGCTGTGGATGCTGGACCCATACAAATTTTCAAGACTGAGGTGGATAGATGTTTGTTAGGTCAGGGTATCGAGGGATATGGGGCAAGGGCGGGTAATTGGGAGTTGAGGTGCAGATTGGGAACGGGCACGAGGGGCTGAACGGCCTACTCCCGTTCCTATGCAATATTCAAAACTTTTGGGGCAAAGCGGAAAAAAACGCAACTCCCTCCCAAGCTTGTAGAAGGGGAAACGAACAGTCTTTGGGTTCACACGAGGAAGGTCGGTCTCATATACTCACTTATAATATAGTGTATAGTATATAAATAATTAATAATTACCCACCTCCTGAGCCTCCTTCTCGAATTTCTCGATGGTCCTCTTGTCAATCCCACCACATTTGTAGATGAGATGGCCGGTGGTGGTTGACTTGCCAGAGTCAACATGGCCAATGACCACAATGTTGATGTGTACTTTTTCCTTGCCCATTGTTAATGGTGGTGAGAATCCTGTCCAATTATAATGAAAAAAAGGATTAACAAAAAAATTCACAATCCCAAACATTCAGCAGTTTTAAAAAAAACGGCTATTCAACTGCAGACAATACAGAAACACGGCTTTAATGCCATTCAGCCCCCCCCCCCCCCAATCCCCACTGGAATCAGAACTCAAAATCATTCACACAATGGAAAGTGCATGGTATGTCCTCAGGCCTATATACGTATTTAAAAAAAAACTCTGCACGAATACGATAGTAATAATCATTGTTGCATTTGATATAGAGCCTTATCACGTCGTTGAGACGCCTCAAAGCGCTTCACAGAAAGACCGACTGATCTAAAGCTAATTCGGAACAAACGAAAATGCAAATAAGGAAAAACTAACAAGGGGTTAACGCGAGTTAGATCACATCCTGCTGATGAGTCAGGAGGGACGTGGCAAACACGAGGCAAAGTCACCGGAATCCAGCCCAACACCAGAGGGCTCACTCTGCACTCGCACGCAGGCGAGTCAAGGCATAGACCGCCCCGATCACGATGGAACGCGCCCAGACGCACTTGGCTCTCTCTCTGCCAGATTCCATAATGACAATTCTTGCGTTTGCTATAAAGCCTCATCAGCTCTTCGAGACGCCTCGAAGCGCTTCACAGAATAATATACTGTCAAAGTGAACCGGCTCTCTGTTCTGTGGGCGAAATATCTGTGGGCACAGAACCTCTCCTCTCTTCACCGAGAGAAAGTCTTAAAATGTACGTACGGGCACAAGGTGGCAACGAATGAGCCTTTTATCTCTCTCTCTCTCTCTCGTGTGTACATGTACAAAAAAAATATATATAATTACAAACGGTCGGCAGAGGATAAAGGGAATAATCACACATGCATAAAACATGTCGGGAGTGGCTGCCTGTGGAGGAAGGGCGGGTGGGGCGGTGGGGGAGGAAACGCAAAATCTCTCTCTTAAAATTATAAACCCATTTGAAGATCCAGTTAAAAACGCATCCCCCCCACCCCCACCCCCCCACCTAGGAACACATTTAATGTACTGAAACTGAAATCCGGGGGAGGGGGATAGAGAGAGGGAGAAAATGGGAGGGGGTGGGGGAAGGGGGGGTTACATTATAAGTCATTGGAATGAAGAGCCAGTTAAAAAAAAGCTTTTAAATTATTCCACCACCCCCCCCCCCCCCCAGAGGAATATTTAACGTATGGAAGCTGAAGTGTGTGTGTGGGGGAGGGGGGTAAAATAGGGGGGGGTGGGAAAGGGGGGGCAATTGAAACTAGGTGTGAGCTAAAGCGGTATTGCATCAGACATCAGCCATCGGGGCCTGGGAACAATGGGGAGGGGAGGGGGGAAGGAGGGGGGGGGGGGGGGAGACAGGCCCAGGCCAGGCCGCCCCGAGCTTCAGGCCAACCCCCGCCCCCCCCCCACCCCACCCCTCCCACAGAAAGGAGCCGCCAAAGAAAAAAAAATGCCCTCTCCCCCCCCCCCCCACTCACCCCCACCCCATAAAGGGCCGCAAAAAAAAATGGAACGCCTCCCGAGTCCCGGTGCAGTCGGGGGATGGGGTGTGGATCGTGTGCGTGTGTCTGTCTTCTCTCTCTCTTTCTTTCTTTCTTTCTCTTTATCTCTCTCTCTCGCACATTCTTCCTCTCTCTCACCCCATCCCCCCCCCCCCTCCCCCCACACAAAAAAAAAGAGAGGAGGGGCCGCTCGAGGCCTCCCGCCCGGGGCCTCCGCACTCAACCCCCCACATATTTTATATATTATACATATATAAAAATATACAAATACAAAATATATATATATATATATACACATAAATCAATGTGATGCTTCAATACAAATACGACGACGACGGGAAAAAAAGGCCCTTAAATCCCCGATCCCTCTCTCACTCTCTCCTCTCTTTTCTTTTCGAGATTTTATCGAATATTTCTCTCCCCCCAAAAAAAATAATAATCCACACATTCGGCGCGTCCGGGAAGCGGCCGCGTCCGAACCGCACGAGTCGGGCGTCCGTCGGCGCGGATGGCCCTCGCGGAGCCGCGATGGATCCGGATTGTGAAGGCCTCCCCTCGGCCTCCCCTCACCCTCGGCCTCCCCTCCCCCCCTCTCTCTCCCTCACACACTCACTCACACACACACAGAGCGCGGACGACAATCACCATCTTGGATTTCACAGAAGGAGCGCGAGACTGAGAGAGACCGCAGAGGGTGTGTGAGTGTGTGTGTGTGTGTGAGAGAGAGAAAAATATCCTTCCGACGCGCCAACACTTATCCTCCGGTACAACAGCAGCGACACGACAAGTAACACCCCCCACAACAACAACAACAACAACAACCCCCCCCCCCCCCCCCGACCCCCGAGGCTCATTGAATCCCAGTCCCGAAAACGGGAGAGTGGTATTTTTTTTTGTGTGTGTGTGTGTGTCGTGTTGTGTGAGGGGAGAGGGTGTGTGGGGGGTGTGTGTGTGTGTGTGTGAGGGGGGTGGGGGTGGGGGGGGGGGGTCTCGGGGCCGGTGATGGCGGCGCTCCGGCGGCCGCGGCCGTGACTGACTTACCGACTCTCGCGATCCAGAGACTGAAAAGACCGAGGCGCCGGCGTCACCTCTACTTATAGACAGCGGGCGGGAGGGAAGGGGGCGGGGCCTAGTGACGCCGTCACCACATTCCTCCCTCCCCACTCCCTCTCCCCCCCCCCCCACTCACTTACTCATTCCCCCCTCCTCCACTCACCCCCCCCCCATTCACTCCCTCCCCATTCACTCCCTCCCTTCCCCCTCCACTCACTCCCCTCCCCATTCACTCCCTCCCTTCCCCCTCCACTCACTCCCTCCCCATTCACTCCCTCCCTTCCCCCTCCACTCACTCCCTCCCTCCCCATTCACTCCCTCCCTTCCCCCACTCACTCACTCCCTTCCCCCTCCACTCACTCCCTCCCCACTCACTCACTCCCTCCCCACTCACTCACTCCCCCCCCCACTCCCTCCCTTCCTCCCTCCCCGCTCACTCATTTCCCCCTCTCCTCCCTCCCTCCCACCCTCTGCTGTAGCCTGAGCTCAACCCCCCCCCCCCCACCCACCCAAAAAAAAAACCCCATCCACGTCCTTTGTCAATTTGGAAGGGACCTAAGAATTTTTTTTTGTTGATAAAAGGGCGAAAGAAAGCAAAGCCAAAGTGAGGTCCGTCCGTCTGGTTCGCTTTTCCTTTTCTTGCCCCCAAACACCCCCCCCCCCCCTCCACCGGGATATCCAGGCGGTGGCCACAACATGTGTGTGTGTGTATGTGTCCTCACACACTGCACAAGTCTGCTCCTGTCCCCCCTCCTCCCACACACACACACACACACCTCTTTCTCACGGTTTCAGGGAAGGGTGTGTGTGGGGTGGGGTGGGAAAGGGGGGGGAAAACCCACCCACAAATGCATCTCGGACGGTAATCCTGTCCTTCTCTTTAAATAAAATAATACAAGCTTTGCATCCAGACACCCAGACATGCAGATCAGCCTCGAGAAATCATTCCTGTTTTGCAGACCGTCGCCACACACACACACACACACAGAAGAAGAAGAAAAAAAAACAGCCGCAGTGAACTCCTCTGGAACTCCCAAAGCAGAATGGAAGTTAACCGCCCATCTCCACCCTGACACAGCGATATTTTTGACTATGTCACACCAGCAGGAAAGAGCAAAGGAGAGTAAATGACACCAGGGTGGAACTAACCCAACCTCCCTTCTATGCTGATGATCATAATAATAATAATCCTGTGGTCTTGGGTGTGATTGAGTGCAACCTGATGGCACAGTACTGATTGGGTGTTCTGTCAATATAATCGTAATAATCCTTGCATTTCCTACGGCGCCTTGATCACACCTTCGAAACGTCTCGAAAGCGCTTCACGGAACGCACTGCAAAGTAAATTGACTGCGCGCGAGATGATGCTTGTGCTGCGGCTCAAAAGATTTACAAGGGAACGCACAGCACACAAGATGTACACTCGTCCCAACAGACCAGTCCGTGCTGGTGTTTATACTCCACAGGAGTCTACACCCATTTCTCCCTCCCTCCCTCCCACACCTATATTCCCTTCTGAGACATAATCGTCAGCCAGTACACACAGGCGTTAGTTAGGGAGGACAGTGTTGTTGGTTAGGGAATGGGGAAAAGGGGGGGGGGGAAAAATTCACCAGGATTCCTTCTCAACTTGACCCGACTGCTGGAAAGCCCACATGTTGGGTTAGGGTTAGCAGTACTATCTGAAACAAAAAGGAAGCTTCTCTTTGTGTCTTAGCCAACAATCACCCAAATAAAATTGGTCACTCGCTTCACGGATGCTTGCAGTTACACCGCTGTGTGCAACTGGGCCAGCAAAATACACAGTCACTACACTTTACAGCGTATCCTTTGAGACACTCTTCAGATGGGAAGGTAGCTACAATATATCAAAGGCAAAAATATATCACATCCTGTCACTGAAGCAGTGAGTTTCTGAGTTGGTAAATTGCATTCTCACTCTATAGTAAACATTGAATGTTACAGTATTTTTTTTGTGAAAATGTTTATTTGGAGAATATTATATTTTGGCAGAATGTTAGAGTAACACAAGCAGAAAATTTGGCATTGTAAGTCTAGAAAGTGAAAGGGAGACGGGCAGAGCCAAGCGTCACTATCCTTAGCTGACAACATGTGAATTTTCTATCAGAGATCATTGGACAGCAATCAAAACGTAAACATCAGACTATTTGTCTTCCCCCTTTTCCACAAGATACTAATGTTCCCAAATTGTCACGTTACATAATACATAATAGACTCTCAAGAAAAAAAAGCAATAACAATTTGGTCACTCAATCCACGACTGTTTATGAGACACTGCTGTGCGCAATCGGCTGCCGCGTTTCGCCCACAAATATAGTCAATTCACTTTACAGTATAACTGTGAAGCGCTTTGAGACGTCTAGAAGACGTGCAAAGCGCAATATCAAATGCAAGCATTATTATTGTTGCATAAGATTAGTTTTAGTTCACTAAGTAAACATGGCAGTGCACCTTAGCACTAATTATTATGTTGATATGGGGGTGCTGGGGGGGGGCAGGCATTTATGTTACTTTGACTAAGTTTCCCAGTATCTGCTAGAATTCAGAATTTCACCACATGCAAATGAAGCCACATCCTGCCACTGAAGCAGTGAGTTTCTGAATTGCTAAATTGCATTCTCATTATACCCAGTAGTAAACATAGAATGCTACAGCAAATCTACAGTGGTATATTTTTTTTTAAACCACACAAAATTTCCAATCCTAACAAATTACACAAATAATCATTATGAGAATTTAGACTACCCAAAAAACTAGTGCTGGGCACATCAAGGTCTGCACCGTATATTTCTTTAGTTTTCATTGTAGCTAAAATCTAGATCTACAGCAATGACGTTCCTTTTACACCATTCTTACCTTCTCTCTTGCCCTCCTCTCCTGAAGGCTTCGATACTTAAAGGGATGTGGTTCCACTGATGGTTGCAGCTGTAGTCTGCCTATTTGGCTATTGTGTGGACCCAAAAGTTAATGTTGACAACTTTTCAACCATTGAAGACTTCACAGCTAAGATTGTTCTTGTAGTCATCTAATACCCAGACACTCACCTTCCTTTAAGAATGATTGGGAAGATTAGGAACCCTTGATATCTCCTCTCTCCCTAACCTACCCCACCGACCGATACAAAGGACAATTGAACCAACCCAATTTCCACCCAAGCTGAGATCTACCAATGTAGGGTAGGGACTGGGATGAAACATGTCACCTTCTGGTTTCTATCAATTAAACTGATTTTACTCAAATGTCTAGCCAGTGAGGGAGCAGTTCCTCTTTTTAAAAAAAAAGTTTTTAAAGCTGTTCCCTCAAGAAGGTTGCTTGGTAAATGGATTCAACAACTTGCATTTATATAGCACTAGATTCTAGATTGATATAGACTCTAGCTCATATAATTTACACGTCAGTCCTGATCAGGAAGTATTAAGATGCGGAAACTGGGAATCGAGCCAGTTGCTCGAAGTTAGTGCAAAAAAAAAACCACCCTGAGGTATGAGACATGATCAACAACTGAATCCCTTTGAGTAAATAATACTGCAGCCTATCAACACGTGCTGCTCTTCCAGCCGTTGCTGGATCGAGTTAGCAATTTCACAGAATCTCTTCTGGCACTCTGATCACTGGGAAATTAAAATAACTCATCAAGTGACCTGTTAACAGCTTAGCTGGCAGAGGCAGCGTGAGCCACTGTATCTGCCTCTTCCTCTCCATTATCCACGTTCAGGCTTACCTACCAAACATTAGCTTCAGGTTATTTCATAATAATAATCCTTGCTTTTGATATAGTACCTTATCACTGCTTCGAGATGTCTTAAAGCGCTTCATAGGATATACTGTAAAGTGAATTGACTGTTGATTTTGTGGGCGAAACGATGGGGAGCTCAAGGATGCAGACACTTGAATCCCTTGCCACACACTACTGTATACCTAAAGCCAATAAACCGTGTGCTTTTTTTTAAGTATAAAAAAAGTGCATCTAACTATATGATTCAGGAAAACCGGTCTGTAAGAGAAATATATATATTTTTTTAAAAATCAACATTCATTACTGAGTAAATGACACAACGACAATATGAAGGTTAAGTTGCATTTGAAGTGAGGTCCATTTTATAAGATTTTACAACAATCTCATATATTTGCACCCATCTTATCCTGTATTTATATTGCAGAACAGCAATTCCCGTTATTATAGAAACTGCCAGTTCTCTATATGCACAAGCTAAAAACTTGCAAGTGTAACGCAAATTGGTTGCGATAGAATGGGTAAGCTCTCGAATCAGCCTGTTTCAGCCTGTTGCTGCTCGGGTCCAATCTCATTTACATTGACAGCAGATCCCAAAGCACCAATGGCCAAGCAGAAACTGCGCATGTGCAAACTCAGGCAAAGACAATGGTCTCACTGTAAGTGATTTGCTTTTCTAAACAGCAAACCTATTCAGTCGGAGATTTCGCCTCTAATTCCTGAAGGTTATTTTCTCTAAGTAAGAGAGGAGATCAAAGGGACCAGAAAAATTCAGGACAGTCGAACAGCTTGTGATTACTGACGGTGCCATTTTCATTGTTGCATTTGTTTCCAAATCTATTTATTCTTTCTCTCCCAGATCAGGTGGAGATGTTGCCAGTTAAAGAGGCATGTTTATCACGTCACCTGATCCCAAAAGCTTTTTTTTAAAAAAACATTTAACCAATTAATATTAAATGCCTATACTTTCAACAAGTATTTTCTCCAAAGGTATTTATTGTAGTATTGCTCATGTTGCTGTGCGAAACAAGTCGCCACATAAACCCACACTGTTTATCTAAAAACATGTTACCCAGTATAATAATGTACAAAACTTAGCAAATAAAAGGTAATACATCCTTCACAAAACATGTCCCTCATTATCCTGACTTTTTCATTATAATCATATCCACTCAAATTCAGCACGACAAAACTATAGCCCTGCTATAGGTTTATTTAAACAATATTAAGAATTGAATTAGCATAAGTAGCAGATTAGAATCCCCATTTCACCCTCCAATAAGTTTCCTTTTGCAGGTCAACACATAATTTATAAAACCTTCTATATAAAATTAAAATCCCAATGTTATTCATTTTAAGTCACATCATGTTTTTGCCCAATTTCTCGCCCATCCTCTACTGAAGATGCCACTTCTTGCTAGGTACAGATCCATGATTATCCACTGGTCATTCTTCACACATGAACACAAACATTTACAGATTCTACAGCAAGGAAACAGGCCATTCGGCCCAACCAGTCCGTGCCAGTGTTTATATTCCACGAGTTTCCACCAATCCCTTATTTGTCTTGGGATGTCCTTCCGACATGAAGGCCGCTATACAAATGTAATTTGCTGTTGTTACTCCCTCCTGTACCCTTCTCCCCCATATGTTCCAAGCAGCGAGTTCCACAATCTCACTACTCTACACTGGAATGCATTGCCTGAAAGGGTGGTGGAAGCCTCTTCGATAACAACTTTTAAGAGAGCAGATAATTATTTGGGGAGAACAAGTATGCAGGGCTATGGGAGAGAGCCGGGGGAGCGGGATTGAATTGGATAGCTCTTTTCAAAGAGCTGGCACTGACACGATGGGCCGAATAGCCTCCTTCTGTGCTGTATAATTCTATGATACACTGCAGTGATGCAGTTCCATTCCTTCTAAATTCTCTTGTAGATCCCCAAGTCATTAGTTTATACTTGTGTCAAAATGTCGCATTACATCGTGGGACAAACATGAACTCAAACATGAAACATAAACACAGAAGAAACTGCGTGGCTCAGTGCCATAACATGCAGTGCCTCTGACTGTGCTTTGAGTAACCATTCTCGTTTTCCCACCCAGCATTTGGACTCCCAGTCAGTCAGTTGTGTGAAGCTCCTAGTGTGAAAGGCTCTATCGACATCCATGTAAATTGTGGTTGTTTTACTCCCTGAACAACTGGAGAACCCAATTCATTCAGATTATGCTTTAAGTATTAGAAGTATCAGTATCATATTTCTAATGTAGCAAAGCATTATTTTGTACAATATAAGTGCTTACCCTCACTAAAGTTAAAACATTTATGGGCAAGTTAAATTTATAATTATAAAACAAATGCACTGCATTTGGCACAGATTACGGTGTGGGGAGCGACATTGGTCTTGTGCAGCACTAAATGCAAAAAAGTGTAGGGCCAAAGTCACTGCCTGAGCAATAGGAAGAATATCTCACCCAAAGTCATGAAGTTTAAAATTCCATCAGTAATTTTATCCAGATATGGCTTACAAAAAACTTTTAGAGTAGCACCATACACAAAGCTGCCTCGTGTATAAATATTATCTCATAAAGTTTAAAATGATTTGATAATGGAACTTTTCAATCAAACCTGCCACCGCAGAGCAGTTTGTCTCTCTGCCACTGGGAAAGGCTCTCAAGTGGAGCATTCACCAAAATTCTTTTAAAAAGAAACCAACTGCTGGAGGGACTTGGGAAATCCTTAAGAATTGTTTCAGGGTGGTGGGGGGGGGGGGGGGGGGGGAGAGGGTTAAAAGTGCAAAGAAACAGCGTATCTTCTGCTAATCTTGAACATCTCACTAAATATGACTGTAGTTCATATACAAGAACATTTATGTCATCTGACCTTATAGAACCCTATCCTTTATTTTCAGTGTCCATTAGCCATAAACCAATTAATAACCCACACATTTTCGAATTATACTCTGGAGGATAAGGATTAATCCTAATATATATCTTTTCTATTTCTCATTCCCCCACCCTACACACATATTTTTCCTTGCAACAACTAGCCAGGTTTAATAGCTTTGTACTCGTGTATAATTATAGGAATACTATTCTCAAGAAATCAAAGTTTCTTGACACAGGAAAATAATTCTGATATATAAACCGACGACCATCTGTATCTGTCAAAACCTGCCTTTTTTATGGCTTGATGTTCATGAACAGCGGTTTATTGCTTTGCCCACTCCTGGATCTCACTTTTACTAAATACAGCGTAGAACACTGCTCCGAAGATATTGATACCAGCTGATATGAAAAACACCATCTGCCAGCCATGTAAGGTGCCCTGTAGAAAAGATGGGAAGAAAATATAAAGCAAAGTTTATATTGTGGAATTCACAATTCAACATTCAAAAAACACTAAATTATTTCATCCCAGTGTCCTTGAAGAGCATTTGGCTAGGAGAGATCTTGGATCATTTATCCAAATGATTTTTTAGTGATAAATTGATTTCACAGAAACATAGGAACAGGAGTAAGCCATTCACCCCCTCAAGCCTGTTCTGCTGTTCTATAAGATCATGGTTCAACTACAAATAAGCGCCTTTGCCCCATATCCCTTGATGCCCTGACTTAACAAATATCTATTTACCTCAGTCTACTACACTTTGTGTGAAAAACTGCCTCCTGATTTCACTCCCAAATGGCTTAGCTCTAATCTTAAAATGATGCCCCATTGTGCTGGATTCCCCTACCAGTTTAGGTTAGTTTAGGTTCCTTTACAAACCTCGGTTGTGAGAAGCCCAGTCACAGTGGGGCCCAAAATGCCAGGAATGGTCCCGAAGGTATTTGTAACTCCCATGAGAAAGCCAGCATATCTGGAGAGAGAGAGAAAAAGAATCAAATGCTGTAACTCATTCAGTTCTGGAGCAAACTCAAATCAATTCTCAGGTAAGAGCTGAATTGCCCCAAAAAATAGAAAAGGGTTTCTTATGCGACACTAACAATCCAAAGCAAATGCACAGTTCCTATTGATCTGTGTGTCTCTCACATGGGTTTCCTCACTGAATCAAGTTGTTTTAGCTTTATTCTCATATAATTCAACTTAATTCTTTTTCCCTATTAGATGGTATCATTAGAACAATCCTGCTTTGATTTTATTATCCATCACAGGATTTACTGGAAAGTGTAGTGACTGCGTGTTTTATAGTTAAATGATTCCAGCCTGCTCATAGTCTGAGCTCACACACACACACGTAGAAAGGTCATGTGGGAGAGGCTGTGGAACTACAAACCAGAATGAGCCTGCACATCTAGCAAAAAGAAACACTGGAATGAATAATGTTTAGTCATTGGTGCATTTTAAAAAACGGAGTTATACAACAAGAACAACTTGCATTTATATAGGGCAGAGTCCCAGAGAACTAATCATGTCTTATGCAGAATATAGGAAAGCTGGACTAGGTTTTCTTTCCTTCCCAAGGGAACTGACCAGCCCTTTGCTCTTACTGTGGTGCTATATCCAAGTGATTGACAGCAAATCCAGATGAGTTGAAGCTTGCGAAAGTGGTGGAAAGTGCCAGAAGTGCAATTGCCGCCTTGTAGTTACATCCCACGTATCCGGCAGCAATAAGGAATGTCGCTGGCATCAACGTGCCTGAATGGGAACAAAAATAACTTCTTTATTTAAGTCACCATATCTCTTTCTCACATCTCAAGACCCTCCTCTCCGACCGCGCGCCTTTGGCCACCCATCTAACCCCTACTCCTATACTCTACCCCACCTGATCCCAACCCCCTTCTCAGGTCCAAATCCCTGACTGTCCTGCGCCTTGGGACCTCCTCCTGATGTGAAAGGCGCTGTATAAACGTAATTTCTTGTTGTCTTTTGACGTGCGTTAATAAAGTGCATTGATCGGTCAATGGCCCTATGCAATAATCTCCGAGGGACGTAGGTTTAATATGTGGATATCAAGTGAGGACGAGATTGGGTTTGGCTATATTGCTCTCTGTGGTTGAATAACCCAATATCAAAGTCCACACTTGATGGGTACCACTCCATTCCTAACTTCTATAATGGCTGCGATTAGATAACAATAAAGTAGGAATCAGATATGGGGAACGAACAGAGGGAAATGGCCAAGAGCTGTTACAACCATTTTTTTTTGCCCACAAAATACCACAGTCACTCCACTTTACAGGAATGCAGAGTTTTTTCCAGAGAGGACACAAACACCTTTGTTGTATTCAGTCTACATGGGGAGTCACCTACCCAGCAACGTGAAGATCTTCCTGACAGCCAACGTTGAGCAGATTTTACGTTTCCTGAGGAAATCAGCAAGTTGCCCACCAAAAAGAATCGCCAACCAGCCCCCCAGGTAAGGCAACGCAGAGAGGAAGCTGTTCTGTAACAGGGCACAGGTACACGTTACATAGCGCACCTCAATGAAGAACTATCTTCACTGCAAGAAACTCTTCACCCTACTTCCGTTCCCATCCCCATCTCGGTTGCCCGACTAGCAGAGTTAAGCGCTTCGAGACGTCGTCCGGATGTGGAAGGAGCTATATAAATGTATACTGTATTTCACATACATTGACCGACAATGAAGCTAAACTAAGATCAAAGAGTCAGTAAAGATTTTGGAAGAGACAGATGCAGCAAATATACCTGTCAATCAGTCCATAAAATTGTTCCCTGTACTGTACAGGGCAACACTCTGAACCCTCCAGTTAGTCTTTGAACGACTGTATCAAAAACAATCACAATTTCAACTTGGTTGCACTTCCGCTTTTTGTGAGGGAAATTTTACTCCAAGGACACGTTTTTAAGCACTTTTTAAACAAATAAATGAAAAACTTTGTTATCTCAAGTCACCGACTTGGGCAGTGTTTCCATTTCTGTTCCGTTGGTTCCTAGTCCAATGGACATTTGTATAGAAAACGGTCACATTTTAAACACAATGCATTGCTGTACTCGCATCACCTCTTAAGATATTCATACCTCTTTGATGTTGAACCTGAGGATTTCACTCAGGTATGTGGGGAGACCCGTCAGCAGGGTGTAGAAGGACCAGTTGGCGGAGAAGTGAGTCACAATGATTGCCCACAGTGGCACAGATTTCACCATCGACAGCATTGGAATGGACCAGCCATGAGAACCAGTTACCTACAAGTGAATAATACTGAGAACAATGACAATATACATTCACTATAGTACCTCCATCTCAGGATGACCTCTCAAAGTGCTACACCGCAGCTGACTGGGAACCCAAGATGGGGGGGGAGGCAAGAGGGGCAAAAGGTGGCCAACAAATAGGTCTTGCGTTTGAGAAGGGAGTTTCTTCTGGTGTCCTGGCCAATAATCCCTCATATGATTCGTCGTGGCTGTTTGTGGGACATTGCTGTGTGCAAAACTAGCTATCACATTTGCCTACAAAACACACGGTCGTGAACTACACTTTAACAGAAATTTTGTGGCAAGTTCAGAGACATTTTACATCATAGGTGTTATAGCAAATGCAAGCATTATTATTTGATATTGTGTCTGCTTACGTCAAAACATCTTAACGGGGTTTTCCCTCAGGGAATTGCTGATGAGTGACAAGATATTTACCACACAGCAGGCTCTTGCAAACAGCAAACAATTCTGAAGAGTAATCGGTACATGTTGGCAATAGCTCAAGGTTTGGGGAAGTCAGAGTGTGCGTTGTCAGTCAGTGCTCACAAATGGCAAGCTTTGTAATTTTAGCTGGTTTCAGCCCAGCACACATAGCTTGTCACTGTGAGCCCTGCCTAACAAACCTACAAATCATGCACATACCTGGCTCATTGTAAATCAATACACAATGTGAAGTCACAGTTTTCTGCTTAAGGTCAAGCTGTTAATATCAAAGTAGTGGTCATCCCTCAAACATTAGCCTAAAGCAGACAGACAGATAGACAGGAAAAAAAATAGTGTAAAATGCTTCAACTTCTCTTGCGTTCTGCACACCTGGTTTGCCAACCTATCGACAATGTAATTTTTTTCCAGCTCGGAGATTCGCGGGTGATTTCGCGGCAAGTCTGAAATAAGAATCTGCCAGAAAACAAACCAGACGACGGTGGCTGCACCTGCACACGGAACAAGAGACGGAAGAAAGCAAAAAAAAAAAAGCAACTTATTTTACACCGTGTGAGAACAAAACAAAATACTGGCCTGTAACATCCCAAAAACTGCCCAGCGCTTGAACAAAACGAAAAAATACTTACCAAAAATGTAGAAGACCCAGGGCCAGCCGACGTACTGACAGATCGTGCCGCTGAGCGGGAGGGAAATGAAGGTTCCGAACTGCGTCCCTGTAAAAGTCAGAAATGCTAATGTGCTTCCACGGGCGAGAGAGAGACACTGCACTGAAGTATGCACGCACCCAATCTGTGGTTTACATCGGAAGGACATATAAATGTAATCCTGTTGTTGTTGTTTACAACGCATGAAGGCCCTATTGACAACAATAGCTCAGTGGTTAGTGCGCTCGCCTCACAATGTGGATGGAGTTGAGGTACAGAACAGCCATAGTCTAACACAACGGCGGAACAGGCTGGAGGGGCTGAATGGCCTACTCTGTCCCTATGTTCCTAGACAGACTGGAGCTGCTGTTGCATGACAAGATTAAGAGATAAAAAAGGACGACAAAAAAGCTTAGGGAAATTTCTGTGAGATTGGAAACCAAGGCAGCATTTCAATGGAGTGCTGGAGCTCAAGCTTGAGCTCTGCAATTCCCCAAAACAGAACATTCCCAATCCCAATGCTTTTTTTTAAAAAAAACACTCAGTCAGGCAAGTATCTAATCGCGGGCTTTGCTGTGTCAGCTCAATGGTGGAACAAAAGGTCACTCACCGGCGCTTGCAATGGTTGTGAGTTTGGTGCGTTCCAGTGGAGGTGCCCATTGTGCCATCATTGCAAACATGGCTGGAAACATTACACCCTAAACATTTAAAAAAGATAAAAATAATGAGTTACCCATTAAACACTCAGGATGCAAGGTTTGAAATTTTTCTGTTAAATCTCTCAGCTCCTAGTTCTATCTTTTCATCTCCTGCATCATCCTCGTGACCATATCCACCCTTTCCATAGCTCTAATATCCTTTCTATAATAATATTGATTGCATTCGAGACGTCTCAAAGAGCTTCACAGGGTTTGCTTAAGTGGATTAACTGATGTAGAATCCTGGTTACAGCGCTGGTCTGGGTTCGATTCCTGGATGGGGCGAAATCTTTGGCAAGTTTCCTTACTCCACATGCCTCCGTTTACCGAGCAGTAACTAGGAACCTGGTTGTTGGTCGATTGACGGATCGCTTTCTGGAGGGTAATAATCCTTCCAAAAAGAATAATAATTTGGTCTCTCAATCCATGATGGTCTGCTAAGGGAAGACCTGCTGGAGTCCAACATTATAAATGTTTTTGTAAGTTATACAGAGAGAGAAACTATTTCTACTGGTCTGTAAGGAACTAACGGACAAGAGATATCACAGCCAGGATCCATCTTCCCCTTTATGGAGTATGAGCCCTGACTGATATATTCAGGCATTGCACTGGCTACAGTGCACCCTGGTGGCCTGATTGAAATTAGCTGTCACCGAAGCCCACAACTCAAATAAATCCAATATAGTGCTTTTTTCGATTAATCTGTTCATTTTTGATATACCAAATAATATTATTCTTTCCAGATTCAATTACCACCCCACACTCCCAAACATACACACACAGACAGACAGACAGACAGAGACAGACAGACAGACAGACCTACCTCTCCCAGCCCCTCTATGGCTCTGACTGCGATCAGATAAGGCACTCCTAGTTTTGCTGCGATGGGAGTGAACAAGGTAAAGATGCCAGCACTGAGGATCCCGTAGCCAAGCAGTACCTTCCCTCCAAACCGCCCGGCCAAGTACCCACCCGGGATCTGGGTGAAGAGATAGCCGTAGAAAAACGCACTGAGAATGATCCCCTGCGTCTCAGAATCCCAGTTGTACATCTCAACCTAGAAAAAGGGGGAGGGGGAAAAAGCACAACAATAATAATCCTTTCATTTGATATAGCGCCTTATGTCTTTGAGATATCTCAAAGTGCTTCACATAATATACTGTTAAGTGAATTGACTGTATATTTTGTGGCGTAATGCGGTAGCATAACTTAGTGCATTAGAATTACTGGTGTAAAAGAACATTGATGGGGCTCTGGTCAGGAGCAATGGTGAGGTTCCATTCTTTCCTTGAATGTCTATATCTCGATTTACGTGATAAGTCAGCAAATATTCAATAAAGAACATTTATTTTGTTGGCCGACCATAAAAGTTAACCACAGCTGCTGTAAGCCAAAGTGCTACTGGGTGGAGCAGACCTGCTGCTCATCCTAGCTGAACAAACAGCAGGAAACTTGCCAGTGTTCCCTACAGTAAATTGCATGGTGTTAGCCAATTCAACTCCTGCAGTAGCCCAAAGCCATTACGGTATCCTCAAATCTCATGTCCTGCCAAATGCTCTAGCACCAGGCACCTTCCAGTTATTTAGGTCCAAAAGGCCTGACAAGGCACTTCTAGCCATGGACGCAACAAAAGACACTATCATGCTTGCTGGCACTCTGTGCACACATGCGCACGCACATAATGGCCGCTAATCTCGGGATCACTGCCTTCAGTAGAGAAAAAATTTGGGTTCTTGTTATAACTTGATCTGAAACTCCCTCAATTGCTTAGTGAGTTTATTTATTAGTTACTAAGCCATACCCACTGGGAAGATTCCAGGAAATCTCTCCAGTCAATTCGACTCAATAGACCCACAATGGGAAAGTTACAATTAGCCTCAGTGGCTCGGTTTAGGGAGGTGGGGGAGAAACAAGTATGGGTCCTCATTCCTGACTGCTAGCTATAGTGATCTGTTTGTACGGAGGGCAAGACAGGATCAACCAAGTGCATCACCACCAATAGAACACCGAGATTGACACGTAGTGCATAAGCCACGCAAAAGACAATTAACATCAGGGCACGTGAGTAATTGGTAACATATTGGTATCCCAGTACAACAAAAGTGTACCTTCAGGAGAGAAAGAGAGAGAAGGTAGGGCTCCATTAACACAGTCTGCATCACATCACTGACCGCATAACTGATAACGTCACTGCAAAGCACGCCGGCCAGCTTCTGAATTACCGTGTCGTTGTCATCACTTCCTGCGTAAGATCACCAACCTCACAATACACAACCTAACCCACTAGCGCCTGTATTTAGGTTATGAGCAGCAATAAGTAAGTTCTACAGAATATGACAGCGATCCAGGAGATCAGTCATTGTCACAAAACAGAGAACAGGCGTGGCCATCTGCCTTATAAGCAACACCGCACTATAACAGGGTTCTGCTGTATTTGGCAAAGAAAGTGGACAAAGAAAAAAATCTCACCCCTGATGGGAAACCATTGTTGGTTGCATTGTAGTTGTCATGTTTAGGGCAAATTTTCTCTGAGGAGTTGAGAAGATTTTGATGTTCACTGCCATTTACCATGGCAACCATGGCAACGCTGAGATCGACACGTAGTGCATAAGCTATGCAAAAGCCAATGAACATCATAATGGCAAGGTTGTAACGGGCAGAACAGCAGACAGGAACTGGGGATGGAAAGAGAAGTTGTACAGTCATCTACAGGCACATTGGACACAAATTAGTGACCCTAAGATGACCATGAAAAATCCTCAGTTTGGAGGGCCCCATTAGATTACGTTATAGCAAAATTGTTGAGAACTTATCTTCACCTTGGTTTGACAGGAATGGGAAGGAGGTAGGGAAAGATAGAGCCTTGTAAAGAAACAGGAACTCAAGTCAGGAAAAATACTGAACATCTTATTTTTCCTAATTGACCACACCTTGGATTTGTGGTTCTACGGATGCTTCCACATAGCATCCGAGTCAAGACAGTGTAATCGGTGCTTCGGAGAGAGACAGAAATGATAACTTGAACCAGTATGTTGAATTCTGACTGTTGCTAATTAGCGTCACAACATTACCAAGTGAAATATTAGCTGGGCATCTATTCGCTCCGATACCGTAATAGGAGCCAATCATTAATTATCTATTTTGAAAATAAGTAACTTATCATTGACATTCAACCTCAAATGGTACAGTTAAAAGTGAATACCACCCACTGCTAAACAAATCAGGTCTAATTCGCAACCTGTAAACCATGTGGACAGGGGTAATTACAGGTTTTGTAATTAAAATGATTAATTACTTCTGTAAACTAATCCTGTTCACCTTTAAGCCATCCATGGCCTTGCCTCCTCCTACCTCTCTGACCTGCTGACTCGCTACCAAGCTACCCGCTCCCTCCACTCATCAGGCTCCGGGCTGCTCCTTGTCTCCCGTCCGACCCACCATCGGTGGCCGGGCTTTCAGCCTCTCTGCCCCCACACTCTGGAACTCCACGGTCCCTTCGCCTCGCTTCCTCCCTTGCATTCTTCAAGGCCGGTCTCAAGACCCTTCTCTTCGACCGTGCGTTTGGTCTCCCTCCCACTTTTCTGCCTTCCCTCACCCCTACACCACCCCTCCCCCATGCTCAGGACCTGACATCTGACTGTTTAGCACTTTGGGACGTCCTCCCGACGTGAAAGGCGCTCTATAAATGTAATTTTGTTGTTGTTGATCAGTTAATTCCCAGCATTTACACACACTGTGGCATTAAATGAGCTAACACCATGCCAGCAGAAAATGTCCCACAAAACAGTTCAAAAAGAAAAAAAAGAAAGGATACATGAGCAAAACCGGGGACTGGAGCTAACCAGATAATAATAATCCTTGCATTTGATATAATGCCTCACTACGTCGTTGAAACGTCTTAACGCGCTTCACAGAATCTAATGCAAATTAAAGCAGCGACTGTGTATTTTGTGGCCGAGATGTGCTTAGTGAGACCTAGCACAGGTATGAAGAGCTGAACAGCGTCATTTTTTCCTGAAAAATCTTATTATTTGATACGTTTTCATTCAAATCAATATAATTCCTGCTGGATACATGGCACTTTTGCACGAAAGTCATTTTTATCTGATAAATACCTTTTTAAAACTTTTTTAAAAAAAATTAACCTGAATTTAACTTTTTAAATCTGAATTCACTGATTTTATTTGCAGAGTATGATTCTGTGAGAAGAGCCGGAATTGTGAATCATTGCAACGGTGCTCTTATAAAATCAAATTTACACACATAGATATAGCGCCTTTCATGTCGGGAGGACATCTCAAAGTGCTTAATGAAGGAAGGGCACCCGAGCTGCGAATGTGAACCAAGAGGGGGGCGGAGGGGGAAAGATTGTTCAAAGAGCTCCATATTGAGACATATTTTGAACGAGGGGAGGGAGGGAGTCAGAGACTCTGGGGTGGTGTTCGAAAGAGCAGGCGTTGAATATAGTCCTTTGAACAGGTTCAAAACTCGTTTCCAAATGGAACTGTTGTTTGAGCATAGTTGTGGGATCAGCAATGCAGTCAGGCAAGTTTCCGCGTGCGAGATTCCAAACTAAATACAGAATATCAGGGAATCTTATTTTGTTGAAAATCCCCTCTCCTCCCAATTCACCTTTTTTTAAAAAAAACCTTTCCCCTCCCCCCCCAAAAAAGCACTCGGGTTTTTAATTTTGCAAATAAAGAACTACATTAACACGGTCATGGGACAAAGCTGGAACCACAGCACTCGGTTTTGCCTCATCAAGCAAAAGCACAGAGCAGCAGCCTATCACTCACACTGCCGAGTGGAATGACAAGATTTTGAACTTTGGCTTTGAAAAGCTACAGACCAGGCAAAATCTAAACGGGAAGAGGAATATAAGCTATAAAACGGTGACAAATATTTCCCACCTCTCATGAAAAAATTATAATTCAAGATTAATGAATTGCTAAATATTTATGCAGGCTAATACCACAGAAAACAGGGGCTGATATCATCCTCCTCTCCTTTCCCTCCCTTCTCCAGTTAAAATATTGTTGTTGTGCAACTCTGCAACAGAAGTGCACTATGCATTGGTTGGGTGGAATGTAGGTTCTCTGCCACAAATCCTTGCACAGTGAATGTTACCAAACTCAGTTGCGCCACTACAAGGGGGTGGTGCTGCCCACACGCTAGGTGTTTTGTGTGGGAAAATATTACTCCCACCCACCCTCCCACTTCCCAGCAGCTTGTTACTGAGAGCAAAAGCTGGGGCCAAGGCATCAATAACAACAACAATAATCGTTGCATCTGATATAGCACCTCATCATGTTGCTGAAATGCCTTAAGAGTGCTTCACAAAATGCATTGTATAATGGATTGACTTGGTATTTTGTGGGAGAAACACGGCAGCCAATTGTGTACAGCAGTGTCTCTGACTGGAGTAAATGCACGACCCTGTGTTTGTGTGTGTGTTTGTGGGTGGGTGGGGGAGGAAAGACAGAACTGAACTATTAACTGATCAAGAAGATCGGCAGTCCTTTCAATTAGCCAAAAAAAGTGAAAGAAACTAATTGATATCTCATTTCTTCCTCTCTTAGCCCTCACCCCCTCCTCTATCCCATGTTCCTCACCATAGCCTTTGTGATAGTGAGATAACCCTGTGTTTTCTCTAACCAACATTCTTTCTCACCGCCACCTGATGATGAATACATCACAGTATTATATAATACTACCAATGTAATATTGGGGAGACAGTGGAAGCAGAAAGTGTTGTTTGTTTCAAGAACAAAGGGAGGGGAAAGGGGGTGGCCGATGGCATGGTCGAAGAGGAGGGTCTTGAGGCGGGACTTGAAGGAAGCTAAGGAGGGGGAAAAGCGGAGAGACTGGGTGATGGAATTTCAGAGGTTGGGGGCAGAGTGGCTGAAGGCTCTCCCGCCAATGGTGGGGCGGATGGGTCGGGGGACGTGGAGCAGCCAGAGCCGGCTGAACGGAGGGAACGGGTGGGTTGGAAGGGGGTTAGGAGGTCGCAGAGGTAGGGTGGAACGAGGCCATGGAGGGCTTTGTACGTGAGGACCAGGATCTTGAACTGGATCCTCTGAAGGATAGGGAGCCATTGGAGTCAGGCGAGAGTGGGGGAGATGGGGTCACAGAGTTTGGTGCGGGAGAGGACACGGGCTGCAGAGTTCTGGATTATCTGCAGCCTGTGGAGGGAGGAGTTGGGAAGGTAGACTTGTGTTAGAAAATAATATTTGGGGATACAGTATATAGTTTGGGATACGAAATGTCAAGCTACTGCCAGTATAGCGAAAGGTGAACTGGATAGGGGAGCGGGGGGGGGGTCACTTACCATTTTTGTATTTATTTTCATTGAGGATTGCGATGTGCTCCTCTACAGCCCCGCGGTACTGATATTCCTCCACACCGCTGTTCGGACATTCGGCGCCTTCTGATTTCACAGGTGACCCGGGATGGTCAGTCATGGTTGGGATTTGCTTTGGAAAGAGGCGTGGCTGGAATCACTTACTGACGACTCCTGGGGAAATAAGATATTCAAACAATTCACAAAGAGTGGATTTCTGATCAATGTATTACCTGCCAAGAAATTTGCAAACATTAAAAATACCAGTTTTTAACATTTCAACTTTGGCCCATTTATCCATCTGGAATCCTGTAGCGTACTGGTGAGAGCACTCGCCTCGCAAGCAAGAGGACTGGTACCCAGCAGTAAGTCGGAAACCGGCTGTCAATCAATTGGCAGATCGTTTTCCGGGGTTAATAATCCTTCCATTCCCCCCAAAAATTTGATAACTCAGTACCTCCGCCTTGCCCCCTTCCTTGCCACCTTCAAGACTCAACTCAAGACCCTACTCTTCGATCGTGCTTTCGATCGCCCTGCTTTCCCCCCGCCCTCCACCCTCCCCGACCCCCAGCTCAGGTCTCTAACTCTGTCTGTCCGGCGCCTTGGGACATCCTCCAAGGGTCTTAAGACCGTCCTCACAGACGTCCTCAACAAATTTAATTTTGTCGTTTTTGATGATCATTCTAACCAGCGAAACAATAAGTTTGTTCACAAATATTTTAACGCTGTACTTACTTGATTCTGTGCTCCCACAGTCTGACCAAAGCCTGTGTTCAGCAGTGATTGACGCTGGAATCATTCATATGCTCATTCATCGAGGCCATGACCCGCACTGCTTTTTGTCCATCACACCTCACTCACGCCTGCTCTCCGAACCCTTTCCTCTTTGAATATGGGCTAAACACCTATACTAAATGCAAGAATTATTATCCACGATTTGCCTGGAGTCACAGTCTGGAGTAACATCTTACATTTAGTTTTTTGGTGGGTGGGGGGGGGGGGCGGAGAGGACAGTCGGGTGTCTGACACAAATGTGCTTCAGAGTATCGAAACCAAATTGAGACTTCCATACATCCCATCTACTCATGATAATCCCGGAGATTGGATTGCTGGAATGAAACCGGCGCGAGCGCTCTCTCTCTCTCTCCTTGGAGGGGCGCGTCCTGCTTACCTAATTCCGGAAAGTATTAGGCTCGGATTGGCAAGCCCCGAGGCTTGGGGTGTAGGCGTGGGCGGGGGGGGGGGGGGGGGGGCGAGGTGGTGGGGGTGGGGGGGGTCGAGCCCGGAGTGGGGTAACCGCTGGGGAGTCCAACCACCAACCAAAAACCACATCGCGTACCGTCGATCCCAGTCAATTCACTCCGCAGTGTGTATTCTGCGAAGCGCTTCGGGACGTCTGGAAGGCACGGTCAGACCCAATATCAAATGCAAGGACCATTACCATTATCATTATCATCCTTACAATAATAATTATAGCCACGCGGTCGCTGCTTTTTGTTCGCCGCACGTCCGGCCGAGAGCGGCCAGCATAGCCACCCAGGCCGCCGCTTGGCGAGCAGAACCTCACCCCACAAAACAACAGTCACTACGCTTTACGAGCGTTGTCCGGTGAAGCGCTTTGGAGACGTCCGGGACAGAGGCGCGTTGGATGATGATGATGATGGCGGTGATGGTGATGATGATGATGATACAGCCGGTGACTGTGCGATGGTTGCACAGAAGCAGTTGCGCTGCTTGTAAACGAGCTGCGGGTAGACTGGGTTATTATTATTAATTATTATTATTATTATTATTATTATTATTAATGCGGCTCAGGTGAGCGATCAAACTGACGCTGCACACACCGGGACGTGCCTTTACCCGACACACCGCCGCCGCCACCCCACCCACCCCACCCCGTCGACAGCCGCTTGCACTGCCTCCGGGTTACGGACGTGAAAGACGAGCATCCGACATCACCTCGGGGGCCAAAGAGAGAAAAGTTCTGAGGTAAAAAAAAAAAGAAAAGAAACAGCCACCGAGAGAGAGGGAGAGAGGGAGAGAGAGACGAGCGCCCTTCCCGCTCAACTGCCTACCGACCTGAAGCTCGCGCTGGCAGGAGGAAGTCACGTGACAGCCCGGGCCCACGTGACTCCACGCCATGTTTGGAGAGGGGGGGGGAGCGGAGGAGGAGGAGGAGGAGGAGTCGGGCTGACCGGGTCACATGACAGGCCCGGGCCCACGTGATTCAGCGCCCGCGAGTGGGTGGAGTAGGAGGGGGTGGGGGGAGGAGTCGGGCTGACCGGGTCACATGACAGCCCGGGCCCACGTGATTCAGCGCCCGAGCCCCGGAGGCGGGGGTGGGGGGGAGGAGTCGAGCTGACTGGGGAGGGTGATGGTGATGGTGACACGACAGCCCTGGCTCACGTGACCGGGAGGAGCAAGGGGGCGGGAAAGGCAGGGTCATGTGACTGGCAAGATGGCGGCGCTGCTGGTGTTGGTCGCTGCGCTGCTCGTCGCCTCCTCCCGCTTCCCGGTTTCCGCATGGAGAGCGGCCGCCAACGGTACCGCGCCGCCCCCGCTGGTCATCTGGCACGGCATGGGTCAGTGTGAGAGGGAAAACAGCAGCCGCGCGGGGTGTCGCTGGTGGCAGAAATACTTAAAGGGATGGGGGGGATTGCTCTTAAAGGGATGGGGGGGAATTGCTCTTAAAGGGACTGGGGGGGTTGCTCTTAAAGGGACTGGGGGGGAATTGCTCTTAAAGGGACTGGGGGGGGATTGCTCTTAAAGGGACTGGGGGGGGATTGCTCTTAAAGGGACTGGGGGGGATTGCTCTTAAAGGGATGGGGGGAATTGCTTTTAAAGGGACTGGGGGGATTGCTCTTAAAGGGACTGGGGGGGCGGGTGCTCTTAAAGGGATGGGGGGGGGGGGGGAACCGGTGCTCTTAAAGGGAGGGAGAGAGCCGGGCAGTGGGATTGATTTGGATAGCTCTTCAAAGAGCCGACACAGACACGATGGGACGAATGGCCTTTTTCTGTGCTGTATAATTCTATGATTCTATAACCGGGGGAATTGGTCTTAAAGGGACTGGAGGATTTCGCCCACAAATATACGGTCAATTCACTTTACAGTCTATTCTGTGAAGCGCTTTGAGACGTCGAGAAGACGTGAAAAGCTCTATATCAAATGCAAGGATTATTATTATTATTACTCTTCAAAGGAACAGCACAGGGACCATTTACATTAAAGTAGGGACATTGTGACAGTGCTGTAACTCTCTGTGGTTCTGTGCTGCAGTAACTTACTACATATTAATTTGGAAGCAGCTCAACTGGTTCCTTCCTAAACACTGACTAATGATAATGATATATTTTTTTAGAAAGATAAAGCGCTTTAAATTTATACATTTCTCAACCAGACCGATCTACATCGTTTTTTTTTAATGTTTTGTCAAATAAAGATATTTTGAAAATAAAGGACTAAGAAATCGACACATTGTCACGGGATGAGATCAGGCAAATCCTATTAGTGAGATTTAAGAAGTAGGAAGTGAGAGTTTGCAAAGAAATGGCCCACTAAGTGAAAGTAATTGGAGAAATTGAGGCTGCAATAAGCAAATTATCTATAATCTAATTTAAAGTAATCATTCAAAACATCTTAAATCAGCATGAAAAATGTATAGAGCGTAGATGTAGATCTTTAAAGGATTCCACAATTTACATTAAAGTGAGGACATTGTGACATTGTCATGCACAAGTTGGCTGTCCCCTTTACGCCTACAAAATACAGTCATTGACACTTAACAGTAAAACCTGTGAAGAGCTTTGAGATGTTTCAACGTCGAGATAAAGCTCTATATCAAATGCAAGGATTGTTAAGTTTTCATTTTTGGGGGGTTCATTTTCAACCAGAGTCAAGGACAAATCGTGACAAAAAGGCACCATTGCATGACTTGTACGTGATTTCAAGTTGATGAAAATATTGCTCGACTTTCACTTTTACACACAAAAACCACAAAAGGAATTATTGCTGTTAGCTACAGAGGTAACGTGTTTCAAACAAATTGTCATGGTTTAATTTCAGGTGACAGTTGCTGTAACCCTTTGAGCATGGGCTTCATCAAGAAACTGGTGGAGCAGAAAATCCCAGGAATTTATGTTTTATCCTTGGAAATTGGAAGCAGTATTACTGAGGTAAAGTGCAGTCCAATAAACAGTCAGACCAGGATCAATGCTGATCTAGCTTTTCTTTTAAAAAAATTGATTACATTAAAAGATGTTCCAACATGTTACCTTGCGCGAAGGGTGCTATATAAACGCAAGTTGTTGTTGCTGTGCCTCTCAAGACAGAAACAACAATCTCATAAATTGTTCAAAACAAATATTTTTTGTTGATGCAAAGTTCATTTGTTTCTTTATAAGGACAAAACAATTCTTGTAGATCATTGACTAAATTATTCACTTTCAGATAATAAGGAGTTTGTGGCACGATTCAGTTCTCGCAATAAATAGCGTATTTTTTTCTGGCTAATTCAGCTAAAAAATAAACAGTTTATGTTTATAATGCATTTGATCAAGGGCAATTTGTAACCAATTTAGGGAATTGACAAAATGCCCTTCCTCAAGACAAACACTGTTTTTCAGGATATGAAGAACAGTTTCTTCATGAACGTGAATGACCAAGTAAAGTTGGTGTGTGATGTCCTATCCAAAGATGAGAAACTGCAGAAAGGATACAATGCAATGGGCTTCTCCCAGGGCGGGCAGTTCCTGTAAGTGACACCAAATAATAATATACTGTAATTCACTGGTTATGGATAAGAAATTCAACTCATCAGTTATTGCGCCCCAATAGATACTAACCAACAAAGATACCTAGACCAAAAGTGAGCTACATAGATGACTGAATCCTTACAAATGGGATAGTTGCTTCTTGAGCATCATTTGCTTCTTTGGCTGACATTTGAATGCAGTACTGGGGTAGTGTTACATTGTCAAGAGGTGCCTTCGGACGAGACGCTAAACCAAGGTCCCGTCTGTTTGCCTGTTCGCAGTGATGTTAAAGATCACATGGGATGATTCGAAGGGAGTTTCACCCAGTTGTGCTGACCAAAAGATTCCCCGGATAAAATGGATTGTAGCTGTTTGTGGAACATTGTTGCGTTGCAAATTGACTGCTGTATTCACCTCCCAACACAGTAATTACCGTGTTTGTAATTACAGTAATTACTGTGAAGCCTTTGATGTTATAAGGCGCACTATATCATGAAAGGATTAATAATAACATGCAGAAGAGTTTCACTGTTTTTTCCTTGATTCTGGGTTGCAGGAGAGCAGTAGCACAAAGGTGTCCTTCTCCTGCTATGTTCAACCTCATCACATTTGGAGGCCAACATCAAGGTAACATTTACAGTCCTCTGTTCAAGATCAGAAAACAGAATCCCTGATTGATGTTACCTTTTCTTAGCTTAGCCCAGGGATCTTTTGAGTCTATTGTAGATCTTACTGCTGCTTGAATGCCAAAAACCAATAACGTCAGATTTTTCTTTAATACCTACTCTGGTCACGTTGACCTTTTCACTAGGCGTGTATGGCTTGCCTCACTGTCCTGGAGAGAGCTCCCACATCTGTGACTGGATCAGGAACATGCTGAACACAGGTGCTTACAGGAGTGCAGTTCAAGACCAGTAAGTATGGTATTAGAAATTTGATGGTATTATGTAAATTATCAAGCCTGGTTTGCATACCGTATAGAAAGATTTCAGCCTTTGGGGGTGTCACTGAGCAACCAGTAAAGAGGAACAATTCAAATCAACTCAATTTTGTTCCTCCTCCCTCACCACTGTTTGAAAATGACTTTATAATGATTTACATAACACATTTCAGTTAGGGAAAACGTCCCAAAGCGTTGAAAAGAAGTAGAACTAGTGGTCTTGCCTGAACACAGCTACTTCTTGTTTCTTCTTGCTCAGTATTCCAGTATTGTGAAATAAAAAAGGAAATTGTTTTAATTTTTTTCACTTCCATTGACCCAGTATCTTCTCGAAATTTGTTACAACAAATTGCATTCATATCGCACCTTTCATGTTGGGAAAGACATCCAAGGTACTGAAAGAGTGAGGGACAGAGAGACGAAGAGATTGAGAGAGATACCTTCTTTTGGTGCACAAATGAGCAGTAAATTATCCGGGTGCAAACCCAAGAAGGGGTTATGTTCTGTCAAGCAATTGTTTGCTATTTTTTTCCTGAGACCCGAGAAATGAGGGTTACTTACAATTTCTTCTCCATCAGCTTGGTGCAGGCAGAGTACTGGCATGATCCCTTGAATGAAGACCTTTACAGGAACAAAAGCATTTTCCTGGCAGACATTAACCAGGAGAGGGTATGTATTAATATCAAATAGTTAATGAAATCAGTGCTTCACCAGATTAATAGCTGGAATCCATTTCTACAAGGCCAGGTTAACAGACCAGGTTCAATGTATCCATAGCAGAACTACCTCTTAAGTCTGGCTTCACGAATAGGAATCTAAAAAGCCACATCTAAATCTTGCAACGTAAGCCAGGACATATTTTTTTGTTTCAGGCCATCAATCAAAGCTACAAAGACAATCTGATGAAACTGAAAAAGTTTATCATGGTGAAATTTCTGCAGGACTCCATGGTGGACCCAGTTGATTCAGAGGTAAGTGTCATCTGCAGCCGTTGCTTTAACCTTGGGACCCAAATTTACTCTTGTTGATTTAACTGTTGCTGCAATGCAGAGAATTAACATTTCAGTTTTTTTTAGGTAAAAGTAAGAGTGAGGCTGAATATCTACCTCCTCAAGACTAATTAGAAATTTAATTTGGCAAATTACTTTACTGATTTTGCCTAATTGTATTTAAATTCAGGGCTTCAGAGGAAGTCCTGGAGAGTGAGAATCAATCTGCACCAAGGCAGGTTCTCAGACTTTGATTTTCTATTAAAAAAAAGCTGTGGGCTTTTCTGTTTGGGGAAGGGAAAGAACAATCGTGTCCGAAATCCCCTCAAGCATCAGTACCTATAATGTACATAGTTGGTTGAAAGGTTTCATTTCTTAAAACCATTAGACAATTTTGAATTGTTTTCACACCAAGTGGTCATTGCCTCTCCAGGGCAATAAATCAGCATTAATTCATTGTCTTCTCGTTTCTCCATCCCAGTGGTTTGGATTCTACAAAGTTGGCCAGGCCAAGGAGACTTATACTTTGAAGGAGAGCGTTCTGTACAAAGAGGTAAGACAATTAAAAAAGGCAAGAAGCTTTGGGCGAAAATAAAGTTTCCCACTTACCTTCTTTATTACATCCCCTCGCAAATCCACCCCTGCAACCCTGTCCAGCACCTTGGGACGTCCTCCTAATGTGATGTGAAAGACGCTTTACAAATGCAGTTTGTTACTTTATAGAACCATTCATGTTGGGTGTCTGAAAGCACTTTGCCCTGATGACTGGGTGCTCAAAATATTGGTAATAGTCATTTAGAATTTCTCATTTTGTCTGAAGGATCGGTTGGGGTTGAAAACGATGGACAAAGCTGGCAAACTGCAATTTCTAACGGTGGATGGGGACCATCTGCAGTTCTCTGAGGAATGGTTCATCACCAATATAATCCCTTATCTAAAGTGAGGCCTCTGAGATCTGCTGAGCCACTGCTCTATTCAGCCTAGCATCAACTCCTCTGCAAAATGCTGCTGCTCCTATATATGTGAAAATAAGTCAGGTAAAAAATCCTTACAGGCAGGTTTGTAAACCCTGTGTGAAGTCGCTGTATCTTTCATCGGTTACTCAAACATGTATCCACTTCATTGGTAGAGTTAAATCTATAAAGATACGAGTTAGAAACCCACTTTGCACTCACTTTGCCACTAAAGAAAAGAAGAATCGAGGCAGATAACATTGTAATCTGTAAAGTTCCTGTGGAAGAGGTAAAACCGCTGAAACATGAAGCAATCATTTTCTAAATCCCAGATGTTCAGTCAGTGGTTTTCACACCACTTGTGCACCTTCAGAATAGCATTAGCTAGTTCTGGTTTGAAAAGTGGAGTTTTTTGGTATTTTGTAAAGCACCTTTCACGTCGGGAGGACGTCCCAAGGCGCTGAAACATATAAACAGTAGATTGGTGAAAATTAAGCTCAGAATATAGTGCTGAATTGAGACAAGTCAGTTTTACCCAGTGCCAAAGGAAATCTGCTGTTACTTCAAATAGTGATTGCATCCTGCCTGCACAGTTATGATGCTTTACCTTTCATCAGTCAAGGTTCCCTACTCCATAAATTACTTTTAATGCAATTAATTTGATACCACAGTATTGCACAAAAGTGGGTAGTGAGGAGTTTCACAGCACTCACCCCTATGCACTGGATCGCTACCTAATTTTTAAACTGTACTTTTTCAACCCATAATTTAACCATTGCATCGTCTGGTAGTATAATTTTAAGCCTTATTTTGTTTACCCATTCACCAAATGAGAAATGTTGCACTAACAAATCCTTGGTTAACACTGAATGCGAGTCAGTCATATCTTGCTGAATCTACTGAGTTTTTTCAGAGCCAAGGATATTTCCCAATATCATTAACTGAGTAGTGGACCTTCCTCCAGAGAACCTGGAGCACATTTTGCAACATCCACTCCCTCTTCCAGTCAGGACTCAGTTCAGATCAATTCCTACAGGAAAAGTGACTGGGAATTCAAATGACTGAAATTTGACAGTAAACAAACATCACGTGTATTTAAACCTTAAAATAAAAGTTTATTTCTGTAAATCTGCTATACCTGCATAGCCATGTCAAATGTGTGTCATCACTGGGTACGTTAGAGCAGATAATAATGGGTTTTTGTTGAGTTTTTATTTAGTTACTCAAAGAAGTCTCAATCCGTCCTACCTAACAGCTGTTCCCACTTTAAATTCATGCTAATGTTAGTAAATGTTAAGGACAAAACTCCCAAGAAATTTACAATTTTACAGAAAGCTTGACAAATAGCAATTGAATTTGTAACTATGCGCTTTTGTTTTATTAAAAAATTAAATTTATCTCTTGTGTATGTGTTTTTCTACATCCTATTACTTCCCTTTTAATCCGAGTCTACCACCATCACATTCCCAAATGAAAAGGGAAGCAGTTTGGTAGTGCAGTGGGTTAAGTACCTTTCATGTCCTTTTCGTTCGCTTATAATGACTCGCTTCCATACAAGTTTGCCAAGAATGGATACACACTTTATACCAGACAACTGGAAACTATACTTGCACAGAAGCATCAGCAGTTTGGTTATTCAAATCATGGTGATGGATTTCCACAAGTATAGACACCGAGCTGACCCAAAAGGACAGGCAGTCAGCAGCCCTTTGGGTTGCAAAGCAAGTTAAGTGGAAAGAAGGGGAAGACACAAGAAAAAGTGACATTTTTAAGCAAGTTGGCAATAAATTTTATTCAATTTTGCAGTTTAATTCCTGATGTATATAAGGAAAGCAAAGTAATCACAAGCAGCAGGAACCAAGGGCAATTCTTGTACATTACTGAAATTCTGCAGACCGATCAATAATAAAACATTGATATCAGTGAATCTAATTGAATATACAATACAGTGAGTAACTTAGACAAAAAAAACCTATTGATACCGATCAAGCAGTTGCATGATCAACATCCTATGATTGGTTAAAGCCAAGGAACAATAACTGCTAAATTAGCTTTTGAATTTTAATATTAAAAACTGTATTCACTGTATTGTACATTTGATACAAAAATAAATGACCGACCAACCAACGAGTTCAACACAAGCTCACACCTTTCAAATCTCTCACTCTGAACTCCAGTTGTCGTCATCCTCAAAGCTTTGTAACTCGGGTGCAGCCATCTATTAGAGTTTATTGCATCTGGTCAATTTATCCCAATAATTCACAAATTTACAAAGACAGTCTGATCAAGGGCATTTCCACAGAACCCATAACATTTACACACAGTAAATACACTGTAACCATAGCAGTCAGTGGCCCCGTACAGAAATCTAATATGCACCAGGTTAGGTTCCCTACTACTGTCCCCTATTAGTACAGTACAATAGATCTTCAAAACAAATTGAAATGGAGCTTAATATGTCTAAAGCTAATGGAATGCATAGAATATAATGAAAAGGAATGGTGTGCAATATCTACCACAGGTCTGTGCTCTGCATTATTTTCTACTGTACAAGTGGAAAATTATTAAGATATTTTTAAAAAACGATTCACGTGAATTAGTGCAACTGGTGCTGGAATGTTAGTCTCCAGAAACAAAATAACCTGTTTTCAAGCCAATCGCTCTGATTCATCCAACACAGTAAAGGAGTAAATTGATAAGTAAACGCTATGATTAGGAATACACAAAGGTTTAACCCTTTGGCAGCTACAGTGATCTCAGGATTGAATTTCGCATTACGTTCTCTGCCTGTAGGTACAATCCCCAGAGGAACTGCGTGACATCAGCCAATAGTCTTGAGACCTGGTTAGATACACATCCTAGTAAGGATTTGGGAGGAATTGATTCAAGTAGAACATTTTGTTCACAAAAATGTCAAGGTCCCAGCTAATGCTTAATGTTTGTTATATATATATATATATGATAAGTTCAGGCCAAACATGCTGTGGAACCAGGGTAAAACAGATCAAAGTTAACAGAAAATGCCAGGTCTCCAGGAGGTATTGGGATGATTCTCATGGGATAAAATTAACTAGGATGGTATGGAATGATACAGGGGCCAACAAACCTCAGTATTCTGTTAGTGCACAAGAATCTGAAGGCCAGCAAAGCCAGCAGCTCTGGCAGAGAAGGAAATGAGGCTGGCATAGTGCTGCGTTTAGATGTGTGGAAGGAAATAAAATGGTACCTTTAAATCATGTCCGTGATGAGACTTTTTAATAGCGACGCTTTATTAAAACAGAAGTTGAATCTGGCCCATGGATGAAGTGCTTACCGTGGCTTTATAATCTTTGTGCATGTTGAACTGTGGATATTAATAGGCTAAAAGGTTTCAAGAACAAAAACACCCCAACATACCCCAGGCAGTGCAGTGAAGGGCTGTTTGCACACAACGTGGGAGAACTCTATAAACACTGCCTGCTGCACTACATGAACCCCAAAGCCTAGAAATGAATAAAAAGAGGCACAGAGTAAAATGGAATGGAAAGAGACACGAGTAATTGCATATCAGAACTCCCCTGATGGCACATCTTCAAGATTCAAGCGGTACCCATTCTTTTCAAATCTTGGACACGTGACCTTGTCTATTTTGGGGAGGAGGAGGAGAAGGGGGAAAAGGAGAAAGTGCCTATACTAAATCTTCCCATGGAAAGAGCTCAGCAATGCTAGTTTTTTTTTATTAAATATGCATTTTGGTGCACTATCACCTCAACAGTCTTCCCAGTATAACATTGTTCTATGCTCATAGGTTCATGAACATAGATGCATACTGCTAGAGTCTGACACCAGCCCTCCCCATGCTCTAATTCAGCTATTTTAGGCCATTTTTATACTGGGAAAGGAAACACCAGTACTTGAGGTATTATGCTGTAGCAGGTTAAGTACCTCTCAATAGGAATATAGTACAAGTCTAAGGGTTGAATGTGCAGAGAGTTAGCTCATTGCTTCTACAGATCATGTTCATCAGTACAAGCGACAACATTAAGACCATGCCTGTAGGTAGATGTCCCAGCATCCATGCACTTTAACCGGATATTTCTGTCACTGTAGTCACCAGCTTCTTGCCGTTCCAGACAGTCTTGAATTGTTCTGGGACAGCGTGCTCAATCTATTTAAAAAGATGATCTAGGTTAATGACACTCAATACAAAGAGCACATCTTTACATGTTCCTAAAGAGCTACACAAACAGGCCTCCATTATCTTAACAAGACAGCTTTATTACCCAACTGGTATCAAATCACAGAGAGAGAAAAAAAAGAGACATAGAGTGCTCTTGCCTGCTTTGCTCACCTCTTCAACTATGGAAGAGAACACAATGTAGAACAGTGGAAAGGTGAGGAAGAGAAAATAAAAAGGTTCACTTACAAAGTCATCATTGACAGGAACCAGGATATTCATCTCAGAGGACTTGGCACTGATAATCTCACAATTAAGAGAATCTTTGCTGAGGTAGGTATGGCAGCCATCAGTCTTATTGATCGACACAGTTGGCACTTTACCCAAAACCTAGAGAGAGAAAAATGTAGAAACCAGTTTCTAACTTGGACCTCACATAGAAAACAACATAAGCAGCACTGTCTGTCTCTGTGCTCCTGCAGCCATGAAGGGTATGGCCAATTTTATCTGGGAAATTGTTGGCCAGGATACTGTGAGAAACTCCCTTCTGGTTTTGAAAAGTGCCATGGAGTCTTTAACGTTTACCAGAAAATACAGAAAGTCTAACTGATTACTATGTTCAATTCAGTAATCACCTCAATGTTAAGACACCAAAGGTTTAATTCCCCCCTGCACTCCCCAACCCCCTCCCCCCACCATTTCAAACTCGGGCTTTAAACTAAAACTTTGCTCATCGACCAGCTGCCAACTTTCAGGTCAGAATTCAGTTCCCCTTTTCAGCCCTTACCTGAATCTTCACATCTCTGCAGTTAATGACCTCCACAATGCCAACAACATCTTCGAAAACTAGCCCGAGCTTCTTACAGTTATCTGAAAAAGAGGGCAAAGTGTATATCTAAATCTACTGCCGATTTTTTTTTGGTCTACAAGCAGGGACCAACATTTTCAGGGGACAAACGAAAACCTTATGAAAGTGAAGTAAATCTCTGGGAGCTTTGGTTCACCACTGCTTACCAACAATAATGGAGTTGATCTTGCCTTTGACGGTAACAGTGCTTTGTGCACACTTGTAAATGTATACCACGTGACCCAACTGAGTGTTGCCGATCACCAGGTCTTTGACATTCTCCTGGTTTTCCTTCAAACAAAGGAAGAGAAAGTTCCATGTTAATAATATTACAGAATGGCAAGATAGTCCATCAAAACACCAATATCTATTCTCTTACTGGTAATGCATTTTTTACATGGTCCCTTTGGCATATTCTTTGGGAGTCCTGTAGCTCAGTGGTTAGAGCACTCGCCTTGCAAGCAAGAGGACCTGGGTTCGATTCTCGGGCAGGGAGAAATGTTAGGCAAGTTTCCTTGCTGCATATGCCTCTGCTTACCTAGCAGTAAATAGGGACCCAGTTGTTAGTCGATTGGTGGATCGCTTTTCCGGGGGTAATAATCCCTTCAATTTTTTTAAAATAATAATTTGGTTACTCAATCCACGGCTGTTTGTGGGGACACTGCTGTGCGCAATTGGCTGCCGCGTTGCGCCTACAAAATATACAGTCAATTCACTTTACAGTGTACTATGTGAAGCACTTTGAGACGTCTCGAGGCGCTACATCAAATGCAAGGATTATTATTATTATATTGCATTTCAAACTTACCACTTTCCATTTTTTCCCCTCCAATTCTAGCACCGGTGGCTGTTTCTTGGCAGCTGGCTTTGATGGTGTGGGAGTTTTGGCAACAAATGGCTTTGGACCAGTTTGCAGTGGTTTTTGATTTCTCAAAGCTTCGTTCTTGTGTGTCTTCATGTTATCTGACACATGCTTCAGTCCTGAAATTGCAGATTTAAAAAAAAATTGTAATTATTCTTACATTTGATACAGAAACTTAACCCATCATTGGGCGACTCAAAGTGCTTCACGGGATAAGCACTCCGGAATGCTACCCTGCGTGAAGGGCACTGTATAAATGCAAGTTTTTGTTGTTGATATACAGTGAAGTATATCACTGTATACTTCACAAAGTGTAAAGTGGTGTGAGTGTGTGTATTTGTGGGTGAACGAGGCAGGCAATTCACACATAGCAATGTCCCACAAACAGCATAAAGTGAAAGACATTTTTATTTGGGAGATTGTTGGCCAGGAGACCAGGAGAGAAAATCCCTTTCTCTTCTTCAACAGTGCCATGGGGCCATCTGATCAGACGGGACCCTGGTTCAATGTCTCACCCAAAGGACAATGAAATACACTCCCAAACATTACATTGGAGTGTCAACCTGGAAGAGCATTAGTCCAGTGTAGCTCATCTGCTCCAGGGACTATGGTTTAAGCTAAATATTAACACGATCTATGACTCACCACTTGTAATGTTATCTCCCTTGTTCAGCTGATCAAAGAGAGCAGATCGTGCCTGGGAGTCATCATGTTTGGGAGAGGCCGCAGTTGCAGGAACAAAAGGTGGAGGTGCTGGTGCAGTGGGGGGAGCAGGGCCTCCGGGCATCCCGCAACCTTTAGCTGCCGTCGCTTTCTTACCCTGCGAAGAGGGAAAAAAGTCCATTTAACATCAAGATAGAAATGCATTTCATACGTATTAATAGCAGCTACTACTTTATAAGCTTCTTAAAGTCAACTGTGCTGCACCCCAAAGTCCTTGTCAGGAATGCAACTCATCGTGCGGCGCCGGGTTTGATACAGAACAGATCGTCAGCAATTTTTGGAACAGAGTTAACAATAGAGAAGTATTCTCCATTACAGAACATCAACACCAGATGGAGCCATTGAGGTGTCATTTTCCGTTTACGGAAAATAGGTCACTGGCACAGAAACTGGAACTAAAACGCTTGTTCAAGTCTTTTAAACCGACAGATCTTAAGAGGGCAACAGCCACGGTGGGGGACATTAAACAACCAACCACAACAGGAGCCTGTAAAGAACGTTGAGACCTTCCTCTTTACGTGAAAGGCGCTACATCCAATGCTGGGGAAATTATTGATCATTGCATCGCGCGCGGGAGTCTGAAAGGGTGTCTGGAGCCTGTGACCCAGGAGGTGACTTTCCTATAGGCAGACAGCATTAGTGAGGAAGGGAAATGGGTGATTATGAACGGTGACAAAGGGCAGACAGAGGGCCAGTGCAGGCACCTGATTGTTGTCACACATGTACGTGGTACTAAAAACCCGTGACCAGGACAATACCTTGTTGGCTGCAATGGATGGGGAAAGGAGAAAAAAAAAATGGCAAGAACGTAGGCAGCCATGTTATAACGGAGCAGTTGAGATCCACAAAATCCCAACCTGCGTTATAGAGAAGTACGACAGCGCTTTTGTGACCTTGTAGTGAATCAGACATCAGGAAGGTTCTGCTAAATTGAAACGGCCAAATTCCGGGTCACTGCAACAGCACTTCTGCTTTTCGCGCACATGCACGCAGGAAGCGATACAAACCTAGTGAATCATTGATTTGGTCGTTTTAGCACAAAAAGCTGGCCAGCTTAACAAACACACCAGGAGGAGGAGGGAAAAAAATGTAGAGTACAACACCTTTCATGTCAGGAAGACGTACCCAAAGCGCTTGACAGGATATAATGACTGTAAAGTGGAGTGACTATGTTTTAGGCGAACAAAAAAAATGGGACAAAACAGATAGCTCTTTCAGGGAACCAGCAAAGGTTAAAGTGGAGCAATGGTTTATGGATCCAGACTTCGTAGATTTATTACTCTCTGCAATTGAAACCACCTGTTAGATAAAAGCTCCTTGTACTCTGGGCAAACTCCCCCTTCAACCGTGAAGAGCGCGAGGTACCACAAGCCAATCATTTTGTGAGCAAGACTTGCTTGTAAGGGTTTTGAGTTTGCAAAGCAAATGACAGAAAAATCGATCATCGGTCAACCGGCAGGATCAGATGGGAAAGAAGTATATCGGGACAAGTAAAAGGCTTAGGATTCGTTTTTCAAGATTGGATTGTTCCCCTCAATAGGACACCACAAACTGAGATTACATGTCAATCGCAAGTGATTGCGAGCGACTTCAATAGCTACTAATCTGTAATACATCCCAGGAAAGTGTGGTGTGGTACTATGAGAAAAATAGTGCTTTCCTCTGAATACAAAACTCAAAGGTTCTGATCGATTTACTGAATTTGTGGAAGAAAAAAAGTGTCTCCTGCTGGGCAACACTCATGAAAATTTAGCTCCAGGGGAAAATGGCTTCTCTGGATTTTTACCCCAAATACCTCATTAAAAAAAGCCCTAAATCTGAATTGAAAATAATGATCTGTAAAACAGTGACAGTCCACATAATAATGCATGGTATGCAATGCAAACAGCTGGAGACTGTAGAACAGTTAATAAATGAAACCTGAGCTATCAAAGGTACAGTCTATTGAATGATTTTTTTTAATAGGTTTAACTGCACTAACTTTTGAATATCAATATAAAATTAACATAAGAGTATCATTAAGATAAATTTTGCCCACAAAATATACAGTCAATTCACTTTACAGTATATTCTGTGAAGCGCTCTGAGATGTCTCGAAGACATAATAAGGCGCCGTATCAAATGCAACAATTATTATTATAAATCAGCCAGTTTTAAAGATCATCCTTTCAGAGTTTCATAAACTTGTCTTTATTCGATTTAACAGTTGCTATGGGCACACTTTGACATCAAGTTGTTCTCCAAACTTCTCACACCGTCCTGTTAAAAACTGCCAAAGATTTAAGATGTTCTGTGGCCATTGTACCAAAGACAATGGCCAAATCATTTATATCTTGGATTGGAATCAGTCCCTTGAAGAGTTCCCTATGAACACTTGGATCAAAGTGCACGAAGAGGGCCAAATCGGGAACGTATCTCATATTGAGGAACTAGGTTTAATTAAAAAAAAGCCAAGTACGGTCATTTGCTGAGCTTTAAAGTGAAATCCTGGCCTTGTTACAAAGTGCTGCGTTCAACACAGGAGGTAATTAGAGTGATCTGTTCAACACATTGTAGACTTTAAGATTTAAAACGGCAGCTTACCAAGCGCTAAGCTACGCTGGATATCTTCCAGAAAATACAATAAAAAGTGACGTTCTTTGCCGACGCTCTTTAGTGACGCACTTTTTAGTGTGTGTGGGGGGGCGGGGTGGAGGGGATGGTTGTCAGTGGATAATACTTAGAAACCACAAACTAGCATGAAGTAGTTCTATACAGGGAGCTAGAATACTCACAGTCTTGCTCCACGAAACCCCAGTGGTGTGGTTTGCCTTGATGTAAGCTTGGAAGTCAGCCCAAATTTTTAGATAGGCCTTAACCCAGTCCACATGCTTCTTATCTCTGAAATAAGAAAACAATAATGACCAAGTTGCTTTTCATTACATCCATATTAAGCAGATCAAAAATGTTAATCAGACCAAATACCAGCTTGCTCTGTAGCGCTTTTTGCCTAAAGGACAACCCAGTTATAAAGCACTTTAATAGTGCATGCATTTGCTTATGAAGCAAACTGCCTTAGTCCAGGTAGTCCAGTCAATTACAGCACTAGAGCAAAATTCTACACTGACGGACCTGTCAAATCAGCACAAACCTGTGGCCTAACATTATATAAGGCTGTTAATATCAGTCCTGCAGCCTCAGCTTCGGATGAGGTTTAGAAGGAGGTAGATAAATATTTGTTAGGTCAGGGTATTAAGGGATATGGGGCAAGGGCAGTTAACTGGACTTGAGGTACAGATCAGCCATGATCTTATAAAAGGGTGGAACCGGCTTGAGGGGCTGAATAGCCTATTCCTGTTTGTATGTCTATGTGTCTGTAAACCAGCGCTAGCTATAGACGTTAGCGCGTAAAACGATAATACAGGAAAGTCATACGTTTCTTTGTAGTCCTTAAGAACCCGGTTGGTATAAAACATCGCCGCATCATTCATCTCCTTAACAAAAGGGCCAGGTTTGGGAGCCTAGACAGAAACAAACCATTTTAAGAAAATGTTAATTATCTGCCACATCACTAGGCTAAGCCTTTGTAGGGGAGCAGGCATACAAACATTCAATCTGAAAACTAATTTTCCCAATCCTCATTTTCTCTCTTTTCCACTCTGCGAGTGATGCTCTTCAACAACAACTTCCATTTATATAGCGCCCTTCACACAGGGTAGTGTCCCGGAGCACTTGACACTTCATATGTAGAGCGGCTCAGGGAGTCAGCAACGCAACTAGAAACCGAACAATACCATTTGTTTTTTTTGGACACTTCTGAATTTCATTGAGGTAAATCTCCAGGTTAAGTTTGGGAAAGTTCCTCACTGAAGCCGTGCTAAATTCTGAAATCAAAATTCATAATCAACAAATTACTATATTGAAACTCCCCCCACCCTCCAAAAAAAAAGAAAGAACTTACCACTGTCAACCATCCCAGGGCAGGAATGCTCTCACTGACTGCAGACAGATGATTAAACTGCTTGCTGGGGCGATTTTTCTCTCTGAAGTCTTGGATCTCCTGAATTTTAGCCGAGATAGGCTGAAGTATTTGGGTTAATTCAGCCTGCAACAAAAGTCAATGTATATTTACCAATCCCAGTGCAGCTCCAATTGGCCAGGTCATTTCAATGAATAAGTGTTGCGAAGTCTGTACCAAGATTTTTTTTCCCAATATTTGATCCCCTCCTTATCCCAAAAAGTAGTCCAAATTGTGGCCTTCAGCGGTGAAAAACATTTACTTTCAGATTTTAGCTTTCAGATCATCTCTTCCAATTGCCACTTGGCTTCTCCCAATAATACATTTCAGATCAGGCAACATCAGACCAGTGTATTTTATTTGATGCATCATGTATGAGCTGATGTATAATCCTTTCGGTCCTATTTACCTGCGCTTTCCCCAAGTTTTCATATAGCAACAAAGCTGGTAAGTCCAGTGACCAGTTTCAGCACAAAAGTGGGGGGGAAGGAAACAATTATAAACTAAGGGTGGAATTTGTCGAATTTTCAAAACTTTGGGCTTGAAAACTTTTTTATTGGAAGCCAATGCTGGTTTCCATTTGAGCAAAGAGGAAGGAAGAACCGACAAAAATGGTTCAACAGTGGAAAAGGAGCCAAAGTCTGCCTGGAGCCAAGACAAACATTGCTAAACATTGTCCTGTAAAGCAATACTTTGTTGCATTAATAGGTTTGTAAACGGTTCTCTACCCGAGAAAAGAGATCATGGACTGTTTTGAATGAATAATAGTCTCCTGGAGCGCTGTGTTAAAGGATGTGTGAATGTTATGCTTCTCTGTTAAGATAGACACCAGCTTTTGAGCAGCAATTTACGTCTTCTTGTACACCTGAACTCAACTCCAAAGGGAATCTCAGCTAGGACAAACAATCAGCAAACATCTAAATATTAACCCACTGATTTCTATTAAGAGTTCATTTGTCAGGTATCATTTCCTAACCCAACAGCTGCAGTCAGATCACCTATGTCATGTTCTTAATGCAGTTAATACATTACTTCTGCACCAATAGCTTTACACTCCAATATCCATTGATAAAAGTAGATACCACACCTACACCTCTCCAATTTCAATTCTTAGACATTAAAACATATCTATCCGGTAATCATTCTTCAATTTTAGTCATCTTCAAATTCTAGCATTACTCATTCATGATCATCAAACCCCATTCAAATTACCCGGAATTTCTACTTGATTACAAAGTTAACTGGAAAAGTAAAGTAAAGAAACAGAAGAGAAACTCCTGTATGTTGAGCATGAAAATGTACACGGTTTCCGAGAGTACAAGCAGCAAACAGACCCAATCCGAATGTTGACCTACCTCTGAAGGTTTCTGGCATTGGGAAGCAATCACCAGGAATTTCCTTTGCAGATTCAATCCTGTGGTCACCATCTCAGCCTAGACATACAGCAAAAGCAGGTTACACAAAAGTACTGTGGGGACTGATCAGGACACATTTAACCCTCACTTTCATAACTCAGATTAAGGTGGAAAAAATGTAACAACAACAATTTGCATTTATATAGTGCCCTTCATGCCAAACAGTGTCTCGCCTCGAAAATTTAGGTTTTTCCTGGGATTTCCAACACTCTAATCAAACTGGACATCCGACTGACCTAAGTGAGCACAAACCTATGCAACCCCGATGACTAAGTAGTCAAATCTTCCTCATGAAGAAACCTAATTCAGCCAATTATCTTAGAATTTTAATTGAAGCAATTTGGAGCTCATCCAGACTTGACGCCCAACATACACGAACATGTGGAATTGGATCCTATTGTTACCAAGTGGGAGCATATAAATGAAAAACAGGCCCAAGGACATAGGAACATATGAACAGAAGCAGACCATTCAGCCCCTGGAGCCTGATTTTCCATTCTATTAGATCATAACTGATCTGTACCTCAACTCCAAATATGGATATGACAGAATATGAAACTTAGAACCACAAAGGAAGGCAACTTGTAATTGTGTGAGGGCAGAAGCCGTTTAGATGAGAAAGTAAACACACTGGGAGTGAAATCAAATAGGACACAACCACGAAGGTGCAGCAAAGAGAAGACAGTGGAGAAGGATAGAGTGGTCAACTGTCAAAGGAAGCAGACAGTACAAGTGAAAGCAAAGATTACTTACTTTGCATTTCCAAATCCCTGAAGGCATGGACTACTTAATGAGATAACTGGAGTTGCTTATGAACCCAGTAATGCAGACAGCGTGCTGGTCATTAAAACACCACTTAAAAAAGGCAGAATTACTCACATGTTTAAAAACATCTCCACCAATCCCTTTGCTCTGTTTGTAGTACTCAGCTACCGGCCCAGCAAGAATTTCATCAAACTCCTCCACATAGGCAGCACACGCTGTAAACAATAGATGGAAATCAGTATTCATAAACTAAACAGTACTACACAACTGGTCTGGTTTTGCATTATTATTTGCATTATCACTCATACACAATTTGCACTACACACAGAATTATTATGTACTTACAATTGAACACCCATTCTCCTACAATTGTATTAGTTTAAATATGTAATTAAATATCCCACGATAATAATACAACCCAATACGTTTTTTATGTATGAAACTTAGCAACCACGAGGTAATGAACAAATTGACCACTAAATCTGCTACTGAATTTTAAGCAAAGAAGCTTCTCATAATATGCATCAGATTGATACCAAATAAAGTAAATCACATGCATCAAAAAACATCCATGGAGCCATTCCTTCACTGATGGGACTGGAATTTTATGTGCTCATTGCTCAACTTGGTCACCATTAAAGATAGAGCAATAACACATAGAATCTTCTCAACCACAATATACCAACAATGTCTGATCAGCATAATGTTATAGATAGGGCAGTTAGTTGTGCCAAGTTGCTCCACCATTATTGCGCAAGATTTTCTCCAGGTCACGCCTGGATCTTGCTAAACAAAATACCGGCGTCCTGTATTCCAAGTTTGCATGGTTATGCGCTGAGATCATTTTCCACCAATGACGCTTCCTTACATTAATATTTTCCAGTGTTCAAGCAGCCAGCACTGGGAGTAATGTGTAGCCGGATACTGTGTGGGGAAATTCTCCTTGGAGCAGACCTGAGCCCTTTATTGTTCCGCTCTCTTTTTGTACTATGTATAGATCAGCTCCTGGCTAAAAAAGGGCTTCTAAAAAAGTTTCACGTTTTACTATTCAACAGTAAAATACATTACTATGCAATAACCCCACAAAGTGATGGGATGTGGGTTTAATTACTCTTCACTTCATTTTTTTTAGGAAAACAGACACCAACCCCCAGAAACGAACTGTTGAATATCTTAACAATTCTACTTTGAAGGTAAATTGCATAGTTAGCTCCAATCTGTCCCAGACTGGAATGTTAGCCAGCGTCCTTACCCAGGTCTGCACACCCATTTTAAAAATAGCCCAGCCGTCTGATTTGTCAGGTAACACTGCATCTAATCGCTAATAAACTCAAAAGCAGAACATTCAACTCCAACAATAACAACCAATTACACTAATAGAAAAATCCACAGACCTAATTCCTTACAAGGCCAATTAGATCAGCAACAGACCAACACAATGATTGAAAGGTCACTTATTTGAACCACAATCGTGCTGGCCAAACAGAGAACAATCGTGAATCACCCATCAATCAATGGAAGAATCTTTCATCTTTTGAAATCCTAAATTGTCCAGTAGTTTTTTTTTACCAGTATCTACAGAGCCAGCTCCAGGCACTCCGGATTGAACCACCGTCTCCAACTGAATCACAGCCGTCTCCAGTCTCTGTATCAAGGCCTCCATGTTTGCAATTGTTCAACAACCTACAAAGAGGAAAGATCAAGAATGAGTCAAAATAAAATAAATTTCTTTGTTCAACTAAATGTTATGCCATGCAAGCCTCACACCAGAGATGATAATTGCGGCAAAGTAGAATTTTCTCCCCAAACGATCACTTTACGGTGCAGTATCTATCACTCATAATAATTACATTTGAAATAGCGTCTTATCACATCTTCAAGACGTCTCAAAGAGCTTCACAGTGAATTGATTGTGCATTTTGTGGGCGCTATATGAAAGGCAAGGATTAAAACAAAAAGGTCTGCTGCAATTAAAATCAGAGATGCGTTTGAATTTTCCATTGAAGTGTGTCCCATTTCCTGAACCATCTATCTAGGACTACCTTTTTTAGATCTTTCCGTTCAGTAAACATGGCGCAAATGTAACACCAACATCCTGAATAACCCTGACCAGAGCAGCTCACAAATTACTAAGTACTCATTTCAGGAAGTGAGCTGCTTCCGGCAAGACAGACTGGTTTCAGTCAAGACACAACGGAATTTGCTGAAAGTAAGTTTGTGGCTTCAGGATTACAGATCATGAGGTTTCAAGCTTTGAAATCATTGGATTTCAAACTATTCACAAAACATGAAAATGTATGGACTTGTCCAGGAATGTACTGTTAGAGCCTCGCAATCTTTAGAACCAGGAAGTGATGGATGCAAAGCAGATCAAAGTCAAACTCGACCAGTTATCGGATTCACAGCAGCATTTGGAAATAATGAGAGAGATCAAGAAAATGACTTCTGCCTCCATTTTGTCAATTAGAAAAGATCTGAGGTTACTTCACATTGATTGCATTTTGCATCCTTACTCCCCATACAACTCCTTTTCTTCCCCCTTCAAGGCAGCAGCTCACCTTGGGGTAAAGTTCCATTGGGGTCCCTCAGTCAAGCAGCTATTCTCCCTACGTTTGCAGCCCAATAACTTTTTTTTCCCCACAGACCAATGAGCAGTACACTGAGACACTTTGAAAAACAGGTTTCTTTTGAATTTCAGCCTGTGCCCCACAGTTACAAGTTTCAGTACACCGCATTCAATTTTAGCTGCCGTCCACCCGTCATGCGGCTCGCTGGGACAGGTTTCGACTACAATGAACATCTTCTTGTAGAAACCTCAAGCGACTGTGAATATGAACCAGGTGAAACGGAGCACAAATTACTTATTATCTCCAGTTGAAAGAAAGAATTACGCTGTTGCAAAATCTAATCCAGAATCTAAGTTTACTATTTGAGTGTGTTTCCAGTCCTCTGGGAATACACGATTGAGTGACTGCATTCTCTACTACATCATCTTTGGAGGGAACCGCTCTGCTACAAGATGGAAGTCGGTAGCAGAATAAAAGACCGCATTTGACACCTAGTTTTGGCAGGTGGTTGTAACCTCATCTGATTTTCCACCTCAGCTTCTACAGTACATTTGAATTTGCCACCACCATGTTTGTCAGTTAAGTGTAAAAAAGTTTACTGCTACATGCAAGTTTTGCCTCTCTTCTCCACTGCCTCTAAAAAAAAATTGTGAATAAAACATCTAATCGGGTGTAGATTTCGAAGGAAACCCAATGGTATACAATTTACATTCAATATACCCCAAATCGAATGAGAATTAAGCTTCAGAATAAACAGAACAATAAGTGATTAACAACTTAACAGGAGTAACTCAACACTTTAGAATCTATCCAGACAAGATACCAATGAAAATATACAGGACCTGTTCAACGTGAAGCATATTCAAAATAGTGTGTATTATAGAAACAATATTTTGACCTTGGTCTTAAGCATTTCATTGAGTTGACTGTAATCAAACTCTGGAGTATCAATATTATTATTGTTGTTCTTGCCAAGTCCCTAACCCTGGACATTTGTAGGCCAACAACAGTGTTCAATAGTTGATCTCAGATTTTAATCCTAAACTGCTAATTTAAGGGAAGCAGGTAGATAAACAAGATCAAGGCTTTCATAAGGCAAAGCAGCTTTAAAGCTTTATTACTTTACTAAAGCATCAAACACAACCCTATAAAATGCTTTAAAAAGAATTCTGAGGAATTAATTCTAAATATAATACAGAATACACTCTTAACAGCTATAATTAATAACTTTAGAAGGGACATTTGACTTGGCAATGCCTTTTAAACAGCACAACACACTCTGATTTAGCAATCCTCTTGAGTCAACCCGGGTCAGACAGTACTCATCCTATTGCTTTCATCTTATTGTCAGTGGTACAGGATTAAGAATACAGAAATACACAGCTAAAGCTCAACTGTGAGACATTAGATCATTGACTCCATTTTTTTCCCCCTAAAAAGTCACAATTATTTCAGAATACTATTACTAAAATTATTTTATTTTGCAGCTGGAGTAAATAACTTGTGTTCAACAAATAGGTGTGGGCTCAAAGTAAACCAATTTCATCTACTACCTCAGATTTGTCTTCACGGAAATACAAACCTCGACTGTACGACCCTCTGCCCATACACAACAGGAAACACAACTGAGGTTGGAAAAGAGGCAGAATCCTCCATAGATACAATGCAATGCTGCTCGAATACCTGCCCTGTTTGCATGTAAACATATTTACACAAGTTTCCTCGATTCACACTGCACACAGGTTGGCTTCAGACGTCCGATCAATATTGCTGACACACACACACACAGCAAACGAATGCCCTCTATTCAAATAACCTGTTGCACATCCGACTGAAATAATGATTAGCGAGTCAGACTAAACTTTTATCAGCAAAAAAAAAGTTTCCACATTACCACAGTGTTCAGGGCATTCAGCACAGGAGAGACTCATGGGAACAGTGCACCACCCAAACCAGCAAGCAATAGTATTTAAAGTCAAGTTGTTGCAACAGCACATTTCAAAGTTGTGAGCTGTTGCAACAGCCCAGACAGACAGTGAGTGAGTGACCATCTTGACCTGCAGCTAATGTGCTGGCTTTCAGACCTGGGTTTGCTAGCCGCTTTGGTATATATATATATATATATAAAATATATATACATATAAATAACCCACCGCTACTAGGCACAATTATACACTCAGACACAATTTTACTGCTCGCTCATAGTTTACAGCAAGAAGCCTGGTACAAACGAGCTGGTGAGCCGACAAATGGAATTTCCCCCGGTCTCCGAGCCCCAAAGTACTCTGAGACGTCTCAACACTGCGAGAAGGTGCCAAATAATAATAATAATAACAACCATAATCATAAGCCTCGCATTAGCACGTCATCGGGTCTTCGCGACGTCTCACAGCGCTTCACAGAATATACTGTAAAGTGAATTGACTGAATATTTTATATTGCCCCCCACCCCCCCCCAAAAAACATCGTTTTTTCTTCTATTCCCCCTTCTGTACCTGACAGTCACTATGGAAAACCCATTTGTCCCCCCAACTCCCCGCCCCTCTCTTCCTCTCCCCCCCACTCCCCTCTCTTCCCTCCCCCCCCACTCCCCTCTTCCTCCCCCCCCACTCCCCTCTCTTCCCCTCCCCCCACTCCCCTCTCTTCCCTCCCCCCCCACTCCCCTCTTCCTCCCCCCCACTCCCCTCTCTTCCCTCCCCCCCACTCCCCTCTCTTCCCTCCCCCCCACTCCCCTCTCTTCCTCCCCCCCACTCCCCTCTCTTCCTCCCCCCACTCCCCTCTCTTCCTCCCCCCCACTCCCCTCTCTTCCCTCCCCCCACTCCCCTCTCTTCCCCTCCCCCCCACTCCCCTCTTCCTCCCCCTCTCTTCCTCCCCCCCACTCCCCTCTCTTCCTCCCCCCCACTCCCCTCTCTTCCTCCCCCCCACTCCCCTCTCTTCCTCCCCCCACTCCCCTCTCTTCCTCCCCCCCACTCCCCTCTCTTCCTCTCCCCACTCCCCTCTTCCTCCCCCTCTTCCTCCCCCCCCACTCCCCTCTCTTCCTCTCCCCCCCACTCCCCTCTCTTCCTCTCCCCCCCACTCCCCTCTCTTCCTCTCCCCCCCACTCCCCTCTTCCTCCCCCTCTCTTCCTCTCCCCCCACTCCCCTCTCTTCCTTCCCCCCACCAACACCCTCCCCTCTTCCACTTAAACCGCATACCCCCCCCCACACACACACACACACAGAGTCGGGTGTAAACCTCAGTCACAAACTCATCGCAGAACGAGTGAACAACGCAGTCCGTGTGTGTTGTTTAATAAAACCACCCGCGCGCCCCCCCCACCCCCGACCCCCCACTCACCCGGTGCTCTCCCTCTCTCCCTCTCCCTGTGCCCCTGTGTCCACCGCCTCCGGAAGTGCCGCCCCGCCTCCCCCCCCCCTCCCACAAGCCACCGCGCCGCGCGGGTCCCTCACTTCCGCTGTGTCCTAATAAGGAGAAAAGACGCCCCGGAGCCGCTGTGCTGTGGTGTGGGCGGGTTGGGGCGGGTTGGGCGGGTTGGGCGGTTTCCCGCCCCAATTGGGCGGGTTTGCCCTGCACTCGCGCTTCCTCCTCTTTTTTTGATATAAACGTTTGATTTAAACCCCCCCCGACCCCCCCCTCCCCCACTCCGAAGACTTTTCCTCGAACAGCAATCACCCCCCGAAATCTGCCACCACACCGACCCCCCCCCACCCCCAGAAGGAGGCTATGCAATCACATTGTGGGCTACTTTTTTGGGCTATTGCTTCTGGGGCTTTGGGGCTACAATGTAATATTCCCATCTCTGGTGCACACCCTGTGTTTGCCTCTCCAGCCTTCTCTCTTTTTTTTGTACGTGGAAAGGCTGTGAGAGCCTTAGGCAAGAAGTTGCACCCACCACCCACCACCCACCCACCCCACCCACCGCCTTTGTTAAATTTACCTTTATTGTTTGCGGGGGAGACGAAGGAGGGGGGGGGGGGGTGGCAAGTCTTTTCTTCTCCATCCATCCGCCCGCCCGCCGGCTCCCAGTTAACAAAGCCGTTGCAACCCGGAGCTCGCGCTCGCGTTTGGCGCACGAAATACACCGTCAATTCACTTTACAGTCTATTCTGCGAAGCGCTTTGGGACGTCCTCCCGACGTGAAAAGCGCTATATCAAATGCGAGGATTATTATTATTATTATTATCCCGTGGCGCACCTCGACCGCGTTGATAAGGCGCTGTCATCCAACGCAACATTATGCTGATGGGTTGGGTCTTTTTTGGGGTGGGGGGGTGGGGTGGGGGTTGTGGGGGGGTGGGGGGGGGGGGGCGGCGCTAAATAGCTCTTGGATCTCACTTTTTCTTGAAACGAAAACGCTGTTCCTGTTTCTCGGCTTTTCGCAGCATTTCCTTCCGGTCGGCCGTTGACAGAAGCCGATTCGCAGCTGAGGAGATGGCAGAACCACACGCAACTGGGCTGCTGCTGCCACCCGCCCCCCCCCACCCTCTCTCTCTCTCTCTCAACCGTTGAGGAACGATTTAAGTTATTTTCCGTAGTTAACGTACCAAACCAAAAAAAAAAAAAAAAAATGTACGGTCAAATCGAGCGCAAACCAGATGTGTAACAAGGTAGAAATAATTTTAAAATAGGACGTTAGACCAGTATTTCCATTGCAGTGCACAGAATAATCCTATCACATTTGGCCTCCTCATTAGCGTAATTGGCTTCAGCAACAAGATACAACTATAAAATATAAAGTTACTCTGGTCCTCGTTTGTTTAGGGGGGCAGCCCGGCCGGTGTCCAACACGTGCGGAAACCTATCTGCACCCTAAAGAGCATCCAAACCAGAAAGAGTTCCACATCTGTCCGTCACCGACTCATGCAAATGTCTGTGTGTGGAATGTGCTTTGGGCGATTGCTGGAGTTTCACCAGCTAAAGCCGTGTTGAGAGTAGTGTTGGCAAGCGTCCCACTGCTTTTCCGGATAGGACCATGATACCCATTCTAGGGCTTTAGCTTACAGGGTTAGTAGAAGCAGAGTGGGAAGAGACAACAAAAAAAACTTGCATTTATATAGCGCCCTTCAAGCCGGGTAGCGTCCCAGAGCACTTATTCCTTGCCCCTAGTGCCCTCCAAATTCTGCCAATGAACCAGACTGGCTGGTCTGTCATTAGCACCATGGACCCAACTGCTCAGGAAATGGACGAGAGACTGCCACAGAGCATTGACATGATTCTGACATTTTGTCATAACATTTGTCTTCTCGGGAGAGAGCTAAGCTTACCTCACCCTCTCCAAGAAATATAATCACTAGTTAGATGGTTATTTGATATCCGACAAGTGCAGGTTTGAACCCTCAAGAGATGGAGCTTCCCTGTGAGCTTCCTTGTGAACACAGCTCAAGCATAAAACAGTTGAGAGCATTGCCACCACTCGCTCTGGTCCTAATCTATGTGCATCAAATAATAATATGGTCACTCAATCCACGACTGTTTTTGGGACATTGTTGTGCGCGATTTCTTGCCATGTTTCGCCCACAAGATATAAAGTTAATTCACTTTACTGGATATTCTGTGAAGCGCTTTGAGGCGTCTCGGAAATGTGATAAGGCGCTATATCAAATGCAAGGACTGTTATTATAGTTTGCTGCTAGGAGATCATAATGCTAATGAATGCATGGAGAGATTTTTGTTTTTTTTAAAAAATCTGTTTGCGAAAAAAACAAATGCTTAACCATTCAGGAATATTCTGGGCATCAAATAACCACTCCCAGTGATTTAATCATGGCTCATTTGAAGAGGAAAAAGTGACACCCTTCAATTTAGCACAGAAAAGGATATTTGTACAGTTAGCAAGTGAGAGGCATAATAATAATCATCTTTGCATTTGATATAGCGCCTTATCATGTCTTGTCTCAAAGCGCTTCACAGATTATACTGTAAAGTGGACTGACTGTATATTTAGTGAGTGAATCGTGGCAGCCAATTGCACGCAGCAGCGTCCCACAAACAGTGATAGGCACACAGCCGAAACATTTTTAAAAAATACACCGCTGTTAAATTAGGAACTCATTGATCATAAACCATAGAAAAGGACCAAGAAACCACAAAGCTCTGAAAAAAAGTACAAAAGAAAATTAAAAGCTGTCACAAGCACTTAGAAATTATAAATGTTTGCTCTGTTTCAAAGAGTTCAGTCTTGAGAGAGAGAGAGAGAGAGAGAGAAAGGTTAGAGAACAAAGTACTTGATAACAATGTGAATGCTGCCAGAACACAAACTCCTGTTCTGAGTAATACCAGATCTGACATTGGAGAATCAAGAAGGAAGGAACATAGATTGTGTGCAAATAAATAATACTCGGTGCAAAAGATCATACAGGGTTGAAAAAAAATCCCCCTCCTCTCGTGGAGGTGCCGATTCCTGCAATTAAGATACAATTCCGCTCATGCCGGATGCCATTTAGCGCCCAGCTCAAGTAGCCTTGCTTGATGCACGAGTCCAGACAATGAATTCAACTACAATAATAATAATAATGTTCCTTATCATGTCATAGTGACAGTCAATTCACTGTACAGTAAATTCTGTGAAGCGCTTTGAAACGTCTCGAAGACATGATTAGGTGCGAAATCAAACGCAAGGATTATTATACCCATCTCAACACGCTTCGCAGGACACACTGTAAAGTGGATCGACTGCGGATTTTGTGGACGAAACGCGGCAGTTAGCTGTCCCGCACAGCCTTATTGTCACGACATTATTGCAGCAAGAGCACAGTAGCAGTGCCACATAAAGCGCTTCACAGCATTTTTACTTTAAAATGGACAGCGAGCGCCCTGCCTGTTGAGACAAGACAGAACGCTGTGAGCGGCAACAGTAGCACCAGCCAGTTCCATTGACATGATTCTACCTGAGCGCTTGATAAACAGGAGAAGCCATAAGTTATTTAAAAAACACACACGCCATCGTGGGAATGTTTTTCTTCCCGAGTAGATGTTTCAAACACCCTCCTACACCTTGAGGGCCGTAGGCATTGCCGTCACACATGGTGACATACTAACCTGCTTTCAGGGCTATGTTGCCCCACACACCAGAACACGCACAAATCAGAGACATTTATCAGTTCGCTTTTCTGGGGGTAATAATCCTTTACAAAATATTTTAAGGAAATTTGAGCAACGTTTGGTCTCCCGATCCTCGAGTGTTTGTGGGGACGCTGCTGTGCGCAATTGGCTGATGCGTTTCACCCACAAAATATACAGTCAATTCACTTTACATTATATTCTGTGAAGTGCCTTGGGACGTCTGGAAGACTAAGGCACGATATCTAATGCAAAGATTATCATGATTCAGAAACATGGCGACATTGTAGGTGCGAATCAACACTTTCCTGATCTTTTTGTAACTGTGCCAATTTGAACTAAAAGCAATTCCCCTTCAATGAGGACCTCTGTACAGTTACATACAAAATATCATTCGTAGAGCATGTGCCTTTAATTAATTGAGGTTCAGATCACCATCAAGTTGAAAGTAGGTCAAAGTATACATTTACATTCTAACTAGCATGAAGCAACAAAAAAATTACAATTAAATATCTTCCAACGATTCATATTTATAAATATTCCATTTAATTTAATGTTTACAAGCTAAAAGGAACATTTGAGCATTCTTATAGATTAATTTAAGCTGTTCCTGCTACAACTATTGCCAGGAAGTGAGCAGCTAAAGACTACTGACTGACTGACTACCTGATCTTATAACTTATTGAGCTTTGTAAAGCCAGTTACAATGGTCTGGACAGATGCATAGCTGATCCAAGCAAAGAATTATGAACATTACCACTCCCGCATTATAGAAATTCTGACCCAAGTACAAAATTCCGCTTCTAATATTATGTAAAAAATCCTGAGCCAAGTACAGTAGAGGATTGCAATGTACTGTTTCCTTTTAAATAGAGGTCTCGATCTGAACAGAAGTGGGGAAGCTCAGTCCCTGGAAAAGTAGTTAGGATTCAGCCAGAATACGACCAGCTGTAGGATATCAAAGTTTTCCATGGGATTTCTGAGATGAGATGTTTGGCATACGGGAAGATAGAACAAACATTCCTCTTGCAGAATGTTGAACTGGCTCCAGCCATCTTGGATCCAATGGCTATTTTGCCCATTCATGGTTGTTTATCTCACTCTTATTTATTTTTTTGAGTGAGTGAGCCCACGAGAGAACTCAGCGCATTTCTAAAGATAAAATATAGGCTGACTTTTACTTTTGTAGAGGAGGGAGGGAGGGAGGAAAGGAACGGAGGGGTGGGAAGGGAGAGAGAAAAAGAAAGGAAGAACAGAAAACAACAATATCTGGAGGAGTGTCTACGAGTCGGGAAGTATTTAGACTTCAATTATGCATTTCCACGCATTTCAGGAGAGATTTCATGTTTTGTTTTGCGAGAAAAACAATCCTTCTTTTAAAAAAAAGTATTCTCCGTATCAATGAGGTACTCGCAAAGCTCCAGTTGGCATATTGGAAACCAAAGGGATTGGAAATTCCTGTTCATCAGTGATTGGGATCCTCGCCCAGTTTTGGATGATGAGGAGGGCAGTTGGTTTTGCTATCGTCTCTGAAACCCTGCGGTGTGCAGTGTGGTTAGCTCTGGCTGTCCCAGCCCCTGGTTTGCTGTTGCAGTCTGTATGGGAAGCTGCATTGTGTAGGTGTAGCCAGGGCTCAGGTAGTGGGAACAATGTGGGTAGAGATGTTCGTAGGTAGGGTAATGCGTGTACAGAGCCCCGCTGGAATCCAGGTACGGGTTTGGGGCAAGACCAGGCCGGGCTGCAGAACAGTCTGTGGCATCAGGCACTGGGTGGCCACCCTGTAACAGGAGCAAAATAATGATGATTAACCTTCCGAGTGTTGTTAGTCTTTCTCTGGCTTTTAAACATGCATTTTTTTTTGGGAACTCCATCCCCCAGTCCATTTGTCTTGCTCCCTCCCTTGCCTCCTTCAACGCACGTCTCAAGACTCTCCTCTTCGGCCATCTCCTCCCCTACTCTCCCTACCCTCCACCCACCTTGGTCCCAATCTGGAATCGTTGCTTCCTGTTAAATTCTTTCACCAAAGTGAGCTCGGAGAAGGTCACAGAAACAGGGAGGTGCTGGGGTGTGAATAGATTTACAGGCAATGATGAGGTACTTGAAATCAATCAATCCGTTAGGAGACAGAGAGCCACTTATTATTACTTGGCTATTATAGGAATAATTATTATTATTATTCATTTGGAGGCCATTATACTGTCTCTGTTTGAAATAACTCAATAGGTGCTCAAAGAAAAAAATAATAATTTGGTCACTCCATCCACGGACTGTCTGTGGGGACGCTGCTGTGCGCAATTGGCTGCTGCATTTCTCCCGCAAAAATACAATTAATTTACGGTATATTCTGTGAAGCGCTTTGAGGTGTCCCGAAGATGTGATAAGGCGCTATAAATGCAAGGATTATTATTATTATAATAAAGAACAACTTGTAAACTTACTCATACGGTCTTTGCAGCAGAGCCGAGTGAACTTGTTGCAAACCGAGAAGCCCACCTGGTATTAAAAGTAAAGAAACAATTTCAATAAAATGTTGAGATGGTGGCGAGTATATTGCCCAGTACAGAGGTCAGTCTGTAATTATCCTATTCGGTCATTATTAAGTTTGGTTTAATGCCTGTCATTGACGACCACTTCCTAAACCTTTCATCCTTTCCGTATTTGGATGCTGGATCCATTCACATTTCCAAGACTGAGGTGGATAGATATTTTTCAAGTCAGGGTATTAAGGGATACAGGATAAGGGCAGGTAATTGGACTTGAGGTACAGATCAGCCATGATCTTATAGATTGGTGGAACAGGCTCGAGGGGCTCAATGGCCTCCTCATGTTTCTATGTTCTGGGTTTTCTCTGACTCAGGATCTGATGTTGGGGGATTTAGGACAATCGAAAGGACTTGTTGAGACCACATACCTGAATGTACTGTCCGTGGTTTCGCCCCGAGATAAGCCAGGTTCACGTTGGTTTTCCTTCCGTCGATGATGGGATTGGGGTCTTTACAAGCTCGCTCTGCGGCTGCCCAGTCTGCCATGGTGACCTGCAATTCAAAGCCACATAATCAGTTATTGGAGTTAACTCAGCTCACAGTTTGTAATAATAATCATAATAATCCTTGCATTTGCTATTGCTCCTTATCACCTCGCTGACATGTGGGCAATTTACATGCGCAGCTGACATTCAAATGTGTAACTCTCAATTTAATTTGCATATTCTTAAACTTGGCGATGGGTGTTTGTATGTGGCCTGACCTAAAAAAACATGAATCACCACCCAAAGCTACTATCTCAACTGAGATCAGCCAACTCCGAGCAGAACTGGTCTGTTTTTAACCAAATGACAGCACCCATAGTTTTAACGTTAGAAGACTTTTCTGAAAATAGCAGCTTCGGAAAGCATGTATTCAAGCAGGAGTTGAGAACGCAGCAAGAAGATTAAGATCACTATATTGTCGTGGGTGGAGGTCCATAGTTTAAGATACGCTTATCAATTGATAGGTAATGGGAGTGAGCAACGGTAAAGTCCATTTGTTTGGGGGCAGGGCAGAGCTAAAGTTGTGGGAGGGGAGGGGAAGTAAGAACAGGTTCATTTAGTTTCTCTCTAAGTGCCTCTACTCAACCGATGAATGAACTGCACAGAAATACATTTGTGAACTGGATTCCCCTCAGGATGTGGTGAGGAGGTGACAGGTTTTGCAAAGAACAAAGATATCAGCAGATTCAGTAACTACTCACAGAAATAACAGACAGGAAGAAAAAAACACACTTCCATCACTAGGTGATAAGTCCAATAAAATTACATTTATATTCGGTAATACCTTTCACGTTGGGATCATGTTTCACAGCTGCTTGGTTGCTGAGGTTGGGGAGGGCGGGGGCGAAGTGAGCTGGGTGGGAGATGACCAAAAGAGCAACGAAAAAAACAGTCACCACACTTTATAGTATATTCTGTGAAGACCTTTGAGAGGTCTCAATGAGGCGATAAGGTGCTATATCAAAGGATTATTTTTACTATTGCTATTACTTAACCCTCGATATTGCGCAAGCATTTTAGTTTTTCGTAGAAACCTGCATTTATTCTTAAAAATCCAAGACAATAATTTCACCAACTCAAGAGCTACCAGAGAGAGTTTGGTGGCTCAGTCGGCGAAGCCATTTTTCCAGGTTTCCAGACTTATTGTTGCAGACCGTTGAGTTCACCAAGCTAATCATAGTGTCGGTAGAGTTTAATTGACCTTTTGAGGCCCAGGGAGGAAGCGAGGATCCAGGCGGTGATCTGTCCTTGCAACGCTATCCTGTGACACATTTGTTCAGAGGAGAGGTTTATGTGATACTGGAGGGTGATTTTATTAGTTGTTACTAGCTGTACCGACCCGTTGCTTGCAACCAAAGGATCCGATCTGGAATGTAGGTTTGTGTAGTTATGGCTGAGGTTCAGGAAAACTTTGGTTTTGAACGCCGCTATATCATGTCCAATGGTCCCACAACCTTCGGGGATCTCAATTTGGCCACAGCGCATGCAAGGCACGGCACCACTGGGAGTCAACGCGGCCACCAGTACATGCAACTGCCATACATGTGTGATGAGCTTGTTTAGGTCAAAGCTCATCAACGTTAGGAGATTCCTGAAAACAAATATGCCCAATGGATTCCTAGATGCAAGACCTTTCCAATGAGGTATAAATTATGTCTCTACATCAATCGCTTATTGAGATTTTGGCTGATATACATACATACATACATTGTCGTTATATTAGTATAGACAATAATAATCATCTATCTTGGTGTTCAATATGCTTTTATCCACCGTCAAAATGTCTTAAAAGAATTCACAGCATTTACTGCCAAATGTAGTGTCTGTGCATTTGAAAGCAAACACAGTGACCAGTTTGCACACAGTAATGTTCCACAAACAGCCATGAAGTGAATAACCAATTTTATCTGGGGATTGTTGGTTAGGACACTGGGAGAAACTCCTTTCTCTTTTAAATAGTGCCACGGGATCTTTGATGCCCACCTGAACAGGCAGACTGGAACCTCGGTTTAATGTCTCACCTGAAGGCAGCACCTCAGATGATGCAGTGCTCCACCCAGTGTCCGCCTAGACTATGAGCTCAAAGTCCTAACATTGGACTTGAACATACACGATCGTCTGACTCAGGCAAGAGTGCAACCAACTGAGCCAGACTGACACCTGGAATTGCCAAACAGTACCCAGGCAGTGTACCCCAGCACAATCTAACTCCCAAGAGAGGAAGGAAGAAAAGTATCTATCAGAAAACAGAACAGACATCAGCTTGGGAGATCGTCTGGCAATAAAGAAAATCACCGGCCACTCTTTCTGCCTCAATCAAGTCTTTATCATGTTGAAGCCACAAAAGGAAGTGAGATCTACCTAAGGTTATGTAGATATGCAATTGTTACAATCACATCTCCCTCCTACACAGATCAAACTGCTGCGGCAGGCAGGCTAGTGACAGCCAGAGCAACCCGCTTCATTTGGAAATCACATCAGTGGCCAAGTCTAGGCCTGTAAACCAAACCAGTGGGAACTGCTTCAAATCAGACCCAGGACAAGCCTCTTTCTTACAGCTTGTTGTTGTTTTGCAGCGACTTTCAACACTTCTGATGCTGTTTCAGGGTCACAGCAGAAGAGGATCCAACTGCGAGGACGTGAAAGCCTTGCCACACGGCCCGAGCCAAAGAACAAGTGGATTTGCCATCGAGCTCCAATAGGGCAGAGAGAGCATTGCCTTCCATAAGAACGGGTGCATTGTTCCCCACAGGTGGCTTCCAGCAGCAAGAGAAACCGGTTTAGGATCCTGGACAATCCTGGAACTTCACACCGTGATTTGGATCATTGCTGTACTGATGAGAATGGCTGTTAATGCCGTTTACAACAAAAACTTGCATTCATATAGCGCCCTCCGCGCGGGGTAGAGTCCCCAGGCACTTGAGTCTGACTCCCAGCCAGGGGGTGGGGAGGGTGGGTGGGGAGAGAGGGTGGGAGGTGACCGTAAACACGATCCAAAAGGAAGGTCTTCAGGCAGGATTTGAAAGTGGGGAGAAGGGAGGGAGCAAAGTGGAAGGATTGAGTGAGAGAGTTCCAGAGTTTCGGGGCATAGTGGCTGATGCACCCCTGAGGGTAGAGAGTGCACATTCCACTCCAAACAATCAACCTCTGGGATTTCCACATGTAGAAGGGAAGCACGGAAATCTCAGCTTGGTTTGGATACTCAACGGTGATGGGGCTCTGTGTGGGTCAGACACCCAGCTGGCAAAAAAAACCTCAGCTTCAAGTTACGTTATCAGCTGAGACATTGGTGACCTTCAGTTAGCTTCACGAGACGGAGACACAATATCTATAAGGAACATTGGAAATCTTACAAACAGGAAATGCTCATTTACCCCCAAATTAGCCTCCACATCATCATCATCATCATAAGAATAAATAATCCTTGCATTTGATATTTGACCTTATCATAACTTCAAGACGTCTCAAAGTGCTTCACGGAATATACTGTAAAGTGAATTGACTATATTTTGTGGGCGAAATATCCCTTAATATCCACTTTCTGGGCTCCAATTAGGTGCAGGCCATGTCTAATGTGGCAATAATACAACAATAATAATGATGTGTGGCAGAGTTCGAGGAATTAGGGGGAAGCTTTAAAACTGCTACAGAGCCCAACTGAGTCAAAGGTTCCTTATAGATATTGCATCTTCCACCCAGGAAGCGAACTGACGGACATCCAACGGCTCAGCTGATAAAGCTAACGAGAAGCTGATTTTTGTTTCGGGAGTCTGACACGTGCGGAAATCCATCACCACGCCGAAAGAGTATTTTCCCCAAGCGGTTCGGTTTCCAAGTTGCCATGTTTTTTTTTTCTTCTGGCTGGCTGCGGAAACGCTCCGATCTCTGCCGAAAATCCGTTCACATGAATAACGCCCTGCGTTAACGTCCCGCCCTCCAAACCAGAAAAAAACATGGCGTCCCATCTCACGGCAGTACACGGTGTGTGTGTGTGTGTGTGCGCATTATTTACTTTGCTGGCCTGGCAAAGTACCACGCTACCGTGGCGCGTGCTCAAAGCCTCACGTCACATCCAGTGGCTGGTTGGCTTCCTCCTCATGGTGATACGGCGTCAACCACAAAGCATGAAAGGTGGACATAGCCAAGAATGGCCACTTGGGCTGAGTGAGGGCTGACTACTGGGTACCCTCACCAAGCGAGGCAATAACCCGAATAATCCTCGCAACCAATGCAGCGCCTTATCACGTCTCCGCGACGTCTCAAAGCGCTTCGCCGTAAAGTGAATTGACTGCGTATTTTATTATAGAGAAAGGTACTTCTTTGGGAGGGGTGGGGGGGGAGGAGGGGTGGGTGGGTGGGTGGTGATGAGTGGAAGGGGGGAGCAGTTTCCCCACTTGGTCAACCTCTGGGTCCATATTTCGTGAGCGAAACGTACCCGGGGAGGACCAGAAAGTGGGAAACATTGCCCCCCCCCTCCCCAAACAAAAATATACCTTTTCTCTCTAAAGATAATAACAATACGAATACCTGCCATACACCCACAGGAATAGAGGAAGTACATATTTTTTGGTGGGGGGAGAGAGAGTGGGGGGGGGAGAGAGTGGGGGGAGTGAGTGGAGGGGAGTGGGGGGGAGTGAGTGGGGGATTGAGTGGGGGGAGAGTGTGGGGGGAGAGAGTGGAGGGGGAGAGAGCGGAGGGGGGAGAGAGCGGAGGGGGAGTGAGTGGAGGGGGAGAGTGGGGGGGGAGAGAGCGGAGGGGGGAGTGAGTGGAGGGGAGTGGGGGGGAGTGAGTGGGGGGAGAGAGTGGGGAGAGAGTGGGGGAGGAGAGAGGGGGGGGAGAGTGGGGGGAGAGAGTGGGGGAGAGAGTGGGGGAGGAGAGAGAGGGAGAGAGTGGGGGAGAGAGTGGGGGGGAGAGAGTGGGAGGGAGAGAGTGGGGGAGAGTGGGGGGGAGAGTGGGGGGGGGGAGAGTGGGGAGAGAGTGTGGGGGGAGAGTGGGGAGAGAGTGGAGGGAGTGAGTGCAAAAGGAAAAGGACCACTTGCGTTTCGTAACGTGGGTTCGTATCAGAGGTACTCACAAAGCCATAGCCTCGGGATCTCCCGGTCAGTCGGTCGGTGATCACCGCCGCCTCCTCGATGTCCCCGAAACGCTGGAAATACCGTCGGAGGGAGAGTTCGTTGCTGTGATACGGTAAACCCCCCACAAAGAGTTTGCGGAACACCCGGTCCTTGTTCATCACTGACACCGGGAGAGGGGGGGAGAGGGAGAGAGAGGGGGAGAGAGAAAGGAAGGAGGAGAGAGAGAGAAAGAGAGGGGGAGGAGGGGGTGTGGGGGTTGGAGGGTGGGGGGGGGTGGAGGGGGTTGGAGGGGGTGGGGGGTGTGGAGGAGGGGGTTGGGGGGTGTGGAGGAGGGGGTTGGGGGGTGTGGAGGAGGGGGTTGGGGGGTGTGGAGGAGGGGGTTGGGGGTGTGGAGGAGGGGGTTGGGGGGTGTGGAGGAGGGGGTTGGGGGGGGGAGGGGGTTGGGGGTGTGGAGGAGGGGGTTGGGGGGTGGGGGGGTGGTGGGAGGAGGGGGTTGGGGGGAGGAAGAAGGAGCAAAAAAAATACAAAGAGACACCAGAGCTCTGAGAGAGGGCAGAACACAGAGAGCGAAATGCAACTCTCTGTGCGGAGGGCGGAAGACAATGACGTAATTGCAAAGTTTAAAGGGAGGTTTTAATTAATATTATTAATAGAGACTATTTTTTTTCACTCTCTCTCTCTCTCTCTCTCCCCCTCTCCTCTCCTCCTCTCTCTCCCCCAACACGTGAAAATCTCCCCTTTGTGTGTAAATGAATGGGGAGAGGAGGAGTGTGTGACAAGACGGGCTCTGGAGGGGGGGGTTAGGAGAGGGAGGGGGGGGGGGTCGGAGAGCTGAGGTGTGTGGCTACTCACTTGCAGGATTGGGCCAGTGAGTGTGTGAGAGAGTGAGTGACAGCTCTGTGTGTGTGAGAGCTCTATCTGTGTGAGAGCTCTGTGAGTGTGAGCTCTGTGTGTGAGCTCTGTGTGAGTGTTGTGTGTGCTCTCTGTGTGTGTGAGTGAGCTCTGTGTGTGTGTGAGTGTGAGCTCTGTGTGTGAGTGAGTGTGAACTCTGTGTGTGTGTGTGTGTGAGCTGTGTGTGTGAGTGAGTGTGAGCTCTGTGTGTGTGTGAGCTGTGTGTGTTTGAGTGTGAGCTCTGTGTGTGTGTGAGTGTGAGCTCTGTGTGTGTGTGTGTGAGCTGTGTGTGAGTGTGAGCTGTGTGTGTGTGAGTGACTGTGAGCTGTGTGTGTGTGAGTGAGTGTGAGCTCTGTGTGTGTGTGTGTGAGTGAGTGTGAGCTCTGTGAGTGAGTGTGAGCTGTGTGTGTGTGAGTGTGAGCTCTGTGTGTGTGTGTGAGTGAGTGTGAGCTCTGTGAGTGAGTGTGAGCTGTGTGTGTGTGAGTGAGTGTGAGCTCTGTGTGTGAATGAGTGTGAGCTGTGTGTGAGTGAGTGTGAGCTGTGTGTGTGTGAGTGAGTGTGAGCTCTGTGTGTGTGAGTGAGTGTGAGCTCTGTGTGTGTGAGTGAGTGTGAGCTCTGTGAGTGAGTGTGAGCTCTGTGTGTGTGAGTGAGTGTGAGCTCTGTGTGTGTGAGTGAGTGTGAGCTCTGTGAGTGAGTGTGAGCTCTGTGTGTGAATGAGTGTGAGCTGTGTGTGAGTGAGTGTGAGCTCTGTGTGTGAGTGAGTGTGAGCTGTGTGTGTGTGAGTGTGAGCTCTGTGAGTGTTTCCCTTTGTTTCTCTCTCTGTTGCTTTTGTTTCTTTGTCACATTCACAATGTATCCAGAAGACCCGGAGGGCGGGGCTTAATGCGCACGTCCCCCCCTCGCTCCCTGATTGGTCCCCAGCCCGTCACTCTTCCTCCCCTGGCACACGCCTCCCGCCCCTCGCTCCCTGATTGGTCCCCAGCCCGTCACTCTTCTTCCCCAGGCACACGCCCCCCGCCCCTCGCTCCCTGATTGGTCCCCAACCGTCACTTTCTTCCCCAGGCACACGCCCGCCTCGCTCCTGATTGGTCCCCAGCCCGTCACTCTTCCTCCCCTGGCACACGCCCCCCGCCCCTCGCTCCCTGATTGGTCCCCAGCCCGTCACTCTTCCTCCCCAGGCACACGCCCCCCGCCCCTCGCTCCCTGATTGGTCCCCAGCCCGTCACTCTTCCTCCCCAGGCCACGCCCCCCCGCCCCTCGCTCTCTGATTGGTCCCCAGCCCGTCACTCTTCCACCCTGGCACACGCCCCTCGCTCTCTGATTGGTTCCCAGCCCGTCACTCTTCCTCCCCAGGCACACGCCCCTCGCTCCCTGATTGGTCCCCAGGTCGCCACACCCACCCACCCTGGCACATGTCCCGCCCCTCCATCTCCTATTGGCTGTTCACGTTGTCAATCACTTGCGATGGAACAATAGTGAGACTTTATTGCATTTGATTCACATTTATACACTCACTCACTCACTCACTCACATATATATATATATATATATATATAAATCCAACTCAATCATCTATTTAATGTACCTGGACTTTTTTTTTTGGGGGTGGGGGGCGGCTGAGATATTTATCGCAATTGTTTTTGTGGGGGGAATGGGCGGATTTGAAATAGGGAGGAGGAGGGGGGTGGGTGTGTGTGGGGGGGAGAAGTGTGTGCGGTGGATACTGTGGACAGGTGTCGCCCTCTCGTGAAGAACATAAGCGTAAACATAAGCGTTAAAAAAAAAAGACGTGCAATTTGATGCAGCGCCTGATCACGTCTTCGAGGCGTCTCCAAGCGCTTCCCAGGAATATGTTGTAAAGCGCACGTTATATTCTGTGGGCGGCCCAACTGCGCACAGCGGAGGCCCACGAGCAGTCGTGGACTGAGTGACCAATTCATTATTACTTGCCCCCCAGCAGCCACAATTGACTCGTGCCATGATCCTATTCAGTCGGGTGTCGCCAATCCTCTGGTCAAATGATTACAGTGAATAAAGAGCAAGAGAACAACACTTGATTCCGGGTGTGTCTCGGGTGTGTGTGGGTTGGGGGGGTGAGCGCGTGTCATTGGGCAGCAATGAAGGCAAGGGAATCTACGTTGATTGTTCTCCCAGAGACCTGAGTTCAATTCCAGGCAGAGGGCGAAACCTTGGGCAAGTTTCCTTACTCCACACAGCCTAATAATAATCCCTCCAAAACAAAACAATAATAAATTGGTCATTTTCAATCTACGACTGTTTGTGGGACATTGCTGTGCGCAATTGGCTGCCGCGTTCGCCCACAAATATACAGTCAATTCACTTTACAGTGTGTTCTGTGAAGCGCTTTGGGACGTCCTCCCGACGTGAAAAGCGCTATATCAAATGCAAGGATTATTATTATTATTATTCCCGTTTCCTGGTACAGGGGATTGAGGCCGATTGGAACTCCGCACTCCCATGTTGGCTCACTTCAACAACAACTTGCACTTATCTAATGTCGTTCATGCAGGGTAGCATCCCAGAGCATTTCAGCACGGAACAGCGATTGGACTGAGGGCACTCCGGTAAAGCACTCTGAGACAATTTGACATAAGCCACTAAAATAAACACAAGTTCTTTCTTTCAACCTCCACAAAACTCGTGTATCATTTTTTTTTCTGCCTTCGAATTGGGTTTTATTGCAGACGTGCAGGATGTTTCTTTGTTTCACGCCTTTGTTAAAAAAAATGTCACAGAGGGAATCTAATTTGCAAATCAGATGCTAAATTGCTAAATTGAAACTTCCCATTGGGGGAAGAAGTGCGTTTCTTTTTGCACATTGACACCTTTTGGAAATCACAATTAGGTAATTTCAAATAGCAAATTATCCTGCGTTTAATGTTCAGAAGTGTAAATCAGATTTCACACGTTGAATCTGGTTGGGAATATTATTGCAAATTATATACGGATATTCAGTGACAGAGAGGCTGACTTACGCAAAATGAAACCAAGGAGTTTATTTGTGATTCTTTAACTTGTACGGTAGGATATTTTGAATCCTATTTAGGTTCTGTCATTTGAACACGTATTTATTTATTAACTGAATGAATGTTATTTTACAGGCAGTTTGTCACATCAACACAGAACTAAACTACCAGCTGATGAATTGTCTTAAAGTGGAATGAATCAATCACAGCTGAAAGTTGTTTGATGCTTGATTCTGACAAAGGGACTTTTTGCCTTCATCAATGAACGGAAGGAAAGTATGATGATTTCCAGTTAGCAACACTCCACAGAGACTGCTAGGATTGGATGTTATGGACAGCAAAGCCCCAGCGGGAAAGATTCAGGGCATTAGGAATGAGTCCAGGTATCTTCACCCACTCTACAGTTTGAGAAGTAGAAGGAGCTTTTTGCCCTTTAAGAAGAGAGCGGAGAAAGATTGTTATTAACATGATGATGTTTCTCACTAAGAGTTGCACAAGTTCCGTAGACACTCGCTCGTATTCCTGTGTTACCTTGGTTTAGTGTCATTTGTTCTGTGTAATCTTTGACACTGAGTGCTGTCGGGCTATGAAACTCACAGGGAGAGAATGTCACAGCTGAAGCAAATTCTGTCATTAACTGATAATTGGCCCTTACAGCAGAGCTCACGGTGATTGTGATCAACAGCAGGAACCTGACTGACTGTTTCTCTCCCTGGTTCCGAAGCCCAGAGATCCTGTGAAAAGTTGAGACGTCTCAATGACGTGATAAGGTGCTACATCAAATGCAAGGATTACTATTATTATATATATTATTAGTATAATTACAGTTCCCACTTTGGCTCAACTCAAAACACTAAACTATTGTGGGAGCTCACATAGAGAAACTTTATTTTCACCAACCTCGGAACTCTGACAGGACTCTGGTATTTGCAAAGACAGAAACCAGATCCTGTGAATTACATTTGCTTGTATTATTTTCTCTCTCTCTCTCTCTCTCTCTCTCTCTTGCCTCATGCAGGAGTGAACATTCATGAACTTTGCTATCAGACCTATACATTTATTTCTTTTCCTGTGGGATTCAATCCATGATTAGACTTGCTTGTTCGTTATTGGAAATGGGGGCAGCACTTTACACTGTGCCTTTCCTTCCTGTGTGTTGCTCCTTTATGGTTAGGCCAGGTCCAGCTGACGGCACTTGATTGGAGACAGCTCGTGGTGGGGTGTGCGGTTGAAACCGTCCACCTTTGAGACGTATTTCTCGGGGGGAGTGATTAACTTTCTTCTCACATCCATGCTCTGATTATCCAGACACAGGGAGTGGGATTTGAAGCCAATATCCGCTTGGACTCTTGCTAGTTGTTTGTATGAAGCATCTAGAGCATCTCTAAAGCACAGGAATGAGAATTATCATCAATATAAACCTTTACTCTCAGATGGAGACATTTGTCCCTCCACGTCTCACCCTGCCTGCCCCACCTTCAGCCTTTCTGACCCCATCCTTTGGAACTCCACCCAACAATACCTTCGCCTCGCTTCCTGTCTTGCCTCTTTCAAGGCTCCCATCTCAAAACTCTCCACTTCAATTGTGCCTGTGGACGCCCTCCATCCCTCCTAAGAACATAAGAATTAGGAGCAGGAGTAGGCCATTCGGCCCCTCGAGCCTGTGCCCCGCCATTCGATAAGATCATGGCTGATCTTCAGACCTAACTCTAATTACCGCCCTATCCCATATCCCCTAATTCCGCTATTTTTAAAAAATCTATCACTCCTGATCCCAATCCCCAGCTCGGGTGCACATTCTTGCCTGTCCAGAGCTTTCGGACGTCCTCACGACGGGAAAGGCTCTGTGTAAATGTCATTTGTTGTTGTTGTTGTTCTGCTGCACCTCCCCCACTGGAGTTAGCCCCATTCTCCTACTCTTTCCCCAAACCATTTAGTATTTTTCTTCCAGAGTCTGTACCATTCTCCTTCAATAGCTGTCATTAGAATAGGGCAGATTTTGGTACCTATTCTACTGTCTACTTAGTAGGAATTGCGTGAATTGATTTGACTGCTTCTGGGTGAGAGAGGGTAAGTTTCTCTGGAGATAAGGAGAGTTTACGTACTGAGCCTGTGCCAGCTTCTGTTTGAGTGCAGAGATCGTTCCCTCCAGTTGGTGAACCTCATCGGTCAGCCCGTACTGAACCTGCAGAGAAAGATAAAACCTTACTCACATTGTGGAAATTGGGCATTTTTATCAATTGACTTGCTCGCAACCATCTGCAGAGATAAACACAGTCTCTCAGTTTTATTACACGTTAAACAGGAATGAAATATTCAGACTATATGAGGGTATAAGGTCTGTTTTTTATTTGATGCTTTGCCTCTAAACTTTTTTTTAAAATAGTTTTATTAAAATAAATGTATTCTCTCCAATTGCGCTGGTGGAAGCAACTGAACCAACTGATGTACACTTCAGGAGTTTACAATTTCATTTTCACTTCAATGCCTGAGATTTATTTTAATCCTAGTAATAACAATCCTTGCATTTGATATAGCGCCTTATTGTGTCTCCGGGAAGTCTCAAAGCGCTTAATAGAATATAGTGTGAAGTGGAGTGACTGTGTTTTGTGGGCAAAACTCTGCAGCCAATTGCACACAGCTGTGTCCCACAAACAGTCGTGGATTGAGTGACCAAATTATTCATTTATTTATTTTGAAGCGATCATTACCCCCAAAAAAGCGATCTACCAATCGACTAACAACCGGGTTCCTTTTTACTGCTCGGCAAATAGAGGCATGTGTGTGTGTGTGTGTGTGTGTGGAGTAAGGAAGCTTGCCTAAAGTATTGTCCTGTCTGGGAATCGAACCCGAGTCCTCTCGGCTGAGAGGTGAGCGCTCTAACCACTATGCTACAGGAAAACGTGATAGCTGAGTCTCTTCTCACCTCATCCCTACACAGGTCGGCGTGGGATCTGTAGGTGCGAGTCTCCAGTCTGGTGTGCGCCAACTTCAACGGAGCAGCTTTAGCTCGAAGGTCTGCTTCCAGACGCCGGATTTCTTCTTCCAGATCTGCAATCTCCTCCAGGAGCTGAGCGAGGGAGGTGAGAGGTTACAGCCAACAACCACTCCACCGACATTCGTACTGAATCTCTTGGCACTTTACCAATAACAGAACTTGTCTTTCGAGCGTTTAATGGATGGATGTTATACTAGAGTCAGGTGTGATAAGTCCTGAGTACGTTTTCCAACAACCTGATTCAGTATTAAATCTAACCACAGCCCTGGTTCAGGAAGAGTTAATAATGTCTCTGAAGTGATTACGAGAATAATGATATTTCCTAATACCTGTTCAAAGGAATACACGTCAGAGAAGAGTATTCCTTTGAACAGGTATTAGGAGACATATGTTTATAAAAAGCTAATATTAAAAATAAATGGTATAATTATTGTTATTAACCGGAACATTACATTCTTCTCCTGCCACCGCAGCTCAGTCAGCGCCTGTTCAAACTCGTGGATTCTCTTCCTGAAGGCAAACTCCGTAGCCACCCGCTGTGCCTCCACTTCATTATCCGTCTGTAATGGCAAAATTAAACAAATAGGAATCTGGGGCGATTCTGATTATAGGTTCTACTGAGGCTGTACCTACTAAGGTTGACTATGTTTCTGTGTTGTGATGGCTGTGACTTGGTTATAATCCTTGCAATAAAATCATTAGCAATCAGTCATCTTGATTCCTGCTATAAGAACATAAGAGTTTGCTAGACAAAAGAAGACCAAGGTCCATCCAGTTCGCCTTCCACCCTTCCCAGTAGTTGCATACACGCGACATGTCCCAAACCATCTACTGTCTAGAACTATAAACTGCAGCTGTTTAAAATGGAAGGCTTTGGGTTTATAATGGGACTTACAAAGCCGATGGTGGCCGCGATGGCTTCACGGAGAGCAGTGGAAGCTTCCATCTCTGCCTCCGCGCGGTCCTTGTTGTAGCGGCTGAACTGGTCCCATTGCTGCACTGTGGTGGAGCTGTCGTCACAGCACAGAAACATAGTCAACATTTCTGCTCACATGACAATACAAAATTTCATGTCGGAAGCTGGTGATAACACCGTGATAAGGCGCTGTATCAAATCCAAGGATGATCGTTATTGGTTTGATCGGGCCAAAAATGGGAACATTAAAACAATTTTTTTTTCAAAAAACATACTATTTTGGAGTCAAATTGGGGTTTAAAATGAATGGCCTGATGCCATAGCCATCCTGACGGTCTATGGGGATTTAACTATCAGTCTCTAAATACACAAAAATATATAGCCCACAAATTATACAGTCAATTCACCCCACAACATATTATGTGAAGCAGTTTGAGATGTCTCAATGACGTGGTAAGGTGCTATGTCAAAATGCAAGGATTGTTATTATTTATTAATTATTATCAGTGAGACAAGTGAGGTTGGGTTAGCATTAAACTCATTGCTGCTTTTGCTGCTGAACGAGAGAGACCTCTGCTGAAGAGCGTGTGTAAGAACAGCAAGGGCTGCCTATCTGCACCGTCTCATGAGGAAGTGCTCACTCAGGCCACAGAAGGCTGTTGCTGCTTGTGTAACTGAACCACAGCACAAACCTCCGCATCTGGGGAGGATGTGGGAGAAAACGTCATCCACCGAATGAATTCCTTCCAAACAGACTACTGTCACGGGCCTGTCACTGGGTGTCACACAGGCTGACTCCATGCGCTGTTCAGGCCACGATCGTGTGACCCGAGATAAAATTGGGGTCAATCATTTCATGGCTGTTTGTGAGACCTTGCTGTGTACAAATCGGTTGCTGTATTCGCCTACAAAATACACAGCCACAACACTGAGATGTGCCCGATGTGTATCAAACACAAGGAATTGGCCTATCGTACAGCGCCCTCGACTGGCTCAATTGTTTTATCAGAACATTTTACCCTCCTCCCCACCAAAGTTTAAATATCAATGTCAAATTAAATATCAAATACTGAAGATGTTACACATTCAAGACTGTGGTGGGTGGATATTTGCTAGGCCAGGGTATCAAGGGATATGGGGCAAGGGTGGGTAATTGCAATTGAGACACAGATCAGCCACAATCTTATAGAATGGCAGAACAGCCTCGAAGGGCTAAATGGCCTGTTCCTATGTTTCGATGTCGGATTTGGAAACAAATCAAGGTCTTTCTCACCCGGGGGGGATCCGCAGGGGGTTTGGTTTGAATGAGATGTTCGGGGAATTGTTGTTGAGTGACAGACAGACTTCATCAATGTTCAAAGCTTCTCTCTTATTGCGGAGATCGAAATTCAGCTGCTGACGAGCCTCCTGCAACAGACTGGGGAGAAAATAATAAAGATGGCAAACGTGCTCTGTATAACATAGCTCCTGATAACCTACCCCCAAAACATTATTAGCATTTCAATGTAGCTATTGTACACAGTACATACTGTATAGCATTATAAGAGAAGATGTGATAAGGCACTATATCAAATATAAGGATTATTATTATCACTGAGCCTTTCACTGCATTATCTGCCTCTATAGGTCTCAATGTGCCTCATGTCACAGATACAAACATAAATTAAACCCTCATCTCCAAAAGATCTACAGAAAATGTAGTCTACATTCCTGTTACTGCTGCTGGAATTAAAGAGACCAAAGCTCCAACTCAACATGAAATGCTTCAATGGCAACCTGGTGGCACCCTGAAACCTGTAACCATTAAAGATCCCCTGATACTGTTTGAAATCAAAAGGGAATTTCTCTTGGTGTAATGGCCAACAATTCTCCCAGATAAATTGGTCTTCACTTCAAAGCTAACTGTAGGACATTGCTGTCTTATAAACAGTCATTGTTCTTCACAGGAACTGGCTGTGAAGTGCTTTAACAAGTTTCTATGTTGTAGGTACAACATCAAGTGCAAGGCTTATTGAGTTAAACGGGGCATTGGTACTGGTTTGTACCTACCAAAGCTGTTCAAAGGCCTCACTGATTTTCTGCTGAAGAGCTTTCTTTGATCCGTTAATCACTTCCACCTCTTTCAGCAGCTCTTCGTGCACTGAGTCAGTCACCAGATCAATGTCTTGACGACCTTCCCTCAACGTCAGGTTCTCAATCGAAACATCCAGGTTAAGATTCTTGGCCTCCAGGGCCCGTTCTGCCTCCTCCTTACTCTGGGACAGGTAGCACAAGCAGCAAAGTAAATGGATTATATATAGTACAGGACACTGAATCTCCCATTGCCTGCACTTCCTCGGTTCGCCCACAAAATACACAGTCACTGAATTTCAATATAAAATTAACATCACGGTATCATTAAGATAAATTTTTCCCACAAAATATAGTCAATTCACTTTACAGTATATTCTATGAAGCATTTTGAGACATCTCGAAGACTTGATAAGGCGCTGTATATCAAATGCAAGGATTATTATTATTACTACCCACACATATTGTTATCTTGGTGCCGTTTTCAAAACAGAAACTTGAGCACGAAAAAAAAAAACTTACTTTAGTTAAAGCATCAATCTCGGCATTGATATCACAGAGACAAATTTCTAAAAGTTCTTTCCATCTGTCCACCGCGTCTATCCGCTCAGCAAGTCTTGTGTTGTTGTCTTCCTGATCCCATTTAGTCTACAACAAGGAAAAGATATTCAGGTCTCAGACTTGACGAAGTTGCGGAATCGATAAGCAAATTACTCTGAATTGCCTGGGACCGGTAGCAGAACCGGACACAGAGAAACTATTTCCTCTGGTGGGGGCACGATCTTAAAATTAGAGCGAGACCATTTAGGAGTGAAATCTGGAAGCAAGTTTTTACCGAAATGGTAGTGGAATATATGAGAGAAATCTGGAACTCTCTCCCCCAGAAGGCTGTGGATGCCGAACCCATTCAAATTTTCAAGACTGAGGTAGATAGATATTTGTTTTAGGGAGGAGATGAGCGCGATGGGCTTACGGAGCCTGGGGTCAGAGAGGATACAAGCCGCAAAGCTCTTGATGTTCATCTGATCCTCCCGATGCCTTGGGACATCCTCCCGGCTTGAACGGCGTGACAGAAGTGTGATTGGTTGTTAACCCCTTACCTGGTTGTTGGTTTCATTCCGCAAGGCCCTGGCTTCCTGGCGGATCTCATGGGACATGTAACGCTGCCTCTCTGAATTGGTCGAGATCTGGTTGTTGTTGGTGAACCAATCGGGAACAGAATACCTCTGAGCTGACTTCAAACTCAGAGTGGCCATTTTTGGTTGCAAAGTGTAGCTGCGGAAAAATGACAAGATTTGGTGAGAGAAATAACACAGGACTTTCCCTCCCCCTCCACCCCACCCCCCCCCCCCCCACCCCACCCAGCCCCTCACCCCCCCTATCCCCCACCCCCTCACACCCCCAACCCCTCACCCCCCCAGCCCCTCACCCCCCCAGCCCTCACCCCCCCAGCCCCTCACTCCCCCCAGCCCCCACCCCCCAGCCCCTCACCCCCCCACCCCCCCCCAGCCCCTCACCCCCCCAGCCCCCCCAGCCCCTCACCCCCCCCCCCCCCCACCCCCACCCCCTCCTCTCCGTGAAATAATCCATTTATTTTCAGCATCTTTGACAACAGCAATGTAAAGGCACTCTCAGCCTTTGACACAGCGGGGAGTGGGCGGGAGGGCGGGCGGAGGCGAAGTCAGTTGATCCACTAAATCACGGAGTCGGTTCGGGTGCAGTTCGGAGCGGTTTAAAAGAAACGCGCGACCCCGAGATTTTAATGCAAATAAATGCATCGAAACCGCCGCTGAGACAGGAAGAGAGGAGATGTGTGTGTGTGTGTGTGTCCCCTCACCCCCCCCCCGCGGGAAAGGCCTTACCGGTGGCGGTGTCGGTGTGTGGGGGTCGGTCGGTCGGTCCCTGTGAGACCCACCGGGTCGGGGCTTCTCCTCGTTGCTAAGGACGCGGCCCCGTAACCAGGTGACCGCTCCGCTCGCGCCAATCAGAGCGCGTCTCGGCGACAATGGTAACCGTGACGACCGACGGCAACAGACGGGACCCTCCCACGTGACCTCTCCCCAGAGAGCCTCTGGTCCCACCTGCAGCGACTTACACACACACACCGTATAGCGACCCAGAGCGCTTGACAGTGGCAGAGCACCGCACCCAGCCCCCCGGGGGGGGAGAGATGTCCAGAGCCGTGGTCGAAGAGTGAAGGTCTTCCGCCGCGACCCGCAGATGCCGACGTCAATGCCCTCACGCCCGGGGCATCGGTAATCGTCCACCGTCAGAGGTCACTTTCCGGCCGGAAAGCTCACCCGACCGACCCCTTGCGGTTGGTTTGGACCAAGCGAGGGGCCCGCCCGAGGGACACTATTTAAACGCAAGTTGTTGTTGACCCAACTGCACAGCGCCTTTTGGGACGTCCTCCCGACGTGAAAGGCGCTCAATAAATGGAATCTTGTCGTTGTTGTTGTTGTTGTTGTCGTTGACCGACCAGAATACAGCTGGACGCACCGGGGCAGAGAGTTTTGTCCGATTTTGTCCGGCGTCCACCTGCGACCTCGGTTTTACCCCTCACCTGAAAGGCGGTACCTCTGCCCGTGCAGCACGTCTCCAACAGCCCAGGTATGCATTTCCCAGCAGAGGTCACTGGGTAATGATCGGGTCGGTTTATTTTTTACCCTCCAGACCCCAGAAGTGCCGATGCCAAATATAGCATCACTGCAAAGTACCCCCAACTAAGATCAGATATCAGTGATCAGGAACAGACCCGGTCCTTCATGGCTTCATTAACGGAATAAACACGGATGCGTTTCAGTAGTTAAAAGTAGTGACCGACCATTATTTGTTGGAACACGAGAAATTGTGGGCTTGCCTGAACCGTAAAGTAATTGAAAACATTTATTCAAGAGTAACAAAAATGAGTACATAAAGAAAACTGACAGTACCTGCAAAACCTCAAGGATTACATGGGTGAATGCTGGCATTTGTTTGTTTTGTGTGATGCTGTGTGTTGTAGTTTTGATTTTCAATAAATATTAAGACGAGGACACATCCCTTGCAATGGCAGACCGCTGAATACTGCCTGATGGTATATTATTAACTTACAAAAGCTTGTGAGGAAGCCCTCTGGAACTATTTGTTTCTGTCTGGCTTGACACAAAGACCCGCAGGGCTGGAAACACAGACTGTGCATTAAGGCTTTCTAAACCCTTTCAGAAGGAACCCGAGGAGGATTCCTGCACCAAAAGTCAACATGACAAGATCACGATTAGGTGTTTCTTAATGGGAGAACATTTTGTTAATGCAGAAATGTACTGTGTGGCGCTGTAATTCTCCAATTTGTTTTTATATTAAAAAAAGCGGTAAAGCGCCAAACTAATGCACAGTTTGATGGTGAAGAATGATATTTTTTTTTCGCCCCCCCTATCAACTTTTGGGATCGCCTTGGTTTTTGCAGCAGGTGAGGAAGCGACAGATGGTACCCTTCCATTGCACGGTGATGATCAAAAGCGGTTTCAAATGTTTGTGATTTTTCAAAAAGTCAGCCGCACAAAAGGCGAGAGGAAATCCTGCACAGAATCACGCAGATAACTTTATTACATGTTATCATATGGCATTTTTATTGGTAGGAATTAAATTTAGTGCTTTTAGCTAAACTGTGGGGGGGGGGGGGGAAGAGCAAAATTAAATTCCCCCAAAACTATACGTGAAAAATGTACTCAAAAGCTGAAAATGTCTTAAATACTCAAAGCATTGCGAGGATTTTAAAAAGGACAATCAACATGTCTGCCCAGTCACACAAAGCCCCGGATCAGAAAGCTCCAGATTACCCAAACAGGTTGGATAACAGTTACATTTGCGGTTAACAAAATCGGACTCATACATTTGTTAAAAGGTTGGGTTGTTAGAATTTACAAATTATGAACGCGTTTACAAAAATAATTTCAGCAAAGTTCATTAAGTCTCTTGAGTACTGCAAAAGCATAAAGTAATCCACATAATCAATGCATCATCGTCAGAGATCACTTAAATTCTGGAAGGTTCTGAGGTTCTAGGTATCTATCCCAATGTACACCACACACTTTGTTTTAAAGTTGTACATTTTAAAGCTATGAAGGACATTTCTGCTGAAATATATATTTTTGGGTGGTGGGGGGGGGGGGGGGGGGCGGTGAGGAGAGAAGAGGACTCCTGAAATTTGAAGTGAACCATGCGTTCGGTCTGCTTGAATTAAAATTCAGGTCCGAACCCGACTGTCCAGCGTTCTGGGACGTCTTTCCGAAGTGTAATTTGTTGTCGAATTGTAAATCCGAATTGTCTACCAATTTGTTATCAACTTAAAAAACAAAAAGACCCAAGTTTAACAAAGGGTCAACGTGGACGATGAATGCCGTAGTTTAAGCAAGACCCACCCCACCCAGGAACCCTGGTTGCTTGAAGCCAACACTGAAGGTTTGGCTGAACAAATGATCGCAAACTTTCCAAATAATTGCAAACTTCCAGTACTCAAGAGGGCTAATACAGAGGTTATCTCGTGGGAAGTCAGCATTGAGAGGTAACCATTCTCCCAGCCTGATGTGAGAGTTGGAAACAGGTACATGAAGCATACACAACAGGACAGTTTACCCCTCCTCCTCCCACCACCCAGGCAAGAACCTTCCCACCATTCAAGTCTTACTTGTGATCTCCAGATCTCATTGTTCCTTAGGGAGTTCTTTCTGATGATACCAATCGTCAGAGCAAAATTATTTTGTACTCTGTTTCTCCGCATTAGGTCTATCTGCCCTGTGATATAATTGAAAGGAGTTCTATTGCCATTCGATTTATACCTCAGGAAGAATTGCAGACACTAATTAGATTTGCGTTGCTTTTTAAAACCAGGTGAGGACTTGCAACGAAGGCAGCGAGGATTCATTACGATGTCATCGCTCTGCTGGAGAGGGGCGGAGATGCTATAACACACTGTGGCATGGAGTGATAAGGTGCAAGTGCTGGCCAACACCACCCCTATATACAGCAAAGTCTCAAACTCAGCCATTATTTTGGGAGGATTGTGCAGCCGGAGGGAGATCAGGCACTTCCCCGCAGAAAGCCAGCCGGGAAATCGCCTGACACCTGCAGTAATAATCCCTTCAAAATAAAAATAATAATAAATAATAATTTGGTCACTCAATCCACGACTGTTTGTGGGGACGCTGCTGTGCGCGATTGGCTGCCGCGTTTCGCCCACAAAATACACAGAACAATTAACTTGACAGTATATTCTGTGAAGCGCTTGGAGACGTCTCGAAGACGTGATAAGGCTCTTCTCCTGGGACGTTACCCTGTGTGAAGGGCGCAATATTAAATGCAAGTTTTTGTAAGGCGCTATATCAAATGCAAGAATTATTATTATTTATTATCAAAAGGCAGAAGAACCACCATCCTTTTGGCCAAGGGAACAGTGTCTGAGTTACGGAGAGCGAGACGTACGTTGCCTAAATTCTCCGTTACAGCAGAGTGGCTATAGCATGACATCATAAAGAAAGTGCTGTTCAATTGCAGTGGAACTAAATAAACTCGTCTCTGTGAAGATATAAAGCGAGAGATAGGTAGAGGGGCAATTAATCCTCTCGCGTCTCAGTAATAATTCTTCAATTCCCGGGAACACAACAAAACCACACTGCGTGCATCGGGCAAAGAAAATATTCCTTCATATACAAGCATTTGATTTTAGTAACTGGTACCAACGCTGAACTGTTCAAGGATGCAAAAAGGTCAACTTTTTTTTATATCATTAGTTATAAAAAATTAGAAAAAAATCTTACACTGCCTGAAACCCTTCTGAGGTTACTTTGGATGACTTCTTGTGTGTTGCCATTGTTTGGCCATTTGGAGCGAGAGAGTGTTGAAAACAAAGCAATATACATGATAATTGATTAGTAGACAAAAATATTGATCAATGGCCTTCATCATGTACCTTCCAACCCACAAGCCACCTCACAAGGGGCTGACCTGTAGCTTGCACTTGCTGATCGTATCAGTGTTCAAATGGTTTCTGATGGCTATCAATGCTGGTTCACCTCTTCACTTTACAGTATATTCCATGAAGCGCTTTGAGACATCTCAAAGACGTGGTAAGGCGCTGTATCAAATGCAAGGATTATTATCAGTATATTCTGTTCCAATTATTACACACTCTCAGTGGAGTTCATCTGAAGTGTAGGATATTATGCATTGACGTTGTGAATGTTCTTTTTCCAATCCATTTTGAACGTGGGAAAGAATGAACCTAATGCAAGCTCTATAATGAAGGCCCAAGATCTAAAAACAAAACAAGTAACCTCAGCAAGTACAATAACAGGTACAACATCCACAAGACATTATACAACACACGCCTCTATGATAATTTCAGATTCACACGTCTCATCTGAGGAAAAAGGCAACAAGCGATAAGAGGCCCTCCCTCTAAAAGTCTGATTGCAAAACAGTAATGCATAACATGTTACATTGCAGTGCGCTAAACATTAGTAATAAATAAGAGTTAACTTTCAGAAATAACCACAAAATAAAGGCTCATTTTTTTTCCATTAAAAATCCAAATCGATAACTGCTATTAAGACAATTTTTGAACATTTTTCTTTAAAGTGTATTGTCAAGCATGTGCAGCAGATATAATGTAACCGAAAGCAGTATTTTCTTTATGCAGCATACAAAGGTTACTGAGGTGTAGTGTTTTTATCCTAAGCTTCCTTAAAAAGGAACGCTCACCATACACAACCACCAATTCCACTCGATTTCCCCTCAGGGGCTCTTCCTCTCCAGCTAAGAGCTAACTATGCAAGCCACAGACTTATTCAGAAGATGGGACACCAATGGCGAGGTGTGCTGGGCCAACATGAGGTTCACTTGCTGGGTGACAAGACACAGAGGTGGTTAATTTTACACCCCCTACTCCTTCCTCTCCAGGGCGCACACTCCCTGATCACAAAGTGAGGCTGGCGGCTATGTGTCAGGGAGTGTTAGGACTCAAACCTCCATCCACAGTGTTGTGAACAGTAAGATTTTAAAAAAATAAATAAATCCCTCTTCGTAAAATTCTCGAATAACAAAACATTGTTCCGTACTCTCCTCTTGAGCGATGGGTAATGTACAAGTAGACTTTTCACTGTTCAGTTAAAAATTTCTTTATTACGTCTCATTATTTCTTTCCCAGCTCCAATTTAGAATCCCACAAGCAATGAATTGAGGGAGTTGGGGTGGTGGGGGGTGGAGAGAATTCTCACTGGAAAGAATATGCCATTGACCTGCCTAAATTACCCTTCACACTAGATACTTGAATACAAATGGCTAATAAGCTTCATGTATTGTACCTCAAAGTGGTCACATTTTGGGATGCAGGGAAGATGCTCTCACTACCGTTAATAAATTTTTTGTTCCAAGTCAACCCAGCCACGATGTGACTCAAGCTCTCAAAAAGTCTTTTAACTATTCACGTCTGCAAACAAAAAAGAAAGTCAAAACATTTTAGCACCACGATTTCTACTAAGGATGTATCAATAAGAAAAAAAAAAGCCGCCTAGTTAAGCACCCATTCTTCAAATACTACATTTCCCAAGGCTAGCATTAATTTGATTAATGAAATCACGCCACATCGTTAAATTTTAAGAAAGAGCGTTCTGCTAAATATTTACCTAATGGTTACTTCAGTTATTTTGGTTGGGGGGTGGGGGGGAATGGGAAGAAAAGTGCAGTTTGATATCACAGGGAATGATTGACTGATTGATTGACACTGAAGCAATCCAAAATCCAGTTAGAATGGACTGTATAAAATAGTTGGAAATAGGCAAGTAGGCATTTTGGAATAGTTTTAAATAATATTGATTTATCAAAAGGAAGATCAGTACCAGAGAAAAGGAGGTTGTCCGATTTTAACTCCAAAAAATTCACCTGGTTTGTTCAAAATGCATCACTTTCAACTCCATGATGCAAATGGAAGTAAACCAAATACTGTAGCACCCACTACTTACATCTGCCCCTCTACATAAAGCTTTTTTTTATATATTCAAAAGGAGGTACAAAAACAGCCAATATGTAGTACTCATTAAGGAATTTGACAGTTTCAGAAACCCTTGCTGCCTCAAATAAGCACTTTCTTTTTGCCCGAAGGACCCAGTCTTGTGTACAGATAAGAATTGTATGCAGCCTTTTTGTGTTTTGTTTTGAAAGCGTGCGTTATTCTGTGAATCCGTTTCCACAAATAGAGAATGTAGCATTTCTTTAAAAAAATGTGAGGAGTCCAAGGGTAGTGTGCGTGCGCGTGTGTGTGCGTGTACACGTATAAAAACATGCTCACAAATTCATAAAAGTGGCTTCCGTCTCAGAGCTCCAGTCATTTGGTAAAACATTCCTGGTCTGAATGTTGACATTCAGACAAGGGGCAGGATACAGGCTTAATAATGCCTGGACAACATTACATTACAGCATTTCTAGTTGGATGTAAAATGAAATACAACTGGTATGCTATTAGATCGGGTACATAGCACTCCAGGCATAAGCGCTAGGGACATTTCACCCCCAGCAAAGACAACAGCAGTACATCAAAACTCCTGGAGACAGAAGTCCATATTTATACCAAAGGCTGCTTCTCAAAGGCAAGACACGTTGCACTTCATGGGAGGTGGATTTTTTTTTAAAAACAAAGAGAAAGTAGTCAGTTAGTTCACAACACTACAATCACAGCTCTCTTCTGTCTCTTTATTGTTGGGTTGTGTATTGTGAGTGTTTCTCCAAAGCTTCTTTTTTTTTAATATATTAAACTCCCCCATCTTGGTCCTGACTCAGAAGAAACTGCCGTTAAATACATCAGCTACAGGATACTGTCATATTCTTGGCATTATATAAAACTGTTTCAGCCACATAATAAATGAAAAAAAATTCTACAGCACCAGCTTCTTTAAAGGCACTTTCTAAGGACTGTCTTTCGAATCAAAATGGATCAGTACAAACGCTGAAACCATACCTTACCGTATAGTGATCAACCAGTAAAAATACCAAGCCTGCACTCTCTCACGACACCCATTATTACTGTAATAACATAGGCATTCCGCACCTTAGTGTCAGGATTTATAACTGATGTACTGGTATAGGTATTGCATCTAGTCGTATTGTATACTTATCCCAGTAATCCAGACAGCAGGTGTTACAGCAATCCCCCCCTCTTCCCCAATTAGGTACAATGTGAACTGGCAATTGTCTGAAACTTATACCTGAATCACAGTTGTGGCATCGATACAGAGAAACTTGTCAAGTGTACCAATTCTTTTCTTTATTCTGCTGAATCTCCCAGACGCAAACTACCCAATCGATCAGCACAATGAACCACAAATCAGTGTGCTGGTGGGAGAGCTAGGTATTTTGTAACTGGTCAATCACTACGCCTCTTCCCTTTCACTCTTTTAAGTAGGAACCGTGAGCAATTCTCCGATTCCTAGTGCAGTTATTGTCTGACACTGATTAACAAATAGCAGCTATCGGTCTCACTGCCCTCCCAACGCTGGTACATAACCACGTTTGTTTGCAAACGCATTAGTCGTCACTTTACACAGCCATTCACAAACTAAGCCAATGGGTATGGTACAGAGACACTCGCCCCCTTCCTCGCAGGAAACCTGGTTTACAGATCACTTACTGAAAACGCCTGTTAGATTGATAAACATGCGGTGGTAGGTACATGGGAAGCATTCTAGTCAACGCTATCAGGCCGTAAGGTTGTAAAGAGCAGCATTACATCTTTTCATTATTTTACAATTATCTAAAAGTAAACAGTGGTGACTTCAATTGTGATGTAGACTTGATATTGGCTCAATTAAATCAGACTATCGAATAGAAAATAAATGGAACTCTGCCAGGCACCAAGTGTGGTATAAAAATCTTGGTGTGGAGTGACTGCAGAATTTCGCTCCAAACCCCCACCAAAAAAAAAAACAGTACAGGTAGCTAAGCTCAGTGTTGATTCTTTGCAATTTGTTGCCCTCCCTTCCTAAGGCTTTAACTCTTGCTGCGGGTATGATCGCACCGGGTAGAAGGCACCTGGTATCATGCTCAAGAAGTAATTCTTCACGTAAGCTAGTGTCACCAGGCATCACAGCCAACCCAGAACCAGTTCTCACATGTATTGTTTCCACAGGTGAGAAACCAGACTGGGGAATCTTCTCCCTAGTCTAAAGGAGGCTAATTGCTGACTTGGGTAAGAGTAGCTCAGTGTTAAACGGGCGACTCCACATGATATCCGATATTGGTAGCTATAAGGCGAGTTATGAGGACATGATAAAAGCATACTTCACCTACGCTCCAGAGTGGAGAACTTGGTGACTGTGGGGGAACAAGGACATGACATTGTCCTCACAAACCGAAGTTAGCCTAAAATTTTATAAAAGCAATATTTTTGAAAAGTGAATGGGAAAAAAAAACTTTGCCACTCTTAAATTGATGAAATCAAAGACTTCAAAGACTGTTCATTGGTCATCAATGAAAGCCACTATATAACTTTCACTTCTTTAGTTCAAATGATCCCATTACTAACCCAACGAGCAGAGTATAACAACTGCTCCCCTGCACAGGCATCAGAAGTAAAGCGTAGCCATCAACTGGAGTGGGTCTGTCACTAAACTGAGGTGCACCATCCACATAACCCAATTAGTAAATTAGTCTGGAAATCTTTCAATTCAATATAAATGAGGTTAAAATTTAACCTTGATAACTAGAGAACTGGAGCTTGATGTGAAAACTATTGAAGTTCAGATCTTAGTCTTGCCTGATGTTCCTTCATTTGGAATTGGGATGGCTAGGGAGGAACCGGGTGTAAAGTCTTACACCCGTGTAGAGCATTTTGGGGAAGGAGTGAGTGAAATGCCTCAGAAGCACGACCATCGACAGGTCAAGCGAGGAATTGGATGTGCCCACATGCCAGACTGTACATGGCAGCTTGGCAGTGAAAGGAAAGAGAACAAAAGTTTTTATTTAAAGGTGGGAGAAGGGTCATTGGTTAACCTGACAAGGTAAGGAACATTACTTTTGGATTTGAAGAAAATATTTCAACCCTGATAGTATTAGGTTAGATTTGAAAAAAACATCACAACTCCACAAGATGGCAAGCTGTGTCAATGTAAATTAAACTTATTAGGTTTTAAAAATAACTGCTCCGCTGATTTTATTCATGCGTTAAGATTTTAATTGCAAAAGGATCTCTGATTTACCACAGGCAGCAATCCAGCAGGTATCTGCTGGGTCAAAGCTCACATGGAACGCGATAGTGTCTCGGCTCTTTNAAAAAAAAAATAAGCCAGGTTTAGTCCCCAAAGGAGTGCGTTTCATCATTACCACATGCCAATAATAACGGAGGACTATTAAGTTTGATTCAACTATATAGTTGGGTAGTTTCCTTACCAATGTACTCAATCCAAAACTAGGAGTGCAAACAAATGTCTAGAAAAATAGGCACTATGATTATTGCAAGCTGTTTTTCGAAAAAACTGCCCTTCACAAATCTAGCAGAAGCAGCATAGAATTAATTTATAGCTCCCTCATTATGGAATGTACACAATGTTTTGTACAATGTAGTCTCTCCATATGGTGCAAACCTAGTAATACTGACCACAATATATTTAAGGTATCCAAAGTTCCCAAATTTAAAAAGGTCTTGGAATGTTTTATTTTAAATTAATCTGATCTGATGGTCTACTATCAGATCGGCTAAAATAATAACATCTGAGTTTATTAAGTTTTCATTTCTGGGCTTATTCCTATTTCTATCCCTAACGGAATGACTGAAATAAAAACAACAGTATCTGAAAACCACTAGGCTCCCTTTCAAGCATAGAGCATCTTTTGAATTTAAACGGCATGAAGTTTTTTTTTTAAAAAAAGTCTGAATTTTGCTTCACTTCACACATCTTGAGCAAAAACAAAATGTTGCCGTGAACAAAACTCCCATTAAAAAAAATGTCAGTTTGCCTGTCCTCACAAACGAATCCTACAGCGACTTAATATTTTTTTTGCAGAAGGGGAGGAGAATCCTGCAGTCGTTTCCATAAAATTCTAGTTATTCTTTATTTTGTAAAAAGAACATACTTTTCGTGTAGAGGAGAGGCCATTGCGTAGGGCTGGGACACAGGCAATGCCCATCTTGTCAAGAATGCTGCAGCATTTTGTAAATTGTGGTTTTGAGCCAGTGCAATGACAACCGTTATATGATAAAATATGCAGTTCATGAGGTTTTACAAAGTGCAAACAACGTCATGAGATTTATATCAATGGAAACAAATCAAAGCTGTGTATGAAAAAAAACTCTCCAGATAAAAAAAACGGTATACGACCTCAAAATGGAATGACTGAAATAAAACAGAAGTATCTGAAAAAATTCACATTTCAGTGATTATTAATCTGTAAGTTAAATAAAAGCAAGTTTTAAAACATCCCAGTCCTACTTTTTTTTTTGCATTCAACTTTTGTTTCTCTTAATTAAAACTGATAAGGTTCTGAAGTGCGGATGTATCCCACTCGCCCACGATTATAGTGGTACATTTGCTGCTCTGGTTTACAGCGAAGGGACACGGGCTTTGTTACCAACCGCTTATTGCACTAATGGTAGCAATGTTCTGTCAGTATACAACATGGTTACATTCCAGAACTAAATACAATTGCTGCTGCCACTATATTTTTAATTGTATTTCTTATTATTAAATTATAAGCATTTTTTTCTCTAATAAATATAAGGATAGCTAAAAAAAACCAAAAAGGTAACATTTAGTCGAGAGCAAGCAAGTAAACAACGATTAAAAAAAAACAGCAATGTTTCTACATTAAACAGAGCCCCTGAACTCGTTGGGAATATTTGAAAAATCCCTCTCCCTCTCACTGTTTAGATTTATCCAAGTCCCAGTGTTATGTTCCAAGACAAAACTCCACTGCTCTCCATGGAACGTTAGCAATAAGTTTTATGCTCAACGCTCGGTAGACTTGACAACTTAAACCTAAACAGTGACAGTGGAGATGAGATTTTTCTGGACCTCATTAAACAGATGTGAGAACTCTAATGTTTTCAACTACCTCTTAATCCCCAACCAATTGGGGGGCTCTGTGCGAATGGCTGGATCTCTTTATTGAGCTCATTGGAAAATATTTGTGACTGAAGGTTTTTACATAACTTTTCTTTTTCTGTACTGTGTTTTCGTTTTTGCTCAATAAAGATGCGTTCTGTGCTGCCAAACACTGAGGTAAAGGCAAAAGGAAACTACATTGAAAAAAAACACAGGCAAAAGAAAAAAAAACACAGGCATGATGTCTGACAGAGCGCACACATGTACACCACACAGAGCAGTTGGCTGGTTTCATATTGCATAATAGTGCTATGATCTTCGTAGGTAAACAATCCCTTTCAGTCAGTGTATGAAACTTATCTCCGCACAGTGAAAGTTACAGTATGGCTGGAGATGTTGCCCATAAACTGACCCCACTGGAAATGCAGGCTGTGATCTTCGGTTCCTTCTGGAGAGAATATTCCCAACCTCAAGCGAAGTACATTGTGCGTAAGGTGTCCTGGTGGATCTGCACGGCCTTGGCCAGAGCCTGAGGGTCACGGCCATTGCTCTGCCCGGAAACGTGGCTTCCTTCAGCGCTGGAAACCGTGCAAGAGAAAGTCAATGAGAACAAGTCCTACAGTCATACAACAATAATACTTGCATTGGATACAGCGCCTTATCACATCTTCGAGACGTCTCAAAGCGCTTCACAGGATATACTGTATAATTTCTGGGATGATGCTCAACATCAGGATTTGAGTTCACAGTCTAGGCTGATACTTGGATGCAATGCTGGGGGAGGAGTGCTGCATTGTCACAAGTGCTGTTGAACCTGTGCTGTGTGCAATGCTCCTTACCTGTCATGTTCTTTGTCCACCAGATGGTATCTTGCTCTAAATGCCACCAGATGTGCGTAATAGGCCGGCGCTGGGATGGAGACAGAGCGTGTGCAGCGCACGTACGTGTGACATAGCTGATAGGTTAGGAGCTGAAGTTCATCTGCAGAGAAGCAGTTGTCATCCCACAAGACATGATAGTGTGAGGGGCGACTTGTACCCTGTCAAACAGCAACAATGGGGTAGAACCTTCAGTTATATTCACTTTCCCCAACAATGTACAATGGTTCCCCTGTAAGACGTTTCTTTATTTACTGGCATGTGATATTTTCAGGTTTCTCATGAAAGTTCTGCGATAGAACAGATTCGAATGTTTCTCACAAATCCTTACAAAGATAGGCTGGGTTATGTAATTTAGAAGAATTATAGTAATAATAATCCTTGCATCTGATGTCGCGTCTCAAAAGCGCTTCACAGAATATACTGTGAAGTATTTTGTGGGCAAAACACGGCAGCCAATTGCGCGTAGCAAGTGTCCCACAAACAGTTGTGGATAAAGTGACCAAATTATAATAATTACTGTTTTTTTTCCCTTGATTTTGTGGGGTGCCTGAGGGCAAAAGGGCTGAATCTGAAACTGAGGGCAAACCCTTATCAGAATTACACAGATGCAATTTCTAAATTGTGAAACTTGCTTTCACTTTCTTTTCCAAATACTGAGTTGCTTAGTTGATTAAATGCACTGCTGATTATAAAATGCAATCGTGTATCTAAAATGGACTTCTTATCACCTCTAAACAGCAAGTACAAAGTACTCAGTAAACCAAAACTCTCAGCAATTTTAATCTTTGGTAGTTTAAAAAAAACACACAGCAAATAGTCATCAACATCCCCCATCCCAACTGAACAGAATTATATAAAGGAAAAGGCATTTAGTGTTAAAATGTTGCACATTTCTCCCTCTGGGCCCCGACAGCAGTAATTTGAAGTGATCCAACTGTACCTGTATCCCTGCGTGGCTGCAGAGGTAAAAATCAAACTCATATGGGTGGGTGATATCTGTGTCTACAGTGGTTCCAGCTGGGATATTCCCACTTCTTCCAACCTGTCAGAGAGAGAGAGAGAAAGTGAACAAAAAATGAGTTTAATTACTAGAGTGAAAGGTCATTCAGGATTCATATCAGACTCTTTGTATACTTTGAATTACAGAGCAATTTTTCCCAAACTGAATGGATCACTGTTAAGACAATTCAGGTGCCATTTCATACCCTTTCATTCTTATCAGCACAAAACAGTCGTGTGTGGTGACGTTTCTGGACTACAATGTATGTGATGCCAGGCTGGTAGTCCTTCTCCAGGCTGATGCAGGCCTCCCGGATTGCCAACAGCTCACAATACAACACCTACAAGAAAAGACAAATTGAAGCTTGAACGAATGCACACACACACATACACACCTTATAAAAGAGCTAGGAATGCTGCCACTAGTTCCGAAATAATCAAAAATAATGCTTTTCTTCACCACCACATAAAACCCAAGAAGACATGCAAGAACCTCCCTTTATATATCACGCTTCACGTAAAATAGCATCCCAGAGGGCTGCACAGTGGCGAGGTTGGATGCCAAGCAAATGAGAAGGAGAAGGTGACTATAGGTAGGTGTTCAGGTGGGATTTAAAGATGAATAGAGGGGGGGTGAGAAGGACGGATTGAGGCAGGGAGTTCTAGTGGTCAGGGGCGTAGTAGTGGCTGAACATTGTGTACCTGAGAAACGGCAACACAAACACTCACCTGACGAAACTGCCCCTCAGAGACACCATCTCGGTAAAAGATAATCCGTGTGGGTTTAAAGCGAGTGGATTTGTAAAACTGGATGAGAAGCTCTCGAACCATGGAAGCCAAGTCCTGAATGATTTCCTGTCGGGGCCTCTGTACACGCACGGTGGCACAGTAACGACTGGGGTGGGCATCCATACTGCCTACAACCTAGGGGGGGAAATAGTCATAGAATTAACCCACAAAGTTCATTCATATTGAAACTATTTGTGAACACAGATCCTTGCTTTAAAAAACAAAGCTGCAAGCTTCTGTCAAACGGTCCGGGACGCTACCCCGTGTGAAGGGCGTCATACTAATACAAGTTGTTATTGTTGTGGTGTGAATACTTACTGCAGCGATGGAAGGTTTCTTGCCATCCCCGGCTGGGGGGTGGGTGACATCTGCCCCTAGGAAGATCACAGGCTGCTGGAACACAGACGGCCTGAGGGCAGAACATAACTGGTTGTGATTGGTAAAACAGGCCAGTTTAATACAGCATTTAGTTTTCCCTAAAAGTATATCTCTAGTACTGCCTATAATACAGTCCACAATTCTAAACAATGAAAAAAATTATATTGTCACATTCCATCATTATTCTACCTTACTATACATCAGCGCTTTGGGACGTCCTCCCAACGTGAAAGGCGGTCTATAAATATAATTTTGTTGTTGTTGATTCATAGATCCTATTTCTTAGTTGCCAGAAAGCTAATTTATTGAATGTCACCAGAGCAGCCGGTGAGCCTGAGCATCACCCAGCCAGGAAACTCCATCCACCATCATGTGGCCATGAGGCAAGTGATCCCTACCCAGAGAGCTGTAAACAAGAATCCCAGTAGAAAACACAAGTATTTACCGTTGATGAGGTACCAGAATGTTGTTAATTCCACCCAGTTTCACGTTGATCTTGAGACAGAGGTTTGACAATGTCTGCGGAGAGGTTTTAACAACGTTCTTCACCTGAACACACTGTGTGGCCATCCCCAGGAGAGTGTCGCCCACACGCTTCACCTCAGCTGAAAGACGTGAGATTGTTGAGATTAAGGTTGCATATAGAGCAGTGCGTGATTTGAGAACAAGCTGATCAATAGAGTGTGACTGGTATCTAGTTAACAGACTTGGAGTTGTAAAGTTATTGTGATCTTACTTAAGTAATTTACTTTGCCTTACATTCTCAAGAGTCCAGCTCAGAGTTACTCGATTCAAGTGACCGCGAAGGTGAGCAGGTATTCTGCTCGAAGGTCACTCACTCACGAGATTCCATTCAGCTTCTGTTTCAGATGAAAAATTACAGGAAGAATCACAATCATGTACTTACCATAGACGGGTGTTTTCCCAGGCAGGATGACTATGACGAGCTGAAGCCCCGAGTAGGTGTTCTTCAGGTGTCTGAACATGGGCTCCACGCTGTCCGCTCCCTGGGCATATTTACAGAAACACGGCTGACCCTGGATTGGCATCCCGGCGTCTTTGGAGATCTTCCGAAGCTGGTCTGTGAAACTCCTGTGTAAGATTCATTCAGTTAGGACTCATTCCTTACATTATATATCACACCACTTTCAAAATCAGCATCAACTTGTTCTACCAAAAGGTGCTATGTTAGTAAATCTTAAAGTGCTTCACTGAGACGGAATGGGAGCCTGAGGAGGGTGGGTGATGGGATGGTGGCCAAAGGTGTAGGCAAAGAAAAGCTTTGAAAGCGGGGTGAGAGTGGATGGATTTAAGGAGAGTTAAAGAAAATGAGGGGCAAAATGAGGGAGGGGTTGACACACATCACACACACACACCACACACACACACAAAGCAAGCCTTAGTTGTCGGAATGGAGCAACGTGTTGGGAGTGGTCAGGTCGGGAGGTGACGATTTAGTGGAAGTCTGAACAACTCAATGAGATCTTACTTAAGTACTTCTTCTCTACATTGCCTCTGTGCTGCAAAACACGCTATTGCCCACATTTTGATTTCAACTCCAGTGTGGAACTGCTTCCCTCGCATGTCCCAAACACCGTGACTTGGTGTAGCCACCGTCCGATTCTATAGAGAAAAAACAAAAATAGTCAGTAAGTCCACCTCACAGGGTCCACCTCTGTAATCAGTGCCACAAGTAGCAAGCAATTTAAATGTCAACAATTTACGTAAGCAAAACCTTTCCAGGCTTTACTTGAAATAAATAAAAACTATTATAGGACACACGATGTAACATTTTGCCAAACAGTGTTGAATGCATCAGTAAAGCTTTTAAAAATGTCCGTAGAGAGTTTTGTTGACCTGAAAAGTGTTGGTACAAGGGGCAAAATAGGGTACTGGCCAACTATAGTATAGAACTTATTTATAGAACTAATTTGGTACAAACATAGTATGGACCCCATTCACTGTGCGCGCACGCGCACACAGCTGTCCTGCTTGCTCTCTGCCAGCTGGCGCTCACACTAAAATGGCCAAGTTCCAGGCCGATTAGATCATCACCACATCACTTGCTGTGGACCACAACACACGAGTGCTTCACACCAAGCAATCAGCAGTGTTAGTTTCCCACCGGGTGCTAAGATATTATTGATCACCGGGTGTCAGGAGGCCGTTGTCACTATGTGCTTCGCACTTGCGCAGCCCCAGAAAGTGACTTGGTCGGCAACAGAGTATCAGCACAGGAACTGGCCAAAGGCCTTTAAGTAGGGCGCTGCCAGCTGTATACAGGCACAATATAATTGGCCATCATTACTCGCTATAGTACAGTCTGAGTTTTTATGGATCCCAACCAACAAGTTACAATGGGGCTCCGTTAAAGCGAAAGGCACATCGGAGCACAGAACACAAGCAAAACATAAATCAGGACTATATGCCGAGTTCTGGTTTATCTTAGATGCTGCGCATCTCTGGTATAAAGTTCCTCTGCATTTCGTTACTTACAGTTTGTAATCTGAAATGACTTGGTTCCACCTGTAAAACAAGAGGTGGGCTCTCAGTGTGCACCAGGGATGTCACAATAGAACACATTCATTATAACAATACTGTGGAAACGCATTAGCACCGAGAATAGTATGGCTTGTGCAGCTTTTTAAATACTTCTTAAAGTGGTGACCCGACAAGTTGAGCGACGTACTAAATAAAAATTGTATTCACAATACTTAGAACTTTTATATAATTGGCCCGGATTTGGGACTACCGTCCTCAACGGATTCACCTTGAATTGTTTCTGGAGATCTTACATTGTCCAAATAACTCTGGAGAACCATTTTAACCCATATGTTGCTTAAGAATCAGAGATCAAGACATGAGTCGTGAATTTTTCAGATTACAATGAATTACAACAAGAGCGCATCCCTAGTTATACTCCAGTCAAGCGAAACATTTATAATAATCCCTTTAAAAGAACAAAACAATAATAAATTGGTCATTTTCAATCTACGACTGTTTGTGGGACATTGCTGTGTGCAATTGACTGCCGCGTTCGCCCACAAATATACCGTCAATTCACTTTACAGTATATTTTGTGAAGCGCTTTGGGACATCTAGAAGACGTGAAAAGCGCTATATCAAATGCAAGGATTATTATTATTATTATGTACCTCTGGCTTCAATATGTAAATCAATAAACTGAACACAGAATTCCAACGTACAAATTTAAAATTGTATTAACTTGTCATTTGAATGATCCAATTATAAATGAGCTGGAGATCTGTGAGTTAATCCGGAGCGATAGGCCAGAGGATCATTACTTACAAATCACAGTGTGAGATGGTGCCTCATTTTAAGTTGAAAGACACAGAGCCAGTTATAACCACAGGAAAATTCACCTTGGGGCTGGTTGAAACTGATTCCAGGTTATAGAAAAGTGGTAGAAGTAATTAGCGTAAGATTTGAGGTGAATGGAGTGGTGCGAAGGGGCAGTAAGAAAAATCACACAAACAAAACCTGGATTTACTTATGCAAAGTTACCCATGAGGGCCCAACTAAATGTTAAACATTTTGAAGACACTTGGATCCATGATTTGAAAATACTAACATAACATGAAAGAAAACAAAACTTATTGGAAACATGCTGCACACCGCACCATTCGATTTCCTTCAGGAGATGAAAATGAACACAATACAAAAGATTTTCGCTTGTTCCCTGAAAGATTTGGTGTAGTTGCTGGGAGAAGTAAGTGTGGTCTGACCATCTATGACTGATGGCCACAGGGCTGATTTATCACTCACCCTCCCTCCGTACTGCAGCATGGGAGCTGGGAGCACTCGCCCCGTTACGTGAGCCATCTCATCTCGCACTTTGAACTGAAACTCCTGGACGAAAGGGTCAGCATCATAGTTTGCGCTTTTAACCTTAAAAATGGAAAAAAATAGGAAAAAGTATATATATTAGACATACACACACACACAACCGAGAAACCACACAACCTGGACACACCTACACACATTTGCAGCTGCATTATTTATACATTATTTGCAATCAATATCACAACATCCGAGAGAGGGTTTTACTATGAACGTGTGCAAAAGGAGATGTGCACCTGTGCGCCCTGTGCTAAAACGAATTTTGTTTCTCCCATAGAAAAATTGGCCAACTAAAACAAGAGTTAAGCCTTAGTTAAGCTCTAACTTAACTGGATTGTTAAACAGGTACCTGCATAACAGGATAAACTATCAGGTACTCACCAGCTTACTGATCTCCTCCTGTCGGTCAGGTGCTGATCTTGCTGTTGCTTTGATCATTGTTGATGTTTGATTGTCAGTTAGTTTCTTAATGCAGCGCTGCCCAGCTACGATGTTACACACCTTTTTTTAAAAAATAAAAAGTGTTTATACTTTAAAAATCACTATACCATTAAAGAACTATATATCAGAACAGTCATCAACTTGTTCAGTACAGCAAACCCTCTGGCCTCAGTCAGAAGGTTACGGGGTTAAAGCCCCATGTCGGGACTTTGAGTGTCAGCCTAAATTATATAAGTTCAAACGGGGAAGGACTGCATTGTTGGAGGTGTTGAAAAGAGAAGGGAGTGGAAAATTGCAGTTTCCATATGTAAATTAATGCAATTTAAAGTTCATTGTTTTGTTTCTTTTGGTTCCCTGAGCCTCATAACATTGCTTATTCAATCCATCTCATCTCTCACCTCAAGGGGCAGGTAAGTGTGCTTCTGTTCCTGTCCCACCTGGAGACAGGGCAGGTGTGGGTACTTGAGCTGAAGGTTGTATTTCTGTTTGAAATATTGAGCGACTGTGCACTCGACAGTCTGACCGCTTTCCAGCTGGAGGGGGAACCTGAGGGGAGACAAAAGGTTCATAAATAACAATGGTTTTAAATCGATGTGTACGTACTGCCTGCTGAATTCATGATGCATGTTAGAGATGAAGACGAAAATGATCATGTCCTGTACAACTAGCAGTCACAATGTAATCAATTATGCACATATTTAAGGTCCTACAGCATTACTCTGCCAATAACGTGCCTCAGCTCCATCCTCAAAACATCCCCGTAGTGCATCAGTGTAATATTTGTCCACTACTCAACACGACACAGTCATCCTGTGGTTTCTATGAGTGAGATAGCCAATCATGCCAACTGAAGAGCTGCTTTGTGTTACAAGTCTGTGTGAACTGGATTCAGACACCAAACCCCCATTGCACAAGGCATTTTGTAACCAGATTCCCACCCAATTCAAGCGCTTGGTTCAGAGATGAATGACCAGTTTCTTAAGTTAAACTCCATTATTCAGATAGGTCTGTGTGTGGTTGGGAGAGTCAGGGGAGCAGAGCAGGTGGGGGTTGTATCGCTGTCTGCTCGGCAGCCGACATGAATCCAGCGTCTGTAAGAAATGAATCATCACTTACGTCTGGTGGCTCGCTGCTCGTCTGGTTACATTACAGACGCGGTACTTCCTCCTCATAGGGCCACAGTGAGTCACTTCCACCTTCAGTCCTGTCAGGAGTTTGTCAGGAAAAGGGAAAAACAGCAACTATTACAAACCCATTCAACTGTAATGACACAAAGAGGGGCACCCGTCAACTAAATCCATAAGAAGGTGCACTTTTATTCCTACATTTCACCGTTTTGGGCTTCCTCACTTCATGGCTACTTTTGGAAGGGGAGGTGGGTGTGGTCGGGGAAGGAAGGGGTGTGAGACACCTCCGTATGGAGCATACAGGAGGAGGAAAAGGACCGAGGTTAGTCATAGTTTTACTCATCACAAGCTCACACTGCAGTGAACTGACCACGGCTATTTTTAATTGAGGACCACTAGATGGTGCTGCTGGTTTAGATATTTGACTTGAACCTGTCCGCTGTCCGATCATATCACAACCAATTCTAATATGTACACAATGAAAGCAAACTAGTCTATGACAGTGGAAAACGGTGGAAACCAGTGAGGCATTCGAGACATTTTAAATAACGTAAGCAAATGTCAATCAGAAGATATTCAAGCATAAGATAGTTTGAAAGAGGTTTAATCTTAAAGCTTTCACTAGTTACAGCACCTGATTTTCCTTGCTTTTGTTCAGCTTTCTTATCGATACGGAAATTTCAAAAGCACCCAAGTTCCCTTTTCTGAACGAATGGTCAATAAAATGTTTACAACTTACCTTTTATCTCTTTGGTGAATTTGACTCTGTGGGAATCAGTCAAAGGTCGTGGCTGTTCATCGATATTATGAATGTCCAGAACCTCACACATGAACTGAATCACAGGCTGTGCTTTGTAGAAAGCAGTGGCGGAGACTAGATAGAAGTCAAAAAGATTATAACCGAGAGAACAATAGAACAAGGTCAATGGGGTTCATGCAAAGAAGAAAAAGCATGAAAAACAGCATCTTTACTGTCGCAGGCTCATAAGGAATCACCTTCTAAACTTAATTATTTTCCCCCTTTAAAAAATGTGACACAATCAAAGTACCCAAAGAGGCCCTTTGCGTCAAGTCAGCACTGATTCAATTTTTCCCCAACAATGCACAATATTTTTGAGCCAATCTTGAACCACCCAGACAACTATATCAAGAGAGGGTGCTATCAATCCAGAATGTTCACATGATGACCTGGTTCAGCTGATAGCACGCTCACTTCTCAATCAGAAGATTGTGGGCTCCAGCCTCACACAGGCTGACAACACGGTATTCCCCCAACGTGGCACTGGAGTCTCAGCTAGACTTTAAGCTTAGCTAAACTTAGTTACTATCCCGAGTCTCTCTGCCTGTTAAGGTGGATGTAAAAGATCATATGACATTATTTGAAAGGAGAAGGGAGTTTCACCCACTGTCTGGCCAACAATATTCCAGATAAAATTGATCATTTGCTTCAAGGCTGTTTGTGGGACATTGGCTGCCCGTGTGAATCGGCTGCCGTGTTTGCCTACATATACAAATATAGTACTTATGCTACACACCTTACCAACAGAGGAGTCAGGTGCTGTGCTCAGGCCTCTACAACACCACACTCAGTCACAAGGCAAGTCCGCTTGCCTTTCGATTTTCCCTCTCACTCCCAAGAAGGAACTTGCCTCACCTTCCCTGTTGAAACTGGGAAAATACTGCGTGGGAAATCACAGATTCTCTCAGGTCTAATTCTATTTCCTGTCACCACACTGCTGGAGAGTATAAATTATTAAGGACTATGAAAGTCCCTACAGTTCCCGTCAATGGCTGTCTATGAGGAGCTGAAAGAGAGCATTGTTGGCCAGGTGAGTCTACACAAGACGAGCTTGGAATTTGAACGAGGGCCACCTGGTATGAACCCAGCTCTGACTTCTGCTGACACTACTTGCCTTCACAAATAAGCACATTTGATAGAATTGTAAGTTACTGACTGAAAAGATTATTGACGTTCCCAGAGAAAGTTGGCATTCCTGATTGATTTATCCAGACTGAACAAAACTAGCATTCTTACTAGAGGCACTGGAATCTAGTTCGACTCACTGGTGCGCTTTGCAATCTGGGACATCTGCAAAAACTTCTGCTTTCTTTCAAAGAAAAATAGCCAGAATATAGGCATTGCATAATGTTATGTGTACCTGACTCCCCCATGCCCTCCTAACTGGCCTTCCTAGCTCAACCCTCCACAAGATCCAGATTACACTTGCCAACCAGGTTTTGCAAACCCATGTTCCCATTTCTCAAGCTGTAATAAAAATATAATGGGATTTATTTTACGTACCAAGAACATTATAAAATATTTTTTAAAAATGTTATCTTCCTTACTACTTATGATAGTGAGGGAGAGGGACATGCGACAAAAAAAAGTGAAAAAAATTTGATAAGACAAATGGAAACATTTTTAGCGACAATGACGACTGAATTTGCAGAAGCAATAATATCGGGACCAAGAAACAGGCATCACTTGATACAATAATAAAAGCCGTTGTTTTGTGATGAGAGCACAGGAAACGCAGGGAATTATATTTAAATAACACTATTCTCATCATGTGAGGGCTAAACATTGCAACTGAGTCCAAAGTGGAAAGTTTCTCCACTTCACAATATGTGTATACATCAGTTTGATATTAATCCTATGCAATGGGGGGGGGGGGGAGAGAAACAGTTTGATGAAACATTTAATTGCTTCAAAATATTGAGTCAGAACAACAGTGAGTCATACTTCCAGTTAACTCCCACCTCTAGAGAAAATAGTCAGAATAGATATATACGAATAGGTTATTAAAACAGAAACTGTTCTTAATGCACATATAACAAAATCGCTTCCTTTCGTTTTTTCCTGCTCAGTTTTTTTTGCTCGACTGCAAGTTATCCCAATGCTCTGATGGACAGACAACATGAGGTTCATTTTGTAGAATGCTTTTGGGTGTAGAAACTACAGTCAACATCTGTTCTAGCAATCTAGATGATTTCTTAGCTAACCTTTTCTATGCCATTTTCACATTAGTATTAATTTGCATCAATCAAACATATTTCGAATAAGAATTCCAATGCCAAAGTTCTACACCAGCACAAAAATCTTTGGCAAACAAGTGGTTAAATGTACAAAACGAAAGGTTAAGTGCACTGAACCCAATCGGAAGAATCACCACCACATATTTGTCAAAACCACAGAAACATTCCACTGGAGTGAGTCACACACTTCCAACCTGACAGCCCCCAAAGAGAGACATCCACTCACCGCTCAAACTTACATCAGCTGATCAATGTTAAAACACACAAGGAAATAACTTGCAACCAGAGCGCCTATTTCTATGGCAATAAGAATACGGAAGAAAGCAGCTTGCTGCTAAAACACAGGTGTTAAATTCAGTGGCAGTTACACTGCAAACTAACCTCTAACTGGCATTTCTATATACAATCTTAGCGGAGGCCGACACCCACTTTCTCCTTCTCGGTTGATAAAACTTATGAATTTCGTGACCAAAACTTTTTTTTTTTTGCTCGTTGGTGTTATGTAGGTGAACAACATTTAATTTGCACACAAAAATGTCCCAGCAATGAATCATTTGACCTGAAGGATTGTTGGCCCGAACACCAGGAGAAATTCCGTTCTCTTAAAATAAATAATAATTTGGTCACTCAATCCAAGATTGTTTGTGGGACACTCCTCTGCTCAATTGGCTGCCGCATTTCGCCTATAAAATACAGTCAATTGACTTTACAGTATATTCTGTGAAGTGCTTTGAGACGTCCCGATGACGTTACATCACATGCAAGTATGATTATTATTATTATAACTCACCGTCAATGTTCAGCATCATCTTCCACATGGCAGGTCTGACAGACTGATGGAACCCAAACCAGACCTCCCTGCCTCCTCCCAATGGGTGATCATACCCTTCAGGGGCGGAGAAGAAAGAGCGGCCAACAGGGGTGTACCTGTGACAAAATATATATTAGTCTAAAAAAAACACTGCACAGAGGCAACAGAAAATATATGAAAGAAAACATACAAGTGAAAAAAAGTTTACAATACAAAAAAAAGTCAGATAATTCACTGTAAATGGACCTGGTAAAGATCCAAAGTGATACTCACTTCATGGAGGGGAGGTGTCGGAGGACAACATCGACAGCATGTACAGGGTTAGTGCTGAGTGGCTTGTCCAGGTCCAGCCCTGGGAGCAGCTCTGGCATACTGCGGCCCGTTAGCACCTCGTGCAGCAAGTGCCAGCTCACTCTCGACACAAACTTTATGGAAACCCTGAAAATTCGGTCTTTCCCCTCTCCCGGTAACGTGACCTCCAAATCCACCTTCACAAGCGAAAAGAAGTTAGAAGTGAGTGAGTGAGTGCATTGCCTATAGCCATTTTGTTGCCTTGGATTGGCAGTGGTGGTGGTGTGTGTGTGTGGGGGGGGGAATAATGTGAGAAGTCTAATGGTGAGACGCACAACTTCAATAAAAGACTGAATACCCTTACCCAAGCATAACGATTGATCAACATGGATGTATCAGAATATATAAATGCAACAAGGAGGCCATTCAAGGAGGCAACCAATTCAGAAATCTAATCTATCATCATTTTAAAATATATTTTGTATAACGGCATTGTTCAAAGTTAACCCAGTTCCCCATATCCCAATAACTAAGTACGATAAATGTAGCAAACCAATGGCTCTCAGTGTATTTGATGTTTAAACAGATATCAAACGTCTTCAAACTGAATCCCAAAGCAGTTCACAGCTCACTCCTTACCCCAGTGGTGCTAACAGGAATGGGATCTGCAGTGTAGAGGCTTCTTTTTCCATCGTAGACGGGCCTTCGTTCTCCAAATATTTGAACTTTGAAATGCTGAACCATAGAGTCCACCACTTCCCTGCGAGAACATGTGCACAAGCCATGCGGGGAGAGGGAAGAATACCATAACATAGAAAAGAATTAAAGCTCAACATAACTCAGTGTCAAAAATCACTGCATTTCATTTTCCCTTTTCAATTGCTCCACCATTTCCTCCCCTAATCTCTTCTCTATTGAATCAGTATTGCTGTGTTTTTCCCATCAGCAACTCACTAATACCTGGCTAAAGCAACCAGGACAAACACATGCACACACACTTCCAGCTGTGGGTTGGAAGATGGCAGACAAAAGCAATGGTCCCCACAGAACCATTGCAAAAGGAATTAAAGGATATGGCGATAAGGTAGGGTTAGGTTATTAGCTGAAGTTAGATTAGAAGATCAGCCATGATTGAATGGCGGGGCAGTCTCGAAGGGCCAAATGGCCTACTCCTGCTCCTACATGTTATGAACGATCCCATTCTAGCTCACAACGCTGTAGTCAGTTGCATCGTGCCTATTGCATCCCAGTTGAGATCAGCAAAGCTCAATCACCACCAGGGATCAAAACCTGGGCCTTGCAATCCATTTGGCAATTTGACATCTTTCCCCAACTGCCAGCGTTCCCACTTTCTTAATGACAAACTGTTAGAAACAAGCTATTTGCTGTTTTCAGTTGGTTGAAAGTTTCTCAAGTGGATCATTCAAGGTGCTTCCCCACAAACACTCGAGTCACTTATTAATTCTGCTCAGTGGTGCATGGACAATATGTTTCCAGGTTATGGGCCCTTGTTTTTTAACGTCTTATCCCAAGGACGGCACCTCTAACAATACAGTGCTACCTCAACACAGCCTAAAATGAATTCCAAGTTCCAACTTATTTCACATTAACAAGATCCCTGATCTGAAATAATTCTATTTATGTATCTATTTTTCAAGAGTGTGTCACACTGCAAAGTGACCTTGAATTTGCAAACACTTACAAAAGCTTTCTAATCACGTGGAAAAGGTTCATGCACCAAACATGTATATTATTTCATTTGCCCAAATCACTTCCCAGTCGCTTAAAACAAATCCCTTGTATTGTGCATCCCAATTAAAAGTGCAACATTCTTAAGAAGCAAATTCTCTCCAATGGGTAGTATGAGGCCAATTCGGCCATTTAACATTTCATTTGCGTGCACATTTATTATGAGTGACTTAATAAAAGCGGGATTCTGGCTGTAGAGGCTTAGCTGCACAATTAAAACTTAGTTGCACAATTGGAACCAGCAATGCAGCCAAACAAGTTGCGCACGCACACACACACACACCATCAAAAGAAAGCAAATTTAGACGTAAAAAATTAAGTTCAAGTGACTTTTTTTGAACTCATCAACTTTCACCCCCAAAATCCATCCAGTGACAAATGCTATTCAGACACCAACGGTACTGATAGCTTGGGTATCGACATTCTTTGAAAAGAATCAGAATGAAAGCATGCAGTGAGTGCCCAGCTTCAGACTGCACTGCTCAATGCTATGGGCATCTGCTGAATTGAAGAAAGTATTAAACTTGGGGGACACATGCAACACTGTACTCTGACGATCCTTATTTTCCACCTCGAGTTTTTAATCCCTTTCTCTATACGCACCTGTTTACCCTGCGAGGACATTTATCTGGTTTAATATCTACCTCATAGAGGTAGACGTCAATCTTTGGGATATCTACTTGGAAGCAGTTGGCCAGCAATTTAATCGTTTTGCCCATAGTGCCACATCCTGGACGCCTGGGCACTGTGAAGAGGGGCTGAGCCCCAACAGCTCCTGTAAAACAAGACAAAACAAAGTGGAATTAATAATAATAATCCTTGCATTTGACACAGCACCTTATCACAATGTCTCAAGGTGCTTCACAGAATATACTGTAAAGTGTAAAGTAAAGTGATCCGCCAATCGACTAACAACCGGGTTCCTACTTACTGCTAGGTAAACAAAGGTGTGTGGAATAAGGAAACTTGCCCAACATTAACTTACAATTATTTCAAATATACTTCTGCAGGACAGTGCTCAGTTGCTGAGCCAAGCAAATCCATAGTACTCCAAGCCACTGCTGATGACTGACCGAGCCAGCCCATTCTTGGGGAAGGCATCCTTTATCTCCTATCTCATCTAAGTTTCTATTATTCATACGATCGTGAATGAGGACACAGTTGACCACTCGAGGTGGAGTGAAGGAGTGGTGTCCAATTGAGCCCAATCAAGTCCTTGTCTGATTTACCCACATTTCCAGAAGAATGCTGGAGAGGGATCTCCATCAACAACTGTTTACCCGCAGCTTGTACAGAAGGATGAAACACTTTGAGCAATGCAAGGTCCAAGCCACGTTAGCAGATAACCCAGTGCCAGATGGTGCTTTTCACTGTTCCAAGGAAGCAACAGCCCTCTCCCACCTCTTGCTAACGCATGAAAACCGATGCAGAGACCATCAAGATTGCTTGAATTCTTTGACACCTCAAGCAGTAACATATTCCTCCAAATGTACAGTCACTCCACTTCACAATAAATCCTGTGAAACACTTTGAGACATCCTCCGGATGCAAAAGATACTATACCAAATGCAAGGATTATTATTACTACACTGTTTGAGGAAGAATACATCTGGACTATAAGTCTCTGGGACATAAGAAGCACAATATACAGGATACTGCTGTATCACTAAAAAACGTAAGCATAAAAGACATGCATTTGATATAGCGCCTTATCATGTCTTCAAGACGTCTCAAAACCCTTCACAGAATAGACTGTAAAAGTGAATTGACTATACTTTGTGGGTGAAATTTTGCACACAACAGTGTCGCACAAACTGTCATGGTTTAACTGACCAAATTATTATTTGTTTTAAGTAAGGATTATTACCCTTGGAAAAGCGATCCACCAAAATTAATATGAATCACGAAAGCTAAATGCTGTATTACACAAGACAATTAGCATGAAGAGTGACAAATTGACTAAGAATACTGACTGATGACATTTTTAATCTATAAAACTGAAGGGCTTAGGGTAATTAAAATGTTGCTGTTAGAACAATGTTTTACTATGAGGAGGCAACAATTCAGCCTGTTCTGACATTTCAGCTTCACGAGTCTGGGTATTTGCAGTACAGTATTTACGAGCAGAAATTAATGGGAAATTACCAACAACTTCATTTAGGAAAATTCATTAGCATCTGTTGTAATTCAGTCATCCTTCGTCCACTTAAAAATATTCATCTGTAGAAACTACACACACATCTCTACTTAACTGTGAACAAAAAAAAACCCTCCACTAATAAGCACTCCATTTCATAAATTCCCATTTGCCTGAAAACCCCAAATGCTGCTAATGTACAGTAACGTTAAACAGCATTTGAAGGAGAAAGATTGTTTAGAGTTTTAGGTGAGAATTGGGCAATCTTGATAAGGGATCCTACCCAACAAAGGGGAACCGATCTAATTGGTGCCATTTGTCCAGTTACATAGCTCCAAGCACTCAAATTATTTTTGTTAGCAACTATGGTGTATATTGCGTTGAGAGCTTAACAGCTTAAGATATTAAGGGCTTAATATTCAGAATTGACATGAACACTTGACCATTTTACCTACATTTGCGGAATTCGGTTTAACTAGAACAAACTAAAGCTACCGGCTTCGCAACCTGTATGTAGAATAAGATTCCATATTCTCTATAGGGGTTTCAAGCTCCCTCCAGACAAACTGCAAGTTATTATCAAATCTTGTTGAGAACAGCTAAACTAGTTCCTCGTATCCAATGTCCAGTATAATCTACAGTACAGTACAATCCATGTAACTTTGGACATAACTGTTACATCGCCTCAGACTGCGAGCCACTGCTCTCTCTGCAGCATTAACTTCCACGTGCCAAACGAGTCTTACCCCTCGTCGTGTGGAAGAACAGTAGAAAAAAAATTCACCCTCTCTGAGAAACACTTCAAACTACTATTATAGATAATATAAAAATATATCTGTATAAATATAGATTGGGGAGGACAAGTTTACAGGGCTATAGGGAGAGAGTGGGGGAGTGGGATTGATTTGGACAGCTCTTTTAAAAATGCCGGCGTAGACACGATAGGCCGAATGGCCTCCTTCTGTGCTGTATAATTCTATGATACATACATATAGTTCAGAAACAATCAAACCCTTTGAAATCCCCCAAAACTCATTCTTATAAGCAGCAGGGTTTTTTTTGGAGCTATTTTCTTTCAATCCCGGTTCAATGTTGGCTTTGATTTTACTTTGACAAAAGTATTAAAATGTATTATTATATCATGGTGGTGGGGGGGGGGGGAGAGATCTATTGAAATACCAACAGCTTTCAGTTGAGGAACTCTTAAGGGGTTGTCTGCTGTTAATTATAATTTTGGAAAGGTATACTGTGGGAAAAAACATTATTCTACATTTTTATTTGGCTTATTATTGGGCGAGGGTGGAAGACATCGTGACGACACAGGAAATGTCAAGGGTTAAACTTCTTATCTTTGGGCTTGAAATTTTTTTAACAATGGATTCTGTAAACGACTTCTAAATCTGATCCTTCTCCTCCTCCCATTGTTTTCCTTCTATTTTTAGACCTCGCAAAACACACGGCCATTCCTCTAAAGCCCTCAGGAGGCAGCTGACTCCCAGGCCTTTCCCAATGTTTCTCTGCTCCGAGCTGTTTCTCAGCTGCTGTGAGGGGCACAAGAGTAGTGCAGAGTGACTGGCTCACAACTTTTCCTCTCCCTGTCTGTGGCCATTTGGCATGCTGTTTCAGTCAGTTGAAATTGAGCAATGGCAACTCAGCTCGTAAATGTACTTCCCATCATAAAACTGAGCTATTCAGTCCTTGAAGTTCTCGGATTTGATCTCCAATCTTTGCTCAGTAAGCTAAACTCATCTGATCTGCACTGTCCTCCCTAGATTGGGAAAGGGAATATTATGACAGGTTCCTAATCACTATATAGTAATCCTCTAAGGGAAGGTATGCCTGTGTAATTCTGTCCAGTATAGAATCAGGTATATATCTCACTGACAGATTAGTGTCCAAGTTCACACATGGTAAAGGTATCAAACAGTCTGGATCAGTTGGCTTTACTCATGTCTCCAAATCAAAAGATTGTGAGATTAAGCCTCACAATCTCCAGTGAGGTGTTTCGGAGAACAGATGTTGAAAAGTGTCGCCTTTCAGATGAGACATAAAATCGAGGTCCCACCGACTTGCTCTGGTGGAAATTTTAAAAAAAACTCTTCAAAAAGAGACAGCGGTTTACTCCCAAGTGCCTTGGCAAACAATCTCCCAAATTGTGAGAAACTCCCTATTCGAAAAGTGCCATGCGATCTGTAACACGACCTGAAACTTCGATTTAACTTCCCCACTGAATGACGACACCTCTGATGATGCAATTCTCTCCCAACACCACACTGGAGTTTCAGCCTGGACTGTGAGCTCAAAATCCCGATGTGGGCTTGAACTTTCTGACTCAGAGGCGCTGAGCTGACACCATATTTAAAGTAACATGAATAATCATAATGTGTCAAGCTGGTCTTTCATTTGCATCAATGAATAGTCACTTCAGTTATGACATCATCATTGGCCACGGAATTATCATGTCACGATTCTTGATTCTGAAAGTTTTTTCTCCTCTAAATTGTCCGAGTCCAATTTTCATAGATTTGCAGAGAGGGGGTGGCTGAAAAAAATTATGTGAACAACAACAAAAAGATTGACTTATATAAAGCCTTTCACATCTGGAGGATGTTCCAAGGCGCTGGATAGTCGAGGGCTTGCACCCGTGCTGCAGGTTTCATTTGAGGAGAGGGTGGTAAGATGACCGAAAGAACGGTCAAAGAGGAAGGTCTTGAGACAGACCTTGAAAGAGGCGAGGGAAGGGGCAAGGAAAAGGGCTAATTCTACAAGATATTTGTAGAATTAGTCACATTTAGTTAGTCACTACTGTATGCAGTTTCTCTACATCAGATCCCCATTGCTCCAAACTTCCGATTACAAAAATGTATCAGACGAGAGTCAGTTAAAAGCTTGGGGATTGTCCTGGTACAGCTTAGCTATTAGCTCATCTAAACAGTAGGGAGCAACACGAGCAAACTTGATTCGAGATGCTTTCCTGCATTATGTACCCCACAGTCAGGTCCATCATGCGAATCTACCTTTTAACTAGGGCATTTTCCTTTTTGCTGACATCAAGTCTTCGGGAGCTTTCAATTTACAAATAACCATATTAACATTGGATAAACAAACCTCTCTCGAGATGTACTGCACTGACTCATTTTGCCTTTCCTTATTTGCTCGAAATATAGTGCTAAACATTTTGAAATGTACCATATCTGTAAAACAGAGAAAAAGAAAGCACTTTCTCTCCATCTCCTATCCCCCTGTGCTGAACATTCGGTGCTCCACACCTAAACCCAGGGCCTGGGTATCCATCAGCCTGCGTTCGCCCCGCACACAAAACTTCCCCCCCCCCCACCCCGTAGCTTTCCCGTTCCTTCCCTTCTGCTTGGAGAGTAGAAGGCGGTGAGCAAAAACGCCGACAACTTGCATTTACTTAGCGCCCTTTCGGGCCGGGTCGGCGTCTCGGAGGGCGCTGACGTTTGAACGCGAGAATTGCTGGACGATTAAAAAAAAAGAGAGAAAGACCAAGGTCCACCCAGGTGCCCTTCCCACGACCCTGGCAGTCGTGTGCGCCTGTCGTGTCGTGTCCCAAACTATACGCTGTGGTATCGCCAGATTATTATTGCCTGACAGCAATCTCTCCCAATGTGTTTGCACAGCAGCTGGGACTGAAAGCGGACCCTGTGTGTGTGTGTGTGTGTGTGTGTGAGAGTGGGAGTGACACTGTAATGCTGGCTTTGGGGAGTGAGGGGGGGGAGTGAGGGGGGGGGAGGGAGTGAACTCCCTGCTCCCTGTCACATCTCCTGATAGTTACTTTCAGCCTCTAGTTTCCCCTCTTCCCTCTCTCGGTCTTACCCCCCTCTCTCCCTCTGTGTGTGTGTGTGTGTGTGTGTTGGTGGCCATCAAATTGCCCACTCACCCACTCGCTCTCTCACTCACTCACTCACTCACTCTCCTCCCGGGAATATTAATTCACAGCAAAACCCCACCACCGGTTCGGTTGTAAAACAACAACAACAATGGTAATAATACATTGTCAAACAAGAGATTATAACACCCACTCTCCTCCTCCCCACCCCGGTCCCCCCCCACCCCATCCCGGGTCCCCCACCCCTTGTACCTGGGGTTCCGATTTCCATTCATGGAGCCCCTTCCACGCTCGCTTCTCGGCCTGGGTTTCTCAGCAGCCTCTGGCGCGGTGGCGGCGGCGGGGGGGGGGGGGAGACGGGGACACGGAGCAGAGGGAGCCGGAGCTCGGTGTGCCGTGAGGGAGGCCCCGACTCGGTGGTGTCGTCGTCGTCGTTTCCCCCTCTCTCCCGGGGCCTGTGTCGTGAGGCGAGACCCGACTCGGTCGGTGCCTGTATGTGTGTGTGTGTGTGACTGTCTCTCTCTCTCTCTCTCGGTGGCGGGGGCTGAGGAGGTACCGGCCGGGCCTTTGCTGCGAGGCCGAAGCTTTCGCCGTGTGTGTAAAAAAAAAGCGACGTCGTGGGTCGTCGTCGTCGTCGTCAGCGGCGTCCGAGGCTGAGGTGGTGGTTGGTCGGTCGGTCGGTCGGTGTTGGTGGTGGTGAGGGGGGGCCCGAGAGGGCGGTCGTGTGTGTGTGTGTGTGTGAGGGGGGGGGTGTGTGTGTGTGTTTGAAGGCGGCTCAGGGCGGTCGGGTTTGGCGCGCTTCTCCCTCTCTCCCTCTCTCCGCCCGTCCCGTCCTCACTTTTCTAGTACTTTCCACGCGCGCCGCCGTTTCGTTTCCACGTCAGTCTTTCCGCCGCTCTTTTCTTTTCTTTTCTTTTCTCCCCCTCTCCTTCTCTCTCTTTTTTTTTTCGCTGGGGGGGGGGGGTGCGAGGGGCCTTATTGTTTTTCTCTCCGCTTCTGGGCCGCGGCGGCGTCGCTCTCTCACTCCCTCCCTCCCTCCCTCCTCAACCGGATAAACCGTCACCCCTCCCCCTCCCCCCCCCACCACCCGCCCGCCGGAAATGACGCTGACGTCGACGGCGACGCTGACGCCGACGCTCCGGGGCGTGGCCTGGCGTGCCTCGTTCAGAATTATCCGTGACGTCGTCGGGGCGTGGGCGCGCGCGCGTCACGTCGCGTCGCGTCACGTCGGCGCGTTCTCCATTCATGATTCATGAGCCGAAAGATTCCCCCCAGAGGTGGGGGGGGGACACGTGGTCTCCCCTCACACACCCACTGGCAAACCAGAGGCTTTTATTGTCCCATAATAATAATAATAATAATAATAATAATCCTTGCGTTTGGTACAGCGCTTTTCACGTCGGGAGGACGTCCCAAAGCGCTTCACAGAACGCACTGCAAAGCGAAGTGACTGTATATTTGTGGGCGAACGCGGCGGCCGATGGCGCACAGCAATGTCCCACAAACAGTCGCGGATTGAAAATGACCAATTTATTATTGTTTTGGGTTTTGGAGGGATTATCATTAGGCTCTGTGTGGAGTAAGGAAACTTGCCCGAGGTTTGGCCCTCTGCCGGGAATTGAACTCAGGTCTCTCACTTGCAAAGCGAGTGCTCTAACCACTGAGCTTCAGGACTCCACGATGAGGATGATGATGATGATGGTCCTTCCACTTGATACAACCCTTGATCACGCCTTCGAGACGTCTTCAAAGCTCTTCACATAAGAATTAGGAGCGGCAACAGGAGGCCATTCAGCCCCTCCAGCCCGCCCCGCCATTCAATAAGATCGCGGCTGATCTATTCCAACTCCGCCCGCCCGATCCCCATGTCCCTTAATCCCTTTATTCGCAAGAAATCTACCAGTCTCAGTCTTGAATGTGTTCGAGGACTTGAGCGTCCACAGCCCTTTGGGGTAGAGAATTCCATAAATTCAGGGGGGTAGTGAGTGAAGATGTGAAGATGTACAAAAGGGGCTTACCCCTAATTTTAAGACTGTTACCCCCCCCCCCGGTTATAGTTTCTCCAACCAGGGGAAAAAGTCTCCCACTGTGTATTCTGTCGTGCCCCTTAATAATCTTATAGGTTTCTATAATACACTGTAAAGTGAATCGACTATATTTTGTGGGCAAAATATTTCATTACCTCGATTGGGAGGTAGTGGTACGTCCTGTCGCCCCAGACAATAGCGTCTTTTCTAGGATGAATTTCCCTCTCATTCCTGCGACTCTGTCACCATATCACGTTTGTATTGTTTGGGCCATGCTTTTCCATTTTGGTTGAATGAACGGATAACTTGATTTTGACCACTATCTTGTCCAGTTAACAGATCCACAGAAGGTCCTTCACACCGAATGCTTCAAATAAAAATCACTTCAAGCACTGATTCAAATCAATTTACCTTTTATTTCTTAAAAAACAATTGTGCAGCAAGGAAAGGAACATAGAAAATTATAAATAGTTAACTTCAGTATATTGGTTCAGTGTAAGAAAATAAACCACTCTGCCTTAGTAAATACTTCAGCATAACTCAGTGCCAAGACAATTGCCTCAGCTCACTAATTTATTTTTAAAATAGCCACTGACCTGGCCTTAGTCTCAGCTTTGTTTTTGCACAGAACAAACCAACCTAACCCAAGAGGACTGGAAAATCTTTCTTGGAAGTAATATAGGATGCAAGATCAACCCACTGAGGGGTGGGAATCTTTGTTGCGCTTCATCCAGTCCCTTTCAGAAGCTCCTAAACCGATATTTTCAATTGATATTTCTAAAACCTTCTTTCAGTAACTCCTTCTGAATCACGTCCCTGAATTACCTTCAGATGATATGCAGCCAAAGAGGGAAGAATGTCATGTCCGAACACCCAAATAGGCAGCGAGGCGATGAGATGTCTTTCTGATCACACCTGTATTGTTGATTCTTATTCATGCCAATTCCAGTTTCACTCTTAAACTCAGGCCAGAAAAATTAACCTTTTACATTATCTTTTCCCAATTTTAAAGTTAGCTTGCTCGTTGCCTCACACACTACTATCTACGGATCTCCACTCCTGATTGGTATTCAGAGATCACTGCTGGAAGGTGCGTAATGTACGTGTGCAAATTGAGCGATGACTGGTGAAGCTCGCTATGATGGCCCTGGATTGAGTAGCCTGCTGGCAGTCACTGTCAACACTCAGCTTTTGAATAGTGGTCAATTGGTTGAGGTACCAGATAGCTTCACTCTTCCTTATGTTGGTTTATGGCATCCACCAATCTATGAGGTCTCTTCTTCTGCCCACTGTTGGATTTGGCTTGTGGATTAGATTGAGTGATCAGTCTTTATAAATAGTGTGAAAACAACATGCAGAGTGAAGCTACTGAAATATCTTTTGACATGGGTTTGAGAGAACCCGAATTTGAATGAAAGAGTGCAAGCAAGTATTTATATACATATCTGAGTGAGCGCAGGAACGGGAGAATGTGAGCTAACGTTTGGGAATGTAAGTGCATGTGAGTTTGCAGGTCTTCCTCCAGTGGCTGCCCTCCTGAGTAGGAGAATTTTAATTTTTCTCCTGTTTTTCTCTGCATGATTTGATCTCTTCCTATATCCGGAACATGTGCATTTCATTTTGGAGGTAGAGTTTATTTCTGTGGCACTCTGCCCTATAGTCTGTGACAAACTGGCTGCTTTCAAGGGGAGTAGTTTGTCAGTTTTTAAAAAAGTTCTTCAGTGACGTACACACCCTAACCTGTGAAGTCCGCTTTCTGTCATCCATATTCACATGGTAGTCTGAAGCTGCAAACATTTCCTCTGGCCACTTATAGAGTTCTGTACATCATTGACATGGATTTGTAGTGTCGGTTACAGGTAGCTGAATACTGCTTTTAGCACACTGTATAACACACCGTCTTGCTGCAGCGCAAAGCAACACAAGCTACAAATATAAAATTGTGACCAATATGGAGACAGCATTTTAAAAGCAGGTGGTTTTGGCAGGAGCACACTAATTGCCCAAGTATACATACACCACTAATATTAATTAATAACACTTTTAGATATGCAAGGAATCAGATGGTGCATCAAATTAAGAACATTGTCCTTTCACTCCTGGGGCCTGGGTTCAAGTTTACTCCAGACAGTTGGGCATAAAAGTCTTTCGCTCCCTGGAAAAAATTCTGCCCAAAGTGAACAGTCTCTACCTAGTTCCAAGTAGGTACCAAATCATAAAACAAACCCTCCCAACTATTCCAACCTGGCAATTTCACTCAGTATGGCTGGTGCAAGAAATGAAAAGGTCACTGTTGCATGAGAGGGTTATAATAAGGTTGAGGTTAATGTAATCATCAGCGATCTCGAGGCAGCTTTTTCTCTGCATCTCACCTACTCTACGTCTGACCCTATGTGCTTAATCTGACACTCGATAGATATAAAAAGTGGAAAAATATTCAATTTGACACGTTCTCTCACTGTCATTGACACTGATATTCTTAAATGGTACATTACGTTTTCTTTAAAAAAAAGTGGATATGTTTAAAGAAACACGAGCTGGTTCTAAATTCAAATCAGTGGGTGATCCCGCAACACAAAAATAGAAAAATAACTATAACAAGCATAACACTAGTTCCTAGTGATTCGCGATTCATATGTTAAAAAAACCTTGGTAGTAAATGGGATTTAAAAAAATTAAAACCAAACGTTCTGTACTTCCACATCCAAAATAATTAGCAGCTTCAGAAGGGAATTACCATAGGACGTGGCTGGTGCACAATGCTTTTACTCAACAGCTAAAATTCAAACAGCGACTCTTTTTAAAAAAAAACACAGCTCAGGTTTATTCAGTAGCTGTTCACTAAAGACTATAATTTACCGTAGTGTTTCCTTGCTGCCGTGTTTGCTCCCAATCGCCAGAGGAGGACTGAGCAGGGGCAGGAGTGGCTCAATGACATCCCGAAAACAAAGTGCAGCCATCACAAGGTTGAGGTTGGTGATGTGACTTTTTAAAAAAATAATTTACAGGAGTTCGGTTTCCCCTCAAGTGGAGGGCTGGCTTTTGTAGGCCTATAATAACTTTCAAAGTCCGGACTTTGGAAAGCGACATTACGATACGATTCATTGTAGGCTGTGTTGTTCCACTTACTGCGCGTTTAAAAATGGCACTCAAACCCCAAATACAGTATAATGTGAAGCACAAACTGGGAATGAATAAAGCATCGCAGACAGAGTACACAAACGTGTCTATGGAAGGGAATGCTTTGGTGCCAACTTACACACGCACACATTAAGCGTAAACACACACACACACACACACACACACACAGTCACTCTTTTGGCAAGTCGAAGAGATTCAAACATGAGTCTAGGCACTAAATTAACAAGTTCAGTCATTCGGACCATGAGCTTTGTCAATCCCAGAACGATGTACACTGAACTCTGTGCTTTTAGACTACCTTTTACCATCTTAGGTGGCTTTAAAAACTAACAGCAGGAGTTTGGCAGTGGTGAACCTTTGCATTTTACAGTCAAAAAAGTTATCAATATATTGCATAAATACATGTAAAAAAATCAAATTGAACCGTGAAACCTGTTGTCTCTGTGTAGAGTTTGACACATATTCTCTAATGGTCTGGTCAGTCCCAACTCATTAGTAGTTCATCGGGAATCCTTGGAAAAACACGTAGTGATCCCCTTCCGACCTCTGTGACGTCTCTGTTCAGTGGAAGGTGCTTAAATGTTCTTGTACGGCTGCATTTGGTCCCGGAGGCTGGCAGGTTGAGGTGACGTTAAGCGAAATACATTGTGCGTAAGGTGTCCTGGTGAACCTGCACGGCCTTGGCCAGGGCTTGTGGATCCCGCCCATTGCTCTGCCCAGAGATATGACTGCCTTCTCCACTGCAAGCAAGAACATTTCACAATATGAGCAGTGCTACTTTGGCTTCACATCTGTTTGTGAGACATGGCTCTGCGCAAATTGGCTACCACTTACACCTAAAAAAAAACCCCACACGCGCGCATAAATACAATTGTTATCAACGGATGAATTGTCCTTACCTGTCATGCTCTTTGTCCACCAAGTGGTACCTTGCCCTGAATGCCACCAGTCTGGCATAATATGCTGGTGCTGGGATTGAGACTGAACGCGTGCATCGCACGTACGTGTGGCACAGCTGATAGGTCAGGATCTGTAGCTCGTCTGCAGTGAATCGATTGTCGTCCCACAAGACGTAGTAATGTGAAGGCCGACTTGTGCCCTGCATTGGCAAACCGTGAGAACACGAGAATATCACTGAAATCCGCCTCGGCGCTCACCGTATTACTTAACACAATGATTCTACAATAATCAATGAGTATAAAGGTACCGAACGAACCTGAATCCCAGCGTGGCTGCACAGGTAGAAATCAAACTCAAACGGGTGGGTGATGTTAGTGTCCACTGTGGTGCCGGCAGGGATGTTCCCACTTTTACCAATCTGCCAAACAAAGTTCAAAATTGTACCTTAAGACCCATCTCTTTGACTATTCTTTTGGCCACCTCTCCTGTCCTTTCCCCAGCTCCCCAATGACTCAGTTTTAAGGCTCTGTGGAACGGAGCACGCAAGCACACACAAAATTAAAAATAATAATTTGGTCACTCATATCCTCGACTGTTCGTGGGACATTGCTGTGTGCAATTGGCTGCCCGTTTCCCCCACAAAATATAGTCAACTCACTTTACAGTATATTCTGTGAAACGTTTTGAGTCATCTCAATGACGTGATAAGGCACTACATCAAATGCAAGGATTATTATTACGACCAAGTCTCAGTGCTTTCGGGCACTAATTTTGGTGAAGGGTATTTATCGTTGTGTATCATCCTTACCCGCTCGCTTTTATCTGCACAGAAAAGTCGTGTGTGATGCCGTTTTTGGACAACAATATATGTAATGCCAGGCTGGTAATCCTTCTCCAGTTTGATACATGCATCACGGATCGCCAGCAGTTCATAGTGTAAGATCTGAGAGAAAAGAAACACTAAACAATATCAGACCTACAGTGTCGCGTTTCGTCCACAAAATATAGTCACTACACTTTACAGTGCATCTTGTGAAGCGCTTTGAGACGTCTAGGCAGACGTACCTGCGGCAGCTGTCCCTCGGGCACCCCATCCCGATAGAAGATAATCCGCGTTGGTTTGAAGCGAGTCGACTTGTAAAACTGTATGAGGAGCTCTCGGACCATGTAGGACAGGTCTTCGATGATCTCCTGACGGGGCCGCTGCACACGGACTGTGGCACAGTAACGGCTGGGGTGGGCGTCCATGCTGCCTACCACCTGCAATGACAGGATATAAAGGAGCAAAACAGGACACTGGCCGATTCCCAAACCAAGCTCGGAGGTGGTCAAAATCCACAATTCACTGATTGGGGAGGGAGTCCGCAGCACTTGATATCAAATTTTTTTGTCCGTTTATAACTGCTGCTTTCAGAGGTTGTAGAATAATAATTTTTAAAAATCCTTGCATTGGATACAGCGCCTTATCACGTCATTGAGACCCCTCAAAGCACTTCACAGGACACGCTGTAAAGTGAATTGAGTGTATATTTTGTGGGTGAAACGCAGCAGCCAATTGCGCACAGCAAACAAGAATGAGGCTCTTCAGTTTGGCTGTGAATAAATGTGCTGCCCTGGGATAGCATTTAGCTGCTCAGACTATAAAGTTACAGGCGCAATTCCAGTGTCATGCCTCAACAACGCAATAAGGCTCTATACAGTTGCAAGGATGATTATTATTATTATATTCCAAGTCCCAACTCCTGACCCAGCATAAATCCCACAGTGAACAGTACCTTCAGCAGAGGGAACAACGTAGTTTGAGGTTGAAACAAAACCCAGGTCTGTCACGCTAATGCTCTTTAAAGATTGATTGATTCCAGGTTGACCGCTCACTGCATCCGTGCTCTTTAGATAAGCCCCGAATGCAACAGTATGATTCACTGCTCTATAGGTTTGCAGGTTCATGTCTCACAGCCTGTTTTGAATCCTATGTTTCAGTCTCTAGTGTGTGTGGAACACATCAACTATTAGTCCTTTTCTTGTCTTTCTGAGGGAATATCGCATCTGCCCGGTCACTCAACAGTGACTCATGCAAACAACTGATGTGTGGCTCTGCTGCATTAGCTCTTCAGAGATTGGTGGTTTAATGTTTTAAGTGCTCCAAGGTGCTAGCACATGTACAGGGTGCGATATAACTGCAAGTTGTTGTTTTGGATGTTAAGTCAATATATCTCATCCCACCATTGAACCCTTCAAATACCCCAATTTGCTACTTGGACAAGAAACTGGCTGCAAAATTCAGCACGAATTTCCCCACAAAATGAACTAAACAGGATTATTCTTCTACGTGTGTGACCTACGGTTTGTAAAGCTAAAACAAATCTACACTTTAAACCTTTTAAACGCTAAAACAAAGCTTAGGTCTTCAAGGTTTAAGCGATCCTGCTATGTTTGATGTTAAAGTAACATTTATGTCTCATTGCTTGCTCTGCTACTGTTATATTGCAAGATTGATTTTAGCTTGGCAGCTCAGGAACCCAATTGATAACATTAACAGTGTTAAGTTTGACAGGCAGTGCAGTATGAATACTGTAAGTTCTGTTTTACATTTCTTTTTGAAGTGCGAACACAGATACACTCTCTCCAGGGACTGTTACATTTCCCCTGTTGTGCAGTATTCATGTCTGTATTGGGGGGGGGGGGGGGGAGAAGAGAGAGAGAGAGAGAGAGAGGGGTGAGGAAGGGGAGGGTGGAAACAATATTTGAAGCAGCACGAAAGTTTTTCCTGTGTTCGATAAGAAAGTTTAAAAAAGGGTTTTGTTTGACACGAGTCACAGTTCTGCTGGTGGAAAGAGTGACGTCATGGATCGGTGAATGAGTCAGCTGGAGGTTACTAAGCAACCGGTTTGCTCCTGCGATCAGCGTTGTGACTCATAAAAGTCATTGGTTTGAAAGCAAAATGTGTGCGGCAGTGGGACAGCAGTACGTTAGTGTCTCAAACACAAGCTGTGGGGGCCCGTTGCTGTGTAAATCATGCAGCAGAAAACGTGCTGAACTCAAGCAGTGCCTCTGACAGCAATTGACACATCTCGAAGGCACGAAAAGGCGCTATATCAAATGCAAGATTATTATTATCATCATCATAATCTCAAAAACTCTCACCCACTGCAAACGTGCCGTCCTTCAGACACCCAGCATAGCACTTAACTTTATCTTTACGTTGAGTATAATAATAATAAAAGAACGAGCTGTGTTCCGTTGCGAGACTTGCAGCTAATTTTAACGACTGAATGCTGTTGACCCATCTTCAGCAAGCAAGAGAACTGAGCTGCTAGAACAGTGATCACCCATTTATCTTCTGCTATTGCCCTCACAACACTTCCATGGAAATGGGACCCTTAGGCAGCTAAAGTTCCCCCAAATCGACTCTACCGGAGTATTGACTCTTTCAGCATAGAACCAGCCAGTTGAGTTCAATCGTTTCCTCAGCCAATCTTTAAGCCTGCAGGCGGACTCATGGTTAACAGCCAGCAGAGGGAATTATGGCTGTTTTTAGCGCCAAACTGAAATGAGAAAAGGTTTTATTTTAACTAAAAGGCACAACTGGAACAATCATCTCCAGCAAGTAGAATGATTTTCTTGTTTCAAAAAAAATTCCCCCTGATTTCCCCCGCCCTCTCTTCCTCCTCCCAGGAAGCCAGTATCTCGCATTGAAGTCGTCACAGAAATCCTGAGGCAAATGGAATACCATTCAAAGCCTACAAGTTCTTAGTAAAATGCCTTTGTGTTTAGTGATACGCAAAAGTGCAACCCACACTCTCAGCCACGAGCTGAACAGAAAAGCAACAAAAAATGCCACGTGGGCACACAGCGGAAAATCCATATCTGAGGAGATCAGATGAAAGGATGAGATGAAAGTAATAAGTGAATCAATTAAATCCAACACAGTAAATTATTGTACCAGCATCCTCCTGCACAACTCCTGCACCAGAGAGACTTCCCAGAGGCAACTTGACAAAGCAGAGCTATATACAAACACCAATAAACTCATCTTTTGATACAGGTTTAATAACGTTGAAGACTTATTAATAAGTGCTAAGTCGTGGCCTTGCCAGACTATCTTGCGTTCTTGTGACGATAGTGCTCACACACCCACTGCTGGTGACAGCGAGAATAGCTTCATGCTGTACAGGCTACCAATTGTTACACAATGCACAGACTGAAAAGACACACACACACATCCATAAAATATTGGAATACGATTCATGTCATTTTATCTTATCACTGCTTCCCAGGAAGAAAATAACATCCCAGTGCAGCTTGAGAATGTCCTATAGATAAACACAGAAATGCTGGACCTGGATTACAACAACACATGACATTTGTACAGTGCCTTTCACGTCAGTAGGACACCAATGGATAAATAAGCACACGAGCAGTCAAAACTTTGTAGAATATGGGGAACGAGCTCCAAAGGGCGATTTTGTAAAACAGTTGGTGACGACACGGGAACACTGGAGTGAAAATGTGTTGATTCCTTTGTATGGGTTTATATGTTGGTGCTTCAAAAGAAGTTTCCAAGAAGTGTCTCCCGATAAGAAAGTTTAAGTCCAACAATTTTGCCTGGCTACCAACGATCTTGCTGATAAATTAGCCAATTGTACCTGCGAAGCCACAAGCTTACTTACCGCTGTTATCGAGGGCTTCTTGCCATCCCCAGCTGGTGGGTGGGTGACGTCAGCTCCGAGGAAGATCACTGGTTGCTGGAACACCGCTGAGCTGGAAGGTAGCAAGTGCACATCCATGTCAACATGTGGCTTTCACACAGTTAATGACATCAAGCACTAGCCCCAGCGCCAGATACTTTCTGACAATGAAATGGCAAATCAACTCTACTCCCCCCACCCCCAATAAATTCCAAATGTGAAAGGAGTACAGGTAACAATAAACATCAGCGACAGTAGCATTCAACAGATTCCCAGAACCAAGGATCAATAACTCCTGGTATACTTTGAAGAATAATATCCAGTATTTATATTCATTACTATGAAATATACCTCATCAGTTTTAGCCATGACACAAAGCTCCTGATGACCTACTCATGTCACATTTACGTGCAGTGCTGTGAGCACCAGCTGCAGTTTTACATGGATAAGACAGAAGCCATCCTCCTTGGTTCCGACCAACATCTCCTCACCTCTGGCCCCGAGCTCAACCTCAAAACTCACCGTACCAGTGCATAGCCTTGGTGTCTGGTTCAATTTGCAGCTGTCCTTCCTATCGTACATCTGTCCCTGATCAGGGCTGCTTTCCACCACCTCCACCACATTGCCCACCATCTCAAATTGGTCCCTCATTGACTTCCATCTATTTGAACTAAATTACTCTTTATCACTTGGCCCAAACCCCAGACAGTTTAGACAAAGCAGTGCAGCTTACCGTTGATGAGGCACCAGGATATTGTTGATTCCCCCCAGTTTGACGTTGATTTTCAGGCAGAGATTAGACAGTGTCTGAGGAGACGTTCTCACAACGTTCTTCACCTGAACACATTGTGTAGCCATTCCCAGCAGCGTGTCGCCCACCCTCTTCACCTCAGCTAATTGGTTTTGTTTGGGGGAGGAGCGGGCGGAAGAGGAGAGGGTTAGGAGAAAAATAAAGAAGCTATCAATTTCACTTAAAGCACTGATTAAGATTGATTTTTATCAGTAAGTATCATAACCTGGTTTAAAGAGGCAGCAGAAAGTTAAGAAAAGTAAATATAAAACACTAAAACTGTATTTTTTTGTAGAGCAGTGAATGGCAGTAACTTTGGGTAAACCAAGTTGGTTTAGAGCTAATGAACTCAAAAAGGTCCTGAATTAACGTTAGAGGGTGGTCAGAAACTCAGAATGTTTCAGCGATGGCAGAGATGTTAAATAATAAATCAATTATCATACGTAATAGAGTTGCTCACAAATCGCTTCTTAAAAGTAGTTGGCGTGGTTGGGCTGGGGGGGGGGGGTGGGGTGGAATTAAGCTTAAGCAGTTAATCACAAGGTGACTTGTGAGAAAAGCCAGGAAAAAGGTATTGGTTGCATCAATGGAAAGTTAATCGCATTTTCATTATTCTGCCACGAGGTGGTGCCGCAGTTCTTTGCGAAAAAACATATTGTTGAATTAAGACACGGGCGAGCCACGGGGATGTTTTAGAAAGCTCACCATAGACGGGTGTTTTCCCAGGCAGGATGACTATGACGAGCTGAAGCCCCGAGTAGGTGTTCTTCAGGTGCCTGAACATGGGCTCCACGCTGTCCGCTCCCTGGGCATATTTACAGAAACACGGCTGACCCTGGATTGGCATCCCAGCGTCTTTGGAGATCTTGCGGAGTTGGTCTGTGAAACTCCTGCACAATTAATCGCCAGAAAATATCCATGTCTTTTTGAACAGCATCATGTAATCTTCAATCAAATCACCCGCCACAGGAATAAGAATAAATTTAATTTTATACAGCGCCTTACATGTCAGGTCGGGAGGATGTCTCAAACGAGTTTCACATTGCTGGTTTAGGACCCTGGGATAGGTAGGATAGGACACTAATGTGGAGAGGGTGAAGTTCACAATGTCAACTAGCAAGAGGGGAGGCTGGGTGGTCAGGAGTTATGTGGAGACAGGGTCAAGTGGGTTAAGTCATACAGCATACACTGCTTGGCTCCACCACAACCTCTCCCCTTGAACCACTGAGACCCTCATCCATACATTTATCATGTCCAGGGAGGTTACATAACATATATTGGAATTGTATTATACTGGGTGTCCTATGAGGTTGTACTACGCAGGCCTGAAAGTCTGACACTAACTCTGTTCAGTAACTTTCTCCACTCATTTATCTTACTTCTGCTGGATGCTATAGAGCAGTGGTGGCCAATCTGTGGCCCTATAGTCCCCACCACCACCGATCGGCAGAATTTTGCATTCAAATAAGAAATATTGAATCAAGAAAACGTATTTAGTTGGCTGACCATAAAGGTGTAATAGGGCAAGCGAGGGAGGTACAGCACATCACTGTGTACTCACATCCGCGAGCGAGTGCCAATGAGAGGACCAACCAAACACAAAGAACCAATGAATTCCATACAAGCTGTAACTGGGAGCCTCTTACTTCAGAACCTCCTCACGGCACTGTTTCTGTGGAGCAAAGCAGGCGATGGCCCAGACTTTGATCTCAATCCCGTTGTAGAACTGCTTCCCTCGCATGTCCCACACTCCTTGATTTGGAGTGGCGATCGCTCGGTTCTGCGAGTGAAGGGAAAAGAAATTTGAGAGATTTCCCCGACATTGGTCAATGGCCAATGAGTTTCTCCCTGTCCAAACGAGTCTCTCACCATAGCAAAGTCAGGTCGGCCATTAACGGCACAGACCAGAATTGGTGAAACGTGTAACATCAAGCTGAGACGCCTGGGACTTAAAACACACCACCACTTGGTTAGGAGACAGTCCTGCACCACACTCAGTCCTCTTGCATTGCATTTGTACATACATCTTGCATTTACATCTGACCTATGCAAATCTTCCCCACTGGGCTCTTGTCTCCTCAGTGTCTCCGTCCGTTTGGAAGCCAAGTGAACAAGCCCCTGGCATTAACATAAACAGGAGATTGCCTTGCAGTGGCTGGAGATTGTCATGGAACTGGTTTTAAAGAAAGCTTCCTCTTAATCTGCTTCCAATATGTGCTTCACTCACTCAGCGAACTGATACATGACAATCGTATCCGTGAGCTCAGCTTCAGGGCAGCCTGAGATACCCTGAAGGACACTTTGCAAGCACAGGCATTTCCTTTGCTCAGAGGCAAAAATTACGTACACTAACCTCTGGAAGAAACCAAATGCCAATTCTATGGGAAGCAATTCTACCGCCAAAGCAATGAGGATATAAAATACTATTCTCATGCCTTGAAAGATAGATGGATAAGAACACCAGTCATTCTTTCCCACACAAATAGGACAGACAGTTGGAGGTGGATAAATCTAGTTTGGAAAGACCAGCAAAGGCATCAGCCAAACTGATGAGGTTACTTTGTTGACTGCAATGCACATAGTGTTGGGAGCTCTCTCTCTCTCACACACACACCGTTAACTACCACCACGATTCAGAGCTGATATAAATATCTGGTAGCTGTTACTCACCCGCCCACCATACTGTAAGATTGGTGCTGGCAGAACACGGCCTGTAACCTCAGTCATATCATCTTTCACCTTTATCCCAAACTCCTGGATGTAAGGATCAAGGTTGTAGCTGGCATTTTTCATCTGTGGGTAAATAAAATGCTGTTTGGTTAACAGTTAATGCCTCGCTCCATCTTATTCTTCTCTCTCATTGCCTTGCACTTTCCACTTTGTTCCTCATCTATATTTTTTGTTCCCAGATATGCTTATAACAACTAAAATCCTTTTGCAAGTGATATCCCTCACACAGATTTTGCTCTTCTTTAATTCTGAGAGTACTTTGCTTTCTCTTTCTTCTTCAATTGCTATGTCCTCTGCAATGCACAACCTCTACATTCCTGAGATAACTCAATGAGAAACTACACAAATCCTCTGCTCACGGGCACATCTGATCAACAACAACAAAATTACATTTGTATAGCGCCTTTCACTTCGTGAGGACCTCCCAAGGCGTTGGACAATCAGTAGTTTGATGGTAGTTTAATGCCAGATACATTGCAGTGATGCCACCATGGTAGAGATGATGCTTTGCCATATAATGAACAACAAAGAAATTCATCTACAACTATCTCCTACAACTATTAGTTATTAGTTATTAGCCTTCCTGAGCAGTGACCAGGGAATACAAAGACGAGATGTACAGGTTCTTTACTCAGCCGCACCCAACTACTCACCAGACGGCTGATTTCTTCCTGTCGGTCGGGGGCTGATCGTGCTGTTGCTTTGATCATGGTTGATGTCTGATTGTCTGTTAGCTTCTTGATGCAGCGCTGACCAGGGACAATGTTACACACCTGTGGCAGGAAAGACAGCTCATCAACGCTGGAAAACTCACTCTTTTAAAAGGCGCTGAACTTGGCGAATGTGTTGTTTCTCTTGGCCCATTGCAAGGAAACCAATAATGGCGCCAAATAATTCACTCAACAACCAACAGAAAATGCTTACTGCAACTCAGGAAATTCAGGATATGGGTGAGAGGCAGAAGGAGTGCCAGCACGACAAGTGGTGAATAGAAAGGCGTTGTATAAATGTACAGTGTATTGTATTAACCATCCTCAATTGCTCATTGTACTGTGCAGTAATCTAATGCACCACCACTCCAGTCCTAAAAGCCGTAACATGTCACATGCAAACTTGCATTTATATAGAACCCTTGACATAGGATAGCGTCTTGGACCTCTGCACAGTAGCTGGATTGGATGTTGTGCAAGTGAGAAAGGGGAGAAGTTGACCATAAGTGGGGTTATAGAGGTAGGTTTTAAGGCGCGATTTAAAGATAGATGAAGAAGGAGCAAGGATGAAGGAAGGTTTGTGATCGGGAGTTCCAGAAGGGTAGGTGGCTGACAGCACCACCAATGATGGTGATGTGGAGGGGTTGGGGGGACGTGCAATAGGCATGTGCCAGGTGAGCGAGGGGGCTGAGGGGTGGGGATGAACAGGTCAGGGAGGTGCATGTCGGAGTGCAGAATCTATTCTGATCTGGAAAAGGTCAGGTTCCATGCTCTCAGCTTAATTCATTCCATACTCATCTCTCACCTCGAGTGGCAGGTAAGTGTGCTTCTGTTCCTGTCCCACCTGGAGACAGGGCAGGTGTGGGTACTTGAGCTGAAGGTTGTATTTTTGTTTGAAATATTGGGCAACTGTGCACTCGACAGTCTGACCACTTTCCAGCTGGAGGGGGAACCTAGGACACACAACAATGCGATTAAGCAACTTAACTTTACACAGTCCACTTAATGCTCGCTGAAACACCATGTGTATTGATGTGTTTGTGTGTGTAATTGAGAGTTAGAGCAAGAGTCAGAGGGAGAGAGAATCAGAAAGTTGGGGGGGAGCGGGGGAGACTGTGCGCACATGGACTCACGTCTGGTGACTAGCTGGCCGTCGTGTAACATTGCACACTCGATATTTCCTCTTCATCTGTCCACAGTGAGTCACTTCCACCTTCAAACCTGTGGGTGCCAGAACATAAAACAACCTCAAAGGACGTCTACCAAGTGTAAGAATTACACTTGGTAATTATTATTACTATGAAGAGCGCTATATAAAGATATTGTTCAGTAGTTTGGGGTTATTTCGTGTTTTGAGGAGGGAATTCTTTCTAAAGTGCAAGAAGCCTTTCTAACTTGAAATCTCAAGATCTTAATCAGGTTGGATGAGAAGTGGGGAATGAATTTGTGGGGGAAAAGCGGCCCTAGTCTGAAAACATTAAGAGGGTACGTTAGTTAAGAGTGTGTGGAGGGAGGAGGGAGGAGGAGAGTGCGGCAGCTCTCCAGTGACCTGACAAGTCATTAAAAACTTTGCAGAAACCATTTACGCTCTTTTGTCACCAGGTAATAGTATCAGATACTGACTGCTAATAGGAAATCCATTAACAAAGAAAACTTCTTTGCAGAATATTCATGTTGTGTTATTTGCACTTCAAAAAAGATGCTGGTATTTCTGCTTTTACGGCATAAGAACGATTGTTGGTATGAGGGGAATGTTGCTCTTACAGAGAGACTAGAGATCTCCTGCACTGTATGCACTGCATGAAGACACTGGAGGAACAACTTCATTCAGAAGTTTGAACGTTAGGACCAGAGGGAAGCCATTCAGCCAAATGAGCCTATTCCATATTTTATTAGATCAATCGTTCTACCGTAAAGAGGACTCCGTCCATGCTGAATGCTGACACTCGCTGGCTTTACACTATCTTGTTTCAAAAGATCAACATTCAAGTGACACTGATCCCAGATGTATTCGAAAAGAGAAGTTTCTCCTGGTATCCTGGACGGTATCCTCCAAATAAAATTGGTCAGTCACTCCACGGCTGCTTGTGGGACATTTTGTGCCCAAACTGGCTGCCGTGTTTCATCCACCAAATATGCAGTTCAATCCCCTCAATAGTATACCCTATAAAGCGCTTTGAGATGTATCGATGATATAAGGCGCTATATCAAACGCAAGGATTATTATTATTATATAACACTCAAACTTTACCTCACAAGTTCTATATTGTGTGATATTTTTGCACCTAACATCTGGTAACGATTTCTTCCGTGGGCTGATTAAGAATGTTTCCTACGAAATATTCCGCTTTATCCAATCATCTCGTTGAAATTAATTTGTGGAATTTTCTACCTTTCTAGAATAAAAATTATTTTCCATGCTGGGCACACTAAATGTGGCCAAATGGAAAGAGCAAAGGGAGGAAAAAACAAGACATACCTTTGATCTCTTTTGTAAAGCGCACTCGTTGCGAGTCAGTAAGAGGTTTTGGCTGTTCATCAATGTTTCGTATATCTAAGACTTCACACATGAACTCTATCACTGGCTGAGCTTTGTAGAATGCTGTAGCAGATACTGAAATACAAAACAAACAGGACCTCCGCCAGTCAGTGGCTCAGTAATATTCTCACATTCATTAAGCACATAAGAATTTTCTGGCGAAAGAAAACCAAGTCCATCTAGTTCGCCTTCCACCATCCTGGCAGTTGCTAGACATGTCGTGTCCCAAACTATAAAATATATCCCGAGATATTCAGTTTTTCACACAAACGTGAAATGACAGAAGTGTTAACTGAAGTAGCTGTTCCCTCTCCCTAACAGTGGGGATATATTTTTGTGTTACTGCGACTGGACTTGTGGAGAGGGAAGAACAGCGCACACAGAGCCCCCTTAATTGGAAGCCACTAAGTTTGCAGTTCCTTGCAGGGATTTTCTTGTATGCATGCGCGAGATCCCAGCGTGCATCAAACTTGCTGCCTTGCAAGGATATTACCACCATTGCTGGCTGTGCTGTGCGCATTAAGCCAACCACAACTTGGAGATTAGCCATCAAAGTACCACCCAGAGGAGAAACATGGCAACAGGATTTCAGTTACAATTAATCCAGCAACAGGACTGTTCCTGAGCTCCTCACTTCATGGCAATAAATGTTACCCGTGGCCACAGCACATGCTAAACAAGGCAGCATCACTGTCTCTGAGAGGTAGAGTGCAGCACCTAAAGAGGTGGTTTCTCTGAAGATGACTCCAGATACAAAATCACCCCAGAGGCAAGTAACACAGAAAAAGTGCAGGGATAAGAGGCAGACCTAGCTGTGAACAATGACTTGAAAAGAACAGTGCCTGCAGGACTCCCTTTTAAAAAATCTTGTTCCAGTTGCTATAGGAACACAGCTGCAATACATATAGGAGAGTTCCTACAGCATCCGGACTGAGGCACCAGCGTAGCGCAAAACAGTTTCAGGAGCAGTTCTGCAATACAAAAGCAAACAAACTTTACCATCTTTAACGATTATTAGTATGTAGTATATGTCACACAGAACTTATTTACTATTCTTTAACTATGTACTTTGTTTTTAAAAATCTGATCTGGACACGAGCAACTTCAAGCCAATCCCTCCAAAGATCAATTAATGCATCAGTTCAACAGACAATACAATGGCATTACCATCGATGTTCAACATCATCTTCCACATGGCGGGGCGCACAGACTGATGGAAACCGAACCAGACTTCCCGGCCCCCGCCCAGCGGATGATAGTAACCCTCGGGTGGTGAGAAGAAGGATCGACCGACCGGTGTGTACCTGAAATACACAAACAGATTTAAATAGATTGATCCCTCCACAGGTTGCAATTGTCCTATCTACTCTGGGGAAAATACACCAAACCCAAGGAAGTCAAACAAACACTCCAGAATAAAAGCACAAGAACCTTATCATCTTTTACAATTGGTCCAGGTAACATTACCAGGGCGCGTTTCGCCCACAAAAACAAAAAATAACGTGGTCACTCAATCCACGATTGTTTGTGGGAAACTGCTGTGCGCAATTGGCCGCCACGTTTCGCCCACAATATAGTCAATTCACTTTACAGTATATATTGTGAAGCACTTTGAGACGTCTCGAAGACGTGATAAGGCGCTACATCAAATGCAAGGATCATTATTATTATTTTTGCAGGCCATGCAGTCTTACTGACGTTTGGTCTAATTACCTCATGGACGCCAGGTGCCTCATGGCCACATCTAGCGCTTGCACAGAGTCCAGCGGAACCTGAACTCGGCCACTGACCAGGGCTTCGTGCAGCATTCTCCAACTGACCACAGCCAGCCACTTGATGGAGACCTTAAATATCCGATCTTTACCTTCACCTGGGATGGTCACCTCAAAGTCAACCTTGTGTTAAAGAAAAAAAATACACCTGTGATACCTATCCAAGAAGTCTATCCCATCTACCAATCACAGAAGGCTTCACATTGGATTTTGTCTATTTCATCACTTGTAGCTCTTATAGACAGTTGCTGCTTATGAAGATCTAGAGCAGACCAGTTTGCCAGCAGCTTTTTTTATTTTTTTGATTGAATTCAACACACAGCGTGAACTCAACTGGAAATCTCCCATTCAAATATTGGTCCTGAAATGTTATGCAATTCATTGAGTCTTTAGTTATCATGACAATATTCCTCATGGAATGAACAGAAATGGAAATGTCAATATCATCTCCTCCCCAGAAGAGTTTGCACCAAATTTCTCATACCCGTTCCTGCCCAATCGGTAGCAGCGTTGCTGTGTAAATATTCTTTTTCCCATCGTACACCGGCTTCCGATCTCCAAAAATCTGAGGTTTGAAATGTTGAACCATGTATTCCACCACTTCCCTGTAAAAGAGACATGTTCAGAAGACAACTGGCCACATTTCGCCCACAAAATACACAGTGACTCTACTTTCGGTACATTCTCTGAAGCGCTTTGAGACATCTCGAAGATGTGATAAGGCGCTATATCAAATGCAAGATTATTATTAACTCACAGTCAAGGCTGCACCATTGCCCTCTGTTTGAGGCATATACGGGAAAGGCTCAAAGTTTTCTCCACCTTATCAGTAACTACTCTGTCCAGCAGCTGAACCAAAGATTCTATAGTTGGGAGTTGGAAGATACAAATGCCAGCTGACCTTTGGGACTGCTAGTTTATAATTACAACTAACACTAGCATTTATAATGGTGTGAGCAGTAGGGGATGAAACTTTCAGCAATATCTACAGTCGCCGCTAAAATTGGGAGCCATGAGCTCTAGTCTCGCTGGCAGTTATAATTATCAGAGATTGGTCTCCCTGTTTTTTGCTGATTAGTACCTGTTTACTCTGCGTGGACATTTGTCCGGCTTTATATCCACTTCATAATGATAAACGTCGATTTTCGGAATTTCAACTTCAAAGTAGTTGGCGAGCAGTTTGATAGGTTTGCCAATGGTCCCCACTCCAGGGCGCCGTGGTGCCTGAAACACCTGCTGCAGGGGGGGCACGTAAGGGGCAACTGCGGCTGAAAAGGAAACAGGTTTGTAATCCTTCTGCAGAACAGAACACAAAAGAGTGTGTGATACTGTAATAATACAGCGCACAGAAGATATTAATGCCTCCAAGTGCTCCACAGGAAATTGCTATCAAGTGTAGTGCCTCTCTCTGTACACCAACCTGGTCATCAATTTGCAAAGAGAAGAAACACAAACAACAATGAAGGGTTTACCAAGACACCATGAGAATCTCCCTTCTGTTCTCACTTTGTGCCATGGGATCTTTCATGTCCACCTGGACAGGCAGACTCAATGCTACACCGCCAATCAAACTCACTACTAATAATTACTGGACGCATATGGACATATTTTCCAGAACTGGAAAAATGACAGCCCACATGGGCTCAGAATCTTTTCAAGAGACGGGAGAAGAGAGTGAAGAAAGGGGAGGAATAAACTGGAGAATACAGATAACGAGATGCACGGCTTCATTTGATATCAGCCTGTCTCAGTTATCGTGCCTCGGAGTCAGAAGGTTGGGGGTTGAACCCACATCACAACTTTCAGCTGACAAATGTCCAGATTGACACGACAATGTGAGGCTGAGGGTGTAGGGTGTGCTGGCTACATTGTCAGAGATGCCATCCTTAGATGAGAAGCTGAAGCTTGGTCCTGTCTGCCTGTTCAAGTGGACATTACAGATTCCCTGGTATCAAAAAAAGTGAAGGGACTTTCTCCTAGTAACGTGGCCAAAATCCCCTAGATAAAATTGGTCCTTAGCTTCATAGCTTTTTATAGGCCATTGTTATGCACAAATTGGTTCCCTATAAAATGCACAATCACTATACATCACAGTAAGTCCTGTTATCGATCCTTGAGACTTCCACCTGATGTGAAAGGTGGTACATCAAACGCAAGGATTATTTTTACTTAGGGAGCAATTTTGGTGCAATCAGGACATAACATTTAATGACTCAAGAATAAATTCAACCATTCTCGTTCTGTATCCAATTTCAAACAAAATACTGCACTGACTTTAATCAAAATATTATCTCTATACTATTCATTACTCTTACTCTATACCAAACAATAAAACACATAGCTTGTTACCAACAAAAGACATGAGGCAGATTCATGCCCCCAAAAAACACAGCAGCATTTGTCTAGTAAATAAACCAGAAATGTAAGCGACCCAGAGCTTCACAGATTGATTCCCAGTAACACAATGAGCGAGTGAAGGGGTTTCCAGTGGAGATGTGGCTTTTGCGTACAGCTTGTGGAGTGCGGCGGGGCTGGCTTTCCTCGACAGCTCCTAGATACAGAGGTCACACATACTTCACCTCTCCATGGCAGAGGCAGATAAACTCACACTTTGTTATGGAAATTCGAACGGTGGGACGGGGGCCGCATGTCCCTGGGATACAATGCGCTCACTGAACGGTGCAGAAATTGCCCTTCATTAGAAATGCAGCAGCCTGGGACAGCAAGCAGTCGTTCACACGCTGGCCCGGCCTCTGCACATTACAGCTCTTGTGTTACCAGCAACTGCTGTCCCACCCCTCGGATGGCAATGTCTCTCTTCCACTTTCATACGGCATTCGTTTTCCGTTCCAAGCGTAAGCTGATACAGAAACCCAAATGCAATGCTGTGCCACAAATCGCGAGTTATGTTCACCCTTAAATACACTCAACAATAATTACTGTAAAATGCTTGGACAGGCTGACTTTAGAAAGGGATTTAGGCACTGTATCAAATGAAAAAATATTCATATCAATGGAGTTCAGTACATAGGGTCAGATTTCTGTGATCAAAATCAACAGTGCAACTATTCTGTGGGATATTCCTGATTGGCTCTGATTTTTTAAAAACTATACAGCATACAATAACAATGATCCTTGCATATGCAGCAAGCACCACCTCACTGGTTAGAGCTGCGGCTTGCGAGGTTGAGACAACACCTCACATTGGACTATTGTTGATGTGTCTAGCTTTTTGCTGACTAGTTCAGCTTCATCGAGGGACACATCGCTTATCTTCTCTCCCCACCCCCTGCCCCAGTCTGCTGCTCAGCCAGGGTTACCACTTCCAATCGTTACCCACTGCACTGACAAGACTCGGATACGATCCTCCCCACCCCATATACACAAACAACACATGATTAAATTGTCTGCCCATCCACAATCACTGTAATAGGCTAACACATAGAGCATGGGGCTCAATACTTTTCTGAACCTCTCCCAAATCAAAATCTCTGTGAAAGTTTGACAAAAGTTGCAGTTTGAACACAGAGGAGTTTTCAGCACCCCAGGAGCGCAGTGACACAACCGACACCAATAATTCCTACCCGCCAGTACTTAAAGCCCAAGAGTTCATGCTAAACAGTTTCAAAGAATCCCTTTAGCAGTGCAGTGCACCTCCATTGCACATTTTCTTCGTCACCCTCTCTATACAGTATAATATCCTTTGTCTCTTTGTGTTCTTCCCTTCGCGTTAGGCCATCAACCACCTCTCTCCCTTTCTCTTCACACCATCTGTCATCCCGAGTCTGGGTCTGTCTTTACACTCGACGACAGGCAGCATTTTCCATTCAAATAATTGTCCCTTTTAAGAAATACAGCACATACACGACATGATGCTCATGGTAGCATTAGAGTAAATCAAATACTGTGCTTGGGTCCTTCAATAACTCCCACTTTGTTACATTTTCTCTTGCAAAAAAAAATGTGATAAGGGACAGACTGAGCTCCCATCCCCCTCCCCCCAATCGACAGTATCCCCCCTGAAGGTATTTGCCTTTTCCCCTTCTGTCAGGGAATTGTATCCCGTGTGCTGCTCGTTCATGGCCAATATTCACATGTGAGCCTGGACACTGAATGTTGCTGCCTATTCAGCTAAAGGGTCACTGCAGCCACTTTAATCCAATATCCTTTCTGGCTCAGTTTGACCAATAGAAATGAAAGCTTCACAAGGGCACTGATCACTCACCCCCTCCCCTCTCTGCTAGCATTACCCTCCTTGCTTTGCTCAGACAGCGTCAGACGCCACCCAGTGTAAAGGGTCCTATATAAATACAAGTTGTTGTTGTCAGCCTGGGGCAGCTGGTGGCACTCTTGCCACCGAGACAGAAGGTTGTGGTTTCCCGTGTAAAGTCAAGACTTTGAGCTCATAGTCTAGCCTGATGCTCCTGTAGTGTTGGAGGAGCATTGGATTGTCCAAGATGCCGTCTTTGGATTAGACATTAAACCAAGGTTCTGCCTACTTGTTCAGGGTGACATTGAAGTTCCCATGGCACAATTCAAAAACAGAAGGATAGTTTCTCCAGGTATCCTGGCCAACAATTCCTCAAATAAAAGTGGATATTCACTTTGTGGGACATTGCTATGCACAAATTGGTTGCTGCATTCGAACACAAAAAAAACAGTTGTTCCACTATACACCCACAAATATACGGTCAATTCTCTTTACAACATATTCTGTGAAGCGCTTTGAGACATCTAGAAGACGTGAAAAGCGCTTTAGCAAATGCAAGGATTATTATATTATTATTATAGTGTACCCTGTGAAGTGCTTTGAGAAAACACTTTTCCCAATGTGAAAATCCTAGATCAAATGTAAGGATTATAGGATTATTATAATCCTAGAAAGTTTAGACTCAGCTTGGCAAGAGTCAAAGCTTGGGATCCCAGAGTGTGCATAGTGTAACATTGAAGTTTATTCCAGCCCTCAGTGACTCTTCTGCTCCTTCACGTCCTACTAATGTCTGGCTCAGGAACCATGACTGCCACAAAGGATTGACTTAATTCCGATATTCCAATGTCAGGCTCATCATCTTGGGAGTCAATTCAGCCTCAAAGAGATCCTGCTTACCTCCCCCCAAGGGAGATAAATCAAGCTTGCAATGATGTCTAGGCTCACACGCAAACAACAACAAATTACATTCATATAGTGCCTTTCACGTCAGGAGGATTAGGTGAGATACTAGTGGCCCCAGCACAACTCCCCTCTCAAGAAGACGGAAAAAAAGGACGGAGAATTAGAAAACACCCAAAGAAACAAGTAAGAAGCAAGATAGTCTGGTCCTGTAAAAATCCAACCAGTTGGGAGAGAAACACAAAGACCTTTGACTTTTTGTACCTCAATAATAGTACCTGGAGCAAAAAGCCTGGTTATTCACTAATGATGTTTGTCATGCGTCAGGTAGGATAGCTTGCACTTCAGGTGGTCTTATTCAGCTTCCAACGCTGCTGCTGATGTTGATGCTGCCAAGAGCCACAGTACCCCGTGGTATATGAACCATAAGACAATAAAACTGCTTTCATTATAGGATTAAAAGTTTGCAGTCTCTGTGAAGTTTTTCATTTCCATTTTGCTGCCGAGGGTTTTACAGTGAATGCTGTTTAAACATGACATTGTTCTTGGACAATGTACAAGAATGCACTAAACTCATGTAGAACTAAGTGGTGTATGGATGAACCTGGCAATGACTATAATTACTTAAGGAGCGTGGTCTCTTGCATGTGGACTTCAGCCTGGTGGGCTGCAGGGTAGACATTTCTTGATGGCATCACATTTGGTCTTAAACACAGAAGATACTGAAGATTTTCGGGGTCTGTTGGCAGTAATCTAAAAATGAGGACCAGCTTGATCTTTGTTCAGTTTCAAGAACATCAATTATCCAGGCAGGCATTTCAGAAGCTTTGTTTGTGGCTCTCAAGAGGGCAGTGCATCCAGATGAATGGGGAATGTAGCACATTGCCCAGGTTTGTGATAAGAATTGGAAAGACTTTTCGGCAAAAACCTCCGTAGTTCCCCTCTCCTAAAACTATGCAACCTGCTGCCAGAACTCCGTGAATGACATTTTAAAACTGTCTTTAAAGCAATACACTGTTTTTCTATAGAGCAGAAGTTGCCTCCACGCCCCAAACCAAAAAAAACACATTATATACATCACACCACTTCATGGCAGAGTACCTTCACCATCTTGGTTTAGAACTCTCTGTTTAGGTAATAACTGAATTCTGTCTGTAAAATTCTACAAAAAGATATACAACAATACTGGAACCAATTTAACATTTGGCTTTAAGTACCGGACAATAAATACAGTACATAGATACCGTCTTGGCAAGCTGTAATACCAAGTCAACAACAACTTGCATTTACACAGCCTACTTCACAGGAAGCCCCTCGGAGTGCTTGTGGCTTTGGTTGCTGATGCACTAAAGGTCGCTCAAGCATATCTGAAAGACACTTCCAGAAATCCTCTAAGGCTTGATGCATTTCTTTTTCGAGATACATTATGTGCAATTCCTCACACAGCATTGGTCTAAAATCGCAACAATTGGATCCTTATTTGGGTTATATCTTTGACACTAACATTTAGATTAAGAAGTTCAAAAGGGCCTTAAAAGAACTATCAAAGAAAAACAGACACAGATCAATCCCCAGAACTGCTATTCCATTGGATACATCTGTTGGTGAGATATTGTACATAACGTGCGCTCAGGATGCTATTACTGATATGTATTCAAACCAGCCTCCTTTCCTCCCTCTATGGACAAAATCCTCACGAACCTCACGGAAAACATTGTAACGTGGAGAGTATTTGTTCATCTTAGCCTCCACCTATCCTGATTTATGTCCAGTCCTGTTCTCAAGCAGATGATTTATCCAGTTCTTTTTTGCGGGAGTTAAATGAAGCAGCATCATCGCTCTTCTTGGGACTCTTACACATATCCACTACTCAGCGCCTGTACTATTTGCAAATACATACATAATCCTGAGATAAACAACTCGTAAAAGCAAGCACGTCTATGGGTTCACATATGCACTTGCATACGTGGTGAGTGATATTCTGCAAATCAAAGCTTTACACGCATCCCAATGCTTTAGTTTCATGGAAGCCACCACTGAAGTCAACCCAGAATATTCATTCATTCATTCATTCCTCTGCTTGACATAAATAAACAATAACTGAACACACCTTACACATAAAACATTCACTGCCTTGTACACTTGCACATTACAGGTTACACTGAACGGTACCAGGTAGTTCTCAACTTGACAACTTTCACCACAGAATGCTGATGGAAAGGATAAAAGTGTGCATCAACAACCTCTTCGTCGGATTCCCCCACCCCCAAAACCTCAGTGATTTGAGGTTTTGCCCACAACACACACAGTTATTAATCCTCTGTGCGGTATAATCCTGTGAAGGGTCTTTGAGACGTCTCGACGACGCGATAAGGCGCTGTATCAAACGCAAAGATTATCATCATCATCGAGATTGCTGCTGCACAGAGATGCTGTGGCAAACCCCCCCCCCCCCACACACACACACAAATAAAAGTTTAGTGAAATCAGAACAATTCAAAGCAATGTAATGCGATGCATTTGGGCGAAGGGGAGGGGGGGGGGGTGGGAGGAGGAGGGAGGGGAGTGTGGGGGGAGGAGGGGAAGGGAGTGTGGGGGGGGGAGGGCTGCAGTCACAAACTGAAAGCAGGTAAAGCCCGGAGGAGGCTGCGTGTCCCTCAAATCGACCCCCCCACCACGAAACTCAAATTAAAATACAAGGTGAAACGCCTCTCTTGTCGATGGCAACTCACACAAGTCTGTGGCTCGGGGTGTGGAGGAGAGGGGGAGAGGGAGGGGGGGAGAGGGAGGAGGGGGGGAGAGGGAGAGGGAGGGGGGGAGAGGGAGGGGGGAGAGGGAGGGGGGGGGAGAGGGAGAGGGAGGAGGGGGAGAGGGAGGAGGGTGGGGAGGGGGGGGAGAGGGAGGGGGGGAGAGGGTGGGGGGGGTCGACCTCATTGCGCATGCCCACCCTCTCCCAGCCCCCCCCCTCCTCCTCCTCAGTCGAAAGCCCCTCAGCATTTTACCCCCAAACCCATCCCAATCCCCCCCAAAAAAAAAAAACGAGCCAAATAAGGACCTCTTCCCTTCCCCTCCCCTCACCCCCCACCCCCGGGGGGTGACCTACCTGCTCCCGCTGGTCCGGCTTCCATCCCATAGACCCCCGTGCGGATGCGGATTCGAGCCCCGGGTTTTGGAAGAGAAGGGACGGGAAGGCCGGGGGCCCGGGCCCGGGACGGAACGGGGTGGAAGCTCAGGTCCTCCTCCTCCTCCTCCTCCCCGCCGAGCGGAGCGGAGCCGCCGCCGCCGCACAACACATTCGGTCTCGGATTCCCCTCAGCCGTCCGCCCGCTCGCGCTCTCGCTCTCTCTCACACACACACACACACTGGCACTGAGCATGCGCCGCAACCGTCGGCCAACGGCTCGCTCCACCGCCGCCGCCGCCGCGCAGGCGCACTGGCTGCCCCCCCGGCGGCGCACGCGCCCCCTCCGGCCGTTGGTCCCGCTCGGTACCGAGCATGCGCGAGTTAATCACACACACACACACACACACACGCCCATCAAAAAAAAAGGGCGGAGTCTGTGTGGCGGAAGGAGGGGGCGGGGCTGCGCATGTTCAGCCGCAGGGGGGAGCCGCAGGAAAGATGCTCAAGAGCGACACGTGCTGGCCAAGGCGAGGGCATGCACCCAGAAACACCACCACCCACCCACACACACACAATAATAATCATAATAATAATCCCAATAATAATCATAACAAACCTTGCATTTGATACCGCGCTTCATCAGTGTGGAGTCCTGTAGCTCAGTGGTTAGAGCACTCGCTTTGCAAGTGAGAGACCTGAGTTCAATTCCAGGCAGAGGGCGAAACCTTAGGCAAGTTTCCTTACTCCACACAGAGCCTAATAATATTCCCTCCAAAACCACAAACAATAATAAATTGGTCATTTTCAATCTACGACTGTTTGTGGGACATTGCTGTGCGCCATTGGCTGCCGCGTTCGCCCACAAATATACAGTCACTTCACTTTACAGCCTATTCTGTGAAGCGCTTTGGGACGTCTAGAAGACGTGAAAAGCGCTCTGTCAAATGCAAGGATTATTATTATTATTATCACGTCTTCGAGGCGTCTCAAAAAGCGTTTCACAGGACTTACTGGAACGCGTAGCGACTGCGCATTTCGTGGGGGAAAGGCGGCAGCCGATTGCGCACAGCGGCGGCCCCCCCACCAAGAAAAACGGTCGTAGGTTGAAGTGACCAAATTATTATTATTATTATTGCTATTGAAGGGATTATTACCACCGGAAAAGCAACCGGCCGATCGACAAGACAACTGTGTTCCTACTTGCTTTCCTGCTAGGTCAACAAGGGGCGTGTGGAGTAAGGAAACTTGCCCGATGTTTTCGCCCGGCCTGGGAATAGAGTCCAGGTCTCCCGTTTGCGGAGTGCGTTAAAAAAAATATTACAAAACTCAAGTGACAGTAAATGGAAGGGAATTAACATTGAGAAGTTCTGAAGGGTGCACAGAATGTTTTTATTTTTCCGAATTCGTAGCTCAATGGTCGGTTTCCATTTCTTCAGGAAACTAACGTTCCCACGTGGCTTCCGGTTCCAATACGTAAAAATTCTCGTTAACAGTTTTGGCAATTTCTGGATGGGCAAGTTACCCCTCCGGAGTACTTCAAAGTGAAACCTTACTGGGAATCAGTAAGTGAAGTAGGGGTTGAAAAGAAATGAAAGGCTTCCAAAGTTATGGCATAAAATACCATTTTATTTTGTCACGTGAACACAAAAATGTCCCTGCAGGCTAAAATTACATAGCAATACAGCTCTGCAATTCAACCAGCCAACATCATTATAGCAATGTAGGGCAGGTTATCACACACGTTGCCCAAGCCTACAGCTCAAAGAGAGTACCTCGTATTGCTAGACACATCCACAGTCAAAATAAAATAACCAAAACAGTACAGTTTTTCTAAACACCATTTTGGGAACCCAAAAATGACAATTTTTTTTTTTTTTTTTCAAAATTTCACCGAAAGAATGCATACATCATACCAACAACTTTTCCAATGATCCGAACACAAATAATTGCTTGCAGAACTATGCAGCATGTAACACTTTCATTGCAGTTTTATACAGAAAAGGGCTGGGATTCCTTATGCCCATGATTATCAGGCGAATTTACAGTTCTGCAACTTATAAATGCCATCATCTGCTCACCTTAGTTTCTCTCTCTCGCTCTCTCTCTCCCCCCCAACTGATTACCCGGAAATCACGATGCAGTAATGGACAAAGAAAGTTAACGCGATTAAAAATTAGTTCTGAGCAAACTGAATTCTGTACTGTGTGGACGCATTCCACGGGCACCCAAACATCACTTGCTGACCGCTGAGAAGATCAGACACCTAGTATTGCAAGAAGTATAGCTGGCCAGAAAATGGAAGCTGGCTCAAAGAGAGAAAATGTGGGCAAGCTAGTTCATTTGCAAGCACCCTGAGTGACTCTGCCTCTGGATATTTCAGAACACTTGTTAAATATTACTATTAATTTCTTGCTTTTCTGCACACTGCCTTTTCTCCGGACGCCTCCCTCTCCCAAACAGGGCTCCTCATAAATTTCTCATAAATCGACACTAGATTTGATGATGCGATAATAAAAATAGAAAAAAAAGACAAAAAGCGTTAACACAGATTTAAATTAAATCCACAACAACTCAACAATTTTATATTTAAAAAAAAAATGAAATTCTGAACAATTTCTCAACAAAATGGAGACAGGTTCCTTAAATGGCTCAGTGGGTAAATATACTACCCAGTGTGGAACTGACCCTTTACAGACTACAAAAAGCAATAGCTTCAATCCCTGGTGTGTTCTGACTTGGCAGTGGGGATAATGCAATTGGCCTCAGTACCCCCAGGCAAGGAAGGAAGATAAAGTCAAGAGTTTTCATGACTAATCACTGTCTAACGATCTCACGTTGGAGAGTATATATATTATACATACACAATTAAATTGACCAAGTGTAGAATCAAGTTGTTTGGTGCAAATGCAGTCAAAAAAAAAAGCCTGTCGATACTCACTCTCTAGGCTCAGAGATGAAGAATGGCAACTTTGGGAATCTCGAGGACAATTGCTGCCCATCGATTCGTTCCCCATCTGTAATCAATACTTTTCACAATGGAGAAAATGGGACAGAGGAAATCAAATTGAATTTTTAAGTAACCCCCAAAAAGGCTCATGACATAGTACAATTATACTAGTTATGACCCTCATCCACCTAATTTTTTATTTGACAGATTGCAAATTTGTGCGTTAAGTCTATAACCCGAACTCTGCTCTCAATAGTTAGTTATGGGTTCAAAGAAACCTGCCATCAATGGTGAAAGACTTGCACAAAACAACAACAAAATTACATTTGTACGCGCCTTTTACGTCGGGAGGATGTCCCAAGGCGCTGAAAACAGACCTGGATCAGAAGACTGAAGAATGGTCAAAGCTTAAAAACCATATCCTATCGATCAATGCTAAAGTGAAGGATTTTCTTCCTTACAATTCTGTACAAAATGTTCACGTAAGCAAACGCATTAAGTAAAAATTGTTGATGGCATCTGAAATTTCATGATAATAGAGTTTCAATCCATTTAAAAAGAATTTTTAAAAAATTAACTCATCTGATCTTATCATTTCTTTCACTGTATATAATATTAAGCTCTGTAACACCATCCCCTACACAGGCACTTGTATGTCCGAGCCAGAATGATGCTATACCATGTTTCGGCCATTTTTCTTTCCCACTTTCAGTCAGGTATTCAGTATTTCATTGTGTTTTGGCAGTAAATTGTAGTCATTAGAAACAAAGTGATAGACACTTTATCCCTCCTCTTGTTTCGGCTCATAGGATTAACACAAATTAACACCAAAAAACTCTTCTTTTTTCTGAAATAAAACGTTAATTAATTATAAACCCTCTTAAACAGTGCAATACAGTGTCTGATAACATTAGATTTATTGGTTCTGGGCATAATCAGATCCTGCGACAATTTACTTTTTGGTATGGAATTTCCCCCATACACCACATTTCAAAAGATCGAATGCATCAGATTGGTTAGAAAAACCCGTGTGCAACTGCAGGTGGGATATTTAGAATATTCATTACTTTAACCCCAATAAAATTTGCGTATAAACTGTCATCCATCGCACCTGTAAAAAAACTCAGTGAGAAAAGTACATTTCAAAGTAACTCTCAAGTATCCTCAATTGCTGCAATTAATAATGTGGTTTCAACCAATGACAGCTGATTACAAATTTTGTCCAGTATGCATCAATGAAAATTCAAATAGTCATGCAGATGAACTGATAGAAAGTGGATAATTTTAATGCCTCAAAGTCCCTGATATGTTATATTACCTCTTTATATTTGTAGAAAACGGATATCGGATTTGTGTAGAGAAACTGGATGAAATAATATCACACCAAATTCGATTACCTTTAGAATACAGATTAATCAGAGAAACCATAAAAATACAGCATGTGCAGAACATACACAGTCACAACACTTTACAGAAACCTCTGTGAAGCGCTTTGAGACGTTTCAACGCAATAAGGCGCTGGATTCAAATGCAAGGATCATTAGCACACCCTCTCTTTTCGAGACATTTTACATCATGAAAATATGCAGAGGGTCTGCTGTAAGATGGACTGAATGCATTTCCCCCTTTTTTAAAAAAAAATCAGTCATCCATAGAAATTCTGTTATTTCGATGGCTTCTTCCGTCAAGGATGTTCAGCCGCATTAACGTTTCAAAATCTCTGCTGGGAAACGATGCAGCAAGTGGATGCAGCTCCAGAGCATTATTAAAGCTGGTTAGATTCACTGGCTGCAACATGGAGATTACTCACAAGCATGGAATTATCAGTTCTGCTGGTAAAGTTCACTGTACACAGGTGGCTGAGTGTGCTTGGAGATGGAAAACCTCAATTCTTCTAGTGAAATTTGCTGCTTTCATACAGAATACAATCAGGTAGATTAAAGTTGGGAGAACTTAAAGTAGAGCATCAGTTATCACCATACCATTTACCCACACGAGCCCCTGTAACTGCGTGCACGTGAGCGGCTTTGCACAACTGGGCAAAGTCAGAAAGAGAGGCAGAGAGGGAGAGAGAATGGAGGACTGGCACCATGTAGCAGAGATAGTAAAACCCCTGATGGAACAAGCCTTCAGATAGCGTGGACGCCAAATTTATATTTGAGTGATGTCCAATTATCTACATTTTTTGCTCATCAGCAAAGGGATCGGTCCCAGTCAGTGTGGATAATCGTCTCTCCACTGTAATAACATTTTATTGTGTTTAGATTATTATGTTTGATTTGAAGAATAGGCAAGTTAAAAATGGAACATTGTCTCGTACAAAAATGTGCTGTATTAAAATGTTAAAAAGAATAATGTTGTTATACTGACCCCTCAAAAGTATTGCTCTATTCACTGACCCCCTAGTATTCCTTGGTTTCTAATATATAGCGATAACTTCATGACCAAGTCTGAATTGTAAAGCTGATCAATAAAATAGAAAGCTAGATGCTATAAGGGTTTTGTTTAATACAAAAAATCCTAATGAGAAAAGTCCAATTGAATGGCCTGTGATGATATCTAGCTTTCTTTTTTTATATAGACAAAAATAAAAATACCCCTGCCAGTTTACAAGTGTCCAGCCAAGTGTGAAAAGCATTGCCAGAGCACGTGTGGTGATGAAACACAAGACAGTTTCACATAAAAGTTAAATACAACAAATCGTTTTAAATTGCTGCCAAAAAGTACAACAGTTTTAGGGTTGGGGAGGGTGGCTGAAAGATACAAGGAGGAAGATACCAATATGCAATATGCAATATTCAGATATCTTGAAAGCATCTTAATGTACAGCAGCAATAAAGGTATGTAGATATTTACCTAGTCAGCTAGTTTCAAGACAAGATGTAGCCTGGGCGAGTATAAACGATGTGAGAGGAGTTGAACATATGCTTGAATGGAAGAATACTATTTAAAGTCAAATTTCGACAATAGTTCTAAGGTTGCAATTGGATAGGGTGGCAAGGGAGGAAGCAATTAAAATAAACTAGGTTGTGACAGTTGTGGTTTCCAAATTTGTCTTTAGTGATCAACTGAAGTTAGCAGCTCGGTCTAAAAAGGCGTTGGTTGGTCTTGTGGTTTCTTAGATATTGCGCTTCAAAATGATAGCTCCTGTACCCCGGTTTGTGGAAATAAACTCGCTTGACTGGAAGATGGCACAAAGTGTATATGTTTTGAAATAAAGGAGGGAGCAGGACAGTGCTAATTCATTCTAAATCCAGAACCCTGAAGCACATTCTGCAGACACTGTCTGCTCCCCTCACCCCTGCACCAGATTGTTCAGATTATATTAAGATATTAGAACCAGGCTGTGTTTCATCGTCCACCACTTTGGCCAATAAATGCCCGTCCTTCCTATACAAGGTGTCTGCTCTGCTTTACATTGGAGGGGTTTGAACACATATTGCACAATGATGCTTTAGACACAAAAAAAGGAACATACAAGAATGCACAAATTTAAATAAAATCGAACTATCATGCTATACTCGTTATGAACTGAGATTTCTCTTCAATTTGTACTGCAAATGTGAATCCATATTTCCTGCTGCTTTCCCAGTACAGCAACTCAACTGGTAGGTTTCTGGGTCAACACACAAAGTGATCATGATAGTCCAGCAGGCAAAGTCTCAACATAACAAATACAGTCAAGTATTTTTTTAAACCCAAGCACGCGAATAGTTTCTGCAACACATCACTTTCCAATCACCATCAAGTAGACACTTGAAGTGTCACTGTATTGTCATGGCAGCAGAAAATGGGTACTTGGAACACAAGCTTCTAACATGAATTAGGAACAAAAAAATGTTCCCAAAATTTTTCTTAAAAAAACATTGACTATAAAAGTTACCTCAACAAGAACATTTTTCTTTCAAAATATTGAAGTACAGTACAATCCACGTATAGTATATGCAGTTCTATTAAGCAATTTTGTTTATTTAAACAAGTCCCGTTTACTCCTGACTTACTGGTAAAGCGACTCCTGTTATATGCATGTGTAATTTATGAGGAACTTTGTCCAAACGTAGTGCGTATGACAGGATTCTACTGCACTTAACTTGGATTAAGGTTTCAGGTAAAATCATTTAGACAAAGACTTTAGTGCAAAATCTCCATTTAAAAAAAAAATTAAAATCATTCCCTGGGAATTTATCCATGGCAGCTGTTTGCCATACTATCAATCAGGATTGTCCTGGCAAAAACAGGGTGTCGAAACGTTATCTGGCCACTTGAACTATTAATCTACAAATGTAACGAGCTCAGATCTTTTAGCTGCCAATGTCTCCAAAATAGCTGACCACAGGAAATACATTACAGTTGTGGCAGCAGAAGTGGGTGAAGGAACTGACTGGAACGGACAGTCCAGCTGGCCATATAAAAATCAAAACAGAACGGTTTAAGATTACTGAACTGCTTTAAGACAGCGACAGATCCGAGACCCCAGTCGTCAGGCCAAAACAACCTGCAGTCGGGGGTGTGTGTCTTGCATCACAGGACATCTATAAGTGTTTACAGCAAAGAATCATTTCATGGAAGTTTTGGAATTAATAGTTATTTCCCAAAAATGTCAAACAGTGAAACATATTTACAGTCAACCTCGTTTTAACAATTTTTACCACAAACCTCAACCTTTTTAAGCTGCATCCAAGTCAGGAGCGGAGCTCAAGCTCCCTGCGATAGGAACTACTTTGCAGTTATTCACACGTGTGTAACAATGAGGTTTGCTGTACTTGTACAGTTTGGAAACACTTTTCTCTTTGTAGCTGTGTATTTCGAAGGGTTCCCTTTGAAAGTTTTGTACAATTAACACACTGGAAGCTACCGATGAAGAAGTATCCTACTGTTCATTTCCCACACACATACACACGACAATCTGTTTGCAAAAAGATTAAAAATAGATGGGAGTTTTACAACAGTGCTACCTCGTAGAAACAAGAGAGGAAAAAAAACAATATCAAAACTTGCTACTGAGTGCAGTAACAATTAAAATTCATTCATGCAACTTTTCCCTAGGATGTTCGGCCTTGGCGCCTTGAGGTAAAAAATATAAAATCAGTACAGTGAAAAATCACCACTACAGTCCTTATATAGTGCTTTTGATAAACTTTGAAGAACAATGGCTCATTTCTCTGTGCATTCAAACCCCCAATGAGTCAATGAGTCATTCAGTGCGTTGGATCTCATTCGCTGGTAAAAGTGCGGTCTGAAACCCGCTTGGCCCTTATGAGTTTTTAAAAACATTTTAGCACTAGATGCAAGGACGTTTCAGAGCGGCACAATGTGCTGAAAATCGCCGGAAACTCCAGCAGCTCTTACGCAAAATACATTGTGTGCTGGGTGTCGTGGTGAACCTGTACAGCCTTGGCGAGTGCCAGGGGGTCCCGTCCATTGCTCTGTCCAGATACGTGGCTTCCCTCAGCGCTGCGAAGATTAAAATTAGAAAAGTTACATCGTTGTCTTGTGCCGAAAATAAAAAAATACATCATGAACTTTCGATTCCCAATCCTGCCGACAGTTAGCACAAAATCCTCTTCCCACATACAATCACCATTTCTGTTCACAGAGAAGCTGTTTGCTTCTGTGAGTGCAAGTCTCCTCTCAGCTGAAGCTATAAATTCCATGGACCGAAACCGAATTCTAACGTGATACACCCCTTTCCCTCCCATGAAATGGATAGCCAGAATGTTGGTGTTTCTACAATATACAAAACCGTTCACCAACTCTGTCAAGCAAAGTTAACCAATAATATTTCAGTCCACAAAATATACAGCCGATTCACTTTACTGTATTCTGAGAAGCGCTTTGAGACGTCTAGAAGGCATGATAAGGTGCTATATTAAATACAAGGATTATTATTATTATTAATAATCAATCACAGAATTTCAAACAGAAACAGTCAATTGAACAGACAGAACTCTTCTTTACCTATCATGATCCTTGTCCACAAGGTGATACCTGGCTCTGAAAGCAACCAGTCTTGCATAATAGGCCGGCGCTGGGATGGAGACGGAGCGTGTGCAGCGCACATAGGTGTGACATAACTGATAGGTCAACAGCTGAAGTTCATCGGCTGAGAAGCAGTTGTCATCCCATAAGACGTGGTAGTGTGAAGGACGGCTGGTACCCTGGAGTCAACAAACATAGAAGAGAAGGTTTGTGGCTTTGGCAGCAACAGTGTTTGAAAATGGAACACAAATGGCCATCAGCAATACTTGAACTTTTAAAAAAATGTCGCGACCGAAGACTCGCTCAAGTGTGAGCTGGAAACTTGCTGAAAGGTTTTGAGAGAAAAGTTCTGCTGCTCACTTATGTCCCTGTCACCTCAAGTGAAACAAACAAAATAGGGAAATATGGCACCAGTTAAAAAAAACATAAAAATAATCTGAAAACTGCCAGATTAACGGTTACAGTTGGCTAAAATAAAAACCGACACACACAGAGGACTAGTGATGGTTAAAATGTTATATTAATATTACTAATAATAAAATGCTATACCTGAATTCCTGCGTGACTACACAGATAGAAGTCAAATTCGGAGGGATGAGTGATGGTGCTGTCAACAGTGGTGCCTGCAGGAACATTCCCACTTTTACCCACCTGTGGAATTAGATGATAGATTTATTATAGTGTAATAATAACAAATGCAGATGCACCTGCAAAAGTCTAACTCAAAGTCTTTCTATAGAAGTTCAGAAATATTAGAAAATATAACACAAACAATCCCGAGGACTCAAATGACATCAATGAGCAAGCATAATATAGTAATAGTAGTGTATCAGGGTACGTACCCTCTCACTTCTGTCAGCGCAGAAGAGTCGTGTGTGATGTCGCTTCTGAACGACGAGGTATGTTATGCCTGGTCTGTAATCCTCCTCCAGGCTGATACAAGCTTTCCGGATGGCAATAAGCTCAGGCCAAGCAACCTGTGTGTAGGTGTGAACAAACAAAATCCAGAAATGGTTAGGGCAAAAGCTAAGGCTTTAACAAGGCACCATTTCTATTTATGAAAAGGGCTCAAATGAGGCGAGAGGAAAAATTCCTCAATTTTGACTCTTGGAACTAAAGCAGCATGCAGTGGAGAGCACAGAAACACATCAGAGGAGTTGCTCAACATTGAAAGAGCAGGTGCAGGAATAATGCAACGTTCTAAACATTGGGAAACATCTGGAGCTGGTAAGAGAGTATTGAAAGCATCGGTACACACACCTGTTTCATCTGTCCCTCAGACACGCCTCCCCTGTAATAGATGATGCGGGTTGGCTTGAAGCGGGTCGATTTATAAAACTGGATGAGGAGTTCGCGCACCATGTTGGACAGGTCCTGGATAACCTCCTGACTGAATAGAAGCTCCTGAGAAGTTTCCTGTCTTGACGTCTGCACACGTACTGTGGCACAATATCGGCTGGGATGTCCGTCCATACTGCCAACCACCTACACAAGAAAATTAACATCTTATAGTTGCTAAATATTTAAACAATTTTCATCACCTAATCCATCCTTTAAGGAGTTAACCCCATTATAACATGATGATTTGAGTCTATTAACTCAGAGACACTCATATTATAACAAACCATAAATGGATGGCCAACTTCTTGCCTTGGTGTTTCCCTTGTTGTGGTGCTAACATTTCTTCGCAAGGAGATGTCAGCACCACCTCTTGCAGATAGCTCATTTATTGTTAGTTGGTTAGTAGTCGATCGGAGGATCATAAATAATAATAATTTGGTCACTCAATCCACAACTATTTGTGGGACACAGCTGCAATTGGCAGCTGCGTTCGGCCCACAAAATACAGCCACTACACTCTACAGTATATCCTGTGAAGCGCTCTAAGACGTCTCGAAGATGTGATAAGGCGCTGTATCAAATGCAAGGATTATTATTATCTTGATTTCACAGTTTAATACTCACAGCAGCAATGGAGGGCTTCTTGCCATCCCCGGCTGGTGGGTGTGTGACGTCTGCTCCCAGGAATATCACGGGTTGCTGGAACACTGACGGACTGCAGAGGACAATAACAATGGGTAAGGCTGACACTCAGACACCGAACTAGTGAATAATATCACTTTAATCTCTTGTGGAAAAGAGACAAGATTTAAGTGAATCCCCAAGCAAATGCAATGTTTTATATTCTCACAACTAACTTATTGGATCCAAACCGATATAGACTGCAGTGCTGGAACCCAAAGCGAGAGATCTGAATCACTATTTGTTCAGTATTATGAATGACACTGGGTTGCAAACATTTATATTGTACTTAAAATGAACATAGAAGATCAATCACAATGTTTGGTGTAACATTTCAGCACCTGAACTGTTAAGCAATGGGACAGAGTGTTTGGCAGATAGTGGGTAATTGGAGTTGAGGTACAGATCAGCCATGATCTTAAAGAATAGTGGAATAGGAGGAGGTGAATGGCCTACTCCTGTTCCTATGAAACTCACCGCTGATGAGGTACGAGGACGTTATTGATGCCACCAAGTTTTGCATTGATCTTCAAACAAAGGTTTGATAATGTCTGTGGAGATGTTTTGACGACATTCTTCACCTGAACACACTGTGTAGCCATCCCCAGGAGGGTGTCACCCACACGCTTCACCTCAGCTGGAAACAGAAATGCAATTTAAGCTTAGATATTAAGCGATATTCTGCAGTGAGTCATTTATTAAGCATGTTTCATTTGGTATACATTTCTATACAACAGCAAGTTGTAACTCAGCTGATTATGTATGTAAGATTTGTTTCCTCAAGAACACTGACTGCCCGCTTACTTTATACAAGTGTCTTTATGAGAGGATACAGAGCAAGAGTTGGCAAAGCATCACTTTAATCAGCCTCCAGGAAGCGTGAATATAGGAGTGACTCTCCAATTCCTAATGATATCATCAAAATTAAAAATATTCAGCTTCAAAACAATGTGGCTGCGCGTGACATCCTAAAACATAAGCTAAGGTATTAACTAACAGAGGAATGATTTATGCAAAGTTTTATTCCATCCCTGCCTCGACCAGGGCCCACAGTAGTTCAATTTGTGGGAATTAAAGTTATAAACCAAACATCATCTTACATACCGTATACAGGCGTTTTTCCTGGGAGGATAACGACAATCAATTGCAGACCTACATAGGTCAGCTTCAAGTGCTTAAACATAGGCTCTACACTGTCCGCTCCCTGTGCATATTTACAGAAACATGGCTGCCCCTGAATTGGCATCCCAGCATCTTTAGAGATCTTCCGCAGCTGGTCAGTGAAACTCCTGGAAAAGGGAGAGACATAGAAAAGCCAATCAGGTGGGTGAAGGTAGTCATGAACTTGTACTTACAGCTTAAGGAATACACATAGCCATTTTATACCCAATGCTATCACAATGTCAAACTGAGTGCCAACATAAAACTATCAATAATGGTTCCACTCCTCTCCCCATCCCTGGGACACAACAAGGCAAGAATTGCCAAGGGATCTCATGAGGTCACAAATCGTAAATTTTCCAAGAAATAGTTTCGCTGCAGAAATCAATTAGGAAAAGCATCAGGACGCTTACTTTAGAACTTCCTCCCGACACTGTTTCTGTGGTGCAAAGCAGGCGACTGCCCAAACTTTGATTTCAATGCCAGCATAAAACTGCTTGCCCCTCATGTCCCACACACCCTGATTGGGGGTAGCCACAGTCTTGTTCTAAAAAAAATTAAGAAAAACACACCAGAGGTTGAGAAGTTAAAAAGAACATATTACAGACAATTAACAAATACATAGTTTACAAAGATCGACCACTTTTGGTTTGGCAAACGTTTCTTTGCACGGTTCCCACTCTAAACTGCAAAAAAGTACTACTGGAAATCCACACCAGAAGCTGCAAGAATCAAGTGTCCAGGACCTGGATTTTCCTGTTTGGAATTGAGGGTCCAATCATGGTATCCGTTAAAGCCATTTCAGCAAAGTTTCAATGAGTTAAGACTGGACAGACTGCCTCCCTTACGGTTTTGAGATTGCTACAACAGAGGGTCAAACAAATTCAAAACCTGCGCAAAATTCAAGTCCAGTTTCAGGCAACAAGGTAACAAGGTTCATGCCCCAGGGATTTAGATGGAACAGAGCTTTGAGCAGATTTCTAACAGTTAGCCAGTAGAAAGCAGGAACTGTGCAAACAAAGAAAAACAGAAAATTAGCTAAATTTAAATACAATGATACTGCATTTAAACGCTGGTTCCGCCTTAAAATAAAAACTACCACTAACGGTTCTGAATAATCAGCTGATACTGAAAATAAATTAGAAGACAAAAATTATAATATCTTTGCAAACAAAAACAATTTGCAGTAAGACATCGTTAATCACTTTGAAGTGGAGTAGTCCTCATTCTTCAATTAAATTATCCTCCACATACTATGTGATAAAGTGCCAAAATCCAACAATTAAAGTTAACTCACAGGGACTGCCATCCCATTAAGAGATTTTGAGAGGAACCTAAACGGCTTCCCATGTAGTGCAAGTGCAAACCCCACCATGACCATCTTCAGGTCTTTTGAACAGAGGTGGCAAAGCAATGCAACATTTGGCAATGAAATCTCAGGCCCAATTCCGTTAAGGAGGAGCAATTATTCTTCAAAGCTTTCTGGTGAACTGTTGACAAAGAAAGTCGGCAACAATGTTCGCCGTGATTAACAAAGGAAGCTAGACTGGTCAACAAGTGTGAACAGATTTCTAATTTCAACCAGAAAGAACACAGCACTGATAGCAGATAAAGACTGAGGAATCCGAACAGGTACAGAGGGTAGAAAATATATGAAATAGAATTTCATTTCAAGATGAAGGATAATTCCACACAAAGGGAGAAATCTTTCTTCACTATTCTCCACACATCAAGGTTACCCTCTGAACTACCATTTCGCTCGGAGGAAGGGAAATGCAGAGCAGGGCAAGGTCGAAATGCAAACTGAAAGGTGAGGTCTGAGCTACGAAGTTACCTCAGGCGACTGCCTTGATAATAATAATAATCCTTGCATTTGATATAGCGCTTTTCATGTCTTCTAGACGTCTCAAAGCGCTTCACAGAATATAAGGTGAATTGACTGTATATTTGTGGGCGAAGCACAACAGTCAATTGCGCACAGCAGAGTCCCATAAACAGTCGTGGATTGAAGTGACCAATTTTATTATTGTTTTTTTTTCTTGAGGAATTATCATCAGGCGTGTGGAGTAAGGAAAATTGTCCAAGGTTTCACCTTGCCAGGAATCGAACCCAAGTCTCCCGCTTGTGAGGTGAGTGCTCTAACCACTGAACTACAGGCCTTGCAGACATCATACAAAACCATCCTGTTGTGGAGTCCTGTAGCTCAGTGGTTAGAGCACTCGCTTTGCAAGCGAGAGACCTGGGTTCAATTCCAGGCAGAGGGCGAAACCTTGGGCAAGTTTCCTTACTCCACACAGAGCCTAATAATAATCCCTCCAAAAATAAAAGCAATAATAAATTGGTCATTTTCAATCCACGACTGTTTGTGGGACACTGCTGTGCGCAATTGGCTGCCACGGTTCACCCACAAATATACACGAGTGCCTACTATAACCCATGCCTCCTTTCAGTCCCATATTTAGCATTACGGAAACTTTACCTCCTGATTTCTGCCAACAAGAAGTAATCTCAATGTTAACGAAACAGCAGGGCTAAGATGTAACAACTAATCCCATCTGAAAATAAACTAAATAATCACACCTTAACTTTGAAAAGTAGATTGATTGTGAAAATTTCACTGGGGATTGATGAGTAGACTTCTGAAGAAATTCCTTTGATATAAATGTAAGCAAACAATACAGTACTCTGATGCAAGTGGACTCTATGTTCCTTCTTATTCAGCAGGGAGATTTAATACAGTGTGGATCTTACAACTGAAAAAGATGTTACAAGGCTATCATGTAGACATACTGTGAAGGTGACCTTCAATGGCAACCTAATGAGTGAAGTCGTCAATCATAAGCTTGTATTTTAAAAGCAAGACTTTCTGGGTGTAATGAGTTTGACGATCTAACCAGGAGGAAATCAAACTTGAACAGAGATGACAGATTCAGCAATGAAATCCAGGCACTGGTCACGAGTATTACGGTGCATCGAGAACAATCCTTGCCCTTTCTCGAAGTCTATGATCTGTGGGAAATGGAAGCCTGCAGCATTTCCCATGGCAGGGAACTGGAACCTCCACTATTCTTGCTTTAGGCAGAAATCCATATGGTGGTGCTGAAATTTCGAACGATCAGATGCAAATTGTAGACAATCCATGCATGAAGAACATCTTGTGCTGAAGAAATCTACCCACAGATTTCCAAGAGTCTGCTGGGTTAGAAGTCATGTCACAACCTTGTCAAAATACTATGAGGCAACAATACCACAAGGCAAACTTCTAGATTGCCAGATCAGTTAAATTCAGCTGCCCACAATACACTGCTATAAATAGGCACAATTGGGAGAACCAGGCACAGTTTTGATCACAAGGACGGTAACTTTATATAAAACACTGCCCAGGTATTGCACTGAGTTTGGTAACATGGCAAAGATCACCAGGATTTCTTGGATGAGCTATGAGAATCGTCAAGATAAATTAGGACTGTTCAGATTTGAAAAACAATATCACAAATGTTCTATTGGGGTAGAATTGCCATGGCAGGACAAGAGGTTCAGGTCATTGAAGGGAAATTTTAAGATACACATAAGGCAAACCATTTGCCAATTACTTTCCAACGATACTTTCAAGTTACTTGCATATCCAGGTGCAAGTTATATGCTGAGTAAATCGTATTAATCTATGATGAACTACATACAAAGGCCAAAAAGATGCCACCCTATAAAAGAAACCCATTTTGATGGGGTGCAGAATGTAAGCTTGGTGCAGACAGTGAAGATGGCCACAGGGAGAGGGGACTTTATACAGTGTGGGAAAACTGGTATTGGTATAAAAGTAGTTGGAATTTTCCTACCCGAAAGCCTTTCTAACCTGTTGTATTTGGAGGATAACAGAAGAATGAGGATTGTATGGAAGCTAAAGAAACTTACGTTGAATAAAAACATGGAGCATCTTACATATACAGGAAAGTGATAAGCAAATCTAGAGGTCCGGCTAAGTGCAGAATATGCATCATTTTTGCTTAAAAGTTCAAAAATGCTGCAAAATTTTGAACCCGACTATTTGAAAATGCAAAATATTTACAGGTTATGTGCGTAGCTACAACAGGAGCACACAACTGTTTCTACTGTCAGCTTGTTCACAACACACCAAAACATAGGTTAAGTTCAGCATGAACACAGGCATGAACAGTGTGCCATTTCTATATTGGAAACCTGTTTTTGTTCCACTTATGGAGGTAAAAATCATCTGGCTTACTGTTAGTTCTCAACGTTGTCAGCAAATAGAATCACACCTTTATGCCAGATGTGGAAATAGTGTTTGAAATTTAAATTGTTTCAACTCTGATGCAATCCAATCATTGATCTTTTATGGGTTTTGTTGGTTACAGAACAGCCTGTGAATCAGGTTTTAAGCCAATGGAAATCAGTTTTTGTTTTAAAAAAATAATAATTTGGCCACCTTTCAAAATAGCTGGTGGAAGCTAGAATAAACGAAGAAAATATTGAAATTAGAAAGGACAGAGAAAAGAGAATAAACAAAGTTAACATGTTACTCTCATTTTGGGGGGTGTTTTAGTGGAGTAGGAGATGACAGTAATAAAGCTGGCTGCTGTTTTGAGTAACCTACTAAATCAGAACTAATAATTTTCAACATCATAGTGTGATGGTATCAAAAGGCACTGTTTGCTTAACAACCGCTGAACTTCCTACGTCAAGTGGTGTACAATTAAGTAGGCTTGCTAACCTCACATTGTATTTAAACCGTTTTACTTCCACAAGTAGATTTTTTAAACATTATCAAGATTGTCTTAGTGGGACCTCTGTGAATTGGTATTTGTGTACCACTTAAGTTAAAATAATTCATCTCATTATTTTGAGGTATAAAACATAAATCAAGAGTCTCCCACAATTTGGACCAAATTTCATTCTATATTCAAATGATGGTGTCACCGCAGAATTTTAGTTCACCGCTAGTTTTCACAAGTAACGCTCATCAGTTAATAATCAGTTAGGCTGATTTCAGATAACCCTCCTCCCCCTGCTGGACATACAAGTAATTTATTTAGCCATTTTTGTGCATTATGATACAGAACTCCAAGGCAATATAATCCAATTAATCCCAAGTTTTCGCTTAAATACTGAAAACTTGGTATCAATTCAAAACAAATGTCATGTGTTTAAATCGAAGTTGGTAGAAAATGGCTAAAGCTCTGTTCATCAATTAAACTTTGAACTACAGAATGTAATACACCTCACCTCCCCTTCCTACAGGGGAAAGAAAATCCCACGTTTGCATGAAACAAATTAAGGAAACTTAAGTGCTACAATAACACCCATTTCGACAGGCAGCAGTTTGGACCTTTTAAAGATACAGTTCTAACCAGCAGACTGCAGTCTAACAAGGATTGTCACTTGCCAGAATGAACAGTTGCTGATAAACATTTTAAAAAAGTAGTTTTGCAGTATGGCTCATACATATTGCATAACAAGCAGTGTGCTGTGTCACTTACTTCAAGTCCTGTGCATTCACAATTCCAGCTGCTTCCGTCCAACATCAGACTTACCCTGCCTCCATACTGGAGCATTGGTGCTGGGAGCACTCGGCCTGTGACCTCAGTCATTTCATTATGAACCACAATACCAAATTCCTTCAGATAGGGATCTGGGCCACCGACCATACTGTTACTCTTCACCTTTTGCATTCAAATTAAAAAAAAAGACATACATAGAAATACATCAGTGGTTACAAATGGTTTCAAAGATGAAAGCAAATCAATAAACTGTACAGATTCAATGGCATCAACTCTCTAGAGTTATCTCATATGGTTTACATTATTCAAACATTTTTTATTTTATATTATTTATTTAAGTATTTATCATTTATATTTTCACCCGTAAAATACAGTCAATTCACTTTACACTTTATTCTATGAAGCGCTTTGAGACATCTCAAAGACGTGATAAGGTGCTATATCAAATGCAAGGATTATTAGTATTAAAAGATGCATCAAATGATTACTATTAAATCATCATACATGACGTATAAATGAATAGAGACTTTTTAAATGTTTCTTGCAGTCAATTACAAAATTAAGTGTTTCAAAACGATCTATGTTGCCCCAGTGGCTCAGTGACTGGTTACCAGAGTACCTCGGATATTCAGAATGTTACACCTGATCCTCACTCACCAGACGGCTGATCTCCTCTTGTCTGTCGGGGGCTGATCGTGCTGTTGCTTTGATCATAGTTGATGTCTGGTTGTCTGTTAGTTTCTTGATACAGCGTTGGCCTGCCACAATATTACACACCTAGACAGGAAGATTAGTTGTCTTTAATATCCGCAAGATTATTTTTTGTGCTTGGAACTCTTAATAAAAAGCTTAACGCAGAAGAAGAACTTGAGGTAGGGAGTGTCTACTTTGTCACTCGCAAAACAGTCACACCACTTTACAGTGTATCTTGTGAAGCACTTTGAAACGGTGCAAAGATGTAATAAGCCACTATATCTCTCTATGGCATACATCTGTGAACACCTTACAAATAAAAAAAAATGCCTCAAAGCACTTTAAGGAAGTAAAGCCATGAAAAAGCAAAGTGAATGCCGTTACTCAGGCAAACAGCAGCTAATCTGTGCCAGCCTCACCTCTAGTGGCAAGTAGGTGTGTTTCTGTTCCTGTCCCACCTGTAGGCAAGGCAGGTGAGGATATTTAAGCTGTAGGTTGTATTTCTGTTTGAAATATTGTGCCACTGTGCACTCCATTGCTTGCCCGTTTTCCAGTTGTAGAGGAAACCTGGGGAGGCAGAAATGGGGCAAGCATTACGGGAACCTGCTAAAAATAATCAGAATGAATACCAGGGAAAGTAATAATAGAAGAGCAGATTGCAGACTCCAGCCAGGCTGATCTACATTACCAGGTTATGGGCCCTTTGAGAAAATGATGTCAGAGGAAATGTTAGAAGAAATCGGCAAAGCTGCGAGGTTTGGATCGAAAGTGTGGAGTATACGTTACGCTTTATTTTGTAAACAATCCGGGACTCTACCCCGTGTGAAGGGCGCTATATAAATGCTAGGTGTTGTTACAAATGGTCACCAGTAAAGATTGTTACCTACTAACTCAAAGCATTCAATATCTACAAGCTACCTGAGCAATATTGGATAGACTGCCCTTGAGATTCTTTAAAAAAAATGATAGAGAAAATGAGCCAAGCCCTTATCAATATGAAGAAGCAGCGTAGAGAGCAAAATTAAAAACTGGTTTCATACTTGTAGCAGCAGAACTGCCCGAGACTATGATTATAGGCTCATCTAAAGTGAAGAGGTCACACATTTCATGGAATATTTCCGGTCAATCGAACATCAACAAATTAATGAAACAGAGGGATGAACAGAGAGTATTTGAGTGTTAGCTGTGTGTACGTACGTCTGGTGACTGGCCGGCCGTCGGGTGACATTACACACTCGATATTTTCTTTTCATCTGTCCACAGTGAGTGACTTCCACTTTCAGACCTGAACAGACAGTATGCAGAGTTCCTCTCACTTACAGAAAGCAGTGTTAGCACATAAGAATAATGAACAAACATATTCAAAGTCAAAACAAAAATACCAAAGATAAAAATATTATTTTATTACTTAGGCAGCAATATTAAAAAAAGTAGAAGATTCCATCAGCATCATAGAAGCAGCTAAAGCATTCTAGTTTCACAACTGCAACCATAAGTTAGTATTTTATTTTAACTGTTCATTTGTAGGTTGTGAAGTACAAGCACAGAAATAGTAGGGGAACTAAACCTGCCCAAATTAGTAACTCAAACTCCTATTTTTGAAAATCAGTTTTTTTTAACGTGTTGTTGACACATTTATGAAAGTTCTCTTTTCTTTACTGGAACGTGTATACGTTTAATGAAGTACAAATGCTGATGCTTGATCCTATTTAAGTACAAGTAGGTTAAGGAAAGATTACCTACGCAGTAAGTTGTTCAATGTTTTAAGATGGAATCTTCTACACACTGTTGGAATGGAGCCAGACCTGGATCACGTTCTGGGAATATGTATTGTGTAGGGAGCTCAGTCAACATACAGACTGGCCTTGCCTGACGTAGAAATTTATTATAGGAGAGTGTTGCTCACCATGTGGTATTTCCCAGAATACAATCCACATCTGGTTCAACTATTGCAGTGTGAAGCGCACATAGTATCTCAGAAAAACTCCATACTTTTGATTAAGACGTCTAAGACATGATAAGGCACTATATGAAATGCAAGGATTATTATTATTTATTATAAAACTGTGGGGAGGGGGGGGGTCATCGTTAAGTTATATGGATCTAAATTAGTGACTAGACTAATTAAATTAAGCTAACAAAACTACAAAACAATCAGTGAGCAAGAATACTCCCCAGGCTTGTGTAATAGTCTATGGAATTATTCAAAAAATGTCAGTACCGCCAATGGAGGGATTGATATTATTACAAAAAATTGATAAAATCCTCATTAAATCACATTTGATTCTAGTATGTTGCTACACAGAACAAAATAGGCTCTTGATTTAGCTGTGGGTTGGAATAAACACATTACCTCGTATTTCTTTGGTAAATTTCACACGTTGAGAATCAGTCAGTGGTTTGGTTTGCTCATTGATGTTCTGGATATCTAACACCTCACACATGAACTCAATGACGGGCTGAGCTCTGTAAAACGCTGTGGCAGATACTTGAAGACACAGGAAAATTATCAGATTTCCTCAAAGCAAAATTAGCACATTCTAAAAGAAATATTAAATTCACATTCTCCGTCACACTCTCCATTTTGTTACATTGGTCCCTTTTAAAGGTGGGGGGAGTCTTTGAACTTTGATACAGAAGATAGCAATCCAGTAGCACTGACAGGAGGAACAGAACTAAGTATGCGTCTGAAAATGTATTCTGAAGCGTGATTAAAGGTCATCTGACTGTCTGTTGGTTGAATTTCTTGGAAAAACTGCTCATGGGTGACATGCCACTGAAAGGTCATGGCAATTTGTACAGAGGCTGAGTGGAACACAAAGATTGTAAGGTCTAAGAGGAAACGGTCACAAGTGGTTAAGAGACGTCAGGTACTGGACCACAGCCAACCCTCCATTTTCCATAGATAAGGCATAGCTCAACTGTAGCCAATCCAAATATTTATCAAATTCAAGGATTAGTATTATCTAAATTATAAGTATTTCACCTGTATTTCTTTTTTTGACAAATAGGATGCAATGACATTTTAGGCATTCTGAGTTTAATATATCTTGGCCAGCATATATCTAATTGAGGTTGTTACAGTTAAGGTTTGGAATGATATGCAATAACCGATTTCAGCACAAGCCTTTACAAAAGAGTCACGTATATTGTTACTTCCTCATTAACCATGGCATTTGCAACTAACTCACCATCAATGTTCAACATCATATTCCACATGGCGGGCCGGACAGACTGGTGGAAACCAAACCACACCTCCCTGCCCCCACCCAGAGGGTGATAGTAACCTTCTGGAGGAGAGAAAAAGGAACGACCCACTGGTGTATACCTGAGAAAGAAAGGGACAAAAGCTATCCTTAAAACTCCATACAAGGGGTCCATTCCAGCTTTGTATCTCTTCACTATGCATAACTACTGTTATGGTAGACTATGACAAATGAATGAAAATGTAATGGATTATTTTTAAAAGGTTCATCCGGGTAATCCAGGTATACCTCATTGATGGAAGGTGCCTTGTGACAACGTCAAGTGCCTGTACACAGTCTTCAGGGACTTCACTGAGACGTCCTGCCAAAGCTTCCAACAGCAGTTGCAAGCTGACGACTGAGACCCACTGAATAGAAACCTTAAAGGTCTGGTCTTTGCCTTCCCCAGGAAGAGTCACCTCTAAATCAACCTGTAACAAAAAGTTTAACTCATTGAATATCCTTTTTCGAACTTGGAAGTAATGGCTTAACATTAATAATTTGTAGAAAAAACACCATCTTATAGTCACTGTTGACTGCAATAGAATTTTTTTAAAGAAATTAAAATGTTCACTTGTACGGAAGGCAGGACAAACCAATGCAGATCACTGATAATGGTTCGAAGCTTAGCTGGGGAAACAGTTGTGTTGGTAACATTAACTGTGAACCATTGCATTATATACATTTCTGCATAGATAGAGAAAAAGTGTTTTGTTTATTAATGAAATTTATCTTGAAGTTTTAAAATAAGATCTTGAAAGACCACTTGCTTACCCTCTCACGACCAATTGGTAATGGATTTGCCGTGTACATGTTCCTTTTACCATCGTAGCCTGGCTGTCGATCTCCAAATATTTGCATCTTGAAGTGTCGGACCATGGTGTCCACCACTTCTCTGGAAAAGGGGGGGAGAGAAAGACACAGATTTGAAAGTTGAATATCTGGAGGCACAAAGTCACTGTCATTTTAGAATCTAATTACTCAAACAATAACTACAGCTGGATGCTTTAGACATGAAAAGGCAAACTCTATGACACAACTCTTCTCTAACCAACTACAAGCAGACCAAGCACAGTATCTTTGTCAGAGAGTACAATGTACGTCTGCAGCAGAGAAGGTAAAGTTCATGTTGCCTAGGAATAGGAAGAAGTTACTCCACCAACTTGTCTTGCCATACAGTGGTTTCTGACAGTTTTCATCACACTTCCTGTCTGGGGTTACAAACATAGTTTTAAGCAACAGTCCTATTATTTTCATTGTGCACTTATACAGGGAACTATTAACTTTTCATCAAAGTTCCAGCCAGCTAGAAATCTTCATCATCTTCATGAATGTTAGGGGTTACCAAAAAGGGGCTCTTCATTCAGTTTCACTGTAGTTTGTTACAGGTGCTAATAGGCTTGTGAAAGAAAGAACCTTTTAGTTATACTTTAAAAAAACTAGTTTGTTCTCACCTGTTGACCCTGCGGGGACGTTTCTCTGGTTTAATGTCCACCTCATAATGGTAAACATCAATTTTGGGGATTTGAACCTGAAAATGGTTGGCGAGCAGTCGGATAGGTTTCCCCACTGTGCCGAGCCCAGGCCTGCGAGGCGGCTGGAACAAGCTGGTTGTTGCAGGAGGTCCTACAAATAAGGACATTAGAATAATATTATTATTAATAAGAAAGCGTCAACGTAGCTTTGTCAATTATCAATAGCTGTACGGATTATCAAATGTTAGGGAAAGGCTGCATTAAACAAAATTCTCACTCTTTCAAAAAGGAAATGAATGCCCTTCATTATAATCTATTTATTTGTAATAAAATCATAAAATGCAGCCCCCTGGATATAGAAAACATTCCTTTATAGACGAACGATCAGATGTAAAACGTGAATTAAGTAGCAACACCAAAGAAAGACAAAACATCTGAATATTCAATAACTAGTTACTAAAACCATTTAATAGGAATTTTAAAACATTTATAAATCAACTACCAAGGGAAGTTTTCCATTATGATGTGAATATCCAACTCAAATAATGTTAAATGACATTTCATTGTCAAATATTGTACTGTCTATACGCCAACCACAAGTGTGTGGAAAGTTGCACCTTAAATAATTTGGGCTTTCTTCAGTTGAGTACAGGTTTGCAACTACCAAAGAAACAATTCATCAAAGTAAGAAGTAAATGATTAGTTAACAACCAATGGAAGCATATTTTAAAATCATCATTGTGTACATAATAGTATAAAATTTATCTTAAAATGACAGTCTTTAACCAAACTGAGCAAATTAGGGTAGAAGTATCATTATTCATAAACAACACGATAGATTTAGATTGCAAATTTGCTTCATAGGCCAACTGCATTTAAAAATTAATTTTCCTTGCACGTCTATGTAACAATATACTTTTCAACTACATTAAAATGAGTTACATCTTCAGGAAAACAAATTGCAAATGAGGTAGCAATTTAAAACAATCTTTTAACAGAAATCAGCTTAAACTACCAAATGTCCTGTGTAAAACTGAGTTAATAGGGAGCAAACCCCCCCCCAAAACATAACTTTTTGCTCATATGACAATAAATTACATTTCAATAGCGCCTTTCACTTCGGGAGGACATCCCAAAACCCTGATACGATAACAATAATAAATATAACAACAATCCTTGCATTTGATGGAACCAATGTCTACACTTAACCCATGAGCAAACATGCCCATGGTTCAGCCGTTCTTAATACCAACATATCCTCCATTTCATTTCATTAATGACCATTAGCCGCTAACTCAGACAGGAGGAGAGCTTGGCAGTCCCGCAGGAAGTCTCAATTCACCATTCTTAAACATTCAAACGTACTGAACAGCATTCACACCCGAAAAACAAAGTTCAAGAATTCCACTGTCAGGTACAGTGGCAGTTCTATTTACAGAGACTGTGTCCATGTACTCTCAGCCCTGATCTTTACCCCCCCCCCCCCCCCCCCAGGGTCTTGCTCAGCTCCAGCTGCTTGTAAAGAAACACCAACCCCCCAAAAACACAACACGGAACCCCACAGCCGCCGTACTGTAGATTTTACTTCTGATCTCGTTGTCATTACTTCCCTCCCTCCCCTCTGTGCGGGGGGGGGGGGGGGGGGGGCAATAAAACGTCTGTCTGTCTCTGTCTCTCTCTCTGTCTGTGCTTTCACTTATTTCTTTAAAAGGCCCTCGTGTGCACGTAATCGAACCGCACAGCCTTCCACCACCACCACACACACCAACCCACCAGTGGCATTGCAGTCGGGACCCGCGCCCACAGCGCTCCACGTTACATTGCCCCCCTCCCGCTCTCGGAAAGAAACCCCGACTCACTCACTCACTCACTCACTTTCTCGCGTTTAAATGCCCACCGCACGGCCATATTGTTCCACTGCACCTAATATAAACACGTAGCGCAAAAGCCTTTCTCTCTCTCTCTCTCTCGTTTTTCCTACGTGATTCTGAACCGTCTGCTGTCAGTGAGCTGGAAGCCTAACCCCCTGACCCCCCCCCCCCTCTCTCTCTCCCTCCCCCCTTTACCAACCCTAAAAACCACTACCTGTTTTTTTTTTTGCTGCTAATAACAATCGCGACAGCGGTGAAGGTACTCGCGTTTTGATACGAGAACCGGTTTGACCCCCTCTCCATGAGCAAAAGTGCACATGGTGTTCAGCTGCTCCTCCAAACGTTAATAACATCTCCTCGGTTTCACTCCGTCGTGACAGCTAACAGCTAAAATAGGGCTACAAAGTTCTGCTCGCAGTGGATCCCTGGGCGGTGGGACAGCCCCCAGGGGTGGGGGGGGGGTGCCAGGGGTGGGGGGGGTGCCAGGGGGGGGGGTGCCAGGGGTGGGGGGTGCCAGGGGTGGGGGTGCCAGGGGTGCCAGGGGTGGGGGTGCCAGGGGTGGGGGGTGCCAGGGGTGGGGGGTGCCAGGGGTGGGGGGGTGGGGGGTGCCAGGGGTGTGGGTGCCAGGGGTGGGGGGTGCCAGGGGTGCCAGGGGTGGGGGGTGCCAGGGGTGGGGGGTGCCAGGGGTGGGGGGGTGTCAGGGGTGGGGGTGCCAGTCTGTGTCGTCTTCACTGTAAAGGCTTTTAGCAACTCCCTCGTCGTCGTCCCCCACCCCGAGCCCGGGGTGAGTTTCCGGGCCTGTCCACACTCGCACCATAAACTCTCTCTCTCTCTCTCTGTTTCTCTGTCTCTCTCTCAGCACTGCTTCTTTTTAATTAAAATAATACAAACACAAACAGAGAGACAGAAACACAGACACAGACAGAGACACAGACAGACACACAGAGACACAGACAGACACAGACAGAGACACAGACAGACACACAGAGACACAGACACACACACAGAGACACAGACACACACACAGAGACACAGACACACACAGAGACACAGACAGACACACAGAGACAGACAGAGACACAGACAGACACACGGACAGACAGAGCCAACAACACGACACGGCGCAAAGTCCTCGCCTCTCCTTTCCCTTTGAGCTCCAGTGATAGTTTTCCCTGTTGTTGTTGTTGTTGTTGTTGTTGGTGTGTGTGTGTGTGGGGGGGGGGGGGGGGGGGAGGAGAGGGGGGAGGGAGGAGAGGGGGGGGGGGGGAAAGCTCTTTTTTTAATTAAAAAACCCACTCAAACCCCAACTCCTTCCCGATCCCGATCCCTCCCAAGACCTTGGGCGGGTGGCGCGCGGCCTTCCTCTCCCTCTCGAGGTGCGTAACGGCCGCCAGAGGCCTCTCTCTCCCTCTCCCCGCCCTCCCCTCCCCTCCCTCCCCTCACACTCTCCCTCCCCTCACGGCCAGGGCCCAAACGCCAGCACCGAGGGAGAGGAGGAGGTTCTGGAAGGTTCTTTCCCCAAACCCAGCGGCCGGGCAGGGAGTGAGGGAGTGAGTGAGTGAGGGAGGGAGGGAGGGAGTGAGGGGGGAAGACTGTGACTCGACTCCGCGGCTGTGAGGCCCAGTGAAGCCGCTGCTCGGCCTCTCCTGTCAGGTGTGTGTTTGGGGCCTGAAGTACAGTAGCGCCTTCCCCCCTCCCCACAGCCCCCACTCACTCACTCCCCCCCACAGCCCCCACTCACTCACTCCCCCACTCACTCACTCCCCCACTCACTCACTCACTCCCCCCCACAGTCGGGCTCTGTAGCCTTGAATCGTCGCTCATAATATTTTGGTAAAATGGTGATCATTGTGTGATCGAGTCCCTGACTCACCCGCCGGCCCCACCGGCTCCATGACTGGCGCTGGACGTGCGGTCGGGTCGGGTCGGGTCGGGTCGGGCCGCCCGCGGTGCGCTGCTCCCTCTCCGCTGCCCCAATCGGTACAATAGTCGGACTTCCCAACCGACTCTTTCGCAGCGAGACGGACAACACCAGCACTGCGCAGGCGCGGCTCCGCTGGCGCGCGTGCGCGGCGAGGGCCCTGTTTAAAGTGCCCTAATTGTGTGTGTGTGTGTGTGTCTGTCTGTCTGTGTCTCTGTCTGTCTCTGTCTGTCTGTCTGTCTGTGTCTGTCTGTGTGTGGGATCACAGCTGAGTGTGTGTCTGTGTGTCTGTGGGATCACAGCTGAGTGTGTGTCTGTTTGTCTGTGGGATCACAGCTGAGTGTGTGTCTGTTTGTCTGTGGGTTCACAGCTGAGTGTCTGTCTGTTTGTCTGTGGGTTCACAGCTGAGTGTCTGTCTGTGTATCTGTCTGTGTGTGGGTTCACAGCTAAGTGTCTGTGTGTGTGTCTGTCTGTCTGTGGGATCACAGCTGAGTGTCTCTGTGTGTTGTGTGTCTGTGTATCTGTCTGTGTGTGGGTTCACAGCTGAGTGTCTGTGTGTGTTGTGTGTGTGTGTCTGTCTGTGTGTGGGTTCACAGCTGAGTGTGTGTCTGTCTCACTCTATCTGTGTGTGTCTGTCTGACTGACTGACACACACCCATCAGGGGAAACTCATCGTCACCATCGCTTTAAAGAGTCCCCAAACCCCGCTGAAACTCCCCTGCATCCCGCCTTCACGTGGAAATTCCAGGGAGCGAGCGATTGTCCCAACGGGATACGCACTTAATACTTAAGCAGTCCTGTGGCTCGGGTTGGTTAGAGCACTTGCTTGGCAAGCGAGAAGGGACCTGGGTTTGCTTTCCCGTGGCCGGGGGAAATGTCGGGCAAGTTTCCTTACTCCACACGCCTCGGTTCATTGGCGGATTGCTTTTCCGGGGGTAATAATCCATTCAAAAAAAATATATTTAAAAAAAATTTGGTCACTTCAATCCATGACTGTTTTTACAAAATATACAGTCACTTCACTTTACAATATATTCGTGAAGCGCTTTGACATAATAATAATCCTTGCATTTGATATTGTGCTTTTTCATGTCTTTGAGATGTCTCAAAGTGCTTCACAGAATAGACTGTAAAGTAAATGGACTGTATATTTGTGGGCGAAATACGACAGCCAATTGCGCACAGCAGCGTCCCACAAACAGTTGTGGATTGAAATGACCAATTTTATTTTTTTTAAGGATTATTATTAGACTTGTGGAGTAAGGAAACTTGCCCAAGCTTTCGTCCCCTGCCGTGAATCAAACCCAGGTCTCTCACTTGTGAGGTGAGTGCTCTAACCACTGAGCTACAGGAGACATCTCAATGATGTGAGTGATAAGACGCTATATCAAATGCAAGGTATATTATTACTATGTAAAGGAACAAAGCGGCCAGATTTCAGGTAAACATTTTCATAACATCCAACTCTGTTTGAATAGTCAGATAAGACAAAGATTCCATTAAGATTTTTTGGTAAATGGAAATAGATTTATTTTGGTGGGAAACAAATTAAAATGAACATTCTTTTTTTCTCTCTTCCTTCTAAATAGAATGGAGACATGCAATAAGTGTCAAAACATGCCTAACTATTTTTTATCCATTTGTCTTGCACTATTTATGAAACATTCTATAAATTATATCCACAATGTACATAGTTATAATAGGATTATTTTGATAATAAAAATAGTGTTTAAACAATTTAAGCACTGCAGCAGAATTTCTACTGCCATAAATTCGTAAGATACGGAGAATTACAAACTTCGTAAAAGTTATTTTATTTGAACTGTTTTCAATTTGCAGAGCAGCAGCATCAGATGAATGGAATTCAACCTGGAGCATGCTTGCAAGCGTTTGTCTGTGTTCTCATTTGGTGCTGATAATGATATTCAGCTATTAGCACTTTATCCAAAGGATACTTTATTAAAACAGACAACCAAAGTATGTGAGTAAAATTTCAGCAAAGTGACTACCTAAAAATATAAAATTCAGAAATGAATACAAGTAAAACAATGAATACAATCTCGTAGATGAATTCCTGCTTTTAAGAAAAAGAAAAGCAATAGAATGTTAAAGCACAGAAGGAGGCCATTCGGCCCATCGTGCCTGTGCTGGCTCTTTGAAAGAGCTACCAGCCAATCCCACTCACCCGTTCTTACCCCAAATGAGGAAGAACCATGACAAATTCAAACAAAGATTTTGAATTGCACGAGCAGAGTTCTGAAAACTAGTTTCTCATCTACAGAGTTTTAAGAAAATCTGACCTAGCCCTTCACCACCAAACAAAAGGGTTCAGTAATCTCATAACGGCATAGCTTTTGCATTTCTATCTTAGTTCAATCCAACAGGGAATGACAAGAACATTTCCTAAGATATTTGGGGCAAGTTATTACCTGGATTTGTTTCTTGATGTAACATTTGTTGAAACTAAATTCCTGTCCGTCTCTGGCTGTTAATCATCAATGTGAATATTTTCTGTTATCCTACAGCAGTGAGTAAAATAAGGCAGTATAAACCATTGTGTCTTAAAATTTCACCAAATATGTAAACACTTGAAGCATATAGATTTATGATCTTTATCAGGGATCTGAAATTAAGATGATACTAACGATACCATTTTCTCACACAAACAGGAGCTGTACAAAATGTTTCTATTCTCCACTCTTATTCTCTACATTTATTCATCATCATTTAAGTTCATTTCAGAACAGAAAAGATAATAGATGTAAAGCCTATAATACATACACAACCAGATTCATGTTGATAACTTTCATCTTCTTTCTCAACAGTTCTTCACGTATTTTAAGAGCGGTTGGTATATTCAGGTGATGTCTATCCTTTAATTGGCCTGAAGGTCAACATGACAGTTTTAATAAATACTGATATAACAATATGTTCTTATAAAGTGCCTTTCACATAGGAAGAATGTCTCCAAGCACTTTACAACAAGTTGCATTTATATAGCCCTTCACGTGGGGTACCGTCCCGGAGCGCTTGACAGTGGCGGAGTCCAATACCGAGCCAGGGATAGAGGGAGGTGACTGTACACATGATCAAAAAGGAAGGTCTTTAGGCGGGAATTTGAAGATGGGGAGGGAGTGGGCAAGGCAGTGTTACCAAGAGAGTGAGATCTTGAGCTGGGAGGGAGATGGCTGATGGTGTAGTCAAAGAAATAGGTCTTTTGATGGGATTGGAAAGAAGAAAAGGTGAGGCAGAACAATATTACATGAATTCCAGAGGGAGAGGGCAAAGCTCACCCTGCCAATGGTGCAGGGAAGCAGGAACATTGTTACAGACCATGAAACTCCCAAGTAAGTAAAATCAAATATGGATAAAGGACTGTAAGTTGAATGCAGTCTTTACTGTAGGATTCCTGTAGCTCAGTGCTTAGAGCACTCGCTTTGCAAGCGAGAGACCTGGGTTCGATTCCTGGCAGAGGGCGAAACCTTGGGCAAGTTTCCTTATTCAATACCCCGGATAATAATTTCTCAAAAAAACAATAATAAATTGGTCATTTCAATCACGACTGTTTGTGGGACGCTGCTGTGCGCAATTGGCTGCCGCGTTTCGCCCACAAATATACAGTCAATTCACTTTACAGTCTATTCTGTGAAGGACTTTGAGATGTCTAGAAGACATGAAAAGTGCTGTATCAAATGCAAGGATTATTATTATTATACTATAATCATCATTCTTGGAAAATTTCGATAATACAGATATCATAGAGAATTAGTGTCTGAAAACAATACTTTGTAAAAGCAGGGTTATCAACATCAAGAAAATGGTAGGAATGAAAATTATAATCACAAAAGTAAGAGATTGCAAACCCATTTAAACAGAGAAACTTAGAAGTTTACATTATCTCCTGCTGTGACTTATTTCTACCATTTAGCAAACACTTGTAAGACCACCCCAGCTCAGGTATAGGATTCTTAAGTCAGCGAGACTTGCCTAGTTTCTCTAAAACATTGTTATTCCAAAGATATGGCAGATTTTTATTTTCATTAGTCTTATGCTCCCAATTATTCAGTTGTCCAAAAGCAATTTCTCACAAGAAATTCAACAGAACTAAGTAAATAGATTCACTGTTGATCTGTACCTTGATAAACAGAAAATACACTTACTTTGGCTACGATAGACTTCACACAAGTGCTCCACATTTTGTTGCAGTTGCTTCAAATCGCTCTGTAATTCATCATCAATAAGGTTTTGCTGCAAATCTAGAATTTGAATCTCTTGGTGAAGTCCCACTATATCTTTCTGCAATTTTTCCATTTTCGCTTTTTTTGAGCTAAGGATAAAAGATTACCGAAAAGGTTCATCTCATCACTGTTTTGTCAGCCGGGTTTCCGTCATGTGGAAAAAACACTCACCAAATCAAACTGAGTTTCACCTTATGTACGGCATGTATGCACAGAGTGTACACTCTCCCACAGAGGTACACACTCAGTTTACCTAACTCTGGAAAGGATTAACTGAAAACGGAACAATATTTCTAGATATGCTAAAACAGTGAGACAGTAATAATAATAATCCTTGCATTTGATATAGCGCTTTTCACGTTTTCTCGACGTCTCAAAGTGCTTCACAGAATAGACTGAAGTGAATTGACTGTATATTTGTGGCCAAAACGCGGCGGCCAATTGCACACAGCAGCGTTCCACAAACAATCGTAGATTGAAAATGACCAATTTATTATTGTTTTTGTTTTTGGAGGGATTATTATTAGGCTCTGTGTGGAGTAAGGAAACTTGCCCAAGGTTTCGCCCGGCCTGGAATTGAATCCAGGTGCCTCGCTTGCTAGGCGAGTGCTCTAACCACTGAGCAACAGGACTCTACAAGTGGGCCTAATGATCTCATATCTCCTTACACAGTCACAACATCTCTGTTATTTTCAGAATTAACCATCTCTGTGCCTGGTAGTCAAAAGCATCTTATTCTAAAGATAAACTTTATATTGGTACTTACTCGAGGTGTGCTTGTGAGACACTGGTCTGACTCTTTACTTTGTTTTGTGTGGTTTTGGTTATTATGTCTCTGCAATCGGCAAGTTTCACCTGTAATTAAACACTTTCCATTACTAATCTGTGACAAATCTCTTCTCTTTTGGGATTAAGGCAACAGATGAGAAATACTTTCTAATTTTGCATTCGTTGGTGTGGTTAAGCATGACTAAACCTGTCAAGTTTCAATTTGGCCTAAATAAAGAGTTCAGAGCATAAGATTGTTTTTAACATATAAGGGACAATTTAAAAATAAAAAACAACTTACATACTTAAAAAAAAACCTGCAAATTATTCTGTTCATTGCAAAATGCCCTTTGTTTAAAAGATCCACAGCTACTCAAAAAAGACGCAAAAATATTTAGGCTCAGAAACTGGATGACTGAGAGTGCCACAGAGGGTGGGCTCAATTCTGATATTTCATTGCTAAATATACCATCTTGGAATCAGTTTAGCTCCAAGGAGACCCTACTTACCTCCCACCCAAGGATAGTCACTAATTGCTTATATTAGAGAGGTTGATATGTCAACTCAGCCACCACATCATACCTTGATTGTCCAAATAGCATCCAGTAGCTCCTTTTCCTCTGCTGCTTTTTGTTCTTTGAGTGAGGTTAAAGTTACCACTTTTCTATTGTCATTCATCTTTTGGTAACGTTCCTCTAATGGTGCACAACGTTCTTTTATAAAACTTTGCAACTTGCCGTGGTGCATGCAGTCAAACCAATTTCTCTCTGTCTGAATTATAATATCGATTCTCTGCATCAGAACACTGGCATTTATATTCTCGGAAGCTCTGAAGGCAAATAGAAAATAGTCTTGAAGGTTCAGCAGGCTTCCATTTCTGAACACAACCTCAGTAGAAACCAACAAATTCTCAGTGGGTCTTACTCAATTGCTTTGTTTCACTTTTGCTTGACTTTACTGAAATTAAAGCATCAGGGGCAAAATAGAAATTTGTATTAATCAATGCAATGAAGCGTGGAAGCCTTATATAATCTGTGGGAAGGGATCAATCAATGATGGGGTGGGGGGAGGAAATGGAGGGTTGGATAGACGGTAATTCTTTATAAAGAAAAGTGAGACATTCTCATGGTCCCCACCAAGGCTGTACTGCATCACGGACTACAACAACAACAACTTGCATTTATATAGTGCCTTTCACGCTAGTGCCTACGCAGCTCGTAGCACTAGGTATGTTTAACTCATGATTCTGAGTAGCTATGGTATTTTAGATACACCATTTTGCAAATATGTTCTGTATTGCCTGACAAAACAAACATTGCCAATGCAATCAACTCCACTAGAAAAATCTGAATGGGTTGAGACTCATGTGGAGTATTAACACTGCCATGGACTAATTGGGCTAAATGGCCTCTTCCTGTGCTGTACAGTCTATGTAATTCTACGTAAGACTTTTTTTGAACTTTTCTGACCTGTTAAATGCATTGTTCACCACTGCCACAAATAAACTGAGAGACAGGATTGAAACCAGGCCAATGTGAGTCATGACGATGATGAAAGCCGCAAAACTACCCTGGATATTTGATTGTTTGCTGAGCCAAATATCATGAATACTGATCCGAAAAACAAAATAAAATGTTTCACTTATTGTACTCATCGACACATTTCCTGCATGTACAGAAGAAAAACAGCATATATAATAATCCTTGCATTTGATATAGCGCTTTTCACGTCTTCTCGCCATCTCAAAGCGCTTCACACAATATACTGTAAAGTGAACTGACTGTATATTTGTGGACGAAACGCGGCAGCCAATTGCGCACTGCAGTGTCCCACAAATAGTCGTGGATTGAACTGACCAAATTATTATTTTTTTTCTTGAGGGATTATTATCAGGCATGTGGAGCAAGGAACTTGCCCAAGGTTTCGCCCTGCTGGGAATCAAACCCAGGTCTCTCACTTGCAAGATGGGGGTTTTAACCACTGAACTACAGGACTCCACATGAAAAAAAACACTCAATTTTGCATCACAAAATATTAGGAATAGTTGAATTTCATTCATCCAACTAACACAGAAATTTCGTAAAAGTAATAGTAATCCTTTTATTTGATATAGAGTCTTATGTTGCTAAGACGTCTGAAAGTGCTTCACAGGGTTTTATTGTGAAGTGGAATGACTGTGTATTTGTAGGCGAATGGAGATTCAAATTTGCACACAGCAATGTCCCATAGACAGCCATCTCAGAACTGATCCAGAAAATCAAGAAAAAGCAGCAGTGAAAGACAGCAATAAGGTATGTCATTGAGGCAGATTACTAGTGTAATACAGTGTAATACTAGTGTAATCACAGGGTAAACTTACCTCCAAACATTAACCAATAGGAAAAGGCATAGGCAATGAAGAATTCAAAGTAGAGAAATAGGAACTTTGCAATATCAATTAATATCCTCCCAAGTACGATAATAAAAGTAGCTGTAACTCTATGGGAGGAATAAAAACAAGACAAATTGATTAAAATACAATCACAAATCTATGCCAGCCAACAAAGTCCCACAAAACAAGTTCAATACATATTGGGGGAAAAAAAGAAATAGTTTTACTCAAAGGCACGAAAGTACTTCATGTTCTTCAGCCACAGTGGGATAAAAGCGATAGCAATCAGATGCTCCTCAATGATGATATTTTGGTTCGAATGCACTCCAATCGTAGCAAGGTTCAAACAAATCACCATTAGCAATAAAAACAAGACAATGACGTCATGCAAGTTCCTGTTGAAAGGACAAATTGAAAATTTAAAAATATATATATATCAAATTATCAAATATAAAATAAAAAATGTATAGTTATAACATAAGCCTAAAAGCTAATGTGCATCTCTTCCCAGAATATTTGAGCGCAACGAACCTGTTCGAAAAAACTAATGGATATCAACTCTTTCAAGATTTGTCCACTTAAAGCCTTAAAGCCATAAGGATACAATTTCCTGCATTCTCTGCTTCCAATTTACTTTGCCCCTTGCTTGTAGGCCTAGCCTCAACATGGTTCAGTGAGTGCAAGCAGTTGTCTTGCCCAAGAGGATATTCATGCCTGAGCTGTGGCAGTAAATGTCACTCATATTTCAAGGAGGTGAGCCATCCTGAGCTCCCCTATCGGCTGAGATCAGCTCATTCGGCATTATTCAATACCACATTGGGAGAATCATTTATTGACTTAGCTATTTATTGACTGACCCCATGTTTTTCTACAATCATTCAATCTTATATCATTGCACAGTACTTGCCTCGATAACAATCAAAACACCCATCTTAGTATATATTTGCACATTCATCCATAGAGCAGTTAAAAGTATTTCACAACACCTAACTGTTTTTCACCAACATGCTCTCATTCACCACAGCAGCAGCAAAGTTCCTTTAAAGAGTCTCAGAAAGAACAAGCAGACTTATAGATTTGGTATAAATAATGATTAGAGTACTGTAGCTCAGTGGTTAGAGCACTCGCTTTGCAAGCGAGAGACCTGAGTTCAATTCCAGGCAGAGGGCGAAACCTTGGGCAAGTTTCCTTACTCCACACAGAGCCTAATAATAATCCCTCCAAAAACAATAATAAATTGGTCATTTTCAATCTACGACTGTTTGTGGGACATTGCTGTGCGCAATTGGCTGCCGCGTTCGCCCACAAATATACAGTCAATTCACTTTACAGTGTGTTCTGTGAAGCGCTTTGGGACGTCCTCCCGACGTGAAAAGCGCTCTATCAAATGCAAGGATTATTATTATTATTATAGCCTACCACATATCCGAGAAGTAATGATTTTTCAAACTTGATATTAAATTAATTTCTTTCCTTAGATCAATCTCCTCCTGAAGTGAGATAGAATGCATTGTTACACATATGTATATGAGATAAACTGCTGTTAGCAGCACAAATTATTATAAAGGGAATTAAATTAGCGAAAGTCGAGTATACAACTGTAATCTACATTGATATTTGTGGGACATTGCTGTGCCCAAATGACTGCCGAGTTTCATCCACAAAACAGTCAAACGCCACCCTAGAATAAACCTGTGAAGCGCTTTGAGACGTCATGACGACTTGATAAGGCGCTATATCAAATGCAAGGATTATGATTTTGTGGGCAAATTGGTGACCAATCTGCGCACTGCGACGTCCCACAAACATGCAGTGAGGGACCATGTTTATTTGGGGGATACACTGAAATTAGACAAATATGCAAAATCATGGCACACCCTAATTATTATCCAATCTTTTGCTTTCCTTTACCTTATGCCATCGAGGGTGACAATAGGCTTCACCTTCCAATATTTGCTCCTGTCGTAAGAGCTTCCACTGCAACAACTTGTTTCTAGATGTTATGAACTCCTTAAGTTTCCAAATAATCAAATAAATCGTCTCCGCAATACACACAAGGTTTATAAATATGATCCACCAACTCTGAAAATGTACGTCCGGAAATTAGCAAATTTATTTTCACGCTGTCATTGATTAGACTCAATCTCTAAAGACATCAAAATATTAAAATTCCCTGTGATAAAATATCTTCACTTTGCTTAATAAAACTGAGATTATACCTTAGGGAAGATCTGGTAGGTCAGCCATTGTTTCTGGAACAATAGTACAGACCAACTGACAAAGAAAAGCAGATTCATCAGGAACAGCAGCTGGTTTGATTTCCTGTTAAAAAAGGATATTTTGTACTATTTCCACCTTCAAAGATGGCATAGGAGATTAATAGGAACATAGAAACAGGATTATGCCATTCAGCCCCTCGAACTGGTTCTGTCATTCTATAGAATCACGGCCGATCTTTACCTCAACTCTAATTACTCGCCTCAGAGATTTGTTTCCCTCCCTATCCTGTATGCTTATTGGCTATTTTATTTTCACTTTCTTACTTTACTTATCGTTCAATTAAAAGTAATCCTTAATCTTAAAAGGTTCAGAATCCCCTTATGTTCTCTATCTTCATAATACATCAATTATTTCTGAATTACTCACGTTCCATAGGTCCTCCATTTTAAATCAATCAATTTCTTCAAAACTGGGTGTTCCACAATCCCATAGCATTTATTTACCTGCACAAATTCTAACTTCACAAAAAAATGAATGAATATACATCAGCATTTTTTAAAACTTCCAAACATTTCATATAGTTACATAGAACTTCCCCCTCCCTCTCCCCCTGGCTTGGTGTCAGACTCCACCACTGTCAAGCACTCTGGGACACTATCCTGCATGAAGAGCGCTAAGTAAATGCAAGTTGTTGTTGTAGTAGAACCTATGTCAGCAAAGTAGGCCAACTAGTTTGGTGTGGTGTTTATACTCCACATGAGCCTCCACCAACCCTAATTCCACTTCACTAGCCCCCATCCCATAGCTCTCCATTCCCTTCCCCCTTATGAACGCATTGATTCTCCTGTTGAATGCATTGATGGTTCCTGTTTCGACCACAACTTCTGGCAGTGAGTTCCACATTCTCACCCTTTGTGTAAAGATGTTCTGCCTAAATTCTCTTTTCGATTCATTTGTGGCTATGTCACATTGATGCTTCTTGTTATGGACTGGCTAAAAGATAGAATCAGCTAAAACTCCATTATAAGCAGCATAAA